GGGAAACATCTGCCAACAGGTTTTGTGTTTATTTGATTTTGATTTTGATTTTCTTTTTTTTATTGCGGGGCTGGGCATCTATGGAGACACAAGATTGGCCATGTGGGAACGGGATGAAGTGGCGGAGAGGTCGGAGAGGTCTCGAATCAGAATTGCCACTAGGTAGAGCAAGAAAGGGGGCAAGTGACCAACAAAAAAAGAAAAGAAAGAGTGGAAGTTCGATGCCAATCAGGACCCGCAGGTGGCGCATGCAAGTTGCTGTGCTCCGGGCGACAGCGCCATTATGATTGGGCGGCAGTGACTAGTCCCCCCTACTAGTCCCGGCACTAGCGCAGGCTGCACACCGCTTCCTGGAGCCACGGTGGCCTGGCCTAACCACATGGAACACGACTCGACGCATCATCGATATTTTTATCGCCCCCTTCCCCTCCTTATATTGTTTCCGCTCATTACTCATGTTCACGCTCCTTTGGATATACGTGCGTCCTGTTTTACACTTTTTGTTTTGATATTTATATATACCCGCCACCCCTATCCCAAAAAGGCCTCAAATTCGGCCCCTCTCTTGGACTTTTGTGCTTACTTTCTGGAATGGATTCCTGCCCTTGAATGCCGTTGCATTTGGAGAGATTCACTACCCTGGACAAAAGCCCGGACTACTTGGAAATACCTTTTTTTATCGCCACTCTCTTCTTTAATCCTAAGGATTTGAGAGTTTTTGGATCGTTTTGACTTATATACCGCCGGATCTACAACTTATCTTTACTCCCCCTAACTAAAATACTACCATGTATCCGGCCATGCTTCCCACACCACCACCATCTCCCACGCTCCGATGTTATGCTCCCGAGGATCGATTAGGATTTATCTTGGCCAACCGTCTGGAACTGACTGGCATCCTGGGTGTCGGTGCCTATGGAGTCGTCTACACTGCCGTGGACATTCACACCAATATCTCCTATGCCGTCAAGGCCTTGAACAAAGCTGGGCTGGATCCCCGACAACTGAAGTACCAACAGCGCGAGATCCGTTTGCACCACCTGGCCAGCCAACATCCCAACGTTGTCTCCTTGGTTCGCATTATGGATTCCGTGGATTGCACCTACGTCGTCATGGAATACTGCCCGGAAGGTGACTTGTTCTCCAGTATCACCGATAAGGGCAACTTTGTTTCCAATGACCCCTTGGTCAAGCGCGTCTTCTTGCAACTGCTGGATGCCGTGCAATTCTGCCACTCCATCGGGATTTACCACCGGGATTTGAAGCCTGAGAATGTCTTAGTGACGGACCAAGGCATGACTGTCAAGCTGGCCGACTTTGGCCTAGCCACCACGGATTACTTCACTACGGATTTCGGTTGCGGTTCCACATTCTACATGTCGCCTGGTAAGTTTTTGTTTCACGCCATAGATGAGACCGACCCCTCCCCCCATTTTTCCCCGCCCGGACCAACCTAATTTATCCCAAACAGAATGTCAACAGACCAACCCCCGACCCATGTCTTGTTACTCTTCCGCCGCGAATGACGTCTGGAGCTTGGGCGTGATGCTCGTGAATTTGACCTGCGGTCGCAACCCATGGAAGCGTGCCTCCGTCGAAGATTCCACATTCCGGGCATATCTCAAGGACCCCTTCTTCCTCAAATCTATTCTGCCCCTATCCACGGAGATGGTCTGTATTCTCAGCCGCGTGTTTGAGCGCGACCCGTCCAAGAGGATTACCATCCCGGAGTTACGCCAGCTGATCGTGGATTGTCCCGCTTTCACCGAACAACCCCCTGTGGCCCCCTGGGTGCCGGATCAGATTCCGCAGGCCGACTACCTGGTCCAGCCCCAGATGCCCTTCGTTCCCCTGGAACCCCTACATGCCCAACAGTCTGGATCGTCATCGGACTCTTCACACTATTCTGATTTCTCCGACTCGGCCATCTCCGATACGTCTGCCCTGACTGAGGACTATGGCGACTACGCTGATTACAACTGCATGTCGCCTATGATCTCGGAACAGGTGCAGGTACCGGACTGTAAGGTTGTCTTCCCTCACCCCATCTGCGTGGACCAAGGCATGCCCGCGGACACCTTCACGGGAGCACCTATCCTAGTCTGTTAAAACCCCCCCCATCGACTTTACGCAGCTATCACGATTTACACGCCTTCTAAACCCGCTGTACGCATCGGGAGTTCTTTGATTTTTTTATTATTCAAGTTTTCTGGGATCCTTACCTCCATCTGGATTTTACCCTAAAAGCCGCCAAAAACAAGGTCGCCGAGTTGAGGATTATTCCCTGGGACTCGGTTACCATTCATCTTTTCTTCCCTGGATATACTTCTCCTCTCCACTGGACTACATTTTCCTACATTTTCCCTGGACCGTGTCCATTCTTGCATCGTCCACTGGATTTTGGGCTCTTTTTATTTCTCCCGGCCATTTCCATTATCTCCCACGGTTGATTTGGCTTTCGCTTCTACTGTCTTAATATTTCGCACCACATACCAGGAGGCCGGCTTTGTTTCTTGTTATTCTTTTTTATTATTTGGGAAAGTTATTGGGAAGTTCTGGCATATATTAGGAGGCACGACTGAAGACTGCCCCCGGGAGGGCAGATGACATATTCTTTTTGCGTGGAGTTGTTTTAAGGTGTTAAAGAGCTGATCATCACATTTGCTGCGGACTTGTTTTATTTAATTCGGGAAAGGATTCATGTCTGTTTCTGTACCTTTTCATGATCTATGGGTGGTGATTTGATTTCGGATTTTTCGCATATGTGCATAGACTTAACGGCATGGTTGGATCGGATCGGATCGGATTGGATTGGATTGGGATTTCTTCACGATATGATACCGACAATGAAGCGATAATTGCATACCATCTTCACAACTTCCCACTGGTTTCCATTCCACACAATTCCCTACTTCTAGTCTAGTGCAACGTTTCCCCGTCCTACATCGGCAAGGTAGAGAGGCGCCGACTATGCGGGTCGTCTCGTGTGGATGCTGTGGATGCTCCAGCTGCCGTACCACCCATTGCTGCCCAAGTGAGATGTGAGGCATGCGGCATGAACGAGCGCCAACCCTCTCGGGTAGGTCGAGGCTTTTTCCCACGTATTCCTGCAGTCTAGATCTCACGGATTTACGATCAGCGCTGCGTGATTCGTCACAGGTGGTTTAGCCTTTTGCGCCCGGGTTGTTGGATTGGAGTCAAAGTATTTCATGCTCACTGCATCGTGGAACAGCTGCGTAACGTCGATGCCCCAGAGCTTCCCGATCTCTACACCGTTTTTTTTTCTTTTGCTTTCAACTAGATCGTTCAATGGCATTGGTGTCCTGGAGCTCAAGATTCGACTCCACTTGCAAGCTAGCTATCCTCCACAATCTAGAGTTTGCATTCTGCCTTTATACCTAACCATTGCGGGTCTGATGCAGTGTACCTGATTAGGTCACTAATGCTAGGTCTCCACCCTGTTGAAAACTAATTCTGCGCTAGATACTACCCACCGGTGGCGACGACTTCTGCAGTCTACCTGTGGGATCATGCTTGCCCCGCTTCTAAAAGTCGCATTCCACACTTTCACCAACTTGGGCGGTAAAAGGCGTCGCTGGCTAGTGGGGCAATGATAGTTAATTTGGTCGTGGCCCACCAAGTAGGGCCATGAATGGTTGTTCCCCGTGGCCTGATGAGGGCCCAGAAGCGGGGGCTGGGACGTCTTGTTAGGAGGGCAATTAGCTCATACTGGGCTGGAATGAGAAGACAGGAAGAATAGATGATAACTAACTAGAGGAACCTGTAACAATAGTAGGAATAATATTAATAAACCTTATCTCACCGTCTGGTCTCACGGACTAGTCGTGAATGTATATGACGATCAAGTCCCTGAATGCACGTAGTCAGCTGAAGTAGTCACTTAGTACGTTCGCCTCGGGTTGCGTGGAATTCCCTGCCTCAACAAAACTATCTCTCCAAAATGGCCAGGGGTGTATACTTAGATGACCAGGGAGAAAAGTTTCCTCAAAAGTGTGAGATTATTCTATACTTCCATTGTTATATTGGTAGACCGAAAATAAGATTCAACGTTGATTCCAGGCAGGAGTATTAGTTTAAGCCTCGCATTATCTGTGCCGTGGGTTCCCCATACGAGAACGCGAAACCCTAGTGCGTCCACCAATGCATACTTGACTGGAATCTAGACTCTTGCCGGACGGAGATATCGGCAACGTACATAACGGTGCCAAGATTTTGACAACCCCATCTCGTGTTCCCAGGTTATTTCCACCACTTCATTAATTAGCGCTTTGACCTTTGCCTGTTTAAGTGTGATATAGAGCCTAGATCACCCGAGATGACCAGTGGATACTCGGGCTTGCTCACCTCCGCGCAGGCAGACGTTGACGGCTCTGCTGCAACATACTGTAAACGGAAGTTGGTCGGCAACGGTGCGTAAAGCGTCATGCGTCTAACTCATGTCACATTTATGGCGACGTGTGTTTGTGGCTGGTTGGGTGGGTTCTTCCCGGTGCGCATTAGGCTGGCGCTTACGCGCTGCACCTCTACTGAGGGGCGACTCGGAGACAATTAGGGTACTTCTGCTTGTTTATGACCCCGCATATTCTGACGCTGGTTGAGACGGCGAACCTTTTTATCCAGGTATTTGCAGATGTGTTTATGCAGAGGAATGCTCAGGTGGATTAAGCCGCTGATGATACACATCTGTCGATTGACTGAATTTCCCAAAGGTGCCATATCTCTGGCTTCGTGTCTCGGAGAAGGAAGAAAGACAAGCCATCATGCATATTTCGAGCAGCGGGACTATAGGCTACGTAGACGGCCCACCCCTGGAGGGCTGGGAGCCGCGTCGCTCAGGCTCAGGAGCAGAAAGCTGGAGTTCTTCACTACAGGTATATGTCAATGCTCGAAAATGTACACTTCAACTCATGAGTTATGTGGCACAGTCACAAATGACCCATAGTCACATGTGAAACGGCTGAATAGCAAGCCAATTCAATTTACATATTGCGCCCACCGGTGACCCGGATCGTCTCCCCATTCACATAGGAGAAGTATGGGCTAGCAACACCCAAAATAGACCGCGCCGCTTCCTCAGGGCTCGCCGGTCTCCGCAATGGGATATCCGGGAAAGACTCAGCCTTCGACGACTCATCGCCCTTCTTGGTAGCAAGTTGCTTGCCAGGAATGCCCAGCGCGACCTTAGTACCGTCAGGGGTGGTGACGAAGGCGCCCTCCTCCTTGGCAGCCGTAAGACGAGTAGTCACATAGCCAAAGGCGATAGTATTAGAGCGTACCCCGAAGGCAGGGCCCCATTCCTTAGCAATGGTGCGGGTCAGACCAACGACGCCGGCTTTAGCGACTGCGTAGTTGGCTTGGCCACTGTTGAGTCCGATCATTAGCCCTTTGTTCAGCTTCAGAGCCCAGCGAGAATGACTCGAAGTGCACTTACGCATTGCCATGAATACCACTTGTGCTGCTGATGTTGATGACAACCCGTGGCTCCTGGTCCTTGACGCGAAAATACGGCGCGGCCTCTCGCACCAGCCGGAAAGGCGCAGTGTTGTGCACTGCAAGCATAGTATCCCATTGTTTATCGGTGATCTACAGAATCACCAAGGATCAACCTCGTAAGCCCTTCACATGCCTAGCTAGGGAAATGGACAATGGCGATCTCGAGACGAGGATGGATGCGAATGCACCAAGTGAGAGAAGTAAGAGGACGTACCTTGTGAATTACACCGTCCCAAGTGAACCCAGCATTGTTGACAATGATATGGATCTTACCACCACCGAACTCGGCTGTGCGCTTCACAAGCTCGGTGATGTAGTTGCTGTCCAGAACGTCGCCAGCCACAGCCAAGGCGCGGCCAGGCTCGGCGGCATTGATGGCGTCAGCGACCGCGTTGGCTTTCTCTATTTTAAGACATTAGCTATCTTCCAGGATACAGTTTCAATTGAATGAAGGATTGAATTTTGAGGGGAGAGTGAAGAGCCGGAAACACATACTGCCATCGATATCTGCTACTACAACCTTGGCGCCCTCATTGGCGAAAAGCCGAGCTGCCTCCGCACCAATACCTTGGCCCGCACCGGTAATGATGGCCACTTGACCAGCAAGAAGACCGGCCGGGTAGTTAAGGTGTTTGTTAATCTGGTTCAGACGATCAGAAGGTGCCATTTTGACGTGATTTTTTGTTGGGGATGTACCGGGTGAGGTGAGGGGAAAGCTGGGGTCTTATACAAGGCGGTCGAAGTGCCGAGGCTCGCCGCGGACCGAGAGTGTGTGGGGTTGACAGTAATGAGAACCATGAAAATTACTACATGCTATATGCTAAACAAAAGGGTCAAATAGAAGTGTAACTCATATAGGCTATTTGATTCAAATTCGCTGGTCAAAATTAGCCGCTGCACGTGTACTGTCGAGCTGAGCCCTATGTACGCACCAGACCTCCCGTAAATACAACTTGGTGAGCAATGGGGAAAGAGGAATAAACAGAATTGAACGCAGCAAAATATCTCCACCAATGCAAATCTCCCGTATTCACAGAAAGCGTCAAAGAGGCTCATCTCGTCCTGAATATTCAGATCCACAGATACAATCACTCGAGACGGATTGCAGGAACGCCTCCACTGTAGCTTCGTAGCCACCAATGATAGGCAGAAGACATTTGTTTCCAGGACCAGACATCGCACCTGATTCTGGATGGGACAGACTCGTACCAGAATGCCCCGAAGAAGCCCAGGGCTGATTGACTAGACCTTCGCTCTTCATACTCGAATCTGCCGAGCCTTCGCCATCAAGAAACTTAGGATTGTCGAGACAAACAGTATTGACAGCTGTGGTTAACATGGACAGGACATTTTTGCATTGAAGCAGCAGTTTCCGAAGCAAGAATGCCCGGATCTGCCGGTTGTCATCTTGGCCCACCTCATAATATCCATAGCGAATATCGCCAGGCTCCAACTGAGGCATTCGTGAAGTCTCGCGTGAGATCCAATACTCGAATAACTGCAGGGTCAGATTGAGGACAGAGATGACTAGAAGCAGGTTCGCGCTGTCTTTGGTGCATTTATCACACTGCATGAAGACTTGGCATGCACAAAATGTGGCTTTGACCGCCTGGAGACTATGGTCGAATCGCAGAGGCATCGATTCAGCAAGAAGGTGATTCAGTCGATTCATATAGAATATTTGCTTGTCCACACATTCGCACGGCGCGGCTGAGTACGGAGAAGAGACAGATCCAGCCAACGATGGGCTCCCCATCCTATCGATCAGAGGCGCCGATGAGAGAAATGTAGGCGTCACAGGTGTATGTGGGTACCCAAGACCAAGGGGCATTGTAGGGCAAGAATCCATCAGATCGGTGAAGGGCGAGCCATCAATTGTTGCCAGCTGCGAGGGACAAATGGGCGTGTCTAACGCGGCAGCACTACCGAAACTTCGTGGGCTCTCCCAGAGTCCAGGTGGGCCCGGTATCAAGCATATCTTAAAGGTAGATGTTAGCGTAATTCATCAAAAGGAACAAGTGATTTCACTTACATCGTCATCCATCATTGGATCTCCCATATGACTTGGGTACTCCGTGGCAACTCGAGACTCTCGGTTTGCCACGGGAGGCACAATGCGATTACCACGAAATCCCCGGATGGGCGGCTTGTCCTCCTGGAGTTGACCCAGCTTGCGGAGAGTGGCTCGATTCTTACTGCCCTTGGGCTTGCCAGACCGGTTGGCAAAACCGTACTGGCATTGCAAGCCATGCCGCAGGCATCTCGTACAGACGTTCTTCCCGGACAAGTTGCATTTCACCTTGGATTGCCTGCAGTTCTCGCACGCGGTTCGAAGTTTCGGTGCATTATCCCCGGCATAGGGGCTGCCATTAGACTCGGCAAGCATCGAGGGCAGAGAGGGAGTGAAATCTGGAAAGGTTATTAGAAGGATGATTCTTCGCTTTTGCTTGGACCCAAGGATACAGAGGTATCTCACGGGGAAGATCGACACGGGGCAATCAAAGCATAAGAGCAAGAAATCCAAAGAGGGAACCCTAGGTTTAACGTGCATTCAATCCAATAGGACACATCGAGTCCTTCCCCCCCCTTCTTCTGACACACACACCGTCTTCGCTGTCCTCGTATATATAAAAACAAACTCAAGCTTCATGTTCCAAGAAAGCCAGCAAGAAAAAAAATGTCACACTTGCATTCGGATTCCTATACCGGCGGCAGCCGTAAAGAGGTCAGCCGCTGTGAAACCCAAGAAGGCTTCCATCTGATCAACTTGGTCTGGGATGGCGACAGGCACTTTGAAAGTAAAATAAAGGGGTTGCCCTCCTTCCCCTCTCTCCAACCCCCCACAGGGTCGGGGATCGGGCCACATTGGAGAGCGCTTTGGGTCCAGCCATTGCTCGATTGGAGCATCGTTCGTGATAGGTAAAAGCAGAAAGGCAAGTTTGGGACCTGGAGCCCCCAAGGGGTCCTTACAGTAACACACCCTGATGCAACATCGTAAATGACCCACGGCGTTAATTGTTTCAATTATTATTGTATTTTCTCTCATGAGATTTATCTTGATTTAGGGAATATGACGACCACCGCTGCTGACAAGGGCTATTCTGGGGGACTGCTGTCGGCCAGGCCCGCATGCACCACCAATGAAAACGTATCTACAATCCCTCCAGTGACGAGCACCATGTGAAATCTTGAGCGTTGGAACTCGGCTGACCGGATTCAGCCCGTGGCCTTTCAATCTTTTCCCTGTCAAGCTATTCACCGCTTCACTCGGGCTGTGGTCATTGTTGCACATCACGAACCAGGTCAACGTCAGCAGGGACCTTCACCGTTGAAGAGCATATCCCCTTTCGCCACATGTGTGGAATGTTTCATTTCATGCGACCTCTGGAATTGCCATGAGCATGCTGTCCAACCTCATCTTCTCCACTCGACTGATGTCATAACTCAGCCGCGTGGAATCTGACAAATCTCGGCAGTCCCACTGTGCCGATAATCGAACGCTTTCAATAGTCCAGTCAGGTGAGCCACTGCAGCACACACGACCAGTACGTGGAATATCTGATGTGAGCTGCCAACGAGATCGAACTTGCCGGGCCACAGTCTCTCCGGTACCCGTGCTGCATATATCGAAGCTCCAGTAATATACAAGAAGCCTTGGAGCAGGAGCCAGGTGAGGCCAATCTGCTGTCGCATACGGTCGAACCCAAAAAGAGACAAGCCATGGAGTACGGGGAAGACGGCGGACAGGCCCATCCCGACAAACATGGCGGCCCGGAACGGTCGCCAACGGGGAGTCCGGAACCTTGGGACGATTGAGACACACACGCAGCCCAGCCCAATGGTGCAGATCATGGTCCAATACCGATGTTGGAGCTCGGGTACACAGTAAAATCCATAGAAGACACTGGGTACAAAGCTGCCCACAATAAGCCCGACTATGCCAATGTAGTCAAGTGCATTGCCAATGCGAGCCACCACGGGTGAGTGGTTAGAGATCGTGTGATATGTTGCAGACATTCCCAGGCAGAAAGCAGCACCGGCGAAGAAGCAGCAAAACGCAGCGATGTCGGAGTCTGCTGCAGTCTGGTAACGAGGTTCCAAGGCTTTATAGAGCTGATAAGCTGCAGGAACGGCCAAAATGGCGGGCAGAAGGTGACTGTAGATATTGACGGTCTCATTATGAAAGTAGCCCAATGATTGGAACGAGGCCCAAAATGAAGATGAGGCTGGTCGATATCCAGTATGGATGTGGTGATTGTCGCGCTGCCAATGTGGTAACTCATCCCAATGAAGAAGCTTTTTCACCATGCGCGGAGGAACTTCAAGGACTGGGTTAGCCAGCGCAGTTGCTGGACTGTCCAACTCTTTCCCCTGTACTGGGTGACGTTGGCGAGACATCGTCACATGCAGAGTCTATTATAGGACGTGACGTTTAAAACTTGACGGATCAGCCACAATGATGCAAGACATGCAAAGCAGATCAACGGTGCATTAAGAATCTTTCACTCGAACGTGTAGATGGTAGAAAAGAACATTGGATAAGACATTATAGGAAATCTGTAGATACTCTACTTTCAAGGTTTCGTTGGGTGCCGCCGCTTTTGTAGGGCAATTTGACCTCGGTCACAATGTGAGTAATCATGTGATCAGTGAGGGGATCGAGGGGCGATCTATATGAATTCTGCAGTTAATATGACGTCGGGAATCTGTGAATGCTTGGGGTTAGATAGCCTTGTATCGTACTATATCTACCACAGTAAACTTTAAAAGAGCATGGAGGTCATGAAGACGAATATTCAACGCATCTTGGTCGTTAGAGCGGCAAGGGATAAATTACTAGAATAGACAAGAGCGTTGGGGAGTTGGGACCTCGGCGCAAACAATGCAAACCCCGGTGGCCCACATCGACCCCAGATCTGATATGGCTTTGTCCCCTCACGCAGCCACGCTTGCTCGATGCAGTCCGCCAGATCCCAGGGAAGCCGGTTACGGCCTGTCGCCGACCCTCTGGATAGGGTCGGCTTTGTTTCAAAAGGCGACAGGACGTATGTTGTTTCAATAGCATTCATGTGAACCGTTCTGACGCAACCATGGCAGACTTCTTGATCACAAAGAGCAGCAAGACTATTACAACAAGATTCTAGAGCGATACATGCGGTTCTGCTCCGACCACCAGAAAGACTTCGATGCGGCACATGCATCGCTCCCTGTGAGCTCCTCAAATGATGCAACCTCGAACCCACCTACCGCCCAGCCAGCTGCAAGGACCACATTGAACCCTGCAGAGAGGCGCATTCCCCCACCGTCGACGGAGCTGTCAAAGCTCCTTCTGTCCCTCCGAAAGCTCAGAGAAGGCATTTTGGCAACATCGGAAACAACTCCGGCTAAATTTGCGCAGCTTGTCCATTATTTCTCGATTCGCATGTCCATTCTCGCGCAACACCCGCCATCATATTTTCCATCCTTGGAGTACTGCCTAAGCAAGCTGCATTCCAAATCACACCCCATGGCCGAGTCGGAAGTCAAGGACCTGGTGTCATACTTAATTCTCGATTACGCTTGTCGGCAGCAGGATATGGTGTCAGCTTTTGAGCTGCGGGCACGGGCGCGCCGGGATTACGACTTCCATTCGCAAGCTGTCGACCGCGTCCTGACAGCATTGATGCATGATAATTGGATTGCGTTTTGGCAGGTGCACAAAAGTGTTGACTCTTACATGCGCGCGGTGATGAACTGGGCTGTGGACCGAATGCGGAGACATGCCTTGAAGGCCGTGGGCAGTGCTTACCTCAACGTCCATGTAGACTGGATTATAGGTGGGTGTACCGGCGACGATAGAAAATGGACGTGGGAGGAGTTGAGCGAGAAAGAGAATCTTGGCTGGCAAAGGGAAGGCGATAAGATTATAATCAAAATCCCCAAGGCTCGACCACAGGTGAAACCGGACCCCATCCCGGCAGGGAAATGACACCCCGGACATAATTTTGTTTCCTTGACTGGCGTTTTTGGTTGCATGCATGGCATTGGTGCCGGGGTGATACATATTATTATGGGTTGAATTGTTCATGAAACGCTGAACTTGGCATCCTCTGTACACTTGGAGTTTTAAAAGAAGGCTGGAATCAAAGATGACCATACCAGGTCATTCTCTCAATTATCTTCATAGCTTAAAATCGGTGTTTGGTCGGTCCATGTTTGTCTGTCCAGAGACTGGCTGAGCTGCGATAGTGGCCGCCAGCTGCCCCTTCAAGTGACCAGCATTGTCGGAACAGAGCTCGTAGACGGTTGACAAATTGAAAACCAGACTACTGAATGAGTGATTGGCAGAGACTTGAGATTCCAAGAGTTTACGTGCCTGGGAATGCCGTAAGCAAAAGGTCGAAAATTCAAAAAGCATTCAACGTACCTCATCCAGTTTCCCAGAGTATAGAAGACAAACTGCCAAGTTTTGCGCCACCAAGGAGGCATCCGTCCTTGATCTATCTTCTTGTAGAGCCCGCCACTGGTCCACTGCATCATTGTAACGACCATCTGACATGCTCAGGAGCGGCTGCAACAAAGCCGCCTCCTTTGACTCCAATGAGTCACCAAAGATCCGCTGCGCAGAATCAACATCTCCAGTCCGTAGGAAAAGAAGTGCTTTCCGTAGTTTAGTAGCATCTGTATCGGATTCAACCGATTGTAAACTTTCCAGTGATCTTTTTGCTGCATCAAGATCGCCCATCTCGATTAGCGCATTGACGCTTCGCATCCCTAGATCTGCCAGTCTTTCTCTCCAGATCTTCCGTTCTGCCTCCCCGGTTGCTTCGTTCGTAATCTCCCGTCGAGCCTCTAGTCCAATCTCGTATAAACCCCCAATACTTCTGCGGGGGTCGCCAAACCCGATACTTTGAAGTCTCACGGCGAGAACACGCAACGGCCATGGAACTATGTGACGAGGGTAATGATTGGGAATATGGTTGTCTTTGTTATCAACTTCAGACGACTCGCGCCCCACGTCAATGTAGTAAAATGCAGAGTTCAGGTCCTCTAATGCCTTAGACTCCTGGGCCGCAAGAACCGTATTTCCGCACAGCTCTAGACAAGCAAGACGGGTGTAAAACAGGGAAAAGATAATCTTGATATCCGTAGGTGTTATCAGAGAGGATGTCAAGATTGAAGCGGCGAAGTGTGCAGCGACCAAGAAACGACCTTCAACGAGTAATTTTTCAAGTACGCCGAGAGAGGACGAGAGCGGTTCGCCGGGGTTGAGAACAATGAATTCGGAGCGTAGTGGAGATGGAATGTTGCTATGATTTAATGGATGGAAAATATTATGCCGGAGAACGAAAGAAAGGTCTTTGCCCAATGTTTCTGGGAGGTCATCGGGGGCCAGCGGGTCTAATTCGTGAAAAGAATCCCCCGAGAAGGCATCACTATTGATATTTTTGCTCAAGCTGGGCGAAGAGGACGCGCTGACTGAATCAATGACGCTGCATGATTTGTGAGTTTGGATCTGGAATTTTTAAAGTTGTAAGCTTGGTACTCACTCATCTGGTTCATCTAAAGGTCCCCGTGTTGAGCTGCGGGGCCGTGAAGCTAGGGAGTTGATCAGTATTTGGGAACACCACTGGTCTGTAGTAAATTATCTCACATCTGGAGAGTTTGTGGGAGTGTCTAATCGGTGATGCCATCTTCGGAGATTTGTTGTCAGCAGATCCGCGAGGCACGAGGATCAGCTTGTCTGGGGGAAGCTCGTGATTCGCGATAAGTTATCGGGCAAAACCAAAGGCGGTGGGCGACGCCGGATCTGGCCAGAGTTGGCGCGACGCTGCTCCTCCTTCAACAAGCTGTCCGGCCATTCGCTCCCTACTTTCTTTTATTTCTTCGTTGTTGATCGATTCTGTCCCGGAGACACCGATTGAATCTTAATTCTCAATTTCAAAATGGGTGCCACCACGAACAAGTACTCGGTCATTCTGCCGACCTACAACGAACGGAGGAACCTCCCTATTATTATCTGGCTGCTTCAGAAGACCTTCAACGAGAAGTACGCTGGATATCACCTTTTCATTATGTTAATGCGATAGCTGACTCTGCTTCTTTCTCGTGAACAGCAAGTTGGATTGGGAGGTTATCATTGTTGACGATGGCTCCCCTGATGGCACTCTCGAGATCGCAAAGCAGCTCCAGAAACTCTATGGCGTCGAGCACATCATCTTGAAGCCTCGCGCAGGCAAGCTCGGTCTTGGAACTGCCTATGTGCACGGCCTCCAGTACGTCACTGGCAACTTCGTCATCATCATGGATGCCGACTTCAGCCACCACCCCAAGTTCATCCCCGAGATGGTCCGCATTCAGAAGGAGAGCGATGCCGACATTGTGACCGGTACCCGCTACGCCAACCGCGGAGATATCAAGGGTGGTGTTTATGGGTGGGATCTGTTCCGCAAGTTCACTTCGCGGACTGCGAACATGATCGCGGATGTCATGTTGATGCCCGGCGTTAGCGACTTGACTGGTAGCTTCCGCCTGTACAAGAAGCAGGTGCTTGACAAGGTCATTACCAGTACCCAGAGCAAGGGTTATAGTTTCCAGATGGAAATGATGGTCCGCGCCAAGGCCATGGGATTCAAGGTGGAGGAGTGCCCTATCACCTTTGTCGATCGTCTCTACGGCGAGAGCAAGCTCGGCGGCAGCGAGATTGTCGAGTATCTCAAGGGTGTTTTGACTTTGTGGCTGAAGGTTTAAGATACAGCGCAAACCCTACTAATTGACTTTCGAGTCGTGCGCATTTCATTCGGGCCCACTTGGTGTCAACTCTGAACGGTTTGTCCGTTACTTCGATATACCCCATATTGGCCTCCTCTCTCATTACAGTTTCCTTTTCCTTTAACTTCATACTCTTGGGCGGTGTTTGCATGTCTTTTCTATTTGAAACTTGTGTATGTCAAGAGAAAAATCCAATGATCTATTACATGTCCTACGGAGTTTTCCCATATTCCAAAACACGTTTTCCCTTGAACGGATGCTAGCCCTTTCAGATGCTCTGCAGGTACCGCGCCACTCGGCTAATGAGGTCCTCTTGACCATCGCCACTGACATTGTGGCAGGCACCAGGAACGATCCCACCGTTCTGCGTGTCCCAAGAAGTACCCCCAGCCTCAGTCGCTTGTTGCCACTTCCGCAACAAAGCCTCTTTATCGACCCACGGGGGGCAATACTCGTCACTGCCCGAGTACAAAACCAAGAATTTCGACTTAGCGCTTAGAACACGTCGAGAACCAATCTGTCCAAATGTCTCCTGATGACGCTTGTCAGTCAGGTCAGAGCTGAAAAGGTCGTCCGCTGCTGGGTTCTCAGGACTGTCTGGGCTAACCAGGCTTAGGAATCGGCGGGCACTCAGAGGCGCATTGCCCGGTAATCCCAGCAGTCCAGTCAGATTCATTGGAAGGATCGAGTCAATCTTATCATCGGTCCAGGGCTGTCTCTCAGCAGCGCTCACGAGCTGCTGGTAAGCGCCCTGTGCTTCGCTTGGCTGATCGGAAATCTTGATGTGATGCTTGATAGCCTCCCGGTCCGAAACAGGCGCTTGCATGATGGCACCATCAAGCATCGGGCGGGTTAGGTACTTCAGACCGATGTCAAAGTCAGAGTCCTTGGGAAGTGGGTTGGGCGAGTGGAGATAGTGCAGAACATCTTGACTGCCGGTAGAATGGCCCATGAGAACAACCTTTCCAGATTCACCCTTCAGGTTGCGAATAAATTGCACACATTGCGCGATCTCCTCTACATCGAGGTCAAGACTGCTGACTCCGAAGCCATTGTAGGAGGAAGAAAGCAGAATCGAGAAAACGGACCAGTCAGTTGGCTCGAGAGTTTTAGCCAAGGGAGTTACGTAGGGGACGGTGCAAAATCCATCGGTCAACCCGCCCACGAAGATCAAGCTGTTTGGCTTGTTTGGCTTTTCGGGCGCTTTGAACTCAAAGGCTACAAGCCTTGGAGCCTATAAACAAGACAGTCAGCTCATAGTAATACAGCTCAGCTAGACTAGTCATACAAATTCGTGAAGAACACCAGGATGCGATGGGGACGACATTGTTGTTTGGAAGATTGTAGTTTGTGAGGGGCAGATGTGGTTAGGACGATTGACGTACCTGACCCACCGCGGGGCTCGGAGCTTGCTTACTTTGGGCTAGACTTTAATCAGTAAACAAGTGGTCACGACGTCCCAAGGAATGGACAACAACGTATCCCAATCGAATGCAATTGTGACTCTGAAGTTGTTTGATTATGGAGAGAATTAGGAGCAAGGGGAGACTCTAGTGTATCTGGAAGGATTACACCTACACTATTTGGTCAAAAGTATTTCCCCAGATCAGTTTTCAGGCCTACCCCATCAATTATACATATTTACTGAACAGTCCACCAGATCACTATATCTTACTGAAATTCTATTTAATTAAGTACCTATAGCTATTAATACCTACCTAACGCACACAAATGTCGCTTAGTGTTTTATAAAAATTCACCCAAAGCTTTCTAACCACTAGTGGTTATCTCGTCACCCCTTATACTATCACATCGATTTTGATGTATAGTATTACTCACCATAATTCCGCTACGTACCCCTGAAGGTACTATTAAATGATATCATATCTTACTCAGTAAGTAAGCTTTAGATACAATCTTAATATTCGAATTATCTTCTTGAAATACTTCCCTATGGTCATGGATTAAGATAAGACTCTTTTGAAGCGAGCCCTTTTAAAACTGAGTTGTATATGCCTTCCCAAAGTTAATTGTTGGGGTGACCCGTCCGGGCCCGCACTTGAGGAAATATTTACGGACCCCATTGTATACTGGATGGATGACTCGAAAGCAATTGGTCTTCTCTTCGCTTGATGTCGGGAGAACATGGATGTTGGATTGTACACTTTAATATAACCCCTTGAAATTTGAAAATGAACAGAAGATGCTGTTCATTGAGAATTACAAGCTCATTGTAAGTTTTTGTACTAACTCTACCCAATTGCTCATTAACCATGAGAGACTGCCGATTAAGTCTCATGCCGAAATGATACATCATAAATCATGCCTCAGTATCTCCATTGGACGCATAGGTTGGGAGTGCATCTGAGCCTCTCTCGACGTCAGTCGCCACTGCAAGTCCTGATTCATCATACGAGGGCGGCTGCTCGAGCTCCTCGAATTCCGACATACTAATATCATAGCCGAGATGCCTTTTCAACAATTCGTGAGTGACAAATCGTTCGGGTGTATTGCCCTGAGCATCAACAAAGGAGACATGAGGGTTGACCTCGCTGATTCTCTGTAACTCATTTGCATGCCGGTGGTGATGCGGACACCCATCGACGCCAATCAAAAAGATCGTGACATGAACCCAAGACAGACTAAGTAGGTCGAGCTCAAACTCATCCATGTCGTTTGCTTCGCCATCAAGGAGGAGTAGCAGTCTAAGTTTTGGGGTTTTCGGGCCAGCTTGCCACCCGTAGACTGGGTGGTAGGATGCCGACTCTGAATGTTTCTGGAAGTGGAGGTTCTTGACGAGTTGCCATCCAGTCATAACTCGAGTCGTGCCGCCGAAGCTCACCTGACTCCACATTCTGTCGAAATTTTCGTGATTGAGCATCCCGATGTATTTGGCCTCGTCGTGGAAAGTAGCGAGCTGATAGCCAGTTGATTTATGATCATGATGGATCATTGCATCTGTGAAGCGACGAATTATGGCCTTGGCAAGATCTGCAGCATTGGTTAGAATTGGCGAAAGACGGTCAGCAATTATCCTCTGAACTTACCCTTGTTTTTGGGTTGAGTGGACTTTTCATATCCGGTGATAAAAGCCTCTTCATAGACCGGCCGAACAGGTTCGAAGTCCATAGACCCAGAGACATCAAGTAAAATCATCGTATCATCTGATGGTAGCTCCGGCACATCAGAGGGTTTGAAAGGAGTGGGCATAACCTGCTTTGAGTAGTCGTCCGACTTGTGCTGAGCATGGCATACATCATCCGGAGAGTAATATCCAGGGGGAGGCGGGACTGCAGAAGCCATCCTGGAGCGGGCCAGTTTCATCGAAGAAATGGGATCAGGCTTCAATCTTGGTCCCCGGCTTCCTTCCCTGTGATTCAAGACCCAGTATAGACGTTCTTCAGCCGTGTCTTCGAATCCTCTCCAGGCAGGAGTGATTCCTGGCCATCCAGCTACTGCCTCAATTCTAAATTTTAGCGGGTTTGAAGCGAGATTCGCCCAGTCCACCGGAATAGGCTCAAAGTATCCCGCTTGGAGAAGATGCAGATATTGAATAGGGCGCCGAGCTCGAAGATCGGCAATGTTTTGCTTCATTCCGACATTACCCTGGTACTCGGCCACTATGTCTCGCCATTCTTTGTTTGGCCATCGACCATTTTCTTCGTTGAGAATACTGATTCGCAAACTCCCACTCTTAGCGAACGCCTTTTGCTTTCTCTCGGCCTCTTTTTGCTCGGGGGTCTTGATAGATAGTGCTTTTCGCAAGCTAGAAAGTTTGGGAGGTATCACAGTCTCCTCGTTCCCGGCGGAGGTGGTGACAGGATCCTCATTGAGTGCCGAAAGCTTTGGCTCATCGACATGCCATATATTGGATAATGGCTCCTTTCGATTCATGATGACCTGTGCACTCTGGTTCAGTTGCGCATTCAGGGAAAGTACCTTTTCAAGAGACCTTGTATAGTTGTATGAATCCGATCTTGATGTCCTACCACAAGCATTCGCCTTCCCATAGTCACCATACAAAATTTTGGTAGAGGTGCCACCAATGCCGCCAGCGCAATAGTAGCTTTTGATATAACGGTATGGACTGCTGTGCCCCGCAAATGACTCTGTCTCGCAGTCATGGTAGTAATGCTCTCCTATCGAACCGTCAGTCTAAATGGGTCGTGCTGGGATAGTCAATGTGGCTGACCTGGATACATGACAGCTTTAGACCATTGAATCTGGATGGGAAGTCGGGCAACCTTTCTGGCCTTGTAATTATGAATTGGGCATTTGCAGTATACACCCGCTTTGTGCTCCGGCTCGATATCGGGATTATAGATGTCACATTCCCGTTGGATCCTCTGCAGGTGGTTCTGCATTGCTAGCTATATCAGCCAGACTAATTAGCTCATTGCGATAGCAAAGATCAATCGTACGTACTTCGTCTTTAGCGCGCCGCTTCCCTGCTTCAATGACAGCATTTGTATGCGCATACCGTGGAGGTTCACTCATTGTGGATGGATATGGCGGTAGTGTCGGTCCCTTGTCCATTTTGATGGATACAAAGCGTCTTGGCACGCAGGTTCCACTGATAAAAAAAATATGGGTACAAGATTAATCTCCGCTTGGCGAGAATCAGCCTCTTATGCGTTACCAGGTTGCGGGATTTTAGCTTCAGCCCTGCACGTCGCGTGGAATATCCGGGCGGTGGCTGTGGCCATAGCCACAGTGGGTTCCGCTCGGTTGGTGCCTGGCGCTAGACCGGGGGCGGGATAGTATCGGTAATTTGTTTGTACATTTTATTGTGGTATTCAAAAGCACCAATATCAACTTGCTTGAATTGAATTACAACGTAACGGGATTTATTTGAAATGGGTACTTCAAGAGGTTCGATGTTCATAACCCATGCGAGGGCTGAAGCCTGATGTCATTACGGCAAAGCGGCACATACTGTAGTGCTCGAATTAAGTGGCGCTAGCAGAACTGGACATCACTAGTGCAATACCACACTACAGTAGACGCATGTAGTGTAATGTTGTAATTTAGTCCAGATAAAGTGCTGTCTGAATTCTCGGGTATGTGTTCAAGATCGTACTGAGGACATGATGCATAGTATACTATAGAAATCAAAATAGAGGCTGTGGTGTCGAATTAATGATCTCCGAAAAACTTCGCATATTATATTATACTGCTAGTCATTTCACAAATGTAGGTTATGATAATGTCATCCACTAGAGCTTTGGTAATAGCGTTTTTGATAAAGCAACCGTTTGTCCTATAATTTAGGCAGGTCTCGTCGCTGTGACAAACTGCTCACTGAGAAACGCAGAGAGTTTTGAGAGTGGAGCCTTAAACATAATTCATCCGAACTGGAGGACTTGTCTATATCAAACTGTGATAGAGCCAATTATGTCAGCCAAAGCTAAGAAACATGACCAATGGATCCAGATAGTCGAGCAGGGGTCCTGGCAACCGCAGGATTTAGTAGTGTCTTACTTTGCATCTTGCAAGTCTAACGCCATTTTCATGGCATTGACGTTGAGCTGCATACATTAATGGAGTAAAGGAGAGCTTTGTCGATGAACAGGAAGCATCTGTAACCAGGTTTCCCCGTATAATCCATGTTGGGGCCATCTGAATCAGTTGCGACCTAAATAAGCCATGGTGCAAAACTAGATATCATGCACAATGGTCGTCTCATGTCGCCAACAATTTATTTGTTTCTATGCAGGAGGGGCAGGTCGTACGGATTGAGACCGAGATGCTATATGTAGCTGGAGGAGCATCGTTGGGTGTAGCACTTTGCTATCTAAAGCCGTGCCTGAAGGAACGTCACTCAAGGAGAGGAATGGCGATCAAGACAAAAGTATCCAAGCCCGTCAACTTTGACTAGTGCAGAGCTCGACGTGCTTTATGGTAGGCTTGGCTGGCATGTCAATCACTCACGGTGCCAGTGATCTTTATGCGCCCTTTGTATCGTTTAAAACCGGTGAGTGATCTCTGCAAGATGCCCATTACATCTGCTAGTGGCTCTATTATGGTAACAGCAATGCCAAACAGCAATGCCAATCAGCAAGCTTGGGCTTCGGAAGAATATGATGGATTGTGGAAACGCTCTGCAACGTGAATTTCTTTGGGAGGAAATTGGCTGCTAGGCCCCAAACTGAGCTTCGATGGCCTTGACCTCACAAATCATGTCAAGTCAAGGAAATGGGTAATAGGGTTGCATCTTAAATCATCCAATAAGTCCAGGGATGTTTGTGGTGGGAAACATCGTATACAGCTTGTTTACCCGCGCTAACGCAAATAGGCATAGCTGGAAACGGACCCGATCAGGTATAGCGCGTCATGGATGTATTTGCCCGCATCTCGTAATTCCAGCATTCTTTGCTCAATTCTTCTTGAGACCTTTCGTTTCTTTCCGTACGCTTCGATTCTCTACTAGGCGGCGAATCCTCATGTCGGATCAACACACCGCTTTTGTCGCAATATTGGTGTTTTGACTTCACACTTTCCCTAAATGCCTCGCGGCCGCAGATCCGGCCGCGTCAAGGGCCCTAGAGTGTATAATGCGGATCCCTTTGTATCAGCTGGGATCAGTGATGAATCAGGCTCTGAGGTCGCCCAAACTGGTCCCCCCAAGAAGGTGAAGAGTCTGAAACGAGAGGCTTCCATCTCCGACGAAGAATTTGTTGCAGGCTCAGATCCGGACGTCGCCCACACAGAAGATGATGAGGGCTCTGCGGACGAGAATGAGCAAATTGAGGTTGGGTTCGGAGCTGACGACGATGTCATGGATGTGGATGAAGATGAGATTGTGCCCAAGAAGAAAAGACCAGCGCCTTCCAACCCGCCGAAAGAAAAGATGCAAACAGGCTATGGCGCTATTTCCTTATCACCAACTGACACGCATTTTCGGGGTATCTTGGATTCCCGAGATCACGTTTCAAAATTCATGTCTTACACCTTGACTTACGGTTCTGATGACCGAGACCTAGGCCTCACAGTCCACATGCGAGGCCGGTGGCGTTGGGGTCGAGACTCCACGTTTCCAACTCGCGTCTCCTTGGACACAGTTGAGGGGGAGTCCGATTCGCCATACGGCCCAACTTTGGGGGTCTCCCCAGAGGATATGGAGAAGGAACGAACAGTTGGCTGGAGTTGGTATTACGATCAAGAAATTGGCCAAAGGTTCCGACAAAGACAGCAACTCGACACGAAAATCAAAAAGGATGAGGTGCATCGACGTTATTTACCGCGGGCAAAATCCAAGAAACACACGGTTCTCATGGGACCATCAGATAATCAACGAGCATTTCACCTCGAATATCATGCCTCTGTTGATTTCGGCTCGGTCTGGGATGCTAGAGAGTCCCAAAAAAGCGATGGACCAGCGAAGACGCGCGAGGGCTGGCTCATCAACATTGGGGGAAAAATTCAATGCATGGCATGGGCTCCTAACCAAGATGGCGCATCTCAGTATCTCGCTGTGGCTGCACTAGTCACCGATGAACAAAAGAAAAGTTACAAGCCTCCTGAAAGTGATCGGGTCTCCTCGTTTCTGCCATCACCGCCATACCCTGGAACTATTCAACTATGGGAATTCAAGTCCAAAGAAGCTGGTGCTCAGAGCCATACTATTGATATGACTTTTGGACCACAACCCAAGCTAACGTTGTGTTCCGATTGGGGGGATTTGCGACGTATGGCTTGGTGTCCTATGGGACGACAAAGGCGGGGCGACGTCGACAAAGGTTTGATAGACATCGGTCTCCTAGCTGGAGTCTGGGGGGATGGTAAGGTGCGGGTGCTAGATGTAAAGCTACAACAAGGCTCCAACACACTGAAATACGGTGAGTATCTTCATTCTTCAGTAGTTACCATCATGTGTTATCCGACATCTGACGTGTGAGTCTAGCCAAGATCGATTCGCCAGCATTCGAAGCGATGCCATCCTCGACCATCTGTACGTGTGTGACCTGGCTCTCACCCAGCGACATTGCGGTGGGCTGTGGAAATGGCTTTGTGGCCATCTACAGCATTCTCCCTTCCTCCACCCCGGAACCTCAGCCCTACTTCTATCACCCAGTTCACGGAACCTACGTATTGAACATCACATCCATTTATCCGACACATCCACAACTTCTTTCAACAATATCAGTCGATGGCGAGACTCGGCTATGGTCTATTGTTGACCCTCAAAGCGAGAGCACTGGTACGGTTCGAGTGCGATTGGCTTCATCTCATCTTAGCTTCTCCCCAGTCCTTCAGTCGGTCTGCTCCAGTGACGAGAATGAATATGGTCGAATAATGCCGATACGGCGATTTTTTGCCACAGCCAACGCTGTGAAGATCTTCAGCACCGTCTCTGCTCTCGCTCCATGCAGTTGGTGGCATCCCAGCCTCCTCTACGGCGGAACAGGAGGAGAGGTATTAGCGACAAATCCTCTCCGAAAGGTATTGCATGCAAAAGAAACACAGTGGCAACAAATATGGTTTACCCACGACTGGGCCTCAGGGTCAGGCGCCGACGACCCAGGCGCCAGCCGTTTCCACGAGGGGTTCAGTGCGGAGACCCAGAGCACGACGCGCAATGGTGAGCCCCGGCCAATGGGCTTGAGTCTCACTACGATTTACGAAGAAGGAACACACGTCACAGCGCTGGGATGGAATCCCAACCGCCTTTGTGCCGCCTGGGCCAGCGCCGCGCTTGGTTGTGGCCTATTGCGGGTTGAAGATCTTGCCATCTAGTTACCCTGCCACCATGGGCCCCGGCAGTTGGTCGATCAGCAAAGTTAATCAATGACAAGTTGATGAAAATTCATGATTAAATCATACGTACCCTAAGAAAAGAAATTAGGCACCGGTTTTCCCGGATACAAGTAGGCCGAGCTAATGTAGTTGTGGACCCCCCAGCCACGCTTAAAGTGGGTCTCCCTGGCAACACAAAACCCGCGCGCCAATCAACATGCGCATCAACGGTTGTGGCGCTGCCATGTGGATCCTTATGCAGTGAAAAAGCGTGGCTGGTCGACGGCTCTGATGCTTTTTGATCCCCAGCCTTCGTAGATCCCAGCCTACCTATTTTTGGTCCAATGGAATGTCTGCCATGTGGATGAGTTGTACTTCATCGTGACCGACGTGGCTGATCTAGATCGCGACTATTCCTACTTTTAAACCCTGGAGTCCATTTCTCATCTGGTTTTTCAATTCTCTCTAAACATACCTCTACGCTCTAACTTCCTTACTATATTTCTTTCCTCAACTCAAGCGTATTGCATTGTTTACCTTTTTGCGATCTATTGTTCACGCCCTTCTTGAGTGCCCACAAGCAAATTCCTATTTCTCTTCACCATGCATTTCTCCAACGCTGCAGTTTTGCTTGCATTCTCCACTATCAGCGTCTATGCCGCTCCTTTTGCCAATCCGCAAGACGAATTCAACCGTCGTCAGATAGGCTACCAGGTTGTCAATGTTGATGGCGACTCGAACGGCTCTGCTGTCCCCGAGGTCGAAACTGTGACCAAGACTGCCACCGTCGCCGGCGCTTCTGCTGTGCCTGAAACCATCACAGTGACTGCCACTCCTTCCCACATGCCCTACTCGCCTCTGCCATCCTCGTCTTTTTCTGCTAGTTCGCACTTGGCTCCTCCTCCAGGTGGATCTTTCATGCCTGCCAAGAGCAATGGCTTTCTCCGCCGTGGCCTGAACGCCGCAGGCAATCCAGTTCAATTCGCACAGAACTATCTCCCATCTTCCAGTTCTGCCTGGTCTGCTGCTGGCACCTCCCTGGCTGTCCGACAGGCTGATGGATGGTACACTCCCTCTTACACTCCTTCTTTCACTCCCTCGGCTACACCATCGGCCTCTCCTCTGGTTGCTCGACAGTTTGGAAGCTGGGTCCACAGCGCTCCGGTGCCTTCCTCCCCAAGTCTTGTGCCCACTCCATCTCCCTCTGGGTCTCTGGTTGCTCGGCAATTTGGTAGCTGGACCCCCAGCTCTGTCCCCGCCTCCTCTGCTACTCCCAGTGTGAGCCCCTCCGCATATGTGTATGCTCGGGGTTACAGCGCCGCTCCTTGGGGCACTCCCTCTGCCTTCCCTTCTTTCTCTGCCTCGCCTACGCCATTGGCCTCTCTGGTTGCTCCTCGTCAGTTTGGCAACTGGGTCCCCAATGCTCCGGTGCCTTCTTCCCCAAGCTCCGTGCCCACTCCTAGCTCCGTGCCTACTCCCTCTGGCTCTCTGGTGGCTCGTCAGTTTGGCGGTTGGAGCCCTAGCTCTGTCCCCACCCCCTCTGGCACTCCTCCCTCTGGCACTCCTGTTGCATCCACATCTTTCCCGGTCAAGCGCAACTTCGACAACCACTTTACTCCCTCCAGCGCTCCGACTCCCACACCTAGCGCCAGCTTCTCCATCCCTCGCTCCTCCGCTCTGCTTTACTAAAGCAGGTGCGCATGGATGACGTACAATATGATGCACATATTTTTGCATGAAATCATGAATCTCTCGACCTATGAAACGATATGAAAATGACACAGACACGTGATACAAGGCAACGATCTCCGTCGTCAATACAGCTCGGCTTTTTGATATTTTCCCCTGCTCATTGACTCCTGCTGGGGGTCACACTTTACATGCATTCAAGGCGTTTTTTTTTTTTTTGGATGCGATTTGGCTTCGAATTGATCTGTATTTTTTACTTTTTTACAAACATGAGTGGATATGGTTTGAGGGGCTTGAACTACATAGATTGCCTGGACCGATGCCCCGGTTTTATCTAGATTTAGTCATAACACAGTGACAATGAAAAGAAAATGATTATCACTAAATGTCTTTCATGACGAAATCAAGAAGGTAAACACGCCAAAAAAACTCCTAAATAACTTGGAAATCAAAAAACAAATTAAGGTGACGCGTCCGATAGGGCAGCAAGATGGTTACGTAAGGCAGCGTGATTAAGTACATGACTCCCGTTGCCCCGAGAGACGCGCCGATAAACATTGCTCACGCTCATCCCTCTACTCAACACCTTGACATTCAGCGACCGCAGGGTCTCTTTGGGTGTTTTCTTTCCATCCTTCCGGGTTACTCTTAGTGCTTTCATTCATTCTTTGTATCTGTTGTTTTTCATCCCAAACCGTGTATGAGCAAAGGCTGGCCGAGGCTCAATATCCACAACAATGCCTGGTACAGTGGCAGAGGGACCGACGGTCTCCATGTCCTGTAAGATGACATTCAAAGGAATGAAAATTACGGGAGCCTAGCTAACAAATGAATCAGTTGCCAACAACTTCTGGGGTAAAGATGATGCGGGCCTCCAACCTATGCTTGATCGCATGCATGGATCCAAAACTACCAGCGATGAATTGAAAGCCTTTTACAACGGTATGGTAGCAACTATATGGGCTAAACTCGAAGGTCAAATGACTAACGTCGTCTTTTCTCAAAGTTCGAGCTGCGATTGAAGATGAATATGCGCGAAAATTACAAGCGCTCTGTCGCAAACCGTTCGGAACATGCGAGTCTGGATCCCTCCGCGTGTCGCTTGACGTGGTCCGTGGAGAGACAGAAGCCATTGCAAAGGCACATGCGGCAATTGCCGCTCAGATGAAGACTGAACTCGAGGAGCCACTGGGCGCTTTCGCTAGCGGATTGAAGGAGCGACGGAAGATCATTCAGAATGGCATCGAGCGCCTACACAAAACTAAAATGCAACAAACACATGTTGTCAACAAGGTGAGACAAAAAATAGATGCGGGAATGAGCTTTCAGCTGATAATATATTAGGCTCGTGACCGTTTCGAACAGAATTGCCTACAAATCAAGGGTTATCTGGCACAAGGTCACATGGTGATGGGCCAAGAGGAGCGCAAGAACAAGTCCAAGCTTGAGAAGACTCAAATTCAGATGGCGTCAAATAGCCAGGAATATGAGGCTGCAGTCAAGGTGCTCGAGGATACCACTGGGCGCTGGAACAAGGAATGGAAGGCAGCCTGTGATAAGTTTCAAGATCTGGAGGAGGAGCGCTTGGATTTCACTAAGAGCAGCCTATGGACCTACGCGAACATCGCGTCTACTGTTTGTGTCAGCGACGATGCCTCTTGCGAGAAGATTCGTTTGTCTTTGGAGAACTGCGAGGTGGAAAAAGACATTTTCTGCTTCATCCAAGAGCGAGGTACTGGTCAAGAGATTCCAGATCCCCCTCGTTTCATTAACTTCTGCAAAGAAGATGATGATGCAGGATCCGATATTGATTCAGGGGAGGGTTATTCAGTGGCACAGTTTCAGCGAACCATGAACCCTGCATTCCGGACGTCTTCACCACAGCCGTCGACTTACGAGTCTCATCACGATCCAGAGTCTGACCTTGCAGCTCAAATGGGCCACCCGGCTCCTCCTGCAGCTGGTGTGCCTCAGCCATCTCCTCAGAGCATGATGCAAGAGCCTCCGGTCCAGCGTATGCCACAGCAGGCGCCCCCTCAAAGCATTCAGCCAGAACCGCCCCTCCAGCGAATGCCGGCTCCGCAAAGCATCCAGCAAGAGCCACCCGTCCAGAGAATGCCTCAGCAAGCGCCTCCCCAAAAGATGCAGCAAGAGCCACCTCTTCAGCGTATGCCTCAGCAAGCGCCTCCCCAAAATGTCCAGCAAGAACGGCCTCTTCAGCGGATACCTCAACAACAGCCGCCAGCCCAGAGCATGCAGCCAGAATCACCCCTTCAGCGCCTGCCACCGCAGCAATCAGCCATGTATGCTATGCCGCAGCAGCCTGCTCCACTTGACCTTCGCCGAGGTGGACAGCCACCACCAAATTACAACCCTGAACAGCATGGTGCAATCAATGCTGTACCTCACAATGCATACCCTACTGATGGTATGACCATGTTCTGCCGTACCGGACCACCTTCAGAGCGTAGCTCAGCAGCCAGCCCATACAGACCGTCCAGCCGGGATTCCCAAAGCGATGTGTCGAATCCGACTTCCATGTCCAGTGTCGAAGCCGCCCCTGCTCAAGCTGCCCAGAAAGCGGCACCACCACTTCCCAGTGTCATGAAGTTGCAGTCTTCTCCAAAGCCCACCAGCAATACGCCTTCAGCAAGTGCTCAGGATGACAAGAGCCCCAAGAAAAAGAGCGCATTCTTCAGCAACAGCCCGTTCCGACGGAAGAGCAGACATGACAAGGAGAGACCCACTATCGCTGCTGCATCCACTTCTCGAAGCCCCTGGAGCTCGCCCACTAAGCAATCCACCCCAGCTAAGACTGCTCCGTCGCCGGTCGCCCAGTCTGAACGTCCTTCTAATAGTCCTGAACCCGTCGATCCTCGCGCTAACTTCCAGCTGAATGTTGGGAACAACGTTTTTGATGTCGCTTCACCGGACAAGAATGCTTCTAAGCCAGGATCCCAGGCTGTGAATGCAACTGAAGATGATTCGGACCCTATTGCTCGCGCTTTGGCAGACTTGAAAACAACTGGTGGTAAACAGCCCAGCTTGCGTGTGTCGGCCGATCGTTATCATGGAATTTCCACTCCGACTCCTTCAGCACCTTCCTCTACATATGGTGGAGGCGGCTCCGCTGCGCCACCTGCATACAATGACCCTAATGTGAAGCGACTCGGAGCCCCCGAGCCGGCATTCACGGCCAAGCAGATGCAAAAGACTACTCAACGATACACCGGCCAGACTGCAAGCATGCTTCGCGGTGGAAGCAACAACCCGGCCATGACACCTAGGGAGACGGCGAAGCCCCAGGACGTCCCTCGGGCAAGATCACCCGCCCCCTCCCGATCTCCCGCCCCCAGGCGCAGTGCTAGCCCCCAGGTTTCTCCGCGGGTCGACCCTCGCACAGGATACGGTGGTGGCGGTGTCAGCCCTAGTCCAAGCACCTATCAATCCGGCAGCGCTCGTAGCCGTTACAGTGCGTCGCCAACCCCGCGCCGAGCGCAGGAACCGCCTTACTCTCCGAACGATTACGCTCGAAGGGCTGCTTCCCCGGCCGCTTCGTCGCACCGTGCCGTTTCCCCTCAGCCACAGTTCAGACAGCAGGTCCGGCCTTCCAGCGCTGGAGGCATGGAGCTGCAGCTCTCGGCAGGTCAAGATGACATGTATGGAGGCGGTAGCCAATATGGCGGCTCTACTCGAGGCGACGGCCGTTCCCGGTCATACTACGGCGGAAACAACGGTGGCCCGCCCGTCGGTCGCTCAAGAAGCCGGACTGTTGCCGTTGCCGACCCCGGTCGAAAGTTCAGCCGTGATGGACGTCCAATCCTGCATTTCGGTAAGTACTTAATCTCCATCTCAAAATGTGTGAGAATTTTGCTAACTCTCTTCGTAGCTCGCTCAATGTACACCTACACTCCCGCAATCCCTGAGGAGCTCGGCTTCTCCAAGGGTGATGTCTTGTCTGTCATCCGTCTTCAAGATGATGGATGGTGGGAAGCTGAAGTCACGAATGGTCGCGGACACCCTGGCTTGGTTCCGAGCAACTACCTGCAGATCATTTAGATCTGACAGGCTCTACTATTTACGACCCGCCACGATCCTGACAAGCACCTATCCTGACGGCGATCTTTTGTTTTTCTTATTTTTGTTCTTGCTCACGCTTTCACGTAGATACCATGCTTTTCTCCGATTCCCTTTGCACATTTACTGTCCTTATTTCACTACCATTTTTCAGCCTTCGCCTGCACAATTACTCTGGCGAGGCAACGTGCCCATCACTCTGATAATGTTCATGTTTTATGGTTTTGCCTGGAGTACTTAGCGTGTGTCTCTTTTTGATATCTCTGCGCTGGTACATTCACTGGGGTTTATGTTTTGCGCTTCAAGGAGATGACATCTGTTCGAGCCAAATTGCACGAAGAACGATGTGGACCATGTACATGCCTGCGGATTTCATGGTTGATGTGTTTTGATTTTCTTTCTTTCTCTAATTCTTCACAATTTATCATTTCCTTTCAGCGCTTGTTGGTATCTCGGATGGAGGACTTATGAGTTTTATGTAATTGAATGTCTTGTTTATTTGATCCAAAATTTATACATAAGCAGTTTCCTTGGTAGACTTGTGCATTGTACTGTAGTTCTTATCTGATCCGATTGATAGGTGCGTGTCTCGACTCCGTGCACGTGCCGATATGTGTGGTACCTGGAGATGCATTGCAGCACAATGATCATGCTTATCGGTGCCTGCAGTAAACGTACAACGCATCTCTGAAGGATTATCAATCAATTCCCCGCATCGCTTAATTAGCCGATCCCAATCTCCGTTGATTGCCGAAATTCAATCCAGATAAGGGACCTGACACTAGTCCTGATTGGGCCCATGCTACACCCGATTAGGAGGCAACTAAGCCCTTCTCTCTCCAAGTGCCCGCATTTTGATTAGAACTTCATTATTAATGTCGCTTTTCTTATCTTTCTCTTGTCAATTCCTTCATCGGGACATCATCACGATATCTTATCAGTAAACCATTCATTGTAAGTATCCGGAGTAGCCACTATATATAGTCATACTGTGCGTAGAAGACGTTTCGGTCTGAATCTTACTTCCAAAGGAGTCTTTCGTGGAGTCATCATGGTCTCCTCCAAATCATTTGGTCTATCAGCTTTGCTGTCTCTTCTCTTATCCCTTTCCACCAATGCCATCGCGACTATCAGCCTCAAAGGTCAGACTATCGAATTCAATGGCAAGACCTACTATACCCCTCCAACAGCAGTAGCAACACTGAAGACCGCTGCTGGGAGCCAAGTGAGCAATACCAATGGCTTGCAACCTCTCACAGTGATTCGGAGTGATACGTTAAAGCTCACAAGCTCCATCATCGAGTCCTTGATAGAAAATTATCAATCTACAGACGATGTCTTCAATACTGGATTCCTTGAATATATCTACGTTGAGTACAATGGTACCCACAAAAACCCATCTGCCAGTGTATCGACACCACCTTCTTGGAAAAATAAATTCCTTGGATTTGCATCTGCATATGATTCCAAGGCGTCGAAGAAGCTCTCATCATCAAAGAGCTTGCCTGCGGGCCCTTATTTCTTAAATCCATCCAGTGGAGAAGTCTTTGAGGCCTACCTGCTGTATTCAGATACGATGGGCTCCTTTACCCAAGGATTAATTGCAGTTGGAGATGGTGCATACGATGTCTTGTCAGCGAGCCTGCCGGGTTATGCCTCGTTGACGATCGGTGTTCCTTCGAGATTGTATTTCACGAAGACGGCCGAGAAGCCGTTGGCAGGTGTATGCAGCCTCTCTATATCTCTCTATCGGGGTCTCGATCCTAGAAAACTAATACTAACTGATCACACAGGTCCGTCTTGGAGTAAAAGATCTTTACGATATCAAAGGCGTGAAAACTGGCTGTGGTAACCGTGCCTACTTCGACATTTACCCAGAAGCCAACACCACAGGTCCTGCAATCCAATCCCTCATTGATGCAGGAGCCATCATCGTCGGAAAGATGAAGACGAGTCAGTTCGCCAACGGTGAAACAGCCACAGATGACTGGGTTGATTACCACTCTCCCTTCAACGCGCGCGGAGACGGATACCAAGACCCCAGCTCCTCTTCATCCGGTCCCGGATCCGGCATCGGAGCATACGATTGGCTAGACTTAGCAATCGGCAGTGATACAGGAGGTTCAATCCGAAACCCGGCACAGGTGAATGGCTGTTTCGGTAACCGGCCTTCGTGGGATCTAGTCTCCTTAGATGATGTCATGCCCATGTCTCCTCTCCTGGATACTGCGGGTTTTTTGGCTAGAGATGTAAAAGTGTGGAGGGCTGCCTCTGAGGTGATGTACAAGGATGCGGGCTTGAAGTCCTACACAAAGTATCCGAAGACTATCAAGACCATTCAATTCCCTACTAGCGCTTCGACGGCAGCGGATACACTTTTACTTGATTTTGTGGACAGTCTTTCAGCCTTTTTGGGCGGTGCTAATGTTTCGACGTTCGATTATGATGGACTGTGGGAGGCTACTAAGCCTTCAACAGTCTCTGCAGATGAAAGTCTTGAGAGTCTGCTGAATCTCACATACCCTATCCTTATCTCGAAACAGCAGTATTCGCTTGTTGCTGCTCCGCTGTACGAGAAATATGCAGCCGCAAATGGAGGACGGAGACCATTCATTGATCCAGTTCCTGTCTCCCGCTGGGCTTTTGGTCTTGAGTACCCAGAGTCGCAGCTGGATGAGGAAATCTTGCACAAGGACATTTTCACTCGCTGGTGGAATAGTACTGCCCAGGTGTTTGATGAGGAGACCTGTGCGGATAGCCTCATCCTTTACGTTGGGACCGCCGCGACGCCAACTTATCGCAATGTTTATCGGAGGTATCTATTCCCATGTGCTTATTGGTCTATTTTGATGATTTTTTACATGATGTACTAACCTACGCTTTTAGTCTGCCCGGGATTCCCACTGGATTTGCATCCTCTCGTATTGCGAACTTTGCTGGTGTCCCTGACATGGTTGTTCCAAGTGAGTGTTACCAACTAAAGTGAACAATCAAGACATACTAATCCCGAGAATGGCTTAGTTGGTCAAACACTATACAACTCCACCATCACCCTCAAGGAGGAATATTTGCCCGTGGCAGTGGACTTCATCGCGCCTCACGGCTGCGATCTTATGATTTTTAATCTAGTAAATGAGCTAGTAGAGGCAGGAATTGTTAAGGAGCCCGTTGCTGGATCGACATTGTATGGAGATGGTGTGATTTACTATTGATTGAAAGCTGTTATGCCGTTGGGGTATCAATGTTAATACCTGTTATACCTTATGCATTTGAGCAATTTCTGGCGTACATATTTTCTAATGTGAGAAATTATTTTGCGTTTGAGATTCCGTTGATACCTGTTAGAGGCAAGCGCACAATGCCTGGTTTACTTCTTTTGAGATCCCATATACTCGAATCTTCAGAACAATGGAGATCATTACTATTCTATGACTTTGTTTATCTCCACGTAATGCCAAGTCCGCTAAACATGGCGACCTCCGGTCTCTCACTCACCGTTTTTTATGACGAAAATAATAACTAATGCACGTTGGGGTCAAAAGGCCAATCGTAGAGATGGTCCGAGAAGAGTGAACCGAAGAGCGCTTAGCGTAACTAAAAGTAAACTAACGTCTCGAGATGGTAACATTGGTATTCACCCCTCAGTTGGAGAGTCGGGGCTATCTCGGCGGCGCAGAACTTAATTATGCTCTAGTCTAACCCATTAGGCGAGACTACTTCGGCAATCTCGGCAGATCTATCGTACGACACAATGCCCTTTGCAGGCCCTTGAACACCCCGAGCGGCCGATTGGTTCTTTTATTGTCACCTGAAGAGCTAACGCCATGGCTTCAGCCAAGCTACGAACTAAAAAGCTTGGTTAGACCACGCCCGATGGTAGAGAGACTACATACGACGACCTTCATGTATAGGACCCACATTTACCCCGCTTGACGCTACTAGATAAGCTGCATTTGAACCAATAAAAATATCTTGTATACACACGCTCCCCTGGAAACGAATCTTACTGTACGCCTTTGTATCTCAATGCGGGCCCTGTGTGATTCAGTATGCGTGCTTCCTTGCTTCTTTGGGATGCACTGTATCTCCGAAGTCACCCAGCCCTACGACTCGCCTGAAGCCTCCTTCCGAGGTGAGGGCACGTGGGCACTTCATTTCACGTTTATTGAGATCAATTGAGTCATTTTTGCGCCGGAGTTTGTCTAGTCCGCGATGTCGGACGTTGATGCTTTTAATGAATGTGCCTTGACAGCCTGTTGATCGACCCACTTGCCGTATAAGCGTACACTATTGAATCCTGGTAGCATCCTCCTGGCCTACTCTGATGTGATTCGTTCAAAAGAGGGTCAATTACGAAATACTGGGCCCAGGAAACAAACCGTCATGCATGGGTCGTTCAATGCGATGGCGTGGTAGGGTAGTAGTTCCCGGTTTCTATGCAGGAACAACGCTATAAAAGCCCTGCTGTTCCTTGCGTCAATTCTCGTGGAACAATACCAGACAGACCATCTTCATCCTCCCCCATTTCTCTTGCCCTGTTGCAGGCTTGTTTGTCATCATGCCTTCTTCTCTAGTCTCGGGGGTTATCTGTGCCCTGAGTCTCACATCTGCTGTCGCTGCAGTCAAATTCGGTGACCCGGTCATCAGCTCTGCTTCAGAGAAACAGTTCTCGCAAGAGTTCCCCGAAAATTACAACATCTTGAAATTCCACGGTGGCAATGGCCCTTACTCAGAGAGGCGCTCTTATGGTATCTCTCGTGATCCGCCAGAGAGCTGTGCAGTCGATCAAGTGATCATGATCAAGCGTCACGGTGAACGGTATCCTTCGCCGTCGATGGGTGTCGATATTGAAGCTTCTCTCGCCAAGATCTACGGTGCTGGAGTCATGGAATGGAAAGCTGATTTGGCCTTCCTGGATGATTGGGAGTACTTTGTCCCCAACAAGTGCTGGTACAATGCCGAGACCTACAGCGGTCCATACGCAGGGTTGTCAGACGCATACCAGCATGGCACGGAGTATAGGGATCGCTATGGTGACCTTTGGAGTGGCGAGTCGGTTGTTCCCATGTTCAGCAGTGGTTACAGTCGTGTAATTAACACCGCTCGCAAGTTTGGTGAGGGCTTTTTTGGATACAACTACTCGACTAATGCTGCTCTCAACATTATCTCCGAGTCTGCAGCTATGGGTGCAAACAGTTTGACCCCTAATTGTGACACCGATAATGATACTGCTATTTGTGGCAAGATACCGTCCACTATGCCCCAGTTCAAGGTTGCCGCCGCACGTCTGAATTCCCAGAACTCTGGGCTCAATCTCACGGAGTCCGACATCTATAATTTGATGTGTAAGCAGTGGAGCCATCTTCCGAATAATATCTTACTAACTCTTCACCTAGCTATGGCTTCCTTCGAGCTCAATGCTCGTGCATTTTCCCAGTGGGTCAATGTCTTCACCCAGGATGAATGGGTCACTTTTGGCTACTTGAATGACCTTTACTACTACTACTGCGCCGGGTAAGCTGCCCTAGAAGATCTTAAATGGAGAACCATTTTCTGACCTTTTACCCAAGACCTGGTGACAAGAACATGGCAGCTGTCGGGGCTGTGTACGTCAACGCAAGTCTCAGTCTCCTCAACGAGGGCCCTGAGAAAGCGGGTCCTATGTTCTTCAACTTGTATGCCAGAGTCCCCGCTCCAATCCTACTTCTTTGACTGGAAGTCCATGCTAACTGAGACAGCGCCCACGACACTGATATCACTCCCATCGTCGCGGCTCTGGGAATTCTCCTTCCTGATGAGGACCTGCCTCTGGATCGCATTCCTTTTGGAAATCCATTCGTCGCCACTGACATCGTCCCCATGGGTGGTCACCTCACAATTGAGCGTCTCAGCTGCAATGCCACTGCTATGTCTAAAAAGGGTACCTATGTGCGTCTGGTACTCAACGAGGCTGTGGTGCCATTCAACAACTGCCAATATGGTCCGGGATACTCTTGTCCTCTGGCTGACTATACCTCCATTCTGAAGAAGAGCCTGCCTAGCTACCTGACTTCATGCAAGGTTCCCAAGTCCTACCCACAGTTCCTTGACTTCTGGTGGAATTACAATACCACTACCCGGCTTAACTACCAGCGTGGACCGATTAGCTGCCAGGAGGCTGAAACCTTGCACTAAGGCTTGAAACTGATAGACGAAGTTAGGTACAGTTTAACGCTGGAAATTGTTGGAAACTGCTGGAAGTTTTTTTTGGCATTTCAGGTTATTTATCAGAGGGTGATGTGAATAATGTTGACATATATATCAATGCATTGTTGGCGGAGACTGCCCAACTTGAATCTGAACATTACCAATCGGGAGACCTTAGACCAGAGATTGAACGGTCTTCAGCCAGACTAATCTTAAAGAATTGCTAGGAATATAAGAAGAAAAAGGAAAATCGGGAGGCGAAACCTTAGGAGGGGGACATGGCTTGGTACCTGGAAGTTGGAACCTTGGAAGGGGAGAAGTCGCTCGGCAGATCACCCCGCAAAGGCGGGGAAAGTTTATTCGAACATGGGATACATCAACCTCACCATAGTCACCACTACCAATTCATCGCATTACAAAAACAGAGAAATGTCAACATGACAGATAACCCCCAAACTGATGTTCTCATTATTGGCGGTGGACCCGTTGGCCTGCTCATTGGCTACAGTCTGGCAAGGCAAGGCGTGGGCACCATCGTCGTGGGTTTGTGCCTACCTGGGATTTTGAAAACAAAGGCTAAAGTTTGACAGAGCAACATGAAAAGGTCCAGCAGCCAATGTATGGCAGAGCCTGTACCTTACATCCCCGAACCTTAGAAATGCTTGACCAGCTCGACCTTCTCGATGACTTGAACCAAATTGGATATATTTGTCGCAACAGCGTGACCTGGAAAGACGGCAAGCGGATCACTTCACGAGGCTGGCATCTCATGTTTGATCGTATGGATGGAACTTTTATGGATTACTGTTTGAACCTGCGGCAGAGATATTCGGAGGACGTTATTCGAGAAGCGTATATACATGCCGGAGGGCAGCTTCATATGGGTTGGAAGCTAGAAGACTTTTCCCTTTATTTGTCTCAAAATACGGATTTCAAAGTGACCGGCACAATCTGTCGCGTTGGTGCTGATAATGAGCGGGTGACAATTAACAGGTGATGATTCCAGATTTTTTGAATACTTTATTGCTGACTGAAATTCCAGTCAATTTATTATCGGTGCGGATGGTGGTCATTCCACTGTTCGAAAATTAGCAGGCATTCAAGCCCAAGGTGATCGGACCAGCTTCAAACTTATTCGTATTGATGGTGAGTTCAAGACGAACATGCCAGATGACGACGTGGGGTTCGCCTCCATTGAGTCTAAGAGTCACGGAAATGTTCTTTGGGCTCAACTGGATCATGGAGTCAAACGAATTGGATTTGCAGCAACTCCAGAGATGCTAGCCAGATATGGTGGCTCTTTAACAGAGGAACAGGCCGTAGCAGAAGCTGTCAAAGCAATAGAACCATTTACTCTCGAGATAGAGAAAGTTGAATGGTGGACTCTATATAAGTGAGTATATTTTGCTCAAGTTAATACCTAGAAGCTAATGGTTCCATAGTGTCAATCAACAGTTAGCAGATACTTACTTGGCAAACGAGCGAGTTTTGCTAGCCGGCGATGCGTGTCACATTCACTCTTCTGCTGGTGCTCAAGGAATGAACACGGGTGTCCACGATGCGGTGAACCTTGCCTGGAAATTAAACGGCGTGATAAAAGGATGGTATAAGCCCGAGGCTCTCCAGACATACGAGGACGAGCGTCGAACAGCCGCACAATACCTTATAAAACTTGACAAGACCATTTCTGCGACCGTCTTCGGCACTGTCCCAGAAGAGCACAAAGGCTTGTCTCTCGACGCCAATGAGCTATGGACTAAGATTACATCCGACTCGATGCTGTTTAACATCGGGTTGGGTGTCAGTTATCAAGAAAATTTATTCAACAAGTACCCGTTGACGGGTATGATCTCAGCTGGACACAGGGCCCCCGATTCGCTCCTCATGGCCCCTGGATCTCGAGTTCCCGCTCGGCTCTATCAATTCACTAAGAACACTGGCCAGTGGCCTATTCTTGTATTTGCTGGGCAACCTGCTGTCACAAAGGAGAAACTGACTTTAGCGGTAGTGGGATTGCTTAAATTGCAATCTACTCTGCCTAAGGGGATGGTTCGTTTTCTTACTTTGATTGCTGGAAGTTTTGGCGGCGGAAACAGTCTTTTTGGAACACCGCGAATCGGAAGGTTTTACTTTGATCCAGAATATTCTGCTCACGGGAGGTATGCAATTTCTACGACGCAGGGTGCTGTTGTGGTTCTTCGACCAGATGGTATTCTAGGTTATGCCACTACCTTGGATGATACAACAAGCATCGGTGCTTTCTTTGCCGGCTTTATTAGATCTAGCTGATAAGAGCGAGCACGTTATAAACTAAGAACGAAGTCTCCATGGAGGAGGGCTTTCTTGACTTGCAATATACTTAGACATACTTTGCGACTTGACATCTAAAGAATCATTATTGTTCAATATATTATGTGCAAATGTGTTCGACAATGGCAAGAGTCATCTTAGAGGACAACTTGCCGAACCAGAAAGATAGCACAATTCCAAACAGCAGGTATACACGGAGAAAAGAACACACGCCCTCTTAGCAAATATTACAAGTACACGCAAAGCTTATGTACATTAGTTTGATTGGACTCATTCATCATCGACAAAGGAATTGGCCAGGCGACCAAAATAGGGGACCTCGAAGTGGTCCAAAGTATCCACTAAGATTTGATGAGTACATAGTTCCTGTGTATGGGCAGCGCAAACTTACCGTCACGATAGGCCCGCATACTGAGAAAACCCATCAAGGCGAGATCGATAATAAACAGAGTCCACGACAGAAAGGAAGACCAGGAAAGTAAGAGATGAACGATCTATACTTCAGTCAGAGAGGATTCAGCCAGGAAGGAGACTCAATATTCACGAAGAGAACGGTAAAGAGCATGCTAGATTGCCAAGCATGGAACCTGAAGTGGATAGTGTTAGCTTATCTTTGAGAAGAGTGTTATCGGTACTTACCGCACGTAATCACTCTTGTGCTCGGCCAACAACAAGAACACACCTCCAGCCGGAGGCAGAAGCAAATACGCCAGCGCAGCTTCAACATCCATGCGGATCGGAAGACTTGTCTCAAAGGCCCCCAGGCTCACATGGCCTCCCTCGAGATCTCGTCCAAAACCTGTGTTGCCATGTCCACCTCCCGCGAACTGGCTTGGAGACGGAAGGTCGGCAGAGGCTCTTGGCGATCGGAGGTTCGGAGACTTGATACGGGTGTCTGGGTGTGGAGGGGACAAAGCCCGCTCAATCTCTGGAGACTCGTCTTCGTAGGGCGCGAAGTTCATTGTATTTGAATGGTGAGGAGGGGAGCTCGAAGGAAATCAATCGGGGAAACTTGAAGCTCCTTATCGTTATCGGGGTCGCGTGTCCGCGCGTTTATGTTTTGGCCTTAAGCGCCTACAATAGAAGCTTTGGGGTATCATTATCTCATTGGGCACATTGATCTCTATTATTTTCAAGTATCATATACAAAGAACAAAACAGGTTCAGACACTTCAGGGCTTGGCTGCCCTTCCTCGCGTTGTTCCACCGCGCGCAATTCCACTGATTGGTCGTCGAGTTGTTGTTGAAGATCCCCGCGTGGCTCCGGTTCGACTGGTGCTCACGCTAGGTGTTCTTCCCAAGCCAGTACTGCGCACAGTACCCCGGCTAGTCCCTCGCGTGCCTCTAGTGCTCAGTGCTCGTCGTTGCGCTTCCTCTTCTGCTTTCCGGGCTGCTGCTTCTCGTTGCTGCTGCAGTGCCTGCTCCCGCCGCTCAGCCGCTTGCCGTTTCTGAGCTTCTTCGGTCTCCATATCGGCCACATCTTGAGTCGCGCCATGCCAATTCCGGTTGAGAATCAGGCGTTGGTTGTGTTCGGTTTGGGACAGAATTCGGGTCCATGTGTTGAGGAGGGTCGATGCGGATGTAACGGTTCTCGATACAGTCTGTAGAATAGCAATGAGAAGAGTTCCTTTATGGCTTAATGATAAACTCACATCCATGTTCCCCTTAGCACGGTCAATGCTACCCAGAAGACCCTCAATAACTTCATTTATTTTGCGAACGGTTTGTAATTCATTGTGAAGTGCTGCTTCTCGTGCCTCCTGGCGATCAAACAAAGTGTCGCCGCCATCGCGAGGCTGCCGGGGCTCTGGCGCCGGGATCTCGTTCGAGGTTCGAGGATTGAACGTCTTGTGAGTTCCTCGCTTCGAGGGGGAGTCCCAGAGATCTTCAGTATCCTCATCTGAAAGTTGAAGCCTGTCCATTTCCTCGGCGGTGCTTCGAGCCATTGTGATCCAGGGCTTTGTAAAGTAATGTTGGAAAGCAGGACAATGCGACTTATGTAGCCCTGTAAAGTTTAGGCAAACCTGATCGGGTAGAGTATCAACAATGCAGATCCATGGAACAAGAATAATCAGTATCGCGGGGCCTTTGATTGTTACGGCCCAAAATCGCAGGCGGTGACGGTGGTCGGGGCGGTGACACAGAGGTGGCTGGGAGCCCAAACATGCGCCCTTTCTTTAACGTCCTCGCCCTTGGTTCTCCTCTTCTGCATCACAACTTCTATCGTCGCGTCCATTGACCCTGTAAAAGAAAATACAACGTCGCTCTTATATCGCTCTTTCGGAAACTTTTACATCTCACGAAAACTCATATCTTGATTGTGGACGGATTTGCGCCTCGCCCTTGATTCAAGTCGACTACAGCATCAATCCAAGATCCGGGTCAACCGACAATTACAACTGCACCGGGCCTCGTAACTGGTACAAGCTCGACGATACGTGGAAAAGCAAACAAAGAAAAATATCAATCGCTATGGCGACCACCCCGCCCCCACCGTCACCGTCGGCCTTGCGGATTCCCGCTGCACCGCGTCATGGTGCTGGATATGACACATTCGAGCCATATCCCACCCGGTCCTCAGCGAGATTAGCAGGTCAGCGCGCTTCAAAATCAAAAGATGCGACTCAGCCAATTTGCCCAGGTTCACCCAGCAAAGGCCAATCGAAAGGATCACCAAGAAAGTATCGAAAGATGGAAGAAGCAACTATATCACCACCAGGAAGTCATCCGATGTCCAGAAATGCTGAGAGAGGCACCCAGGCTAGTGCCGGAAATTACCGCCAACCTGATCCTCAACCTTCTGGACGCGTTTCTGGATCTCACGCTCTTCCTACACCTGCGAAAACACCGTCAAAGAAGAAAATCACCTCTGATCTTTCAGCAACTGCTCGTACATTATTTCCATCTGCCAAAATGTCAAAGGGGCGATTTTCTATTGACGTCGAGGACGCGTCTCCGGGACCTCAGAGCATCCAAATTTACACTGATTCGCGGGACCGTATCCCTAAGCCGCCAGCTACCCCGCAGAATCCCTTCTTTCACCCTTCTGACCGTACCAGTGATGATGATTCTACGGGTATTCTTGACCCTATGACTTGTCCTACTCACAAACTACTTCGCCTGGGTCGAAATGATGAAATGACATACAACTTGTGAGTACTCTTATCCAACTGATCATCACAAAGCCACCCTAACCCTTTTCACGCAGCCGTGGTAAAAAAGTCACCAAGCACTATGATGATGAGGATGAGGATGAAGAAGATGATCCCAATGATCTGTGTCTGTTCGCTGGTCGTGAGCACCTACTGCCTGATCCTTCTGTGCTACATAATTTGAAGCCGCTTCGCCGCAAAGACATCTTACCTCGCCAGCTCTGGCCTGACGATGGTCCGGTTCCGCCTAAGGAAACGAACCAAGTCAAGCCTACTGAAGAGCTGACCGTTGAAGATGAAGCCACGGACGAAGAGGATGCCGTGGAGACCAGGGAGACTGGTGCCAAACTGCATGGTATCACCTCTCCGCCACCTGAGGTTCCTTCCTCACCTCGTGCCGTGCGCAACTTGCGTTCTCAGGCCCGTCGTCATGTCGATGCTGGTGTATCTCCCTCAAAGCAGGGAGCTGGTTCAAATCAACCACGCACTCCTTTCCACAACTGGCTGCGCAAGAAGAAAAGTGCTGATGAACAAACTTCTGTCACTCCTACCAAGCGTGAGGCTGAGGTCACTCCTTTAAAACGCGAGGCTGATGACGCTCCCGGGTCCCTTCCTGGTCCTAAGAGAACGCGTGCTACTACTCGTCAGACTCAGAGCGCCTGAATCCTCCATCGCGTTCGAAATTTGATCCATCCAATCCGTTATGATGCTTTCCAGATCATTCATGCATTATCCAAGCGCCAATATCTTTAGTCTCTTTTTCCTGCATTGTGGTTCAACCGCTCTAGACTTTTGACGGTCACCAAGCACATTTGAGCAATCTTCTTGCTGTACTTGCACATCCATCTTCTTCACGGTTGCACATGCCCTTTTCTTCTTTTCTTTCGCGATTCTTCTCTTTCATGATCTAATTTGCTTGTCTCCCTTTCATGACTTCATTGGCCTTTATTCTTATTTTGCTTTGCTTTGCTTTACGTTTCACCTGTGGCGCGTGGATCTGGAACTAGGGAATGGGAATACCAAGGTATCTAGCGTTGTTTTCTTTTTCTTGAAATGGGTCAAGGTGTTCAGAGTTTTGTTTACGGACGCGTTTGTTTTTCTATTTTACAAGTCTGTCTCTTGTCTGTGTCTGGACTTGCATGTCTTATCCCTGTTCTTCATCCAAGAACTAGTCAATGTGGCTTATCCGCATATGATCTTACAAAATCAAACAATTCCAACATGGCTTCTTACTATTCTGTAGACTAACCAGGTTTTAAATGTCCGCTTATTCAAATTCCATGTCCGAATGAGCCAGCTGACAAGTCACCAAGGAGATAGTTATGTCTAATAATGCATTTGATAAGTGTCCCTTTTTTTGTTCATAACAGCGTTATGGCTCACAACTTTGCCTTGCTCAGGAAATGGTACATGTAGCATACAATATAGGTAGATTGACCCGACTATACACATAATCAGACAAACTCCAGCTCATCGTCGTCGTCATCATCTAGAATGGCCGTCGCCTCGGGTCCACCAAGACTGTCTCGACCTGCTTCTCGTATGCCTTTCGAGGTGATGAATCGTGTCTTTTTGACACCGCTGCCATGAGGCTTATCACCGTCATGGGCGCGCTTCATAGGGCCAAGTTTGACATTCTTCGCCCTGCCGAAACTGGCCAGATTGAATTCACTGCTGCTCGAAGGAAGGGCCCTTGGTTTACTGGACGTGTCAGACGACTTGATATCGTCCTTGGCCTTAGATGGTGTCTCAGTGCGCGTGCGAAGGTACTCGGCGCCCACACTACCAATCCCACCAGCAACAAGCTTCTGCGTGATGTTGCGCTCGCGTTGCTGCGATGCAAGACGCCTGCGCATTTGTTCTTCCTTGCTCTCTCTGCCCCTTCCCATCATGCCTGCCGCGATAAAAGGGTCATCATTGATATCGAGTAGAGCTGCTGTCCCACGTCTTGCAGCCATAGGGTCGTAGGAATGAACGACACCGGAATTTCTTGGAGCTGGTGCGACGAAGTATGTTGAGCCAGTCATCCTATCATATTGGCCTCCTTCCGGTTTGAGGCCACGAGAATTTTCGCCTTTTTCCACTGGTCTACTACCTCTACGACGTTCCTCGTAAAACCCAGTTCGCGAGCCAGATCGACCGCCAGGCCCAAACATACCTGTATCGCTGTTGACCCCGGAGCGTTGCCCTTGGATGCGCCGCACCTGGAGATCAACGTGAAAGTCGCAGAACTCAGTTTTCCTCCCATCTACCCATGACTGGCAAACTTTGCCGTCCTTTTTCACGGATTTGCAGTAGCCAATGTCTCGCGCTTTTCCAATCTCCAGTACCTTGTCATCTGACGACGACAAAGCCAGGCTAAAACGATTGGTATCTAGCTTGTGCTTTGGGGGAGGTAAGATCGTAGGGTTCAAGATTGCCACGAGGGTTCCTTCGTTGATCTTGTAGTAGCGGGGAAATGCAGTATCGAACAGAAATAGGTCGACTGTCCACTTGAGGTCAGTCAAAGTGATAGCCATATAGCTGTTGGTGTTGTTGAGGCCATCATCATAAGGATCCACTGATTTCGAAGTGGTATTACTAGACCCCTTCTTTTGCCTGGTCTCCGACTTGGATGCGACAATCCCAAACACCACAAAGTCCCCGTCGATTTCATCTGGAAGTTCAAACGCAGGAGCCTTGATGGTCTTTAAGAGTTCAGGTATGCAGAGGACGGTTTTATCGGCCAAAGTGCGGCTTAGGAATGAATGGGGCAAAATTCGGCTCGACAGATGCAAAGATGAGTAGGATTCAAATTTGGAGGCATCGGGTGCAGTGACTGCTTCTTCGGATCTTCTGGCATTGTCTTCCCTCATATTCGGAGTCGTCTGGCTGCGTTTCAGTCCACCAGGTTGTGGACGGCTAAGCGATCGGAGAACCTCCTCCCGATTGAATGCGTATGCTTCTGGCTCTCGGTTCGTACATGAGGGAAGTGACGATTGGGCTTTATTCGCGGCTGCAGCCCTAAAAGTCTCAATTTCTGCTTTGTCCACCTGGAACGCTGAGCTGCGGCTTGCTTGTACTCTTTCCTTTTTTTCCAGGCGAGATTGTTCAGCCCGTTCAGCCAATCGACCCTCAGCCATCCGTTCACTGAAGCTCTTGATTCGATCAGCGCCTCCGCTGCCTGGAGAGGTTTGAGGCCGTGCTAGGAACATGTCACTTGCGCGAGACATTGCGCCGCTGCGCGTTCCAAGTTGACTGGTAGGTCTTGCCTCCGTTCTTGGGCCTGGCGGCCGTTTCAATGACACATCGCTTGCTTTCCATCCTTTGTCAATGCCCAATTGATACCTCCGAGGAGACCAGGGCTCAGGAGCCGGCGCCGCTCGTCTTGTGGGTGATACGGGAACCTGAACCTCGTCGACACGGGCTTTCAGCTGGCTGGGCGGGGGGCTTCTCGGGGCCATGGTCTTGCGTTGAGAGCGGGGAGCCGACTCAAAGCTATCTTCATCATCTTCTGTGTGGGATGTAGCAGTGCCGGACCGACCACGGGACTTTTGGAGTTGTTTCAGCCTAAGGCGAGCCTGGATCTCGGCGAGTCGCAGTTCCAGCGTCTCTTCGTCCTCTTCTCCATCGTCTTCATTTTCATCCAAGACTTGACTCGATTTTGACCGGAAATTCGGGGTTGTATTGGAGCGTTTCAAGGGTGACGAGAGAAGCTGTCGGCGTTGCATGTCCTGATACTTCCTCCGGCCTCCCGGAGAGCTCAACAGAGCTTCCCGGGGTGATTTTGGCGGCCAACTGGTCTCAGTCACTGCAAAAGGCATTGTTAGGCCACAGGCTGGATCTCACAGGCTAAGAGACTCACTGTTGTCCTTAGTTCAAGGGAGAATCGGTCAACAACACCCGTCAACAATAAGCGTCATTCCCCGCAGCACCAGCCGTTTTCGCCGCGGCTGAACGCACAATGTCCTTTTGTCTGACAGTAAGAGTTGTTGGAAAAGGACTCCGAATCCGAACCGAGAAAAAGAGTGTCGCAATAATGGTTCTGTGGAATTTGAGCCACACAATCTGCTAGGGATGCAGGAGTGGAAGTGATGGATCACACATGCATGACACATGATTGGGCGCGTCCCGGCGCGTGTCGCGACTTCCTATCCTTTAATTTTACCTTCGCTCCTTCCACTTCTATACACCACACTCTTTACACAATGCCTCGAACTCGATCTGCGGCTCCAGCCGAGCAGCCAAAGTCTGCGGAACATAAGGCTTTAATGGCCGCTGAAAAACCTACTAAAACATTCATCCTGCCTGCGTCCACCAGTGCCGATGCGCGCTTGGTCTCCCTTCCAAACCCGCGATCGACCGAATTAAGCCAATATTTCTTTTGCCCACAGCGCGGTCTTTTTGAATTCACAGTGATTGCTGCGCCTTCTCACCAGCCTCGAAGTATTTTATTCACTCCTTGTGCGCGAGAGCCGAGTTCTGTGTCCGATGATGAGAAGCCCACTTCCCCGACTGGGTCGATTTCGAAGAAAGCAGACCTTCTCGTCGCAACACCCATTGATCCAGTCTTTTTCTTGGTTCCTCTTTTATCTCCCCCCTCGAAATCAGGCCAATCGCTTTTTCAGCCTCTGGACGATATCATCGACTCCAACGATGACCTCCCTCCCCACTTGCGCCAGGTTCTTTACGACGACACATTCCGAAACACTCTGCTCGCGCGCGCAGAGGCTATTTGCGATACCGTGGAAGCTGGTGATGAGAAGATGCTACGGTTCAACGAGACAAAACTTCTCAAGGAATTAATTGCCAAGGCTGAACGGATGGCAACACAAGGCCTGCCTCCAAGTTTAGAGGAGCAGTTCATTCGCCAGGCATTGGCTGCTCCACTTATGTCGGTCAAGAGAGACGACGTTGTCACTAGTCAAATCTCGGTTTTAAAAGAGAATGACGGCGAGACAAGCACCAATTCAGATGATAGACCGGACTCCCCATCAACAATGGCGACGACTACCACCCCATCGGTGTCTACACCAGCAGGTGAGTCGACACCCGTGCCACAACCTGCTGGCGAAGACAACTGCTCTGCGGACAATGTCGCTCGCCTGTTACGCATCTCTACCGCCCTAGCATTTATGAAAGAATCGTACATGCCGAAGGCTTTGTGCACTCGCATCGATGAGCTTCTTGCCACACCCGAAAGTCCTTTGGATTTCCAGCCTCTCACAGACCGTCTGAAGGAGCTTGTTGAACTCCGTGCTGAAGCTCTCTCGTCCAGAACGATGTCAGATTTCAGTCGGAAACGTGGTCTTGATGATGAAGAAGTCGAGGCTCGCGCGGAGAAGAAGCGCAAGAAGGATGAAGATGACAAGAAGGCTAAAGCTTTGGAGTCTCGGGGTGTTCGTGACTTGAAGAAGGTGAATACAACTGGTATGAAGAAAATGAGTGATTTCTTCGGGAAGGCTGCCGCTAAGAAGAAGACATGAACGTCGTGTTGGAATTTATAACCCGATTCTGTGCTGCGATGTCGCATGGTCCAGTCCAGAGAATACGCAGCCGGGAGAATACGCAGTCGGCTCAGAGGCATACATTGTAACGAAACGGCCTGGCCTCAATCCGTCTAGCCTGGGTATAAATGCTACAAACTTCAGGGTCTTGATAGCAGCACGGGTCGACGGCATGCTAGTGTAAATGTGGGTTGCAAAGTCAGCAAGCCCTACTTCGAGCATATGGTATACCGCATGGATCTTAGATCCTCCTCGACCATAATCCCCTCAGCCGGGCAGGTCTTGCCCATCAACAATGCCGCTGGGCATGTATCATATAAGGTTCTAGGCCCTAGTCACTTTGCGGTCATCAGAACATCTATAATATTCACACATCAAGCTAAATGAACTCTTAAATAGAAGATGATTTCAGTACTCTCACAAAGCAACCTGATCAATAGCAGCTCCGGTAACCCTATAGTCGACAGTTAGTAACGAAAGAACCATTTGAATATTCAAATTTGGGTACAACATACACAAACGAGCCGTTGGATGGCTTGCTAATAACCATAGCCTGCTCCAGCTTCTCAGCACTGATATCGGGGAAGTGCTTCAAGTAGTACTCATTCCGCAAGGCCGTTGTTACAGCCTCAACCTTGCCCTGGGGCAGCATGTGAACCGTACAGCCACCCCATCCAGCGCCAGTCAAGCGGCTACCCCAGGTACCCGCTTTCCGTGCAATAGCACAGATCTCATCCACCTCAGGAGCACTGCACTCATAATCGACACGGCACGATTCCTGGGACTCATTCAACAGCTGACCCAAGTAGTGAATGCGCTTCTCATCCAGCTTCGAAGCATTGGCCAAACAAGCCTTGAAATCCAATACACGCCGCGCCTCCTTGAAGCAGTGCAGCGCCCGCTGACGGAGACGGAACCGCTCCGCTTGCACGGGGAAAGCAGACAAGAACTTCGACTCCAGCTCCGGGACGCTAATTTCCAGCAACTGGGCCATCTCTTCGCGTGTGTATCCTTCTTCCTTGGTGAAGAGATCCTGCACCGCCTGGATGACGGAGTCGATCTGGTACTCCAGCGGATCGCCTAGACGGCCTTCCTTTGTCATCAGCTGGTTCTGGAAGTTGCGCAGGCTGTAGCCCAAGGAGCTGTTATCCTTGGGCAGAGTGAGGCCATAGTTCTTGGCTAAGATAACAGCAGAGAGGGTGCATTCTGCCACGCGCAGGTTGTAGTGACGGGGTGCTGTGTCGGCCTTGTTGGAGGTAACGAAGCTCTGAGCCATGAGGAAGGTGATCTCGTCTGCTGCGGTGGGAATGGGGACGTGCTCAACCTGGAATGCAGGGTAGAATTGGGTGTAGAGTAGGAAGCCGCGCTTCGAGAAGATGGAAGCAGCTTGGTCCATGCTGTTCAAATTCATGGTTTGTTAGCATGATTCTCCTCCAATGAACTCTTTACCAAGCAAAAGATATGCCGTTTCTTACCCGCCAGAGTATACACCGACTGCGCGCTCGGAAACGACCGCCAAATCCAACAGATCCTGCTTCGATACATTGTGATTGTTGGCCTTCATAACAGCCAGAGCACTGGCGCAAACAAAAGCGGCACTACTCGAAATACCACCACCGGGGGGCACATTGCCGTCGACCAAAATCTCCATGCTAACCGGAGCAGCACCATCCGGTCTTTCCTTGCGTAAAAACTTCAAGGCACCCGACAAACCAGCCTTGAAGTAGTTGATCCACTCGTGCTTCTTAGGATCAATCTCAATATCAGTATCATGAGGCACGCTGAATTCGCGCGTGGGGAACTTCTCCGGCGCAACATTGGCGATCTTGATGGTAGTACCGGAGGTGCCGGGGGAGACCTTAACGGCCATAATCACGTCAACGCTGACGGCGGTGGGTAGAACATCGTAGAGAGAGTAATCGATGTGCTCGCCAATAATGTTTACACGACCAGGACTGCGGGCCACAAAGTCAGGGCGATGATTGTATTGCTTGTTAAACTGAGAAATCAGTCCCGAGAAGCGTTGCTGGTGTTCAGCAGCAACTGAGTTCACGGAGGCATCGTCGGTGGCATACACCTCCGCGATAGATTCTGTTTGCGGGACAAGCTCCTGCGGGGACGACATGGCGGGGTAAGGAGATTGGAGGGGGGGGGAAGAAAAAGAAATGCAGAAGGCAAGGAGGAAAGCGATCAATTAAATGTCAAGTCAGAAAACTCCGCAAGCGAGGGAAGATGACGCCCCAGTTCCCCGGGTAAATTGGAATGTTGGTGGGGGAATCCACTACTCATCTCCGGTGTCCCTTTACAGTGCAATTGTGGTTAGCCTTTGCGGGGGGTCGCATTGACCCTGGCCCGCACAATCTCTCTTGTTCGCCCCCATTGGTGCACATTTGCTAAATCTTGCCATCGGTCCAGTAACGCCATACAAGTTTGGTTTGGTTTGCCCAGTTCTACAGAAAGGATATGTGGTGGACTAGGATTCCAATTAGGTCTACGCCTCCGAAATTGATTTTCCCGTGACCTTCAAAGCCCTTGGAGTCGATTCCAGGGGGGCAACATGAGAAGTTGACCAAAATCAAGATCACAACACCTGAAGATAGTGGCACTGTCGTAATATGGAGCAGATGTCATTCCGGCCCGAATTGATGAGATCGGAGGCCCGGCTTTCCGTCCCAGTTCGGGATCCCAGTACCGGGAAAATTATAAAATAGAAAAGTACGTGAGCCCGTCGGCTAATCACAGAGATCGGCATACTGTGGAGGTCATCATACTGCACCCCAGTGCTATGTAGTACCTAATTGATGCCACCTTGGGCTTTCCACATCTGGTATTCAACGGACCTCGGAAACGTAGATTGCTCAAAATATGTATGAGCTCCAAAAACCAATAATTGGCCTAACTGCACTGTGATTTCCCATGATTGCCCTAGTAACATATCGCTGCAAATGTCTCCACGCATGATCTATGTTCCTTAGTCAGTTTATGCATAAAAATCCACAAAGGCACGAAAACGGCTAGATCATGTGATGCGCCGATTCACGCCGAGGTCGGAGGTGCGGAGAAGAAGAGATGGGGATCGCAGCCAATCACACTCGCCGAAATTGAGTCAGAGCGGTCGGGTGCTTTTTTCATTCCCCCAAGGATTCATTAGCAAGGGCCAATTGCCTCTTCTCTTGACTCACCTCTTGTTTGCTTGGTCGTCTAAGATGCTGCCTCTCAGACCATCAAAGACCGCTCTGCGGTCCATTCACATCCAGAGGCAACTTGCCTCTGGACGCCGGCCCTTCTCGACTTCGTTTGTGGCTTCGGCTGCGTCGCCCCACCGCTCTTCTCCTCAGAAGCGTGCCTCGAGCACCGCGACGGCCACCACGTACGTATTGCTTCTAGCAGCAGCAGAGCAGAGGAATCAATGACACTAATTGTTTTATCAGAACCCCTCGCCCTGTGCCTAGCCCTGCCTTCAATCAAGAACCCCATCGCAATGAGGTTTCGCCTCTTCAGAACCGTCAGCTCCCTGAGCTTGATGACTCGTATGTTGTCTTTATCTTTCATGCCCAGTGTGCAACTAGGACCAAGTACGTGGGACTGACATTGAAGCAGGATGGTCGGAATGAGCGGTGGTGAAATCTTCCATGAGATGATGATGCGTCTTGATGTGAAGCACGTCTGTGAGTAACACATCTATTCATTAGCTCGATCTGCCATTAACCATGTACAGTCGGTTACCCCGGTGGTGCCATTCTTCCCGTGTTCGACGCCATTTACAACTCCAAACACTTCGATTTCATCCTCCCCAAGCATGAACAAGGTGCTGGCCACATGGCTGAGGGTTACGCTCGTGCATCTGGCAAGCCCGGTGTTGTTCTAGTCACCTCTGGACCTGGAGCCACCAACGTCATTACCCCCATGCAAGATGCCATGTCTGATGGTATCCCCATGGTGGTGTTCACTGGCCAGGTAGTGACCAGCGCCATCGGTACCGATGCCTTCCAGGAGGCCGATGTTGTTGGTATCTCGCGTGCCTGCACCAAGTGGAATGTGATGGTCAAGTCTGTTGGTGAGCTTCCCCGTCGTATTCAGGAGGCTTTCGAGATTGCGACCAGCGGTCGCCCTGGACCCGTCCTGGTCGACTTGCCTAAGGATGTCACCGCCGGCATTCTCCGCAACCCCATCCCAATGCAGAGCACCATTCCCTCTCTCCCCAGTGCGGCTACCATGGCTGCTCGTGAGATGAGCAAGCGGTCCCTTGATACCACTATCAGCCGCGTTGCCCGCCTTGTGAACAAGGCTGAGAAGCCTGTTCTGTACGTTGGTCAAGGTCTGCTTGCTCGTCCTGATGGTCCAGAGATTCTGAAGGAGTTTGCCGACAAGTGCTCTATTCCTGTCACCACTACTCTTCAAGGTCTTGGTGGATTCGATGAGCTTGATCCCAAGGCTCTCCACATGCTCGGTATGCACGGCTCAGCTTACGCCAACATGGCTATGCAGGAGGCCGATCTGATCATTGCTGTTGGTGCCCGCTTTGACGACCGTGTGACCCTGAGTATTCCCAAATTTGCCCCGCAAGCTAAGTTGGCTGCCGCTGAGGGACGTGGTGGTATTGTGCACTTCGAGATTATGCCCAAGAACATCAACAAGGTTGTTCAGGCTACTGAGGCCGTCGAGGGTGACTGCGCTGACAACCTCCGTCTTCTCTTGCCCCATGTCAAGCCTGTTGCTGATCGTCCTGAGTGGTTTGAGCAGATCAATGACTGGAAGTCTCGCTTCCCTCTGTCGCTCTATGAGCGCCAGGAAGTGGATGGCCCGATCAAGCCCCAGAACGTCATTGAGAAGCTCAGTGATCTTACCGCGAACATGAAGGAGAAGACCATTATCACTACTGGTGTGGGCCAGCACCAGATGTGGACTGCCCAGCACTTCCGCTGGCGCCACCCCCGTACCATGATTACCTCCGGTGGTCTTGGTACTATGGGCTTCGGTCTTCCTGCTGCCATCGGCGCTAAGGTCGCCCGCCCTGACTGCCTTGTTATCGACATTGACGGCGACGCTTCCTTCAACATGACTCTCACCGAGCTCTCCACTGCTGCCCAATTTGGCATTGGCGTCAAGGTCCTTCTGCTGAACAACGAAGAGCAGGGCATGGTCACCCAATGGTATGTTTGTTCCGTTTTTGAAAGTTCTCAAACCTTCGCCTGCTAATCATAACCATAGGCAAAACCTGTTCTACGATGATCGTTACTCTCACACCCACCAGCAGAACCCCGATTTCGTTCCTCTTGCCAAGGCCATGCGCGTTGCCGCTGACCGCGTCTCCAACCCCGCTGAGGTCGAGGCCAAGCTGAAGTGGCTGATTGAGCAGGATGGCCCTGCTCTTCTGGAGGTGATCACTGACCGGAAGGTCCCCGTCCTGCCCATGGTTCCTTCCGGCCGTGGTCTGCACGAGTTCCTTGTCTTCGACGAGGCCAAGGAGAAGGAGCGCAAGGATTTGATGCGCAGTCGTAATGTCGACTTTGCCGTACGCAAATGAAAGTCTTGAAGCTAGCCAGCCGGCAACCAAGCTAGCCTCCAAATGGGATGCCGGTCCATGTTTTTGACCGTCGCTTATTTTTACCGTTGATATCCATGGCGTTTTTACTTGGCGAGTTCACCAAAAGCGATTGTGGAGATGTTGAACTCGAAAAATTTCCTTCCAAAAAAACCATCGCCCCCTGCAGAGCGACATGGGAAAAGTGATACCTGTTTTACTTGCGGGTTGCTTTTACGTCCCCTACCCCGAGTAGCTGGATCAGATCAGGGGATTCCAGACAACATGCATTAGGTGGTTATTCAGTTACTCTCGGGGTTCCTTTTCGTCCATGCTGCCTCTTTCATTATGTGTATATAATGTTCATGTATTGCGAATCATAGGTCGAGTTTGGGGATGTCCTGTTTCATTATGGAACACGTCATTGAAAACATTTCATCTCATCTTTCCTTCCAGTATTAGTCGCCCCCGCGTGTTCGCTTCCATCAAGGACGTGTGGTGAAGTAGGAGTCTGCCTGTTCCGCAAAAGACATCGAATGCGCGCTGTGAGTCCTATGTTTACTCTTCACCATGAATACCCTGTTTTTCCCTTCTAATCTTCCCTCTCTTCCCATCTTCTTTCCAGCCATTTTTACATGTTCACCTTATCTTTGATTCAAGTTTCTCATCTCACCTTACCCGAACCCTCCACTCTTCTCTTCTACGCGTCTTCCCCTTGTCCATCTTCCATCTCTATCCTCAACCTCCACATCCTCTGCCGCTTTCACGGCTTCGACGACGTTTGTTTCCTTTCGTCCAACCCCCTTCCTCATCGTCAGTCTCAACACAGACCAACCGTCATCAAACTCAAAGGACATCATGTCATCGAACGGGTTCGTATTTCTCCATGCTGACAATACATACATGCTAACGTAAGAAGGATTTGTTATGAGTTCCAACGAACGGGCAGCTGCAGGAAGCTCAACTGCAGGTTCCGGCACTGCAGAGACGACCGAATGCCCATAGAAAGCAACGCTGTAAACCAGCCTCGGCAACCAAATCGTCTGTCCCAAGCAGAAAGAGAGCTTCGACAATGGCACAATGAAGTTGTGAATAAATCATTTACACGAGGCTCTGATAGAAAACTCCAAGAGTTCTTCGTGAGTGCGCGTCGTCTCATTGAGACTGATCCAGAATCCATGCAAGATGTAATTCAGACTCTCGCTGAAGAGCAAGGTCTGCATATCATTCTCATCCTGCTACAACAAAGTTTCGAGAACATCGAAAATGACCACATCTTCAGCTTGCAGGTTATGCCCTTTCTGGAAATTATCACACATGAGAAGGTCCTGAGCTCGATGATCCTGAGAAAACATGTGGGCACAATCTACGCCTCCTTATTCGGTCTCAATGGAACTTTAGCAGCCGAGATCCTCGGAAAATTGTGCAACATCCTCGAAAGACCTGCTCAAGACGAGACAATTGCCCGAAAATTGGAGGTGTGCCTGATATTCTTTGCTCGTATCGTGGATCTCAACTCGACGGCTTTGATCCAACCAAGTCTGCACAAACTTGCAAAGCGGTTCGACGAGATTTACCACATGATCCTCATTGCTCTTGGAGGAAATGAACTTCACCAAAGTTGTGCTCACTTAACCCGTCTCCAACTTCGCCTAGGTGTTGGATACTCAATCCCGAAGGCGTCGACCAAAACTACGGAAACACTCCGTCACCCCCTCTCCCTTCAGCGTGACGGCCCTGGCGGACGTCACAGCAACGATCATGCCAACATCCGTGATATTGAGATCATGCCAAGTTACGAAGAGATATCCTCTATTCGCTCAGAGTATCTGCCAGTGTACGATCCAGCACAGTGGCATCTCGACGGCTTGGATGGTCTGCTTGATAGAAATTTTCGCCTTCTCAGGGAGGATACCGTCGGTCAGGTTCGCAATGCTATCCACAAGACTATCGACAACCCGTCTCAGGCACAGAAGTTTGTTTATACCGGAGTGACTATTGTTGACTGCCGTTTCGACTGGCGTGCGGGACTTGAGGTCGACATCAGGTTCCCTCAACCCATCGAGGTACGAGAGAAAACGCCCCTTGAACGAGAAGCTTGGTGGGAAGCCTCCAAATGCCTGCAGCCGGGTGCCCTTGTATGCTTGGTAAACCACCAAATGAAAAAGCTTTTGTTTTGCACAGTTGCCGATGAAAAAGGTCCCAGGTATGATGTCAACGGCGAGAAAGAGAAACCCGGAAGTTCATTGTGGAGGCGACAAAAGACTGCTTCAACTGCATTAGTGCTTGTTGATCCCCAGGATATGAACGTGAAAACCGTTCTGGATCTATACGGTGAATTCGGTTTCAGCTCATCTCTTTTGGAATTCCCTGGGGTCCTTTTGCCAGGATTTGAGCCAACACTGAGGGCTCTCCAACTGATTAAAGATCTGCCTTTTTCAGATCTTCTCATGCCTTCACCGGATCTTTCGCATCTCAGTCCTCCGTTGTATTCTCGGAGACCCGGGTTCATGTTCAATCTTGCATCTTTAAAGAAAAACCAAGATGCTTTCTTCGTTCACCCAAGTCAACCAGTCGATTTACAAAAATTGAGCGAAAATTCGACCTTGGATGAAGCTCAAGCTGCAGCCCTCGTTCATTGTCTACAAAACAAGATTGGCCTAATTCAAGGACCACCTGGCACGGGCAAGAGCTACATCGGAGCAGCCTTGATTAAAGTTCTTCTAGACAGCAAGGAGCAAGGCCAGCCACGGGCAAGGCCGTGTCTCGGCCCAATTATCTGTGTGACTTTCACTAATCATGCATTGGATCAATTGCTGGAAGCATTGATAGACAAGAAAATCACTTCAAATATCATTCGAATCGGTGGTCAGTCCAAGTCAGAAAGATTAACTTCACTGAACTTATGCAATGTTGCAAAAGGAGTGGAGAAAACAAAGATGGAGAAGAGCTCCACATATCGGGAGCGTCGTGCGATGCAGCAGGATGAAATCGACTTCAACAAACTTTGTCTCCAGAAAGAAGCTTCTCATGCCGAGTTGATCAACTTTCTTCGCATATTTTATCCGCACCATGCCCAACAATTGTTTGGAGAGGATGCAGATGGAGTTCGGTCTACGATGTCCAGACCCCCTGGCTCTATCATCAGAGGTTGGGCGATATCAGGTACAAAGACAAAGACTGAACCTCGCAGCGTGGAAGAATTAGAGCCGGCTCATCTGCACCGCATGTCTCACGACGAACGCCGGATAATATACAGCCATTGGACTGAAGAAATCCGGGCAACGGCCCACAAAACGGCCGCTGAAACGGTCAAATTACACAATGCACATAAGTCACGCTACAGCCAAATCCAAAATGAGTTGTATCTTCGATGTCTGCAAGATGCGGATGTTGTAGGAATGACGACCTCGGGTCTTGCGAGACGATTGGAGATGCTTCAAAATCTACAGTGCAAGGTGGTCTTATGTGAGGAGGCCGGGGAAGTCCTCGAGCCTCATCTTTTGACAGCTATTCTGCCTAAAGTAGAGCATTTGATCCTCATTGGGGACCATCAACAATTGCCTCCGCATGTTGAGAGCTACGATCTCTGCAGAGCAAATCCCAATGGTGGTGAAAAATATTCCCTCGACGTATCTCTGTTTGAGAGATTGGTGGATTCGAGCGACAATCCAATGGGCTGTGGACTACCTTTCAAAGTCTTAGAGACACAGCGAAGAATGCATTCTTCAATTGCACAGCTGATTCGTGGTCCTTTGTACCCGCGCCTTAAGGATCACCAGGTTGTTTCAAACTACCCTGAAGTGTCTGGCATGAAGAGAAGACTATTTTGGCTGGATCATCGAGTCCTAGAAGGCCAGATTTCGAATGCAGGAGACACGTTGACCTCTCGTTCTTATTGGAATCAATTTGAAATCGACATGACAGTTGCGCTTGTCAACCACCTCGTTCGCCAGGGCGGATACAATGAGCGGGACATTGCTGTTTTGACCCCCTATCTGGGCCAGTTACACAGGCTGCGACAGAAGATGAGCGATTGGGTTATCCTTGGGTTGAGTAAACAGGACCAAGATGATCTCGAAAAAGCCGGCTTCGAATATCTGCCCGCAAAAAATACACCAATTGTGCAAAAACCTTCGGTTGTCCAAACGCCTCTATCTCGCGTTTTGAGGGTTTCAACAGTAGACAACTTTCAAGGAGAGGAGGCCAAAGTGGTGATTGTATCACTTGTCAGAAGCAACAAGGCGCATAACTGTGGCTTTTTGCGCGCTCCTAATCGCATTAATGTCCTTCTGTCCCGGGCTAAACATGGGATGTACATTATCGGCAACTCCGAGACATTGAGGCACATCGAAATCTGGGCCCAGGTCCTTAAAGGTCTACGTCGAGGTAGAAATATTGGTCGGGCGTTCGAACTACAGTGTCCACGACACCCAGAAACACTCATAATGGTTTCCAAACCCGAAGATTTTCTTCGGCTCTCGCCCGAAGGAGGCTGTGATCTACATTGTTCCGAACGTCTACTATGTGGCCATCCTTGCCCACAAAAATGTCATTCTGATATTCTGCACAGTGCAGTTAAGTGCCTGGAGCCTTGCGGACGGCATCCACACGGGTGCCATCATGTATGTCCAAACGCATGTGGCGATCCCTGCCCAGAGAAGTGCATGGTCAACGTTGACCAAGAAGGCCTCAAGCTCAAATGCGGCCATATCATAAAAAGATTGCCATGCTGGGAGAATCACCATACCTCGCAGGCCCTATGTCATGTGAACGTCGAAAAGACTATTCCTCACTGCGGACACAAAGTGGACGCTGCATGTTATATGGACGTCCACTCTTCTGAGTATCAATGCAATGCTCAATGTCGGCGTGACTTGCCGTGTGGTCACGCTTGCAAGAAAGCGTGCTCTGGTTGTACCAAGAAATTTGACGGCAAAATCCAAGTTAACCACGGGCATTGTCAGCAAGTTTGTGGACGAAAGCGCACGACATGTGCACACAGTTGTATTACTACTTGCCATGGCACCAAGGCTTGTCCTCCATGCAAGGCTAAATGTGACGTCGCCTGCGGTCATTCACAATGCTCAAAGCAGTGTTTTGAGCCCTGTGCCCCATGTGCAGAAATTGAGTGTCTTTCTATATGCCCACACAGCAAGTGCTCGATGCCCTGTGCCGCTCCTTGCGACCACGTTCCTTGTTCTCGTCGGTGTGAGAAAACCATCAAGTGCGGACATCAGTGTCCTTCGGTGTGCGGAGAGAAGTGTCCACCCTCAACCTACTGCCAGGCTTGTGCAGCTGATGTTATCAGAGACCGTGACGTGGATTATATACTTGGTGTCGCATACAAGGATATTGATCTTGATGTCAATCCTTGTATTTTCCCTCGGTGTGGTCATTTATTTACCATGGAAAGCATGGATGCGCAAATGGACTTGCAGAAACATTACAAAGTTGACGCCGATGGCAAACCCATCGCCCTGCTTGTTTCATCGCGGCCATTCTCGATAGAAGATATAAAGACCTGTGGAATCTGCCGCGGCCACTTACGAGACATTGCCAGATATGGTCGACTAGTTCGGCGAGCTCTTCTGGATGAATCCACGAAGAAGCTCATTCTCCGTCTGAACCAAGAATTCGTCCCCCTTGCACAACAACTCACTCGAGAAAGCCGGAAGCTTCGAGAAGTCGATCTTCTAGAGATGGCCAGGTGGCCAAATATCGAGATCAAGGGCCAAAGCCAGGAACAACTGGAGGTGATGCAGCCTGTCATGAACAGCGCGAAGCCTCGGAGATGGAACAAGATGATTGAGCTGCGAGAGCGGATCATGGAATACGTTCGGGTTGTGAACCCTGAAGAACAGCCCTTTCAACGAGTTCGTGACATGGTGATCAATGCGCAGCAACGCAAAACGACCACAGCGGACTTCAAGTTCGGAGACGAAATCCTGCAAACTAAGGGATTGCTTCAAGGAGCGGCTCTAAGTATCCGACTTGATCTGGCTCTGCTGTCAGATTTTCTGGCGCTAGAAAAGTTAGCCATTTACAAAGAAGCACCGCTCAAAATTGACCTGAGAATTCTGCGGAATGATTGCCGTCGTCTTACCCATGAGGCTACCGCCAGCGAGCGGCGGGTACACCAGGTGGAAGGGTTTATTTTTGAAGCCGAGCTTTATGCCATGGAACGCGCGTACGTGTCCGAGGAGCTAGGCACAAGCCATCTACAGAATGGCCTTCTTTGCATTTCTAAGGCGCGAAAACTTTGCGAGGAATACTCCGGTCAAACAAGTGGACTGGCCAGCGAGATTGATAACGCCAAAAAGATGCTTCAAGGGGGTACATTCTATGCTGGGATCAGCAGCACGGAGCGCATGGCAATCATTTCAGTCATGGCTCAGGACTTTACGGGGACAGGACACTGGTACTATTGTCGCAATGGCCATCCGTTCACCATTGGAGAATGTGGAGGAGCTGTGGAGTTGGCCTCGTGCCCGGAATGCGGCGCTCAAATCGGAGGGCAAGAGCATTTGCCAGCGCCAGGAGTCGTTCGGGCGGAGGACTTTGACGTGGATTTGGTCCGGCTGACTCGTTAGGCGTTTTATTCATAATTTTCTTGTTATTTAAGTTTTTCTTTGATTTTTAAACAATTTGAAATAGGAAAGTGTGCAGAACAAGATCAGTTTGGAATATGAAAATCGTGTTCAGTGACGTTTCGGGGGGTGTCGACCCCATATGGTGTCACGGCATCTCATTAGCTTATCCTGCTCCAACTAACCTCCCTCTTCCTCTGCTCTAAACACCACAAATCAACCAACAACCAAACCTTCAATTCTCGTATGAATTGTTAAGCGTGGTGAAGAGCCCCTTGCAAGCTCGATCATTGCTCTAAAGGCGCAGCTGTTTACCGCCTGCTTTCATCCCTCAGCTCCCCCTCACTCCCTCCACCATGGCCAGCCCACCGCCTGTCCCGGAGGACCAAACCCGCCTCCTTGAGGAGGCATTGGGGGTGGTGAGGCAACAGTCGGCCATGATGCGCAAATGCTTAGAGACCCCTGGGAAGCTCATGGATGCGCTCAAGTGCGGGTGAGCTGTCCTCTCCTCGGCAGGCAGCCATGCCGGGCCGCCGCGCAATGAATTTATGTGCTAATCAACCCCCAATTTGGGGACTGCAGATCGACTCTAGTATCCGAATTGCGAACACCTAGCCTCGGTCCGAAGCAGTATTACGAACTCTACATGGCCGTTTTCGATGCGCTGCGACACCTATCCGTCTACCTGAAGGAGAATCACCCGGTGAACCACCTAGCGGACCTGTACGAGCTCGTCCAGTATGCCGGGAATATCGTTCCTCGCTTGTACCTCATGATCACCGTCGGGACTGTGTACATGTCAGTGGAGGATGCGCCGGTCAAGGAAATTATGAAGGATATGATGGAGATGAGCCGTGGTATTCAGCACCCGATTCGGGGTCTGTTTTTGCGATACTATCTCTCCGGTCAAGCACGGGACTACTTGCCTTCTGGGACTGGAGATGGACCGGAGGGAAATCTGCAGGATTCGATCAATTTCGTTTTGACCAATTTCGTGGAAATGAACAAGCTCTGGGTGCGGCTTCAGCACCAGGGCCCATCACGAGAGCGAGAACGACGGATACAAGAGAGACGTGAGCTTGAGCTACTCGTGGGTAGCAACGTTGTTCGTCTGAGTCAGTTGGTGGATCTCGAGGCATACCAGTCTGGTATCCTGCAAGCACTTCTGGAACAGGTGGTGCAGTGTCGCGATGTTCTAGCGCAGGAATATCTCCTAGAAGGTAGGTTATCTGTACGGTATGACTCAAATAGATCAATTGCTAACTTGCGCGACAGTGATCACCAAGGTCTTCCCAGATGAATTCCACCTCCACACCCTGGACCTCCTTTTGTCCGCTATCGCCCGACTGAACCCATACGTCGATCTCAAGAAAATTGTCATTGGGTTAATGGACCGTCTTTCCACATACGCGGCGAAGGAAGGAGAGACAGAATCAGCTGAGCCGGACTCAGAAGCTCGGAAACAGAGCGAAGAGGACGCGGTCGCTCGATTATTGGAGAAGCTGGAACTTGACAAGGAGACGAAAAAGCAAGAATCAAGCGAGACTGCCAAGGGCAAGGCACCTCAAGAGAATGGGACTGAGGTGCCAAGCAGCAGCGAGGAGCCGAAGACTACAGAGCCTACTAGCGAGAAAGACACGAAGCCTAGCCTTCCTGCGGAGGTCAAGCTTTATGACATCTTCTATGATCAGGTTGTCAACTTGATCAAGACCCGTGCATTGCCAATCCAAGATACCATGGCTCTTCTAGTATCGCTTGTCAATCTTGCATTGAACATTTACCCCGATCGGTTGGAATATGTTGATCAGGTCTTGGATTTTGCGGCCCAAAAGACAGCCGAATACACTGACCACGCTGATCTGCACTCAGCACCGACACAGCAACAGATCCTGCAACTTCTTAACGCCCCCATCCGTTCTTATGTCTCGATTTTTACTGCCCTAGCTTTGCCACACTATCTGCCACTCCTGACATCGCAGTCGTATCCCACTCGGAGATCTATTGCAGGTGAGATTATCAAGAGTCTGCTCAAAAACAAGATTGTCATTTCGAGCCCAGAGAACCTTGACCGAGTTTTACAAACCGCAAGAGTTTTGATCAAGGAGGGTATCCAACAAACTGTTGGATACCCGGGAGTGCAAAATCAGCGCCGTGGAGGAGAAACGGATGAGACAGTTGAGGAGCAAGGGTGGCTCGCAAGATTGGTGCATTTGATTCAGGGGCCAGACAATGATACTCAGCTTAAGGTATGGATCTTCAGTCTGAGATTTGATGATACTGAACTAACTTCATATATAGCTCCTTCAGGCAACGCGCAAGGCCTATGCGGATGGAAATGAGCGCATCCGTTACACCACCCCTGCTATTGTGACAGCTTCGATTCGCCTAGCTCGGAAGTTGAAGTCCCGCGAGCACTACGATGACAACTGGCAGTCGCAATCATCCGCTCTATACCGCTTCCTGCATCAATGCGTAAACAACCTGTACCAGCGGGTGAATCCAGGCTGCGTCGACTTGGCGCTGCGGTTGTTTGTAATGTGCGGTGAGGTCGCAGACCAGACTGGCTTTGAAGAAGTTAGCTACGAGTTCTTCGCGCAAGCATTTACCATCTACGAAGATTCTATTAGCGACTCTCGTGCCCAATTTCAGGCAGTCTGCATCATATCTGGGGCCCTACACGGTGCACGCGGCTTCTCCAAGGAGAACTACGATACCTTGATTACCAAAGCCGCACTCCATGGCAGCAAGCTTCTCAAGAAGCCAGATCAGTGCCGCGCAGTTTACCTTGCAAGTCACCTATGGTGGGTTGTTGAGAACCCGCAGCGCGGGGAGGAGGATCCCAAGAATGTAAGTGCATATAACACCCTGCTTTCTCAATTTCTATACTCACAATAACAACAGCTCTACCGCGATGGGAAAAGAGTTCTGGAGTGCCTCCAGCGAGCTCTTCGTGTTGCCGACGCCTGCATGGATACAGCCGTTTCTGTCGAGCTTTTCGTCGAGATCCTCAATCGTTATGTCTATTACTTCGACCAGCAAAACGAGACGGTCACCACCAAGTACCTGAATGGACTTATTGAGCTCATCCACTCGAATCTATCGAACACCGAGGATGAGCCCAACCCCAACCTCGATGGCCCCAAGCGTCATTTCGAACGTACGCTCGAGTACATCCGGACCCGAGACTACGAAGGCGTTGTTACCGAGAAGCAGTAGATTCAAGTGCGGATCTTCGATGTTAATTGGAACTGGGCCAAGGCTCTTAGCTTTTGCCAGATTTGGGTTGTTTTGGTTGTACGAGATGCGACATGTGCATTGTGGATTTTTTTACCCCCGAGGCCTCAACCACCCTTGAGGCCATTTCTCTTTTTATCCTATCTCCTTTTTACCTCTTGCTTTCTGGAAGCCAGCCCCTGCCCGTGATGCTTATTTCCTTTCGTTTTGAGTATATACAAATGTACCATTGTCATACCACACCTTACCTACTTTCGAGCACCTCTTCATTCTCAATCGATAGCGGATTACTTTGCAATTACCACGGGGTAGTTCTGCCAGCGCACGTTTGTTTGGCAAGAACATGATTTTGAAAGTCCTTAGGTGGAAAGACATCATTGTATCACCCTGAGAGGACTTCAAAGCGAGTACCCACTACCTCTAGAGCTTGGAATAATTATTTAGAGATGAATACCCACAGGCTTGTAGGAAACAAAGATATTCATTTACACAAAAGTCTATCCAAAACCTTAATTTCACCCCGGGAAGATACATATAATGTTGACTGTACTTAGTCAGCTCGGCCTGTAGTTAGTAAACTAGCACTTCATTCGATACTACAATCTTGGAAAAGAAACTACAAGATCAGCCTCAATGGCTAGAAACAGATGGACGAAGAAACCTTCAATCATGCAATTGCGTCAAGGACGATGACGGAGAGGGAGATTGTCCCAAGCTCCTCGGATATCGCTGCATAATGCAGAAAGGCAAATAACAATACCAATACCGTACACAAAAAAAACCCAGCCCCAGATTCAAGTCCGGTAGACTCGACCGCAAAGTAGATAAAGAGAAACCCAATCAGCAGAAACCCATGTTCGAAATAAAACACTTGAGGAGTGGATGTGTGACGTTAATCCGTGACGCTTCAATTCAGGAAAAAAAAAAACACAAATCGGATAAGAGATAGAAAAGATGGACATTCAGGAGTCATTCCCATAAGACGCGTGTAGAGATGTGGATAGAAAGATGAATTTCATGCCACCGGGAGCTCATATTCATAAGGGGTGAAGAAGGTTAAGGAGGCTAGGTTCCGCCAAACAATCCGGCAGGTGGGGGATATGGTCGGAGCACGGTGTTAAATTGGCCAGCTGGGTGGCTATTTCCAGGAACTGGGCTACCGATATCACCTGGGACAATGCTGCCGCGGTGACCAGACGCGCTGTTGGTATCCGGCTCGAACTTGACGTGCTGGCCGTTCGCATCTTCCTTGATAGAGAATGATCCGCCGCCGTTCTGAGTGTTACCTTCAGTGTCGCAGATCTCCAGCATCTCGTCCAACTTGATGGTGGGCTCGTTGGGGGGGCGCAGAAGCTCTACTTGGATAAGCACCAGATTGACGTTGTGGTAACCTCCAGAACCGGGCCTGGGGCTGTGCGTGTTGAGTGTCTTGCAGGCCTGGATCACCAAAAGACGAATAAGAACAGGTCGAGAGGTGTGCGAACGATGGTGCGTGTTGGGGGGTGCGAAGATGTTATGTTTCAGCTGTGGCGGCCAGCCGCTCCCATTACCGGCTGCTGTCGCTCCCCAAGTTGACGAGCCCGGGAAAGCAGGACTTCCGAAAGTCGAACCCCATCCGGTGGGGCCAACGCCAAAATTGGTGGTTTTGGATCCCAGAGGTTCAGTGAAGAATGATGCCCCTTGAAAGCTAGCTCGTGATGGGAGAGGGAACTGCCCTGGCAAACTGGGACCAGGCAATGACTGAGACAGATTGGACGAATAGTGAGCATCTGTATCATCAAGTAGCGCGCTGCTGCCCAATTGAGTGCTCAGTTTGTCCACTTGATGACCATTCTCTTGTGCACCACTAGACGGTCGCTTGATAGGACTAGGTCGAGACCACTGGCCACCCGACTCCAGCGGAGATCGTTCGAACGATCCCGATTGCTGTCTTGAGTGGGACCCCGGTTGGTGGAATGCACCAGGCATTCCGTGTCCAGCAAAGGGAAGGCCGTGTCCAGGATCTGGGAATCCTCTTCCAGAGGGCATTGGACGTACTCCGTTAATTCCGGGGGGCGCAGCGATGCCACCCGGCCCAGCGAAAGCGCGGAGCGGGTTTATCATCGCTGAGTTAGGAGAGTACATGTGATAGTCGGGAGGTCCGAGAGGCCGGCCACTCATACCTGGCAAGCCTGGTGGGTTTGAAGGTAGCCCGCCGAAGCCTGGGAAACCAGGAGGGTGGGTTCTGCCTAAGGGTGATAAAGGAGCGGAAGGTTGAGGATGGTGCAAAGGGGGTTGGTGGTGGTGGCCCGGTCTACTACCAATAGCCCCAGAGTGAGACTGCGTCATAGAGCGTGGAGAGATGGAAGGTTGCGGAAAGATCTCCGAGGAGGATGGCTGAGAGTGAGGAGAAGAGGTGTGAGATCCCTGCTGTGAAGTCTGTCGTGGTCTCGCCGGTGTCGAAACTTTAGGAGCGGCGGGAGTGTAGTTGGGGGATTGGAGGGAGCTAGAAACGGGCTGCGATGAAAGGTTCGTCGGCATGGTGATACTTGTCCCTGGATGGGGAGCAGGTTTTGCTTGGATATCCCGTTTCCCGGAACGTTCTCTAGCATCATGCTCGGCCTTAGCTGCGGCCTCACGATCCCGCTTTGCCTGCTCCTCGCGCTGCTCCTCTTTCAACTTCTTCTCACGGGCTTCACGCTCTTCCTTCTCCTTGCGCTTACTTTCCTCGCGCCTTTTCTTCTCCTCCTTCTGCTCTCGTTGCTTGCGTTCTGCCTCCGCTTGCCGCTCCCTCTCTTCTTTGAGACGCCGTTGCTTCTCTGCTTCCTTGCGCGCACGTTCCTCTTCTTGAGCCTTGCGTTCAGCCTCTCGCTTTAATCGCTGTTCTTCACGCCTCAACCGTTGTTCCTCGAGCTTTTTCTCCTGGGCAGCCTTCATTGCGGCTTCTTCAGCCGCTTTCTCGGCGTCCCGACGAGCTTTCTCTTCTTCTTTGGCCTGCTTCTGTAATCGCTTCTTATCCTTCTTCTTCAATGCTTCCCGGGCCTTCTTCGCATTGCGCTGCTCATTCCGCGTCTCCTCTTCTAGGAGCTCCTCAATGAGCTGTTTCTGGCGTTGTTCTGCAACTTTCTCTCGATATGCGGTCATGACACGTTGTTCAAACATGCGAGCGGCAAATATTTGGAACATCCGGCGGCCTTCTTGCATGCGCTGTTCTTCGGTCATAGCATCCTTAATCTGTCAATATAAGTCATTCAAGAAGATAGTGTCACATACCATCTCGTCTTCATCAAACTCTTCCTCTTCCTGGCTGTCATAATCTTCGTCCTCTTCGTCGTCATAATCGTCATCATCGAGGGGCCCGTGATTATGACCAGCATGGAATGACTGGTGGGCGGCAGCGATGTTGTACTGTGTGTCTTCTTCTCGTTGCATTCGACGCTCGGCTAGTTGCTCCATCATGTCAATGAAGTGCTTGCCATCGTTTTTGAGAAGATCGTCTGCCACAGTGAGGATACCATCTAACCAGGAACAGTCAGAAAACAACCAAACTTTGGATCAGTATATCAAAACGCACCTTTCACAGTCAAACTGTTTCCAAAAGCGAAAAAGTCTGCCCGAGCGGTGCGAGCTTCATCGTCTTCGAACTCATCATCACTGTACAGCTCATCATCCTCATCTTCTTCTTCTTCCTCGTCGTCGTCATAATCCTCTTCTAAATCGTCGTCTTCTTCATCCTCCTCTTCATCCTCAGGCAGCTCCTGAACTCGGCCCCTTGACGGGTGATATTGGCCGTGCGTGCGGGTATGCTGACCAGGAGATCGAAGAGGTGGTTGGTATAATCGAGGTGGAGGGATGATAGGTGCGCCTTCGTCAAATGAGCCTTGGTTATTGTTGGCGTATTGCTCCAGCTCCTCATAGTACGCATCATACAAGACCTCAAGCTCTTCCTCGATTGCGGTTCGCTTTCGGCCACAGACGGTACAGCTGCAGGAGTGTTTCTGCTGCTCTTTCATCTTCTTCAGGACGGCGTCTTTCTCTACTTTTACCAGCTGACGCCTCTCTTCTTCGCCCAATTCAAACCAGAATTTCCGAATATTTTCACGTTCCTCCAAAGAAGACTGGTTCCAGATACTGTTTTCCTTGCCGGACTTGGCAGGAAATCGAGAAAATGGCAGCGAGTGTGAATGTGGAGGGTGCGAAAAGCTAGCGGAAGGCGAGGAAAGAGGAGTTGAGCTGCCGTCGGCGAGAGTGCGGGAGTCGGATCGGCCTTTCTTATTCTTCTTTTTCTTTGTTTTCGAGCCTGCTGCGTCGTCATACTCGTTGGATACCGAATTCCTGCCCATGCCATGATGCGCTCCATTATGGTACATATCGTCCGATCCATGGTCAAGGTCTGCACTGTCGACTTCGTGGTCATTGGAATGTTGGTCATCGGCTGTCGAGTCCAGGTCCGCGGAGGTGTGCACGTCCGACGGGTCTGCGGCGAGGCGGGCCGCCTGTTTCTGTCGACGTTTCTGTTTCTTGCGATTCACAGGCGCTGGTGCAGGCATGTTCTCCGTGGTGGTATGGCTCAAAGGTCCCCGCGCATCGCTGTTTGTCGGTGGTGTCGGGTTAGCTGACACATGAGCCGCCATGGTGGACTTGAATGCAGCTGAGAGCAACGGTCCTCGGCAGAATTCTGCGTGAGTACAGCACAGGGTTAGCAGTCAGAGACCAAAGACAAAAGTTGGGGGGTGGGGGGGTTATGGGAAAACGGCCAGGACAAAAAGCGGAGACCGGTAGGGCGAAAGAACCAACAAAGCTCCGACCCAATCCATGCAGGGACTCACCAAAAGATACAAACCCCTTAGGGTGTCCACAAAGGTCCAGACGCAGTCCCTTTGTTGATCACGTCAGGAGGTCCGAGGGGGTAGGGAATGAGAGAGGTTGGCCGGGGCTCCAGATACTGGGTGGGAGGAGGGGGTGGTTCAAAGGCAGTGAACCCGCCGGCGCAGGACGTGATGGTGGAGCGGGCCGCGGGAGACTGGCGGACTCGCGGAGGAAAAGGTTTAGTAAGTATCAACCAGGGCCAGCAAACAAACGGAGCGGAACCCTGAGAGCACGGTACAGGAGGGGAGCGAGATCTATACCAATGATGATGGATGAGCGATGGGCTTTGCTGCGTTCTGGCTGGTTGTCGTGCCGCCGCAACAGGACAATTAGCCGCCGGAAGCGAGCTGCTGCCCGATTATTCAGGCACCAGGTCGTTTCATTCTCCGTTTTTACTGGGTTTTGCTATAATATTCTTAAATTGTACATACATTTCATCCTGGCTTTAAAGCTACGTTTAGAGCCAGAATTGATGCAAGATCTATGTTCGCGCGATAGGATGCCTTCATCTGACTGAGAGTCACACCGCCTGAAGAATAATGCCGGGATCGAATACAAGGCGGTGAGAGTGCCCACCAGTTGTCTTGCCTACGTATATGTAGCTAATACAGATGTTGTTGTTGCTACTCCACCTGGCGCAGTGAGACATAGCGCTAATGATAAAAATAACTTTCTTCAAATCACACTTTGCAAACAGAAAAGATCTCTACGGAGTGGCCGAAGATCCTAAGCAGATGTCATTCTACGGAGAAACTACCCTGTCTAGAATCCTAATTCCATAAGAAATTGCGTAGACCTCGAAACTCTCCTCCGGTGTGCCTTAAATCTCCGGATTGTTTCCTACAGCGTACACTAACCGCATTCCCGCTCTCCCCCCTTCATCTTATCAAACCGGCAACTCTCTTTTCGCTTACCTTCCAATACCTCTCGTTACTTTTTTTTTTTCTTTTTTTTTCTTTATTGTACCTTAGTATTTACTTGCTGCTCGGTGGACCAAAGCCTAAGGCTCGTGTTTGGTCCAATTCGTCAAACGCATCCCACTCCCCCAACAGACTACGCTTTAGCCCCGGCGCGACCGTCCTTGCGAACTCAAAAGTCACATCACTGGTTTTCCTTAGGCTGACCACGCTGCATCACTTCGCTATTGGGCGGGAATACGGTGTACGCGCAGGGCTGACCTCTCCTTACCCCTGCTTCTTTGTGTTGCGGCCTTCGTGGGCCTGACTCGACTATCTCGCACCTGTGATCGGGTCATCTCTCTCTATTTTCTTCCATCTTCTTGTCAAGCAGCGCTTGGGTAACTCCCTACCCCACCCGATCCATTGAAATATGGCGCAACAACAGGGCGATAATGTTATGCGGAGGTACGCGCGGCCAGTTTCTTCCTCTGCACTTTGTCATACCCCCTCCGGCCTAGATCGTACGAGACCCTTCCAACGTCTCCGCAGAGTGGCAATTCCATCCCGCGGATGACTGGAAAAGATCTTGCAAAATCTACAATTGAATTTCTGTACTGATACCGTCACAATGCTAACCTCAACTGACACTTCCAGAAAGCTTGTGATCATCGGAGATGGCGCGTGCGGGAAAACCAGTTTACTCAGCGTTTTCACACTCGGCTACTTCCCAACCGTAAGTCAACTCCATATGTTGCGTGGTAGAGAACATGAGCTAACTTCTGACAGCACTATGTTAGTTAACCCGATCAGCCGCCCTTATAATCCGACAACTCTGACTTGCTTCCTAGGTCCCCACCGTATTCGAAAACTACGTGACGGATTGCCGGGTCGATGGCCGTTCCGTACAATTGGCTCTTTGGGATACAGCTGGACAAGAAGATTATGAACGGTTGCGCCCATTAGCATACTCGAAGGCTCATGTCATCCTGATCGGGTTCGCTATGGACACACCAGACAGCTTGGAGAATGTGAAACACAAGGTACGTCAGGTCTGCTAGCAATATGGTTTGGCCGCTAACCTTTGATAGTGGATCGAGGAGGCGAACGAACGGTGTCCCGGTGTACCCATTATCCTAGTCGGCCTCAAGAAAGATCTGCGAGAAGACCCATTGGCTATCGAAGAAATGCGCAAAAAGTCCCTTAAATTCGTCACAACCAAAGAGGGCAACGACATTGGCACCAGCATCGGAGCCCGCAAATACCTCGAATGCTCCTCTCTGACCGGTGAGGGTGTCGACGATGTGTTTGAAGCAGCCACCCGAGCCGCGCTCTTGACCTTTGACAAGCGGAAAAGCTCCTGTTGCGTGGTGCTATAACGACATCAGAATGTGCGACATTGCAATTGCTTTCTCTGCCAGCGTTCGGTTTATTTACTCTCTCGACTTGGGAAAGCGATGAACTTGGTTCAAGCTCTAGTTTGCCGTTCAATCGACCTTCCGCTGTATCATGCATCATTGGCGTTTGGGAGGTTATAGTGCTCGCCTGGTCGATTGGCTTGGGCCATGCCTTTTATTTTGCCTTGGCTGTTTTGGCCGTGTCTATTCTCTCTCGGAGTACATTTGTTCTTTTTTTCCTTCACTTCATGTCTTTCCTTGACTGGCCGTTGCTTTGCCTCATTCTTCCGACTTTATGCACGTGCAACTCCGGATACCTCTCCCTGACTCTCTTTCGCAAATTCCCCAACGTGCATGGCGAACCCGCTCCTTTAACCTATCTCTGTAGTATTTCCTGTCACTCCCTCCTTTCATCCTATGTGTTACCTTTTTTTTTTTTCCGGGACTACATAATTAAACACTTGACCTCGGATTCTGTCTTGTAATTTACATTCAGGCACTACAAGCATCTAGTCGTAGGGCCCACCAAATTAATGAATCCATACCAATTGAGGGTTTTCCCAAGCCAAATACAAATTCTACGTCCGCCTTAGTATGTATTGGAAGAAAAGCAGCAAAAGAAATTCATGGGTCCTCGATTTAATCCCAATTGACCTTGACAAAGAAGATAAAATGCATATATAGTACATGGCGCCAATGATACAAGACAACCCAAGGCATATCAAGCAAGTGCCTCAAATCTCACCTAGTCAACATAACCAATGCTCAATAACAGGGTCTCACGTCTATTTCTTCGATGGCCGCTTCCACTCATGGTTCCACCCTTCAGCAGGGGGGTAGTCGGTCTGCATACGTCCGTACTCGATAGGGAACATATCATTGAAGATACCCTTCTTGTTCATCGATTTCCGGAACAGCCTGCCACCATCACCGGCACCAGTCCGCAGCTCCTCACACGCAGCCTGCATGCTCTGGTACTGACGCTGCAGCTCGAGTTCGTGGTTTTGACGCTGCTTCGCCTGGAAGAGTTGCCAGGTACGGTGGATAGTCCAGTGACGCAGGAAACGATTACGGGAGAAGCGGAGGGGACGTGGGGTGAGGGGGTGGTGGAGGAAGTAGCGAATAAGGGCTGGATAATGTTAGCATCGGAACTTGAGGGTGGCATGTGGTGTTCGCGGTTAGGCATTGCCGGCAATGGGTGGGACATACTGATTCGCTTGTCTGTTCCAGGGCGGCCTGCACGCTTGGCCATTGAGCTTGTCGATGAGAATGGGGCGGATTGCACGGCTGCGGTGACCGGGCCTGGTTGTGTTGCTCGTCGGGTCAGGGTCTCTTGGCAGGCACGGGTGACCGAAGGGCGCACAGGCGCCAGCGACATGGGAATCCGGAAGACATTCGCAAGGGAAGCGAGCGCTGGTGATAGAGACCGCATTGTGGTTGGGGTATATGGGGGTTGTAGAAGAGGATGTCGCGGTGCTGTTCAGGGCGAATAATTCCCTGACGGCAGAATCGTCGCCGCCTTTGATTAGCCGCGCGCTTAAATCAATATACCTGAATAGCAACTCTACGAGTACAAATCAATTAATTGCCTTTAATTTATTGTCAAATGGTAAAGGTTCAATCAGCAAACATCCATGTTTCATGAAATCAGGCTTTTTCCCCTTGGTCATGTTAAATATGCTCCTGATGTTACATACAATGATCAAAATGCATAGTCCGTTTGAGAAGATCCGAGAAGAGTGGCAATATATCAGATAAGAATATGAATCGTAATGTGCAGCGGTATCTTGAGAGTCGTGAGAGGCATCAAATGTCAAAGCGACATGCGTGTAAAGAGTACACCCCGCCAAAATCATTAAGCAAAAGCCCCGTAAAATAACGCCGTAGGATGCAAAAGAGAGGAAACAAGTACCGAGGCTTAATGAAGCAGATTCACATCGGTTTTACCGCTTCGCTGTCCCTTTTTTGGCCTTTGACCGCTCGTAATTTAAAACCTTGCGTCGCCGATGTGTCTGTGCCAGCTTCCACCGGCAGTAAAGAACAAGTGCATCTTTCAGCAGCACAAACATACAGCCACCGACGACACTACGGCCCCAACGAGTCTGGAGAAGTCCGGGACGGCTACGCTCCAAGACCGAAGATGGTGTGGTCCAAGATTTGGGAAGGACGTATTTTAGAAGACCACCCACGGATGCGGAGATAGCCGGGAACACGAGAGCTCCGAGAACAATGTCGGTGAGATTTCCGGTGTCGTGGATGATTTCATTTTGACGTCGACCGAGGTCCATCCCCTGTCCGTTATTCTGGTCCGCGGCCTGGCCTTGGGCTTGTCCATCCTGGGCGCCTGTGTCAGCGCCATCGTTGTTATCGGCAGCGGGAAGAGCTGGAGCACCGACAAGCTCGTCGTCATTGCCCATCCCTACCTGTAACTCGAGGTCAATCTCCATGAGAATTTGACCATTGACATTGTCGCCAAATCGATTCAGTCCCTCCGCTTGGTCCTGCTGCTGTGCATCATCCAGAATCTCTTCGGCTGCACGAGGTTGTACCTCTGCGATCCATTTTCGCTCCAGTGCACCGAAAATGCGATCGTAAAGTGCACCATAGAAGCTTTTCACATATGGCAGAGCGGCGAAAGTCATCGCCGGAGTAGGTGGCCAAAGATCAAGGTCAGGCTCTTGGCCCGGGCTGTGCGCAGCGAAGAATAACACGGGAATCGCCGGAAGGAGGCCCTCGGCGTAACGAGTGCGAGAAAAAATTAGAACGAGGGGAATGAGGGGTAGGCCGAGATTCATTCCAGGGTTCCACGGGCCATCCAGACTATCCTCGAAGATCTGCCTGGCCTCTTCCGAGCCGAATACAAGATGCATCGAGTATGCACCATGTGCGCAACAGCCTGCCCACACTGTACCCGCCACCGTGAAAACCATCCCAGGAAGGACGAGCCGTCCCGCCACTTTTTCCATCGTACGCAAGGCATCGACAATGTAGCTTCGTGGCCGAGTAACGACAATCTCAGATTTACACTGAGGGCACTGCATTTTAGCATCACCATTTCGTCTGCGCGAGCGAGGATTCTCAAGATCTGCAAGCCAATCAAGCAGACAAGCCTCATGCGCTGTCAAAGCACATGGACATGGAGATCGCCATTCCAGATTCAGCGGTGAGTCCTCTGTCTCATCGGTATAGCATATCCAACACTTGCGGGGTTCCTCGATATCCGGGTGTCGTCCGATGGCCTTGTCGGTGACCTGAGTCGCATTTTCGAGGGCGCCTGGAGTGGAAGCGCCTTTGTTCAAGAATACGGTTTCAGTGTCCTCAGTCGAGTCGGCCTGGGATGAGGCACCCTCGAATGTGGTTGTATCCTCGCTATTGGAAGCAACACCATCGGATGATCTGGTCCTCCCAGCGGCAGTATAACTTGGGAGTGACGCCATGGTGAAAGGAAGGGTCAAAAGGCGCAGTAAAAAAGTAAAGGATTAGAGTGCCGAACTCGAGTTCAAAGAAATGTGGGTCAGCATCTTCCGAGTAGATTCAAGAATGGGGAGATGACGACGTCGAAACCCGCTGGAAGAGAGTAGCTCCGCACCAAGGTGGAGAGTCTGCCTTAAAGAGCATCTCGGCTGTGACTCGCGGCTGTCAATGTCCGGTCACGTGAGTGGTCACGTCAGAATCGCCGAGGCGAACGTGCTCTTGCTTTGTGCCCGCAATCAGCGCGATCTCCCGAAAGTTTGCGACCAGTGGTGGAGCAGGTATGCCTGGAAAATGAGCAGGGATGACCGTTATCGCTGTTTGTAGCCTTTTTGGTCTATTTATACAATCATTTCCGGAAAGCTAGTGGACTAGAGCAAATTAGTGACTCGGAAATCCGCTTTATCAATCGGCATTACATGACTTGTCAAAATAAGTTGACCGGAGCGGCGTAGCAGTAGGCGATCGTTATCTCAATTCATTTAGGACAATTCCCAAAATGAGACATTCATCACGCTATTCCCGCTAGGAACAGGTCTAGTGTCTGGCAGGTCATGAATTCAGGCACTAAACCTTCCATACCCCTATTTTGACAAATAGCTCACTCGTACAAAAACGCTTAACTTTTCACCCTTTCCCTAGGTAGCTAAGGGTACTTGTTCACACATCCTTTCCCGAACCAAGCGTTTAAGGGTCCAAGTGGATCTTGGCGATCCGGAGCTAGGACCGAACATTACGGGAACCGTATCAGATACGTGGAAGCACCGTGCGTAATCATGTCAATAATTTAAACTTTCATAGCTTGCAACCATCATGGCTATTGAAACCGACACGACTGGTTCTCAGCTCAGATGCATCAGATCGCGTCAAGTAGTGGTGCTGGTGTAAATGTTGGTGTGTCAGAATTCTCCTGGTCTCTATTTTTTTTTTTTAAAAAAAATTTTCTGACGCTTTCGTTTTCTTCATCACCAAATGTAAATGAAAATGAATTAAACAGGGAAGATTGGATTGGTCTACAAGGGACTTATATGCTTGAGCCGGACGTCAGCAGAACATATGCTATGATGGTCAACAAAGCAAACACCCACGGTCCACACGTCAAGGTCATGTGTTGAGTTTGCATTAGATTTTTCGTTTGTCAGTCACGATATCTTCAAATGAGGAGTTGCGATTCTTGAGTATTATCCCCGACCCCCCCCCTTTTCTCGAGTTCCAACCCTTGTGATCGAAAAAAAGAAAAACAAATGGGATCGTGTTATGTATCCGGAGGGGTGTAAACTTTTCCTTAGGATCACAATAGGACGCATAAGTACTCATGTAGGAAGGTTGGACTTTGGAGGTTCTTTGCTCGTCCCAAAATCGACAGTGCGGAGAATACGGCCATCGCGCTCGTATCTACACGTTTTGTAAGCCTTTTCACTCCCATATCCGGTGCTCCCGTAGCTGTTAGGGCAATATCCTTCAGAAGAAAAAGGCCCCATCTATATCAGTTTTTATTCTATAGTGAGAATTAGCCAGTCAGCTGGGATGGCAGAGTGACGTCCAGCGCAACAATAAATAGAGACCCCGTCAATTCCCGGCCTACGACGTACAGTACAACAACCTTGGAAGGTAGGAAGGCTGTTTGCCCAGGAAAGATCCTATCAATTTCAATGGCTATGTGGACTGGATTTAGATTGCTTACTTTCCTTTAAAATAATTAGAGCCTCATTTCTCATTCGGTTGTGCAGCATGTTGCTTTCGCCAAGCTTGTCTCATTGCTCGTCTCTTCGTGAATGCACCGAAGAATAGGAAATGTAATCCTATGTCTGCGATATTGATCCGAGTTGTACAATCTGCCAAGCAGACCAACTGCATATCTAAACAGGAACAATAATAGAATTCAGCGGGGCAAAGGTGAAATTTATGTCTTGGCAAGATATGACATCGGGATACGTCATCGCAACGGCGGTGACAAGCATCACATCATGTTCCTAGTGAGACTGAGAAACTTGATTTTTTAAAGTACAACTGAAAACAACATTCAAATTTAAATATTCTCAATCCATAGATTCTTTTTACACATCGTGACTTCAGAACTATTCAAACTTCTCCACCTTCCTCGTCGACGTACCACTCAAAATGAGCTCCTTCTTACGACTCTCATCGCGAATTCGGACGCCTGTTTCCTCTGCCTACCTCGGTCGCCCCTTGACCAGCCTCCCTGGGCAACGATGCTACGTTCATAGCACCCCCAATCAATTTGACAAGGCCAATGAGCATGACCTGGAAGAAGACTGCGACCGTGGCAACACTCCAAACCACCCAATCCCCTCCAACAAAGCGCACCCCACTCTTCGAGATGGCAGGCAGTCCAACCTAGCCGATATGGAAGGCAAAAAGCATGAGGAACTCCCGGAGGATGTGAGAAAACACAATGAGGAAATGGAAAACCGATATGACAAACCTTACAACCATATCGCGGACGAGGGCCCTGTTGAGAAAGCATTTGAAGCAAAGAAAGAAAAGAAATGAAGTGCTTGTGAGCTTGATCTGATCTGGAGAATGGATTTTGGGCCGTATGAACCGTCATACTTTTAAATATGTACAATAGTCTTTGCATTTCGTATGTCTTCAGATAAAGAGAGCTATGGTTTGTTATCTGCTCATACTCGAGTGTTTTCCTTTGGCACTGAAACTATACGTAAAAGCTAGATATACATAAATATATGAGGGAGCTATTATTTAGAGGTCGTCAAAAGGTGAATAATTCAGTACTGGGAACCTTTATTTAAGACCATCTCAACCATGATGCTAGGGTAAGGAGTGTATAAATGGTCTTTGAATTATTGCATGTGATGAGTTTGACCACTTTAGTTAAGCGCTTCAATACGTTCTGGAAGCTCCGCATACTTAATGGCAACTGTCCTAGATATTTCAGCTCGAGGCTACACACAGCTTTCCATAGACCCCCATAGTATTGCCATAATTGCCCTAGATATACATTACAAGCTTCACCGCATTCGACACCCATATGGCATGAACGACGATCAGAGTCATTCTTTTCCAGGGAAGTAGTCACTGTGATTATAAAACCCACCTCTTTTATCATCCACATAAAAAGGCCGTCCTCCTAAGGACGTTCCATGGCCCCTCTCCAGGAACAAATCTCAACTCGAATGACCGCAACGCGACATCAATCTCCAAGTCTCGTACAGACAGAATTTAGCATACTCCCAGGGCCTTCGTATTGGGATACCATACTTGCGGACCTTTTCCGCGGGGCCAAACCCTTTGTAAAAGGTCCATCAAGTGCAAGCTTGACATGATGATGCTAATCCTACAAGCTAAATGAAATGAGGAGAAGGTAACTTTGTGACAAACATGTCAGAGACACATGGCATGACTCATCTGAATGTGTTAAGGCAGCTGGCTACGTATATTACCCAGATTGTAAGCTCTGTGTATGAGCTACTAAATTTCAAGGAAGAGATGCAACAGATAGTGCAGAGCTTCGTACTGTGCTTCGGGATTGCCACCCTCGACATGACTAGAGCTCCAAGTTTGCTTACAATTCTCGCTACATGCTTTGCGCAGTCCAATAAACTTGAATAGGTTGTCCGATCTGAATATTGAAGTTCAAACTAAGCATATCCCTGCTCAGTCACCCTGGTAAGCGACCCATTTCGATCGGATGCATAAGGTATGCTTCTCGGAGGTAAGGCTAACATGCGAAAGAGGCGCCGCGATTGGCGAGAGTCAGGTGTACTCTTTCTAATCGTAATATATGCTCCACTTCCCTCGATAGAGGTCTTACATACTAGCCCTGCCATCTCGTGTGACGTCTACATCTCTGCCAATAATACGTCCACGCAAGATGAAGTTTGTATCACTTACAAGGATCTGGATAGTAGACAAAATGGGACAATGAAAGTCGGAAGCTTTCGGCAGCAAGGAAGTCGCTTAAAGCATTTTGTGATTCCGATGCAGTTCACGTCCGGATCCAGTTTCTTTCTTACGTTTGAGCATTGCGAATTGCATCACCTTGTATTGCATTTGGACAAACAGAGCTCTAGCTCAGCAAGAACCCATTCATCACCTCTTCCAAAGTGTCTTTCAAAAGCACATTATTGGGAGAGTGTCTCGCTACCTAGGATTCCAGCGCCCATGTCCAGAAACATGGCCGACAGAGAAAAGTTCCAGGCAGTCCTTCCTTCCATATTGACCGATCTGGACCAAGATCTCACTCGAAGAGGAACGCCCAAAGCCCTCAAGGATCGCTTCCTTGCCGTAGGTCTCCATGCATGCTGCTCCACTAGAACAGTCTGACCGACTTAGTGTCTACGCTCCAATGTCCAAGGAGGAAAACTCAATCGTGGCCTTATTGTCCTCAACACCGGCCACGTCCTGCTACCCCGTCCCCTGTCCGCGATCGAAATTCAACATCTCAGTATTCTCGGCTGGCTTACTGAGCTATTTCAGGCCGCGTACCTGATCTGGGACGATATCATGGACTCCTCCGAGTACCGTCGGGGCCAGCCTTGCTGGTATCGCCGGGACGGTATCGGGCTCAGTGCCATCAACGACGCGTGTCTGATCAAGTCGTCCATAATGGTGCTCCTGCGGCAGTACTTTGGCGACCATCCGAGCTATTGTGAGATGATGGAGCTATTTGACGAGGCTGCGTTCCGAACGGAGCTGGGCCAACTCGCTGATATGACGACGAGCAATGAATGCAGCCTGGCTGAGATGACGATGGAACGTTATGCGTTCACGGCGGAGAACAAGACTGCATTCTATAGTTTCTACCTCCCCGTCGCTCTCGCTCTGCAGTACCTCCAGCACGCGACTGAGCAGAATCTGACAGTTGCACGAGAAATCCTGCTTCGCATGGGCCGGTATTTCCAGGTTCAGGATGATTATTTTGATGTGTTCGGGGATCCGAAGATCACCGGCAAGGTTGGGACAGATATTCGAGATAACAAGTGCTCGTGGATGGCCCTGAAGGTCTTTGAGCTCTCTAGCTCCGAGCAAAAGGCTATTCTTAGTCTGTGCTACGGAAAACCAGACACGGAGAAAGAGGCCAGTGTGAAAGATGTGTTTTGCCAGGTAAATATCGAGGACGTGTTCAAGAACTTTGAGACGACCGAGTTAGACAATCTTGAAAAGCAAATCGACCAAATCGGAGGAGAGTATGGGCTTCTCAAGAATGCTCTCTGGTCAGTTTTGGGGAAGATATCGCGGCGGGATAAGTGAGTTATTTCATTTCCGAAATGCATATTCACCTGAAATCTCGTTTCTGGAAGCTGTCTTTCGTAGCAATCACAACTTTGCCCTTAGAAACTTTGGGGACTCTGATAGGCCTGGAACAATACTTCGTAGGGTGGTGTGCTTGCTGGCCTTCTTGTGTCATTCCTGTGGCATTTGTTGTCATTCCTTAGGTTCAGCTGGTAATTCGTGGATCGAATCCATACTTGTAGGTATCTATCAACGCATTCAAATCGACATTTACTATTTCATCTACGATCCTCACAAAGCTCACTCGATCGCTGATGTGGCCTACTTGAAGAATAGGTAATTTCTCTGATACCCAGGGATGAGATGAAATGATGTCTTTCGGCCAGCAGTGGAAGCGTGAGCTCAAATCCAGTGATATTTGTGATTTGGGGGGCATTGCGACAGGCTTCCTAATTGCAGCTGATGCCATCACGCATATTGACTGAAAGGATGTGTATTTCAAGTTCTCAATCGAGTGGAGACAAAGAGTTTATTGTCGCTTAAATCGCTTAGACAGAATTTATGCGGAGGGGAGTTGGGGTGCTGACTGACGAGAGAGACCATAACAAATGATGCGATATGTATTGTTTATCTCATAGTGTTTTCCTTGAGAGATAGTTTTTTCTGGCTTTTGAAGTAATTCATCTTCATCACCAATGCTATAATATTGATACAGCTTCCTTTCGCGTGTCGCTTGCTAACTTTGGAACTTCTCTCGAAATCTGGCTGTATCTCTTCTTGACAAGCTCATGCTTATGATAGCGGTGCGAGTGATGATTTCGGACATTCTTAATGGTGCCAGCCAGACATCATATCTCCACGATGAGCTCTCTTTCTCCCCTCATGCAAGCTGCAGAATATCTGGAGAGCAAATCGCATGCTTGTGTGTATCGGTAAGCTCGGACGGCGTGTGAAGATGGACCCCTCCAGAGACCCACCGATTGCTGTGGATCCAATATCTTAACGATAGCCAATCAAGGCACGGTTATCAGGCTTTATGTTATTGTGCTTCTCTGCAGTATCTCTTTCATAAATATAAAAGCTCCCGGTATTCAAATTTTCACGAACATCGAGTTTATGTTACTCTGAAGTTGGAGTGGAAGAAACGACGTCTTGATCTCGCTTGTTGACTTGCGATTTAAAGTTTGTGCAAACCACCCAAAAAGTCTTATCGATAAGATTTTGGAAATTATATTCTGCCATATCTTACCGTCAACAAAGTGCCAGCCCAGGTACCCTTCGGGTTGAAATTTTCATTCAACCATTGTATGACTCTTTGAAATAAAAAAAATTCTCGTCATGCAATCTCCTCCTACCACTGATGGCACCCAGCCTTATGCCTCCATGGCTGGGAAGCTCGACCCCCGACTCCTTCAAGCCCTGGACGTCATGGACTTCAAGTTCATGACGCCTGTCCAACAACGTGTTTTGACCGAACTCCCAGACTGGCGCAGTGACTGCCTCGTCCAGGCCAAGACCGGTACTGGAAAGACGCTGGCCTTCCTTCTGCCTGCATTGCACTGCCTCCTCCAGGGCAAAACCACGCCACCCCGAGGCCAGGTCGCCATCTTGATTATCACCCCCACAAGAGAACTCGCCCAACAAATTGCCAAATCGTGCGATCAGCTCACATCACAACTGCCGAAGCCCCTCGAGTGTCATATCGCAGTCGGTGGAACAGCTCGCGCTTCCGCTCATTCGCGCTTCATGAAGGGAGCCCCGTCTGTTCTGGTAGCAACACCGGGCCGACTGAAGGATTACCTATCCGACGAGTACACGGCTGAGAAGCTGTCCAACATTCAAACCCTGGTCCTTGATGAGGCCGATACAATGCTTGAGGCTGGATTCCTGGCCGATGTGAAGCAGATCCTTCGCCTTATCCCTTCGAAGAAGACAGGCTGGCAAGGCATGTGTTTCTCGGCCACCGTTCCACCCAAGGTCAAGGATGTGGTCAATGTGGTGTTGAAGGAGGGCTACACTAACATCTCTACCATTGATAAGAACGAGTCACCAACACACGAGAGAGTTCCCCAGTACCACGTGCTGATTCCGTCCGTGGCAGAGACCTTTACCGCCCTTGCTACTCTTATCAAGCTTGAGAGTCAAAAGTGCTCTAAAATCATTGTCTTTGGCGTGACTGCCAACATGGTCGCTCTCTGCGCCAAGGTCTTCGCCCAAGGCTTGACGCCTTTGAATGTGTTTGAGATCCATTCTCGTCTCAGCCAGAACATCCGCACAAGAACTACCGCCCAATTCAAAGAAGCAGCCTCCGGGATCATGTTTGCCTCGGACGTTATTGGTCGTGGCATGGATTTCCCCAATGTCGACTTGGTCATCCAGGTCGGTTTGCCCTCAAACGGTGAACAATACGTTCACCGTGTTGGTCGTACTGCCCGTGCTGGTAACGACGGCCGTGCGATCATCCTCCTTACCCAAAGCGAATCTTTCTTTATGAAGGTCAACCGTCACCTGCCCATCCAGCCGCATCCCCAGACCGATGCAATCCTTGCGGAAGCTCCCTCCTTCGCAGACTCTGTCAACAATGCCATGTACCAAATCGATGAAGTCACAAAGCAACGGGCCTATTCATCCTATATTGGTTTCTTTGCTGGATCAGGTCTTCTGAAGCAGCTCCGTCTTGATAAGGCCGGTCTTGTCCAACTCGCCAACGAAATGGCCATCAAGGGCATGGCTTGTCCCGAAGCTCCCCCAATGGACAAGAAGGTTGTCGGCAAGATGGGTCTGAAGGGTGTCCCTGGATTCAACTATGGAAGCTTGAGTGATCTGAATGGGGAGAGTAATTCCGGCGGCCCTCGTGGCCGTCCCAATGGACGTCCCAATAACAAGAAACGCGATGTCCTTAGCCCTGGAGGTGGTCAACGACGGGGAGGAGTAGAGAAGAATGGCCAAGGCGGAGGTCGCGGAGGAGGTCGTGGAGGTGGCCGTGGAGGCCGTGGAGGTCGTGGCGGTCGTGGTGGCCGTGGACGGGGCGCATAAAGAGTCATTTTACAATGTATTATACCAATATAGACTACATAATGGCACACATGATGAACCTAGTTACAAACCAACTATTCTATGAGTAACATTAAACAGCAAAAAACGAACTGACTTTTGCAAAAATATTGTAGATGCATGAAGAACAAAAATGTAAAAAGAAATGACAAGAGTGGGATTTGAACCCACGCCCCGAAAACGAGATGCGGAAATCTGGATCAGGTGAACCTGAACCGCACGCCTTGGACCAACTCGGCCATCTTGCCTGTGGATGTGAAAATTTCCCCTTTTTGGCATCATAGCCAAAAACAAAAATAGAAATGAACTATTTGCAACACGGATGAGATGAGATAAACTATAGTCTGCCATACGAGGTATATTTCTATTTAACTTGAACACCATTAATCCAGCACATCACTAAACCGCAATGACCAGTCATCCATTAAGATCCTCGATAAGTCGAATAATTCCAAGGCCCGAGCAAAACAGGTACATGATAATGACGCCAACCCTCCTCTCCATCACGTCCCCGACCCTTCACTGTAAATTTCACCTCAACCTCGGGCCAGAAGCTCTCAATCCCCTGCGCCTCATACCAAGGTCCAACGTCAAAGCGCACAGACCAGTTCGTCTTGCTCTCCGCAGCCGGCAGCGCAGCCAAAATATCCGGGACAGAAGATGCAGTTGCACCGTTCGCAGGTGTCCATTTCGCGACGCGGCCGTCGGCGTTAGTGGTAGCGTGGAAGGTGGTGGGGCTGGACGGTCCTGCGGGGGTAGACAGAAGCGTCAATGTGACGGGGAGGTTCGCGGCGGGTGTGCCGGTCAGTGTGTTTAGACAGTGGCAGGTAATGGGGTCGCGGGCGGCCATCGTGGGTGGGTTGGAGTGCGGGGCGGAGAGGTGTTGCTGGTAGAGCGCGAGGCGGTTGGCTGTGCGATCTGAGGGTTTGTGGGAGGGGTCCATATAGAGACGAGGAGAGGACAGTTGGGGGAAGAAGTAAAATTCCAAGTTGATTTATCTACGGGGAAGTTCTTAATTTCTATGGGCCGGTGGCATCGGAGGGCACCGATAGCCATGCGGAGGATGCCATGGGTGGAGCTCAAAGGTTTACGGTTTCGGGTTCTCGACGATCATTGATTTTGATTCAAGGCTTTGATCTTTGATTATAATTCGAAGTAATAGTCAAAGACGATTTAGTTCTGTTCAGAAAGAATTGCCGTGGAGGATTCTCGGGTTATGACCAACCTTGGAATGCATGTCCATTGATAAGCATATCCTCGGCTGGGGAGCTAGTAGATATGGCACCAGGAATGCTTTTCCGGGCTTCCAAGGTTTGTGATTTGGGATCTCAAATGCATATCAAGCTTCCTTTGTCTGTCATCACAGTGGCCCATTTATTAAGATGATTTTCGACTTTGATCTCGAATATCAAGAGTATTGTTATATCTGAGATTCTGTTTGAGCTTCCTTATAACCCAGAGAGTTGGTCCAGAGACCTATGGGAAGTACACAGTAGCACTTGATCACAAAGTTCCGTTTCTTGGTTGGAGACTGGTTTGAAAGAGTAGTTCGTTTCATTGGGTCCGAAGATGCAGGAGCCTCATAGAAACGAAAGCATTAGTATCAGGTGATGTGGCATTAAAGTCGTTTATGGACACGCGTCACCAGAAAGCAAAGTGTACAGCTGGAAAGTGGCAACTCTATCCTCAATCCAAATCACTGAAAGCTTTTAACCTCAAAGAAACTAAAAGATCAATCAAAGCTCTATCAATTCCCATTGTAGCTATCTAGACTGTGTTCGGGAACGTTCGATCGCTTTGCGGGGCAAATCCTCAATTTTGAACATCACCTCCGTCTCTCCCCCACACCACTCCTAAGCTCCGCAACATCATCATGTCTTCCTCCGCCGTGGTCCAAAGTGACGACCTCGACATGGATCCCACGCTCCAGTCGATCATCGACCAGAAAACCCTTCGCTGGATCTTCGTCGGTGGTAAAGGTGGTGTGGGTAAGACCACAACCTCCTGCTCGCTCGCCATCCAACTCGCCAAAGCCCGCAAATCCGTGCTCCTGATCTCCACCGATCCCGCCCACAACCTGAGCGATGCCTTTGGCCAGAAATTCGGAAAGGAGGCCCGTCTCATTGACGGATATGACAATCTCAGCGCCATGGAGATCGACCCCAACGGCAGCATCCAGGATCTCCTGGCCAACGGGGACGGACAGGATGATATGGGCGGAATGGGCATGGGAAACATGATGCAGGATCTTGCGTTCAGCGTAAGTTGAAAGGATGCGCTAAAGGCGAAGCCAAAGTTCTGGCATGAAACTAATGCCAGCGCTGCTAGATCCCCGGAGTTGATGAAGCCATGTCCTTCGCCGAAGTCCTGAAGCAGGTCAAGTCGCTTTCTTACGAGGTTATTGTGTTCGATACTGCGCCTACCGGCCACACGCTGCGCTTCCTGCAGTTCCCAACTGTTCTTGAGAAGGCGCTGGCGAAGCTGTCCCAGCTCTCGTCGCAGTTCGGGCCCATGCTCAATTCGATTCTGGGCGCGCGGGGCGGTTTGCCCGGTGGACAGAACATGGACGAGCTGTTACAGAAGATGGAGTCGCTGCGGGAGACCATCAGCGAGGTCAACACGCAGTTCAAGAACGCGGATATGACCACCTTTGTCTGTGTGTGTATTGCGGAGTTCTTGTCGCTTTACGAGACCGAGCGGATGATTCAGGAGTTGACTAGCTACGGCATTGATACCCATTCGATTGTTGTGAACCAGTTGCTTTTCCCCAAGGAGGGCAGTGGCTGCGACCAGTGTACCGCGCGGAGGAAGATGCAGAAGAAGTACCTGGAGCAGATCGAGGAGTTGTATGAGGACTTTAACGTGGTTCGCATGCCGCTATTGGTGGAGGAGGTCCGCGGAAAGGATAAGCTGGAGAAGTCAGTTGATTCCTGCATATGGTGTTATGATTTCGGCTAACCTTTTTCTGGTATAGGTTCAGCGACATGCTTATCCACCCCTATATCCCGCCGCAGTAAGGGCTTGATCCCGTAGCTTGACAGGATACGAGATGGCCTTGGCAGTTTTGTTCGGACGAATTATGAAAAGACTAGAGAATAATAAATCACCGATGATCCTGGTTCGATGTATGCGTAGTTGTAAGTGAAAGATCCGAATTCCCGGGCATCAAGACCAGAGTGTAGAGGAGACTATGCAAGTCCCTGTACCGACTTGTTCTGGACTTTCCTCAGCCCAACCAAACCCACCGCACATCAAATTCTTTAGAGTTCCGATTTCAACAGATTCGGGGCAAATGCATAGACTCCGACAAATCAGAAGATCCCTGGGCTGATCGAAACCCAGGAACTGGGGTCTGCAGCCATGTGTTCCTATATCTCAAGGGCAAATCTCGGTCCCGAGAGCGTATGCAGCAACAGCCTACATTGGATTAGTTCGGGCTTCGATGAAGGGCAATGGTGCCACGACATCAACCATTTGGCGCTGCCTCCAAGGTGCGGTGTAGGAAAGTTATGTGACAACTCCGCTTTTTGCAATTGATTTACTCGGTATTTTGGAAAACGATCCGTGCTGTGTTACTCATGCTAACTTTCCCCAAGCCTCACTTTGACCGGGCACGGGGAACAGCGGCAACGAATATCATGAGCTGAGCTTGATCAGACCCCCAGAGATTGATTAATCGAATTCCAATTCCAAATTGATCCATCATATGGTATACCAGAGGCAAAAAGGGAAGAGGGGGGGGGGAAAGGGTTGGGTCTCATTGTCTCCTAGAGTGAGGCGAACCCCCTTTTGCCCCGAGAGTTCCGTGAACCCTTAGCAGGAGAAACTGGGACTGGATCGATTGGTTGTGGATTTATGCTTTCACGCTTTCTGCGATGCGCCCCCAATTAGGTAGGGTTGGATTCGAGTCCGCTGCTTCATGACTGCGCCGTCCACACCAGGGATTTTACCTAGCGTCTGCTAATTATCTTGCATCCCATTTGTTCGTTTGGGATGTGAATGCAGTGGATCCAGATCCAAGGCATGGTGGTGGGTTCGCTGTTTCTGAGATCATCTCCCATCCAAAAACTAGATGGAGAGCACTGCAGTGGTCTGGGACTTGGTCCTATTCGTCACCCTTTCTTTGACAAGGGTCCTGACAGACCGCTCATGAGTTATGAGGGGAAGGGGGGGTTCGAATCGCTTTGAAGCTGGCTAGTGCGGGTTATTTATACCCTATGCAATCCTGAAGAAGGTTAAAGAACAGAAAAGCAAACAATCACCCCAGATATCTAGTACAGGTATCTAGGATTACTAGTTTATACTGGTTTATTACTTCTTGGTCCTCGCTGGTGTCTATCCAATATTCAAACCGCTACCAGCACATCAATACTGTCACTACTTCTTTATTTGAAGTTATACCACAATGTCGCCCGTCCAGCAGTACTGGCTTCCGGGATATGGACTCTCCCGCCACATTGTCCTCGGACACATCCACTACTTCCTCGGTCCGTCTGCTTCGGTCCGGCCGTATAGTTACCAGGTATATCGGGCCACACCACCCACCAGCGCCACGATCAACTCGCTCTAACCAGACTTCCTTTGTTCAAAGGGACGCGAAGGATATCTGATTACGGGTGTACCTCTTACACGGGTCTGTACTTCCAAAAGTCGGAATGGGAGAGACCAAAGCGAGGTCAAGATGTTAATGTCATGGGTTAAAGCTGACTTCCATCTGTACAGGAACAAATTGAGGATCTAGCTACCATGTCTCGAGAGTATGAGAAACAGGAAGCTGCACGCATGACTGCTCAGAGCCATAATTCCCATGGCAACGGCAATGGAGTATCTTCACGGCAGTCAGAGCCCTACATCAATGAGTTGATCCCTGTTGAAACCTCCCGGGGACGTCGGCACCCAGAATCAGAGACTAGAGGCCGTTAAGACCTATATCTCGTGCTTGTTCAACTGTCCTAGACCTGGATCGTGAACCGGAAGTTTGTCCTTTTCCCAATTCCCCGGGAGTTTGCTCTAGCCATCCTATTTCGGGATTCATACAGGACTATCCGGACGTTTCAATGCCATGAAGTTCTTGACCGAGGACGACGGGCTTGATACTTGGCCTGGATCGACTCTTCTGTCTGGCCTTTTCTGCTGTGAACCCCCGGGGTTGAGTTTATATCAGGATCAGGTGAACCGGATCTTGATCGATTCTGCGAGGGATAAGCCAGTCCGTCCGGGCATATTGTTTTACGACACTCTTTGTTGGAGTGTGCGCTAGAAGCTTCCAGGTCTCGTCGTGGCGTTATGGTTGTTAGGACTCTTGTCCCTTCTGGCTATCATGCAGTCTGCTGCAACATACAACGGAACACATTCCAAGGACCAGACATATTGCCAGACATCATTTTCACTCATCTCTATAGACCATTCGTAACAGCATAGATCCATCAGACCCCGACTAACTCGGGAGTCTACTACATTATTCCCTCTCTTTTCTCTTTTTTGTTCTTCTGCTAGGAACCAACGAAGAAGAAAACACGATCTGATGACAGAAGGGGGTGGGGGGAAATAGAAAATGGAAGAAGAGAAACTGTGGACTTAGAGGTAAAAAAGAAACATCAGAAAAGGTTGGACCACCTAAGAACGCCAGCCGGATGCCACTCTGCCTCGGAGTCCCTCATCCCTCACAAAAGAACCGTGTTGTGACATACACGGGGAGACTATAAAAGGGAGAGGCAAAAAGAAAAAAACATTTGGGGTTGATAATAACAAAAGAAGAAAAGTTCGCATCATCTCATGGATAGGGAGGAGGTTGTTTATTTTGCGACGGATGAGCTCAAGACCTGTGTGCGGAAGAAGGCACCCTTGGTCTTTTCAATGACTTGCTGGTAAACCGACTGCGGCGGGTGGTTCATGATAACTGTGCCCTCCTGGTAGTCGATCTTGGCATCAACACGGGTATCGCGGATGAGGTTGACAATCCACTTCTCACCCTCATCCTGGTTCAGACCAAGGCGGGTAGAAAGATCGCTGGGAGAAGTCAGTAGGTTGTCTCAAGAAGATTTTCTTTTGAATATTGCTTGATACATACTTGATATCGATCCGCTGGTGGATCTTGCAGTAGCTCTCGGAAATCAGGTGACGAGCAGCCTCAACAAAAGCATCCGCAGCAGATACAAGGAAGAAATCACTGCGGAGAACTTCCTCGGCCTCACCCAGCTTCTTCTGGGCCTCCTCGAAGTCAAAGTCGACGTAGAGCGCCTTGACGAAGTCGGTAATAGGGTCGGTGTACTCGTAATCCTCCTGGCGCACAACGCGGATCAGGTCCTTCAGTTGCTTCTGGTACACACCGGAGTGCTTGTGAGGGCGGCTGCGGTTGGTGATGACGGCGGCGGCAAGGTAACGCAGAACCCACGGGCAGCTGGTCTGGATGGTGTTGATGTAGGCGGGGGAGAAGAAGAGGTCGGTCAGGACGTCACGGGCGGCGTCGTGGTTGAAGAAGGGGAACAACGACCAGTGGATGAGCCAAGAGCGGTTGTTGAGCTGGGCGAGGGGGTTGTTGAACAGACGAGTCTCAATTGAGTCCTTGACCTTCTGCACCTCCTCCATGGCAGCCTCCCAGTTGGTGGTCAGGATCTCGGAAGCCAGTTTACCCCAGGTGGCGGAAGCAACCTTGTCGTTATCGGTAGACAGAACACGGAACTGGTACAGCAGCTCGGCGGCGTTACCGTAGCTACCACAGCTGTACTGGAAGCGGCCGTAGTCGTAAAGGCCATCGACCATCTCGGTGGTGACACCGTGCTGCTCCTCGAGGAAGCGCAAGTTAGCGGCCTTGTCGCTGCGCAAGTTGCCCACAACCTCCTCATCCTGCAGCAACTCGGTAATTTTCTCAACCTGGCTCTCGTAGTGCTGCAGCTTGGCCAGAACCTCCTCCCGCTTCTTAACGAACTCCTCGGGGATCGAGTCGGAGTTGTTGATCTCCTTCCACAGGTTGGCGACGTAATCAGTCATGTTGGTGTGCTTAAGCAGCTCGTACTTGGCCCGAATGATTTCGTTGTCCTCCTCATCGTTGCCGGCGCTGAACTCGAGCAGAGGGAAAACCAGGTGGCGGTCGAGGTAGGGGATCAACCGGGGCAGAAGGTCAGTCTCGGGGGCGACATCTGTAGGGTGAGCGCCGCTGAGCTGCGCAGCGGAAGGAGGGGCGTTGTCTGCCATAGTGGGACGCAAGATGTGGGTTGGTTCAAAAGACACAGCGATGTCTCTTTGATTGAATTTGTGTGCGGGAGGGTTTGACGCGCTAAACCCAATTGGGGGGTCAGGAGCGTGGGGCGGTGGCAGAATCAGGACGTGAGAGAAACTTGCGCTTTTTCTTGTTTCTCGGTCCTTGAATGAAGCTTTGTCCGTCGCTTCGCTCACTCTTCCCCCTCCCCAACTTCTCTTCCTTGACGCGCAATGGCGTCTCTTCGACACTCTGCTTCGGTCGCTTCGACCGTGTGCAGACAGAGCGCCAAGTCCCGTCTTACCCAGTCCGTGGCTTCCGTGCAGACATCTAACCTGTCCATATTTACACGGCCTGCATCTTGTAAGTTTCGGAATATGCAATCGATTCGCACTTTCTTTGAATCCAGGGATCTGTCCTACCAGCCGTACCGCACCAGTGGTAGTGGTAGTGACAGTGGCAGTCCAGGTATAACATCATCAGGCTTCAGATCCTCGAGTCTGACGTTGTACCGGCCCGGTCAAAAGAACGAAAAGATCACTTCGTAGGATCATACCCAGCTAACCAACATAATACCCAATAGCCTCTCTCCGCTCATCTACCTCCAACTCCCTTTGTACCCATCAGAAGCGCACGTTCCTGACGTACCTCAACCGCCAAGCTCAAGCGCTTAAAGAGCAACCTATCTCCTCCTCAACCCCATTCCCTCAGCAAACCACACGAGCCCCGGCACCTCTCCAACTCAACAACCTCCCCTACTTCATCCGTCGTACCGGCTCCAACCAGCTGCCCGTCTACCTTGTCACAAAAGCCGGTGGCACAAAGCAGCTTACAAAGATTCAAAAGACCGAGGGTGATCTAGATGCGTTGCGCGAGGACCTCGCACGGTCCCTGGGTGTTGACCTTCGGAGCTCAGATGTGAGCATTAACCGGCTGACTGGTCATATCATTGTCAAGGTAGGCATTTTGATTCTAGGTCGTACCGCGTAAGCGCAAGTTGAATATAAGACTAATGACTAAATCTTACAGGGCTGGCGCAAAAACGAAATCCTGAAGTTCTTGAAGGAGCGAAACTTCTAATCCTTCAACCTCTTTCTTTCCCTTTTATTCGCACCGTATCGCGAAATATGTGTTGCCAAACATCTAATAATCAAGATGGCCACAAAAAGCATTGAGCAAATCCTACATGCGGAATGGATTCGACCCGAACAGATCCTTGGAAGGACGAGACCCCACTAAGGATAACATACGAGGCGGGACAATGTCATATGTCATTCCTATTCGAGTGGCTTTGGGCTGAGACGTCCATGGGTAATTTCATTTCCCTGTCTGGTACTTTTCTTCTTTAATCGTTGTTGGGGGCTTCTTTTCTGCCTCTTTTTTTGAATGCTGGTGTTCTTCCTTTTGGCTTTCATTTTCCATTTGCAGTTGCCCGGCGCTTGCTTTTGAGTTTCACTCTGTACCATTTCTACTCTGTATATGTTCCATGACTCGGTGCGGGTGCCAAGGTATTTTCTTTAATTGAACGATTCCATGCATCGGCTCATAGGCACTCCTATCGTAGATGTCCTGGGAGAGGATCAAACCCGAATCACACCACCGAATGCAAGCTGCTGACGACATGAAGATGTTGGGCCTCGTACCTTATGGTTTATTTGGTCTATGTGTGGCTTAGGCCACTTAGGGTACTTTTTACAAATATCGTATGATCTTGTCGAGGGTATTTTGAGCATTGTACACTGAAAGACTCAACACGCTATCTCACAATGAAAACAAAAATTCTGAAAGAAGTAATGGGCAAAAATAAAAACCCCCATTTCCACTGGCGCCTAAAGAAAGTAAAATTGACCATTGACTGGAAGAAATGGTTACAAATGACATGACAGAAATCAAATTGTCGTAAATGCTTCATACAAAGAACCGCTCATTTTACCCGACGGTGCCCACATACTCCATAGATTAACAAGGATTACTCTGCAAGACGAGCATATGTGAGGAGTTGGCGGATTATGTTGGGATCCATGTTGGGAAGCAATAACGCCCCAAGTAGACTTTCCTTGCGAGGGATAACTCCAGATGGAAGCTTCAGCGGCAAGGTATTGTCCACTTGCTTGGATTTCTCGGCAAGTCGGCGTAAGATGGCCAACCCACGATTGATGATAGCGGCAAACGCATAAGCATCCGCTTCGTGGGGGCCTCTTTGCCGGATACTAGCGAGTTGCGGGAGGCGTTCGGTGCAAAGCAGGCAGGAAAGTCGCAAGAGGTGAATGGCAAACCCATCAACAGACCCAACCCAAGATCTTGCCAAAGAGCCGTCTGCAAATGTGGTCAAAACATCCGCAGCCAACAGACCTTGCATGAGGAAGATCTTGCGGGCATCTGCAACCGCCAGAGGTTTCTTGTCAGGAACGGCGCAGACAGCAAGACCAAACGCGCGGGTCAGGAGATCTGGTCGAGCCGGAACAGAACCGTCACCAGAGAATATGGCTCCAAAGTAGATCCGGTTCGGGTCATCCCTCGCCAACAGCTTAGCCAGGCCATCCACCGCAGCAGGGGTATATCGATGGATAGAAGGATTGAAGGCAGTGAACATCAATTCCTTAGATTGTGTGGATTCTGGCGCAAAAGCAAGAAGGAATTCCAATAGGCTTTGAGCCTCCTCTTTCCCGGGTATTTGCATGACGTGGGCCGAGTTACTCATGAAAATGACCGCATCCTTCATAAAATCCAGTGTATTGTGGTTGGTCCGTAGGAACATTTTGTGGGTTCCAAGGCAGCGGAAAACATCGGCAAAGACCTGAGTAACAGCGGGGATGCCCAGGATGCCAACGTTAGCTTCGTTGAAGGACAAGTTGCGGATGATGGTAGTGATGCATATCAACCGTTCCACGGCTCGATCAAGCCTGTATTCCAGGCTTCCGAATTCAGGAACTTCCGCAAGTGATGTGAATTCAGACTGGCATCCCCGTGTCACCTCTTCGTAAGAACGCATGCCTTCGGGCAATTCAGGGATGTGCTCAGCTAAAAATTCGGCTTGGTCCTGGGCACAATCCACCAGACTTTCCACCAAATCATCGCAGTTCTCCAGAGAGATCGCAGTGTTGGGCTCAGAGGATAGGGTGGTCAGAGTATCCAAGGCAACCCGAATTTCCGCCTGGATCCCACATTTGAGTCCCATGTTCAGAGCATGAATATCCACTACACCTAGTTCTGCAAACGCTGGTACACTTGGCTTCAGCCTTAAGATCTCATCGCCAATCTGGAACATCTCATCTACCGCAATTGGGCCATGCAGGCGGTGCTCGGTGATCACTTTGGGCTTGAACGGATCCTCAATAGGCACCTTAGTCACCTGTTCCTGTTTGGGATCAGCTTTGGCTGGCTGTGGCCCCGGTGTGACCGACGCGGCTTTGCTTGGTTGTGATGGTGAAGGCGCAGCAAACTGCCCTGTGTTGTCTGCGGGGGGAACTGATGACTGCGACTGGCGAGAAACACTAAGTCGATGTGCAGTTTGAGGGGGTTTGCTTTGACTGCGTGCTTGAGTTGGGGTCGCAAATCCATTCATTGAGGGGGCTTGGGCTTGATTCGGGATGGGGGTATTGTTTTGGGGAGATTGAGATGGTTGCTCGAAGCTCTGGCCCTGTTTTACCGCCGGAGACTGAAACTGCATCCCTGATGCATCACTTGGTTGGCGGGGAACACCTGGCTGGAGCTGCGGCTGGAGCTGCTGCGGGTGCTGCTGCTGCTGATTTGGTTGTTGTTGATGCTGCTGCTGGTTTTGCTGTTGCTGCATCTCCGCGAATTGTTTTTGTTGCGAGCTGATAAAAGCCTGCTCATAAGGAGCTAAATTCCGCTGATAATATTCCCGAAGCTCCTGAGCTGCCAGTGGGAACTGCATCTGGGGGAACTGAAGATGCTGCGCAACGGCAGGCCACCCATTCATCGCTGTAACCTTCTTCGATCCACCCATCTTCATGATAGTTCCATACAATTGAACAATACTGAGCGGGCGACCACTGATGATCGGGTTTGGGTCAAAGGGAAGATTTCTTGACATCTGAAATTTCTGTACCGCACGCATAAAGGCTTCTGGGTTGCTGGGCTTTGCGACGTTTTGCTGCATCTGCCGAAAGGCGGCTATCTGTTGAGGATTGGCCATGGGGTTCATGCCACCTGCAACGGGGCGACCGGCCATCTGCGGGTTGGCATTCATTTGTCGGTTTTGCATTGACATAGCATGGAGTCGCTGCTGCTGGGCCGCGAGAGCCTGATGATACCCCGGCGGCACTTGTTGCATACCGCCTTGTTGCATACCGCCAAATGCCTGCTGGGGCGCAGCCGAGCCAGGTCCTTGGAACTGGCCGCCCATGCCTTGCGGAAAGGCTTGCCCAGGCATAAAGTTATTGTTTTGCGGGGTGTTGACACGGCTTCCATGATCTGACTGTGACGGTGACATGTGAGGACCCACATGAGGACCAGCGGGAGAGAAAGGGCTGGGAGAGGCTGTCCCCATGCGAACGCTTTGCTGGTCGAAATCTTGCATGACTGGCGACTGCGTCACGTTTGGCGAAGCTCCTTGTTGAAGGTGTTGATATGGAGTAGGATGCTGAGGAAATTGCGGTGTTCCGTTGGCTGGGCCTTGATAGCCTGGGTAGGGAACCTGAGGTGTCTGGGATCGCGACCCAGTCACTCCACCGGGAGCAGGACGTGGTGACATAGGCATGCCATCTTCTGGTCGTGGTCGTTTTGATGGAATCACCTGGTTAGGGTTGTGGAAGCCCGGGGAAGCGTTCCGCGGCACACCATTGAACATGCGCTGGAACTGGTTCGGATCCTGGGGGTTTGGAGAGGCATGGAGAAAGGCGGCAGATGGATCGATTGTGGAAGGATTAAAGGCCCCATTATCCTGACCAGGAAGATTCGAGGCGTCGACGGCCCAGGCGTTCATGTCGTGCGGTTTTACCAACCCATCTGCGCCATCAAGGTCAGCAACGATATTCACTGCGCATCATCATCATCGATGGGAAATCATCATGTGCATCAATGGATAAAACATAAGGATCCCGATCGTCTTTCTAGACAAGGGACACGCGTTGGGTGGGCCTGTTTTGGGGGATGCGCGCTCGGTCGCGACACGGGTCCGGGGGGAGGGGGCGCAGAAAGATTGGGATGGGAAAGCCATATTGGCGCAAAGGGAAGGAATAGGTGGAAGGGAAGGTCAGGAATGGAGTCATGGGAAGTACATACCGACAAGGCTGGATCACTTAAATTCCGACTGGCGAACGGATGGCTAAGGCCGAGTCCCGGGATTAGCAGATGGGACGAAAAGGGCAGAGGTTGGAGGTGTTCCGTGGGGGTCACGTGTTATGGGCCTGAGGCAACGAAGGTCACCAAGCAACAAAGGGAATGGGGATGGGGGAGGCTTTGAATGGATGGGTCTGTGGGGGGGCTGTCAAATCACAGGCTGGGGGTAAAAGAAGATCAGTTCTAGATGATGAAAGGACCAGGTTCGGCCCGATAAACCATAAAGAGAACAAATGGGGGTTACAGGTAGTGCATAGGTGTGGGCTCCCGGAAAGGGGGAAACGAAGTGTGTGGGAAGGACAGGTGCGTGGCCAGAGGGGAACAAATAATACCAAGGAAAAAAACGGAATGGCAAAAGCATAAAACATAAAATACAAAAAAGGAAGTAAACGAATACCTACAGTTCGCGAAGCAGTTAGGGATGAAAGGGGAAGTGGAGAGAGAATTGAGGAAAATTACTGCGAGAGAATTCAGTGGGAGAAAAGGAACTCTGTTTTCGGTCTCCCTTGTACCACCTCCACCATTCACTCATGGGTATTTTTCCCTTTTTCTGAGCAGTTAGTGAATCTGTTTTCTGTGGTTTTTCTAGTTAGTATGGTTTTTTGTTCCTGTCCCTAGAAACCATTGTTTTTTCTGTAGCTTGAATTGCATAGGTCGTCATGACGTTAGTCACGGGTCTCGGCTGCGTTCGCGGCTCATCCACCATTAAGAAGAGGCGAGGCCCAGTACTCGGTCAACCCAGACCTGGGGGTTCTAAGATTTTTTTTTTTCGCTCTCCTTTCCCATGGATACGAGAACAGAAGAAAGAGGAGAAAGAAAAGATCTTAAGAAAATATCCCGAAAACAAGTGGGCGATGATCCATTCCAACGGTCTTCGCCCAGTCAGGTTAGTCCGTATACTCCCAAGGGTGCAAGGCCCGTGGGCTGTTCCCGGGAGCACGAAAATCATCGCAGAGAAAGATAGAGAAAAAATATATGCTGTAGGGGGAGGGGAAAGGAGGGGGAGAAATAAATAAGGAAGAAAAGAAATCAGAAAAGCGCACTCTGGGGTCCGGCGTGGGCGTGGGCGCTCCTTATATAAAGCTCAGGCTAGCGTCTGATAATCATGACGAGCGCCCAATCTTTTCCCCCTCCTTAAGGAAATGGGGAAAGGAAAAATTAAAATAAAAAACCACGCAGGAACCCAAATGCACCAAAAGGAACCAGATGAGAGCCAAGACTAGGTTCTCCCCTTCACCCAGTGGCAAGGATCCGACTCGATCCGCATGGGAAATTTCATGGTCTCTTGTGCCTGTCCCACCTAGCCGCGGGCCCTGCTCCACTCTCATGATTGGGTCCGGGCTCAATGCCAGATGAAAAGGACGCGAAGTGGTGTGGAAGAATCCATTTGTCTGTATGATGATTTCCCGAAACACATCAGCTGCCTCGATTTGCGTCGCCCGCTACACATCACCAACCTAACAAACGTGATCCCGCCTCATTGGCCATACGACAACCCTGGCTGTCTGATCACCGGTGATCACCCTGAAACATGTCATGACCACAGCCTAAACCTTTCAAAGGTTAACCTGTAAGTCAATGAGCTCTAGCCACTGATACGGATTTGATCTCTTGTTGGCTTATCCCACCGTGGATCAGCTTTACCACCCCGTACCTAGTCATATGTACTCCCTGGTGTAGAGCCTATCCCCGTAAAGTGTGATTTTTGAAGTTGTAGTGAATGACTACTGGTCTATCATTAAAAAACCACATTGGATAGCCTTATGTCTCCAGTAGTTTGCAGGCGATTGCAGTAAACTCTTTGAGGATCAAACAAAAGTCCCTCTGATCTCAAATAATATTTCAAATTTTGAACGATATCCACGGAATCAATATGACAAATCTTGATAATTATCTAACAAGCATAATATAGTCCAACATATTTGAAATTCACATGAGAAGACAAATTGAATAATTAATAATAAAACATGGTAACCCGTGATCAGTTCGATGTACTGCTGCTTCTCGACTATCCCAGCACAGAGCACGTGATCTACCCGGAAGCTCCAATTGCCCGATTGATCGAGCTCCAAGGACACAACCCATCTCCAGACCCTCCACCGCGCAATCTAACACCCACCAACTCGCATCAAATAACAACCCTCATCGCCATCTCCACTTGATTCCATCTATTTTCCGTCGACAAGAATTTTCACCATGGGAGACGTGGCCGTGGAGAACCCGGCAAACAACGTCACGCCTCTTTCCAAGCCGAGTGCCCTGGACGCCCTTGGGAACCTGGACTCCTTGGAGGGAACAGGAGCCGATGGAAACGATGAATATGCCACCTTGAAACGGTTACAGAGACACCTAGAGTATGCTTGGCCCGTGGATGTGCAACGCGTGTTACGTACTGACGCCTACCAGATACATCCAGCTGCAGGAGGAATACATCAAGGATGAGCAGAGGTACGTTTTGGTTATACCAACTGGATATGTCCATGGTACTGATGACCTGTCTATAGGAGCTTGAAGAGAGAGCTGGTTCGGGCACAGGAGGAGATCAAGCGTATACAAAGTGTCCCGTTGGTGATTGGACAGTTCATGGAAGCTATTGATCAGAAGTATGTTAAGTTTGATCAGGTTGAATGCTCTTAATATATGGCGTCTAACACTATCTAGTACTGGTATCGTGCAGAGCTCGACCGGGTCCAACTACGTTGTTCGCATCCTCTCTACACTTGACCGTGAGAAGCTGAAGCCATCATCCTCGGTTGCCCTCCACCGACACTCCAACGCCCTCGTCGATATCCTTCCCCCGGAGGCCGACTCTTCGATCGCGATGCTAGGTGACAACGAGAAGCCAGATGTGACTTACGCCGACATTGGTGGTATGGACATGCAGAAGCAGGAAATTCGGGAAGCCGTCGAGCTGCCGTTGACGCACTTCGAGCTCTACAAACAGATTGGTGCGTTGACATGATGACACTTGGATAACCATTTACTGACTAGAGTAGGTATTGACCCACCCCGTGGTGTCTTGCTGTATGGTCCCCCGGGTACTGGTAAAACCATGCTGGTCAAGGCTGTGGCAAACAGCACAACCGCCAGCTTTATCCGTGTGAACGGCTCAGAGTTCGTACAAAAGTATCTAGGAGAAGGACCCCGCATGGTTCGTGATGTGTTCCGGATGGCGCGCGAGAACTCTCCTGCCATTATCTTCATTGACGAGATTGATGCCATCGCTACCAAGCGTTTCGATGCCCAGACTGGTGCCGACCGTGAGGTCCAGCGTATTCTGCTGGAGTTGCTGAACCAGATGGATGGTTTCGAGCAGTCTAGCAATGTCAAGGTCATCATGGCCACCAACCGAGCTGACACCCTGGATCCCGCTCTGCTGCGTCCCGGTCGTCTGGATCGAAAGATCGAGTTCCCCTCGTTGCGCGACCGACGTGAGCGCCGACTGATCTTCAGTACCATCGCGGCGAAGATGTCCCTGTCTCCTGAGGTGGATTTGGACTCCCTGATTGTGCGCAATGAGCCTCTGTCCGGTGCTGTGATCGCTGCCATCATGCAAGAGGCCGGTCTCCGGGCAGTGCGCAAGAACCGTTACAATATCATCCAATCCGACCTAGAGGATGCCTATTCTGCCCAAGTGAAGAGTGGACACGATGACGACCGGTATGTTTCTTTGTTTCCCTTTCCTAGTTTTTACGATACTGATGATTTTACAGACTCGACTTCTACCGGTAAATGCGTGGTGCTTCACGGTTGTTGGGGTATAGTGGGATGTTCTCTTCGTTGTATTATCAATAATCTAAGACACTTGGAACTCGATGTATCTACCGTTACAAATGCATGACTGGTCCAAGAACGTACTAGTACCGTGTAGGTACAGGCAAGGGGTCCTAATATTGGGAGCGTTTAGTACAAGAATGTCAGGGTCTGCATCTGCCCACTCAGATAAGAGCAAGGCAGCTGCTCCGTAAGCCGGGGCTAAATTCAATTAATCAGGGATCAAACAGCTGGGCTTCCAAGGTTTGCCACCTCAATGCAGCTGCCAGGTACAGCTGCTCTGACCCCTCCCTTGTTGGCGCTAAGCTAGGCACCAACCCCCTCATAGTACTGAAGGACAACCTGAGAAGATAGGTTTGGAGAGCAATTTTTTTTTTTAGACGGTTGATGGAATTAAAAATCGAGAGCGCACTATCATCTGCAAAGTAGTATGCAATATAAAAATTTGGGGGAACCAGGAACGGAAAGAGAAAGTGCCAGTGTGAGGTGTAACCCACGGCGGCCCAGCTGATTCCGGGAAATGACGCACTCCTATCACGTTATGCCGATCTCCGTCCCCAGTCACTCCGCCCCCAGCTCCGTCTTATCTTCTCCTCACCATCCCCCATCACGAACATCTACACTCTTTGTCCATAATGAAGTCTGTTGCCCTCTTGACAGCCTCTGTGCTGCTGGGCAGTGCCTCTGCTGAGGTCCACAAGCTGAAGCTCAACAAGGTTCCCCTCAGCGAACAGCTGGTAAGCTTCTCCCATATTACTCCTCTCCAAGCTGAGTTCCTGGCTAATCTCCCATCGTAGAACACCCACAACATCGATGCCCATGTTCACGCCTTGGGCCAGAAGTACATGGGCATTCGCCCTGACCGACACCAGGAGATGATGTTCCAGGACACCTCGATCAAGCCTCAGGCTGGTCACGACGTCTTGGTCGACAACTTCCTGAACGCACAGTGTAAGCTCATCACCCGTATCATCTCACGCACAATTTTTGATCGCTGATTCATCAGACTTCTCTGAGATTACCCTCGGTACTCCTCCCCAGTCCTTCAAGGTTGTCCTTGATACTGGCAGTTCCAACCTGTGGGTCCCGTCATCGGAGTGCGGCTCGATCGCCTGCTACCTCCACAGCACTTATGACTCTTCCGAGTCCTCAACCTACAAGAAGAACGGCACCAAGTTTGAAATCCGATATGGTTCTGGTAGCCTGAGTGGCTTCGTCTCCCAGGACACGCTCCAGATTGGCGACCTGAAGGTTAAGAACCAGGACTTTGCCGAGGCCACCAGCGAGCCTGGTCTTGCTTTTGCTTTCGGTCGTTTCGATGGTATCCTTGGTCTGGGATATGATACCATTTCCGTCAACAAGATGGTCCCCCCTGTCTACAACATGATCAACCAGAGTCTTCTAGACGAGCCTGTTTTTGCCTTTTACCTGGGCAACGCTAACAAGGATGGCGACAACTCCGAGGCTACCTTCGGTGGTGTGGACAAGAACCACTACACTGGTGAGATGATTAACATCCCTCTGCGCCGCAAGGCCTACTGGGAGGTCGAGTTTGACGCCATTGCCCTTGGCGACAACAAGGCTGAGCTGGATAACACTGGTATCATCCTTGACACCGGTACTTCTCTCATCGCTCTGCCCTCAACCTTGGCTGAGCTGCTCAACAAGGAGATTGGCGCCACCAAGGGCTTCACTGGACAGTACAGCGTCGAGTGTGATACAGTTGACTCACTGCCTGATCTCACCTTCACCCTCAGCGGCCACGATTTCACCATTGGCCCCCACGATTACATCTTGGAGGTCCAGGGCACCTGCATCAGTAGCTTCATGGGAATGGACTTCCCCGAGCCTGTTGGCCCTCTGGCCATCTTGGGAGATTCTTTCCTGCGCAGGTGGTACAGCGTCTATGACCTTGGCAAGGGCTCCGTTGGCCTGGCCAAGGCCAAATAGGTTCTCAAAGAAATGGAGGACACCAAGCCTTAGCCACCGATGAACCTGAACAGAATCGAGAGAATGTCTAGTATATACACTCCAACTAGGATGGTGAGGTATGGGTTTTGTCATCCGTCAATTCAGACATGTCTCAATTGATTTGTATCTTTTTTCCTATTGCTTTTCTATCTCGGCATACAATTCGTACTCCTGCGTTCGGTCATGGATAATGCCGCAATCGCTGTCTTGCCTCGCATGGATTTACTTTACATCTTTCATTCCTTCGCTTAAATCTATGGCCCTGGCTTTGTATTGAGCTCTCCGCTAGGACAATAATCTACATATCGTGTTTCTCAATGAGTACGTAATCTTGTAGGCACTTACTTAGCTAGTGGTGTGATTTCTGCCTGCTCCAATGGTGATTCGTGGCCCAGCTTGTATGGAGCCGTTGGCCCGTGAGTGCAGCAAGAGCCGTTTAGTGACAGGCCCAGGGTCAAGAAAGGCTAATTAGGGCTGAAAGAGTATAGGGCCTGTAGATATCGACAACATATTTGACCCATAGCCTCTCAAATACCTAGATGCTGCAATTATTCGATTGCAAAGTAAATAGCATCATACTGGGAAAGGTGGATACGGCATCTATGGCATGTTCCGGGGGCGGTGGAGAGAGTTGACATAAGCGGATGAGCTTCTTCCACCGTTTGAGTCCCCGCACCGAGCTTTCCCATTCTCCGATCACAGACATTCTTCCCACCTTTATATCCCCAACCCTCTGACTGCTTATCCACGACCCTGTGTACTTCACTGACCGTGTCATTCATGCGCCAGGGGTTTGAAAGCGCGTAAAGTTGTCTTCCTTTGCATCCGCGTCGTGTGGCGACTTCACATCCACACTCGACTGCCTAAGCTCCAACCCTTGCGCTCTTGCATCCCTCATCCGCTCATCTTCCTCAAACACACCTCGGTATTCTAGGGGACACTGATTCCTATCCAGTGATCTCATCGGCACCTTCACCAGTCCGAGACTCGGCGAAAAATTCCACCACGCGTCGCGTACTGGTTATGGCTCCTTAGCCAGAGGCGCACGCGATCATATTCACATACCGTCTGCACCTCACTTATTGGTGCTCTGGGCTGGCTAGTGGAGACCTTGAAGGCGTTGACTCGTTGAGTAATTGATTGGAGCTTTGTGGATTCCGTCGCCTGGGGGGCGAACTGGGTGCAAAGATGCTTCTCCGTCTGCCGCCCAGCCTGCATTACCCTATCACCATCACTTCTCTGCTGAAGAAGCCTGGTGATGAGGTGCAGAGGGATGAAGCCTTGTTTTGGTATGTCTATCACTCAGAGGTTGAGGAGGGTGATGGGCTAGGGAATATCACAACGGTGCAGCGCAAGTTCCCAACTCGATTTGAATCGCCTGTTGATGGCGAGGTCCAAGAGTGGAAAATTGCCAAAGGAGACGTTATTGAAGAACCGTAAGTCTTGTGTTGGAGAAGTTATGAACAATGGCTGAAATGTGCAGGGTTGATGTTGTTGAGATCTACGAGCCATGTGCCCATGAGGTACAATTCGGAGGGATGTGCGCAGAGTGTGGAAAGGATATGACTGAGTATGTATACCTATAGTAAGCTATGGAAGGTATTGTTCTAATGAGTTGTTTTCTCAGAGCGTCATACAATACCGAGATTATGGATTCCTTCCGTGCGCCGATTCAGATGTCCCATGATAATACAACGTTGACTGTCAGTGAGAAGGAAGCCACACGAGTCGAGGAGGATGCTAAGCGTCGTCTTTTGGCATCTCGGCGTCTTTCGCTTGTGGTGGATCTTGATCAGACTATTATCCATGCTACTGTCGATCCCACCGTCGGAGAATGGAAAGAGGACAAAGACAATCCAAACTACGAAGCATTAAAGGGGGTCAGGCAGTTTCGGTTGATTGATGACGGCCCAGGAATGCGTGGCTGTTGGTACTACATAAAGCTGCGGCCAGGGCTGGAGGATTTCTTACAGAACGTTGCCGAGCTCTATGAACTGCACATCTATACTATGGGTACTCGAGCATATGCACAAAACATTGCCGATATCATTGATCCAACACGCAAGCTTTTTGGAGACCGTATTCTCAGCCGTGATGAAAGCGGAAGTTTGACAGCCAAAAACCTCCAACGTTTGTTCCCGGTTGACACAAAGATGGTCGTCATTATTGACGATCGTGGTGATGTGTGGCGCTGGAATCCCAACCTTATCAAGGTCTCTCCCTATGACTTCTTCGTCGGGATTGGTGACATCAATTCCAGTTTCTTGCCCAAGAAACAGGATATTGGTACAACTGTGGCCAAGGCTGCGAAACCAGAAACAAAGGAGCATGCTAATGGTTCAGCTGAGAAGACGACTGATGTTTCTGCATTAGAGCAACTAGTGACAATGGGAGGCGGTGATAATCCAAGATTGCTGCAGGAACAGACCAATGCACAAGAGGAGACAATACTACACCAGGTGGAGGATCGACCACTGTTGCAAAAACAGAAAGAATTAGACGCCGAGGACGATGCTAGTGCCGAGAGCACGCCCAACATTGAGGAATCTCAACCCCGACATCACTTACTTGAAGATCATGACCGAGAGCTTTACCAGCTTCAGGAACGTCTAGAGCAAGTTCATCTCCAATTCTTTGACGAGTATGATAAGAAGCGCAGCAGTGCACTGGGAGGCCGAGTTGCGGCCCTGAGGGGGAGAGGACGCCGTTAAAAGACAAGGATGTTGATTTGAAGTTGGTTCCTGACGTCAAGGATATCATGCCCCGAATCAAAGCACAGATTCTCGGGGGAGTGGTGATGGTTTTCTCAGGTGTTCTTCCTCTCGGAACAGACACACAGAATGCTGATATTTCCCTGTGGGCCAAGACATTCGGTATCGTCATCGCATCGAGGATCAATAGCCGCACCACTCACCTCGTCGCTGGCCGAAACCGGACCGCGAAAGTGCGTGAAGCCACTCGGTACCCAAACGTCAAGATCGTCACAACACAATGGCTTCTAGATTGCTTGACTAGCTGGAAGCGTCTAAATGAGGAGCCCTACTTGCTTCCTGTTCATCCCGATGATCGTGGTGAGCCTCTCTCCCCTGGCTCGCAAGAACTCGCCGAGAGCTCCTGGCTATCTTCCTCGGACGAGGCCACGGGCTCATTCTGGACTGATGATGAAGGAAACCCAGAGTCCGAAATTTTCAAGGATACCGGACTCGACGAGACATCGCATATCGGATATGACGAGGATGAACAAGCTGCTGTGCATGACGAGCTGAAGGAGTTCCTTGGTAGTGATGACGAGAGTGAAAGCGACGGCGAGGCATGGGGAGATGAGGGTTCGGCAGGCAGGAAACGAAAGCGCGGTGACGGTGACGGGGCCACTGACGACGAGTCCGGCGAAGATGAGGAGAATGATACTGATCAGCAAGGCTCAAAACTCTCGCAGCGAATCAAGCGTTCGTACAAGCGGAGTACTGGTCTTCGAGAAGTTGCAAGCGTTGCTCCCACCGATTCTGACGAGTCCCGTATGACACTACAAGCCGATGAAGAGGAACAGGATATGGACAAAGTGGACACCAACCAAGAACAAGATTATGAAAACCCAGACGACGACGACGACGATCTGGAGCGAGAGATGCTCGCGGCATTTGAAGATGACGACGACAATGTAGAGGACGACGAGGAAAATCTTTGATTTCCTCACTTCCTCTGGTCCGTCCTGCTCAATCATCCCTGTCCGATCTACATCCTACTCTTCGACTGTATCTTCTATCTGATTTGTGCAGTTGCAAGCGCTCCTGCCATAGCGTCGGCGTTCGCAGTGATTTTTTCCCATTACTCGTTTGTATTTCCCGCTGGTTGTGGGTTGTATCTACTTTATATTAGGTAGTTCTCAACTATTGTCAATGTCAAATACGTGGGATGTACTCCCTTGAAACTGCTGCTTGTGTATGATCTTCTGATTTGAAACTTTTATCATATCAAAATTACCAAACTGGTTGTTATTCACTGAGTCATGGTCATCAAACGCCGAATATATGCAAAAATGGTATCATGATATGTAAAACGAATAGCGAAAATGAAACACATTACGTATTGGACATCGAGACAATCACCGATGATAATAGTTGCGATGAACCTGCCACGACATCACCATCATCCACACATAAAAGATGGTATTAACAAGCTCCATAGCAAAAGCCGTTTTCCAGCAATTACCTGCATAAATCATCAGTGAAGTCATTCAAGAACGGAATACCAAGCTTGCACTCACAAATCGTAATCTGTGTCAACCACGCCAAAGTATTGATATTATTTCCCCTCGACTTGTTATCTTCAACATAGATCTGACAATTGCTGTTGATATTCGCTTCCACCCCATAAAGCTGCAATGACGTCTCAACCAAGCCGGTCAAGAAGAGCACGAAGAGGATAAAGCTTCCTAATATCAGGATGCCAGGTAGTAAGAGTTGGCGGGCGATCAGGCCGAGGACGAGGAAAATGAAAAAGACGGCTAGGGCGCTGGATACGACCATGAAGGGGAAGAGCCTGAACGAAATTGAGATTAGTATTTGGTCAAGATTAGGGCTATGAAAGAGTCCCGGGCAGGTTGGTCAGTGGTTAGTATACTCACCAGGGTGTCCCAAGCTCCATTGTTGATTGTACGGTCATGAACCAGGAGAAGATGCCTAGACATGTTGCTGAGCCTGCCAGCACGACGATAAGCCAAATATTGAGCTGAATCTCGGGCCAGTGGTAGTTGAGGCGAACGCGGCGCTGCTCATATTTGGGCATGGTGGGCAATGGCAATGACGATTATTGTAGTTCGCGTCGGACTTGTTGATCTTCGTGAGGCCAGTTGCAACGGCGAACAGCGATTATATTATACCCTGGGCGTATACCAGGCGTTCTTGCCTAATTCAACCAAATTGCCTGAATGCTGTCACAGGGTTGCGACCTATGCGAACCCAATGGCGCAAAGTGTCCAAGTGTGATGCTGTGTTTGGGATTTGGATCGGAGCGATAAGGATGGACAGCGCATCGGGCGCCGAAGGCGCAGGTCAACTTCAAGACAGGCCCGGGCCTGCGAGGAATAATAAAACGAGGGTTTCTGTCACCGTTGAATGAGAGACTTGGCAGGGTACAATAATTTGGCGGGGGAAAGAAGAGAATGGAGAGAGTAAGAAATGGAAATTGGAGAGGCGGGGGTTTGGAAATTGAGGTGGCAGGGGACTTAGTATACAACGGGCAACAGGAAATCCACTTTCACGTCATTATTTTTCTTCCTTGCTTCTAGTCTTTCTAATCTAAGTAATATGAAAAATGGACTAAAGGTAAATCAAAATTACAGAAGGGTATCACCAAGTGCACTCCGAACCAACGAGCATCCCGCACGAATAGTCTCTGCCGCGCCAACTGACTCCAGACTGGGGTTCACCTCCACCAGGTCCATAGCCACTAGGTTGCCTGTCTCGTGTACGGCTTCGCAAATGAAATCGCCCTCACGCAGAGTCAAACCACCACGAACAGGGGTACCAGTGCTGGGCGCCCACTGGGGATCCAGCGCATCAACATCGAATGACAGGTGAATGGGGGTATCATTGCCAATATGAGCCAGAGCCATCTCGACGACACGACCAATACCATGACTAGAGAAAGTAAGTAACGAGATAGGAACCAGATAAGAAGAGAACAAAACCTACCGATCAATATCGTGCATGCTGAAAGCCTTAATCCCATGCTCCCGAAGAAGCTTCTTCTCACCACGATCCACATCCCGCAGACCAATGTACACCAACTTGCTGGTGCTAACGATGTGCTCATCCTTCAACCAGCCAAAGATATCGGGCTTATCCTCCCGTGCCAGCCGGGTCAAGAAGGCCATAGGCATGCCGTGGATATTTCCACTAGGACTCATCTCAGGAACATTGATGTCGGCATGGGCATCGACCCAGATAACAGCCATCTCCCGGCCCAGTCGCTCACGAATAGCCTTGGATGTGCCTGAGACGGTGCCAATGGCAATGGAGTGGTCGCCGCCCAAAGTCAGGACGAACTTGCCGTCCTTGGCGTAGTTGTAGACTTGGGAGCTGAGGCGCTCAGTAACAGCGCTGACGGCGCGAGGCTTCTTCATGTTTCGGTGATCGGGGTCTTCGGCTGGGATGTCTTTCTCGTAGTAGTGGACGATGTTGTCGTGGTGGATGTCGTATTCGAGGTCCTCGCGGAGCTGGGTGAGGAGTCCGGCTTCGATCAGAGCCATTGGGGCGGCTTCAACGCCTTTCTTCATCTGTTTTGGAATGGGTTAGCTCGGCCTGGTCGAATGCTTGTGGGGTTCTCGCTGTACCTGTCCGCCATTGAATCCGACGGCGACCACACCTAGGTGGTTGGGGTTGGTGAGGAAGCGCGAGGTGATAGTAGATGGTTGCGTCATTGTGCGTGATTGACTAGTCTGCAGAGAATGTGCGACTGGGGGCGTGGTCTTTGGAGAAAGAAGAAAAAGACAGAGTCAAGATCTAGCGATCAGTGATCTGCGATAAGATAGAAAAGTGGATCGGAAAGATCGGAGAAAAGAGGGGCACAAATGGGTGACAGTAACTGGGGATCAAAGAGAACCTCAGAACAAGTGACTTCGAGAATTTCAAGACTGTGTAATTGAGTAGAGAAGAAGGAACTGAAGTCTGCTTTATAACTTTCCCCCTTCTCCGGCCCTGGGTCCATCCGGTTTGCGTGTTCGCAATCATCGCTAAAACCTGCACTTAGGGATCATTGCACTCCGCCAGGTTCTCCATACTTCCGTTAAGTACAGGTTGAGGAGAGCTGCCCCGTTTAGGGTCCCGAAATGTCCCACCACGTTGCAATTTAGTGTCTTAGCGAGGCCCGAAGTCCGAGATATGTCGTAATGATATCTGCGAGTCTCTTTTTTTGAAGAATAATGGGGGTTGGGTCGCGTTTGAAGCGGCAGGTGAGGGTTTCTGCGCTACACTGATTTTTGATTTTTATCTTCCAGGACACTGAGATAGCACCTATTGGAAATACACATTGGTATTATTGGTTGCTCAGCAGGACATGCATCGAACTAATCCTTGTGCCATGGCTTTTCTTTCATAATGTCTCTCAGATGTTCGTGGAGAACTACTCAACTCGGTCATGCTCGTGCACATTATCTGCCCCACGGACTGACCTACTTTCTCCACTTAGTGTTTGTTCAAAGTTTCTTCAATAGAGAGACCGGGCCGGGGCAAGTCTTGGTCTAACTACCTGTCCAGCTCGTGGGTTTAATCACCGCCGTTCGCACGCTAACCGCCCATATCTTATCTAGATCAGTGGAGAAAGAGAGGACGTGCAATTCCATGATCCGAAGAAATGTCGACATTAGCATCGGAGATCAGACTGACTATACCCGATATGAAAGAGGAAAGATCCAACAGGAAAAGCTTACGGACCTTGGGTCCTCACAGTATGATTCTCGATTAGGACTAGTAGTCTTTCCTCCCTTAAGTATTACTTCCAGGTCCCAGAAGTATCAATTGACACCGCGTGGTCGAGTTGGCTATAGGCCCTCCCATTTGCCGTAAACCGGTGCACCGCAGGCTAGCCGCCGGGGCCTGCGGTGTACAGTGTCAATAACCGGGAAACATCGCCCAGTGGCAGACCCCCTTGAAAGCAGCCGTAAGGCGCCGAGGGGGCCCCCTGGGCTTGATGTTTGCTATTTTTTTTTGTAGTGATTTGATCAATGCTGACCCGCTAAATCCAAAAGTCGGGTCAGATATGTCTAATTCCCATCACATGGTGTGGCAAGTGGAATATCAGCTATGGCTTGATTTCGGAGTGCTACATATGAAGCTATTCACACGCACTTTCTTGTTAGGCGGTGAATGCTAGCAGTATATACACAGCCGGGGTTCGAGTCCAGCCCTGGTCAATTCAACCTTTTCTATCTCTTTTCGTTCATTGGCTTCCACTGCTTGGTAATATTCGATATATTTCTTTAATTGCTCCAGGTATCGTCCAGCTTGATGGCTACTTGAGAATATTCATGAACGATCCTCAGGCTTCGGATGTAGTCTCGGGGCCATGGATATACCGACGTCGGTTGATATATATTCCAAGGCTTCGGGCAATTAAATCTCCTGAGTGATTTCAAGGTTGCCAGTCACATGTGAACTAACTGGTGACATATCAGAAACTGGCATCTATCTTATAACTAGCAGCGCTTCATGTTACTCATATTGTCTCATGGTATATACGAAAAGCATGTGCTCTGAGTTCAAGATTATTCTTGGACCCATCAAACTGGTGACCAAGGATTTGGGGCGGACTCCAACCGCCCCAAGTATGACTTGACGATCTGTCAATCGGACTATGATTTATGTAAAAACTCCGTACTTACTTAGATATTTATAACTTCCAAGGTTGTAAGGACCCGCGCATTGTATAATGTATGGTCAATGTTTGTTAGTTACTGAACTAATCACCATGGATGACGTAATGACTCGAAACGCAACAAACATGAAGTTATCATCAGAATGTACCTAAATACACATCAGTCTCATCACTTTACTTCTAACAACTGAAACCTCGGAATAATCTTGCAATACAATGTGACATTCTCAATGTACCTCGTGCATGAAGAATGGTGATTGATCACATCCCACTTGGGTCTTTGCTACCCAAAAAATGGGGCATTATCAGCCAGACCGCCAGTCCAGACGCAAGGAGATGATCGACAGGTCGCCAACTCACCTTACACGCATGGGCTCTCGGATCGGGAAGGATGACGGCTGATTTGTCCCTCTCAACGGGTCCACAGGGCTATTGAAGAACGTCTCCCATTCAAACCGCTTGTAGTCCAATTCCATGCGCTTTTCCTTCAACCCGAAGGCTTTGATCAGTGTGTTGAGATTGTACCACCGAGTACATGTGTGATAGCTAAAATCTCCTCCGCACTCTACGATCGGCAAGATTTACAAGGGGCCTCCTTGCGGGCCAGCCATCATTGGCCCCCGATCTGAAGCCCCCGGCGCTTCTCATCTGCTTCAGATTTGTCGGCGATACCCCGTCTGACGAATTGCAACACTCCATTTTCAAAGGGACGCGCCGCGGGAGTCTTTAAGTTCCACCCTGGTGACGCGAACTCGTTTTCCCCAAAGGTAACGCTGACGTGCAGCCCCCAGTTTGCTTTACTTAAAACTAAAGCCGATCATCCATCAGGCCTGGGGCCATACATACCTCCCGTCCTCGCCCGAGGAATGTTAAAAGTGGGAGATTTGAGACATCATATCGACTATCACCTGATTTTTCTTCCTATTTGTTACTTTATCTTTTTTGAACCTTGTCTTCCATCCTGCGGGAGATACCCCTAGATTCCGCGACTTGACGTCGTGAGATCGGATTCTAACCCCTCCCTTGTGCCATGCCTCACGGCCCGATATCCACGCTCTGGAAATCATTGTCATTACCACAACGCGGGTTCGCTCTATGCCAATAAAATACCATCAGTGCGGGGATGGCCTAAATCTGTTCATTTCATAACTTCTTAGAGCAATGAGCCCGGCTTTTCGTCCGATTCTGTCCCATCAACATGCCACTCCAGAACAGTATGCGCAGGAAGTCAACAAAGAAAGATGCCAGGAAGAGAACATCATCCACAATCTCCAATGCCCCAACGCAGGCTGGCCCTGTCGAAAGTCCTACAATCTCTGAGAAGAACAACTCTGCTGCACCGAATAATGCCTCTAAACAAAATGTGAAACCGCAGGCGGCTTCACCGTTGCCGCCCACCCCAGAGTCAGCGAAACATGTCACTGATGTTGATGTTTTCCAATTTCTCGAACACAGCGATGAATCCTCATCTGCCTCCTCGTCGGAACCTTCAGAATCGGAATCTGATTCTAATGATGACATTCCTGCGACCCAGTCGCCCGTGGCGAATATACAGTCACCGAGGCCGCGCGCCAGTCCCGTACCGCATGCTGTTTTGATATCAAAGACAGGTGCTGCTCCGAAGCAAACAAGATCTCCCGCTGGTGGGGCGTCAAGAGTTCCCAGTGACTTACGTCCTCCGCCAGCACCATCGCCGCCATCTGTGCCCCCAACAGAGACCCGTCGAAAACAAATGTCGCCACCGGCACGAAAGCCATCTCCAAAAGAGTATAGCAAATCCCCAACGGAGTCTTCACCACCACGAAAGCGCCAGCTGCAGATATCTCGATCAGATGAAATTCACTCAAGAGATGTCACTGCGATCCAGCGGTCACCGCTGCCGCCCTCTCCACCGAGTAGTCCAGAGGATAGCATACACCGCGTGTTGCAAAGAAGAGACTCAAACGCATCGCAAGTGTCCTCAGGCTATGGACTTGTAGCATCGCATCTTACCCACTCAGCTAAAGACGATAAGGGAGCATTTCCCCCATTGTACCGACGCTTCGAGAACCTAAACCATCGTGTCCTGCTCCACCTTCAAGACGAGATCTCTCAAATGGAAGAAGACCTGAATTTACTGGATGAGTATGAAGAAATGCACCGCGTCGCCATCGCCGAGAAGGAAGGCAACAAGCCCGTACCCGCATCACGACGCATAGACGCCCAGTCGCAATCCTATTCGTCCCTACATTACCGACGAATGGATCTGATGGCAGCTTTGATTCAAAAGACAGAGCAATACAGTAAGTCATCCGCAATCCTCCATCTTCATCTCCCCAAGACCTTACTTAAAACCCAGACAACGCCCTCAGCGCATACAGCAAAGTCGTTCAGACACTCCCCCGCGCCACAGACGACGATATTCAAAATTACCGTTCATGGATGAAAACACACAATCCCATCGCCGCGGCTGAAACCCGTTTCCTGGATCAAGGCGTTGATCTCATCTCTCTTACACCCCGCTTAGCAGCCTCGGCTGCCACGGCCCCCGTCTACATGGCTATCATGGTCGCATCGGGAGCTCTTTTGCTTCCCTTGCTGGCTTTCAGCATGATCGCAGAGTTCCCTGGTCGACTTGTTGTCGTGACAGTCGTTGGTGGTGCCGCGGCTGCTATTGCGGCGAATTACTCCGCCGGTATTGACACTCTGGTCGATTCGAGGGATGGCTGGAGATGTGCCATGATGTAAGATATGCCTGCTCTGTTTATATTGTTCTGAAAAACAACAACTAACATGACGATAGATATTTTGGTTTCATGACCCTTGCTGCTATGTTCATCCCCTAGTGTTGGCTAGGTCGTCTTAGAGCGTGATGATAATGAATTTCCTTCTTCATGTATCGTTTTGAGTGAACTCATTCTGTTCTTGTGCCTTCGTTACAGCGACGTATTATTTTTTTCTTTTTCTTTTTTTAAATTTTTTTTTTTTTTTTTTTTTTTTTTTTTTTTTATCTAATTTGTTTTCAAGAGCGTGGCCGTTTGGTCTTGAGCATCTTGACGCTTGCATTTGTCAACCTCGGGACATGGTCGAAAATTCATACTAGAATGAGTGGGATGGCAAAGGAGGAAGAATGGCGTTTACATGTTTGGCTCTCCGGGAGAGTTTTATCAAAATCAATTTACGACAAGCGCCAAGGGTTGAACCTGGTCATGGCGGATGTGAGCAAGCCTTGGGATGAGAGATTTGGGATTGAGGTGTTTTGGAGACTGTGTTTCTTCAGTGTATTAAGTATCTATGAAATGAATTCCGGGTTTAATAACTCAATCCAATGCGTAGAGATACAGTGTCGAATACGATTGTTATTAAGCAAAATTTGGAAGTAATCTTCTTCCCATCTAGACTAACACTGTGCTAACAAAAAAATAGCATCGCAACGGCAGTCCATACCACCCACGCCCACGAACCTCTTGAATAGGAAACCATGCACAAGCGCCAGTCGCTCGAGTCAACACCGAAAACAAAACCATGAGCCCACGAAATATAATTGTGACCATTAAAAACACAGTTGAGGAGAATGGGAGGAAAGAACAGGGCAGACCTGAAGCCATGTTCGAACGAGAAAAGGCGTTTCAACAGGTAAGATAAGCCATGGCGCAAACAAATTAGAGGCGTTCAATAAACTTTTCATATCCTCAATTGGCATAGCTCATATTCGCATGAAGCAGAATAAAATCCTATGACTGAATGGGAGTGCCATTCTGCTTGCTTCCTGGTGTCAAGCTCCCCTCCTGGGAATGGCGAGCTTCAGGTTGAGGCTGACTCTTGGTGGTAGCTTGCTCGGCGGCACTGCGAGCATACGTTGCGGCAGCAGCGCTGTTCGGGTATGCCTGTGTTGGGGTATTCATTTGCCCGTACCGCTGAGCCGAGACTGAAGGGTTAGGGTTGTGTCTCTGAGGAGTGCCGTTGGATGTGGCTGTAGGCCGCGGAGTATAGGGCTGGGGAGTATATCCATTGGAAGTGGGACGCTGGAACTGTGGTACATTGTTGGCTTGGCTGTATTGAGAGCCATAACCAGGGCGTTGGGAAGGAGTGCTTGGTGCTCTGCTTCCTACATAAGGGGGAGTGAATGATCCCGTCGATGAGGGTTGCCGGGCTTGTGGAGGTACTTGAAATGCCCCTTGCGATTGAGATAGACGAGCGTTCGCATTGAAGGAACGCTGGTTGTATGCGGAGTGAGGCGCCTGGAAGTTGCTGGGCCGAGTGGAAGAAGGCGTTGAAGCGCGGTTAGCGGCATTGGCCTGAGCAGCGATGGCTGCAGCGCGCTCTAGATGAAGCGTGTGGTCATCCTTCTCCATTGTGCCTTTCCAGTCAGGGCTGTCAATGATGATCTTCTGGCTTATGTTCAGCTCTCCCAATTGATCACCATTGACCTTCGAAACGACATATGGAGGCAAGCTGCTGATGATAGAAACAAGTTTTGACCTCAGGTTCTCGTAAGTGGCCCTTTCGGCATCGGATGGAGTGTCTGGGTCGTCAGATTCTGGGACGGGTAACTCGTCATTCTCACTCGTGGAGGGGATTGTGTTTTTGCGAATGTTTTGGTATGACGCTAGGGTCTCTAGCAAGTGAGAAACCTCTGCGAGAGCATCGTTGATCTCTTTGGATTCCGGAGGCCCATCAGATGTCTTCTCAATTGAAGCAAGGTATTCAGTATAGTCTTTCGGTTTGAGCGTGTCAACCATCTCATTAAGTGTGCTTTCGTCGACATTATCGATCGCCTCAACGTCCACCTCATCCGGTAAGTCTTCCGTAAGAGAGAGAAGGGTACGCAAACGACTTTCACCTCGCTGTCCCCACCAAACCATGCCCTTTGATTCAGCTTGCAAGACGGCACCGGAACTGTCGAAAGACGGGGCGAAGGATGAGTAAACGCCTTGAAGAAGAGAAGAGTCGTCGCCAGTCCACAAAGCAGGGTCTCCGTACTTTGAACCAACATTTGCATCTTCATGATGCTTTTCGACACGAGACCAATATGATGGTGATGAGGTGACTCCACCGTATTGCAGCCACTGCCCGGAGGGAACCGGTACGAGGCTGGTGTTACTGCGATCGCCTGAGAAATTCTTATAATCCAGGACAAGGTCGAATGGGTCGATCCATGTGACTGTGCTTCGATTACTTCGTTTCCGAGGCTCCACGGGAACCAAGCCTGAACGGGGCGCAAAAACCTCGCCAAATGTTCTCGGTTTCGGAGCAGAGGACTCGAGATTGTAAGGTACCACCCGAGTGGTGGTGATGCCATTAGGCAGTCCACCCTCACGAAGAGGTTCTTGCACCTCTACAAACTTTTCTGCGCCAGATTCGGAAGACTGCAGCGGTACCTTCACAGATTTTTGCAGACTGGAGAACAACTGTTTCGGGTGCGATTGATTCCCACCAAACAAAGTCAACGCCTGTTTGTCCTCACGAGGGCCGATATGTGAAGCTGTAGATTGGAGCTGATCGTCGTCATCATCGTCTGGTGTCTCAGCCTTGACATCAGTCTGATTCACAAAAGATTGACCGACGAGGCTGTTCATGTGCTTTTTGAAAGCCGCAATGCGATTGACAACCTCTGTTACAGGTGCGCCTTCGGCACTTGCTCCATTTGCCTGGTTCTGATTGCGCTCAATAACTGCGGCAGAGGCCCGTTCAATGTCGGCCAGGAATTCCTGTAGGGTGTTGTAACGGCCCGCCTCGACCCGTGCCTGTATGTTGGATGTATCTTGGTCGCCCGATGTTTTGGCGCGCTTCGCCCGAGGCTTAGCTCCCGACGTTGGGAAGGGACACGAAAGGAGCTGGAGTTCAGTGTCATGCCTGTCATGGTTAGCAACTAAACAATATGACCGAGAGATATTCCAGCTTACTTCAAAAGAAGTCCAACAAGTGTTCGCAGGTTCTCGTGGAGATCGAGACTCTCACGCGATGCGGATGAAGCAGGCTCGACAGCTGGATTTTCGTCCTGGGTCGAACGCTTCCTCTTACCCGGAGTCGCGGTCGCAGTCGACTCCGGATGGGATTCACCATTTACCGGAGCCATCGATTTGGGGTCTCCACCCTCGTCGGCGCTCATGGTGGGGGGATTTCGCGGGAGGGATAAAGTTGACAGAACCTCGACGCGATTTCCTCCAATGTAGACGAGGTCTTGAAGGACCCTGATATGTTAGAGGAAAAGATCAGAAGGTCGCGACCGAACGACTGGATATCAATGGCCGGTCGTGGTTGTGAGTGACCCGTGGTCTTGTTCGCGACTGGTGGTCCGAGGAGTCTTGATGCAAGGCCTCAAGAAAGGATGAAATCGCGACTGATGGGGTTGGAACAACACACAGGCGTCCAGGCCCTTGGGGTTGGATCGGTGGAAGATAAGATGGAGAAGAGATAAAAAGTACAACTGGGAGGTACAATGGACCAATCCACCACCCCAAATGATTTTTTGGCAGTGAATTAAAAGTATGATTGAAGGACGAGAGCGATACCGTTTCGTGAGACTCAGAATGCGCGCTTGCCCGAAATGTGTCGATCCGTCACGTGATCCAGTCACAGTTTCTGCCGTGCTGGACCTCGACTTTTGGATTCTTGTTTTGTTCAATGTTCTCGCTCTCAGGTCTTCTCTAGTTTGACAGGAGATTGGGACGTCTGACTGGGGTACTTGCTCTAGGAAAGGTGTCTCTATGATTACATTCATGGATGTCATCGGCTCTCAATCACGTTCGAGGCCTTTCGAGGGTACCCTCTTTAAGAGCCGCGCAAAGCCGCAGCTACACATGTCGCAAGGTATGCTGGAAAGATATAATAGGGAAGACATCGCTAACAATACAAATGTGTCTTAGAACCTGTACGGCGACACATTATTCACACATAATAATGAACTGTTGCGAAGCATCCGACGTGCATTCCATTTTTGTTCTTCCCATGCATTGAAATCTCAAGTCGCGCAGATTGACCTCGAGGAGCAGGATGGATATAATAACGAGGCCAATAAGTTGTCCATACACCTGCCCCAGGATTCCGGACCTCCAGAAAGATCACACACGCGAAAATCACGTTCAAGATCATCAAAAACCTCCCAAAGATACCAGCCTACTCCATCCGATTATCTTTCCGAATGCCTTCGGAGTGCAGGACATGCCCTTGGGTCCGGCAAGATCCCGGCACGAGCTGCGATTAATCTAGACTATGTTCTTCCGAAAAAAATATTTCAAAAGTTTCCAAGCAAAGGACCACGTTTTGTACGACAATCCCTCCAAACTACCCTTGGGGAGTACATACGTTTAGTGGAACCATTGTTGAAGAATGAAGGTGATAAGCCGAATGCTTTAGAAGTTGCTCTTAGAAGCGTTTTTCGAGAAAGCAGTCACCGTTATCTTTCAGCGCGAGGCTACGACGTCGAAGATGTGGCTGCATGGGCTTGGGTTTTGACAAGCAAGGATTCTTACAAAGCAGCCTCTCGGATCTTTGCACTTGAAGCCGATGGTAGAACTCGGATAGGATGCGCGGATGGGCCTAGGGTGCCGCCCTTCATCACCTTATTTCTGTTGAACGAGCGATACTTAGAACCCCATGTTCTTCGGTTGTTATTGATTCATTCTTTACACCTCATGAGCGGCGAACCGCTGCCGCCTATCGAAAACTTGGAAAATCTGGAAATGAATGCTCCGACGGACCGGCTAGTACCCAAAGTTGACGTGACTACGTGTGCGATGCTGGTTGTTCGCTTGATTCGACATGCGCGGCAGGTCTGGCCGGAGGCGTTTCCCGTTATTGCACGCGCGTTTGCCGCTTTTTTGACCAGACCCAATTTGAATGAGGCTGGCAAATCAAACTCCGAAATGGCCAAGATCTATCGTTTCAAGACCGAGAAATTCAACGAGTGTCTTTGGGAGCTCTCGCTTCCCACGAAAATCCACCCATTCCGATCGGCCTTCATACAACAACAAGCACAGTTTGGGCTCCTTAGGGCCATGGCTACTCACAAGCCTGTCCTTCCTGTAACACGCACAGGCTACCAAGCTGTAGTGGCAGTTCAGCTGGCTCACAAAAAGACAATCGCTGAGCGCCAGTCTGCCGATTTGAAGGCCCCGTCATGGCCTCCATGGAAAGAGGAAAAACTTGGCATAGATGCACAACGAGGTAATGAGGGTCTTCATAGTCGTGCGATGAACGTGCTGTCCCAGATGAAAGAAGCTGGTTACTCTCCTGGACTGTGGGAGGAGATATCCGCCATTCTAGCTGGTTGGGACTCCGATGGCAGTCCCACAGTGCAAACAAGAGCACTAGCCCTTCGCCGACCATCTTTGGCATTGGGAATTCACGACGACCGTAACAGCCACCTGACATGGGCTGCACGAATCCGCGCTACTAGGACTGTGCGTGAAGCTTGGGCTTGCTTTCTCTCCTATAAGGACCATGGTCTATCTCCCAAAGCGGCCGTTTATGCTGCAATGGCCGAGAAATTGGTTTTTCGCCAAAAGGCAGCTCATGGTGATATCGATCTAGCTAGTCATGCTTTACCCGGTGACGGGCGGGAGGTCTACCCTGAGCCGGCTTCCGCTCGGGACATCATCTATGTGCGCACAGAACCCCCAACTCTGGATGATTTTCTGGATGAAATGATATCGCAAGGCTTCCGTCCTTCTGGAAGACTGCTCGCGCTCCTTCTTCAGTCAGCTCCAAGTTTCTCCTCGGGGTTAGCCTACTTGCAATGTAGCAACCTCACTGATGATCAGATCATGGTGCTGTGTACTGTCTGGCGTCAACCGCCAGAATACCAAGAATCCCATCTCAAGGCACTCGAGTCATTGTCGGATATAATATTCGGCTCATACATCCAATTTTTGTGTCGACATTCGCGGACGACAGTCGCCACATATGCAAAGGATATTTTCATGGCCGAGCGGCCATCCCAGGCAGTGACGGAAGACCAGCCCCTTGCCAGTCTTTTAGAGTACCGGGAACAAGAGCGGCAAACAGGTCATCCGATGGCCCTTCGGCATGCTATCCAATTGGTCAAGTCACGGCAGCCACCTTGCCGCTGGGCCTGGCATAACCTCCTCTCTACCTTCTGTCGTGATCCTATTCAGGGGTACCAGCGAAAGTACGACAGAAAACTTGTCCGCATATTGGCATGGTACGGGATGCTTGAAGTGTTGAACTGGATGCGGGCTCGCAATATTGTAATTGGACCAGATGATTTCCAACCATTATGTGTGACATTCCACAAAGCTGTTGATGCTGGCATTCAACAGCCTTCAAAGGTGGAGAAGGCATTGAAGCTCTATCAAATCACTACGAATTCCTCAGAAATTGAGAGCCGAGATGCCTTTGACATCCTGATTGCAGATGGTCTGTCACTCCTGAAGACGCATTTTGATCAGCTGGTTCTTTCTTCAACGAAAACATCCCGTGTAGCAGAGAGAGGCATTTTTGGAACAAATAACAAGACCAAGTCTTCGCTTGGCATGCCGGGGCTTCTTCACGTTCCATCTTACGCGACGCTGCATAGTTTTGTGCGGGCCATGGGAATCGTGGGAGACGATGATGGCCTGTTACATCTACTGCGGTGGATGAGTCAAACAGCTGATTTGCTGAACGAGCTTGCCGAGGAGCGTCTTAATGGGGAGCGAATGATGCGACAGACCCTGGTGGCGATCCGGTTGTACCTGGAGAAGCTACACCCCCAATCCATTAATGGAGACCGGATAGCATCGGACTGTAAAGTGCAAGAGGCATACGACATTGTCAGCCGGACGCTGGGCTGGGAGTGGCCCAGTGATGTGGAGATTGAGGAATACCTATTGTATAATACTTACCATACTGTAACTACATAGATCTGAATGAAATGTGATACCCCCTACACTCTATTTCCATCCAAAGTGCATGAGGAAACCGGGAAGCGTGTACATAGTAGCTCGGCAATCGTCGGCCCCAGCGAGCTTCCCCACACCCGGAGCTCCGATAGTAAACTTAACAGCGTTTTATGATCTCCATTACTTTCCCCCACACACCTTTCACAACCTTGTGATCGAGAAAAATCTCGACCTGTCAATCTGACCTGGGCAATGGCAACCACACTGGCGCCCCGACTCGCTCGCCTCACACCCCTCACCACCTTCTCGCGCCAGACCGCGACACAGACGACCCGGATTTTCATCTCGCGATACAGCACCAGCCCCGAGGACGTCATCAAGACCCAACAAATTCCCGCCCCAGGCTCCGGCCATGTGCGTGTATTGCAGCTGAATCGGCCCAACGCCCGCAACGCAATCTCCCGTCAGCTGCTCGACAGTCTTTCAAAGCAGGTCAAGTCCGTCGCCGCAGAGGAGGGCAACGGTCCCACACGCGCCTTGGTAATAGCAAGCAATGTCGATGCCGCATTCTGCGCAGGCGCAGACCTGAAAGAGCGCGCCAAAATGACACCTGCCCAGTGAGAACCACAGCCCCTGCGCTCCCTTAAGCCCAGCTAATCGGTGATTCTCGAAACAACAGGACCGAAGATTTCCTTTTGGACCTCCGCAGCACCTTCAAAGAAATCGCCAACCTCCAGATCCCCACCATCTCCGCCATCTCCTCCATGGCTCTTGGCGGTGGCCTTGAGCTCGCCCTCTGCACCCACCTCCGCGTCTTCGGCTCCTCCTGTCTGGTCGGTCTCCCGGAGACCCGTCTTGCGATCATTCCCGGCGCCGGTGGCACCTACAGACTGCCTGCGTTGGTTGGTATGAACCGCGCGCGTGACATGATCCTCACCGGCCGCCGGGTGACGGGCCCAGAGGCGTATTTCATGGGGCTGTGCGATCGCCTGGTGGAGGTCTTGCCTGAGGAGGCGACGCAGGAGGGCGTTGCACGTGAGAAGGTCGAGAAAGCGGCCATTAGGTTAGCGCTGGATATCTGTGAGGGTGGTCCTATTGCTATCAAGCAGGCGCTGTTGGCCGTTGAGGGATCACCGATGGGTGAGGCTTCTGAGAACAGGGCTTATGAAGGTGTGATTGAAACAGAGGATCGGTATGAGGCGCTGCGCGCTTTCGCTGAGAAGCGCAAGCCTGCTTTCCGCGGACGGTAAGCATAGATGTCATTTCCATGGATTCTGTTTAGATTCACCCCGTTCTCGCCCTGTCACTGTTCTGTCTACATGTCTGGGTTTCCATGGATTAGATATGTTTTCCCCGGTGTTGGCAAAGAGATATAATACTACCCTCAAGGGCTAGGAAACAAGAAAACATGTATAACACAAGTAATGGATGGTTCGAGCCTTTCACGAGTAAATCTAAGATATGAGTCTGATTGTCAGGCATCTTTTTCAAAACTATCTGTGGCATCTATGTGCCACCATATTCTCGATATTTGGAGGGTTTACGTAAAATGCACCTGCCTAGGGCATGAATGTACTTTGTCTACGGTGCAATTGGCAACTGGACCGTCAAGCTCGGGATTCCCAGGACACTTGACCCGGGCACTGGGTATGATGTTGCCCGGGGCCGGTATAGCCCCGTTCAGCTTGTTGCCTGCACTGGGTCTTGAAACTTTACCCTACGAATAGCAAACTTATTTTTATCTTGTACTGGTATTGTTTCGATTTACACTCGTCTCCTAGCTACTTGGACTCCCGACTGTATTGGTGCGTGGCTTTATCAGCATGCTGGTTGGAAGTTGGAAGCGATGGTTTCGTATTTGTCACTGAGCCCCAGTTGAGATAAGGCATTTTCTGGCGATAATACTTCTACCTCTACGTACAACATCACTCCTCCTCTTGATGATTAGCCCCTATGCCTCATACCTGCTCATTTGGAAGTGCATCTAAGCCACGGCGCTTTTTCTTGATGAGACCATCTAGAGATTATCGTTTCGGCTGGAGCTCACTATGCATTAATGGATTGAATATAATGTTCCTGAGCCTGTCCTCGCGCCTTGTTCTGTCGCACTCCATAGGAACGAGTATTTACTTATATTGCCGACGATTGTAATCGCACCATTAGTAGGATGATTGGTAAAACGGGATACTTGCATAACACTCAGTAAACGCTTCGCGCCTTGGCTCCGCCAGTATTCTCAGATTTCAACACACTGTAGCTTGGCACTATCTATCACGATTCAGTAGCTCAATCCTAGCCCCGCAGATATTCAACATGGGGGCGGTCTTCTACTCCTATCGCACGCAAGACCCCGCTTTGCCTTGAAATAGTTATCTATGTGATGTCAAACCACTCATCAAGTTCAAGTTATTTTATCGCAAGAGGATTGATCTCTAACACAGAAGTGGTCATATTTATAGTCTCCTTCTGCCTTAAGACATCTCATCGCTTCCTTCAACTTTCACAAGTATTTTGTCTCCTTCTCAATTACGAGCTCAACTTATCAGCATTCGTCCTTCGGCATATTTCTCCATCTGCACATCGTATAGCGTCCAACTCGGATGAAACTCAAAATGGCGCTCCCACAGCCCCTTCCCCGAGTCCCTAACACGGAAGAAATTGTTCCAATGATGAATCGCATAATCAACGCACAAAATGCCACTCGTGAATGTATTCTCGAAACCGTGACTCCGATCACCGCAACGTTTGATAATGTTATGCTACCCTTGGCACAAGTCGAAAATGCTGTTCAAGGCGAGCTGGGTATGATCTACATGCTCCAGTATGGATCTCCATCCCTAGAGACTCAAGCCGCATTCGACGAGGCCCGGAAGCTCTTCCTAGAAGCCGAGGCATCGTGGACAGCGGATGTGCCCTTCTTCCGACTTCTCCAGGCGGCAAGCACAAAGCCTGATTTTGAATCCTTGGATATGGAATCGCAGCATTTGTTGGAGAAGAAAATATTGGGATATAAGAATGCTGGACACGGTTTTCTAGATAATGAAGAGCTGGAGAAGTATCGAAAATTGGAGACCGAGATTGCTGATTTAGAGATGAAATTCCAGCAAAATATTTCGAGAGAGGCTGGAGGAGTTTGGTTTACCATTGAGGAGCTAGATGGGGTGCCAGAGGATGAGCTAGCAAAGTGGAAAGACGATGGTTCAGAGGGAGAGAACCTGATCAATGGGCACCTACGAAGGAAATTTGTGCCGTTCGCCAATGGAGGAACACTGGCTGTTTTGACACATGCCCATTCTCCCAAGACCCGCAAGGGGATGTTCGTGGCGGATAATTTAAAGCTGAAGGAGAATAAACCCTTATTTGAAGAAATCATCATTCGCCGTGCTAAAAAGGCAAAGCTGCTGAAATACAATACGCACGCAGAGTTTAGGATCCAGAGTCGCATGGTGAAGACCACAGAGTGGGTCAAGGTCTTTCTAGACGAACTACGAGAAGCCCTTTGTGGTCAAGGTCAAGATGAGCTTGCAGCTTTGCAGCGTCGACGACAAGAGGATCTACAAGTCAACCAGCAGAACCCCGACGCTGGGGCGGGATTTCCACCGTGGGACAAGCGGTACTATGAGCGTGCCTTGCAGCACAAATTCGAGGTTGACCAGATCAAGGTCTCAGAGTTCTTTCCTTTGCAGGAAACTGCCACTCGGATGCTAGATATATTTGCAACCGTGCTTGGCCTTCGGTTTGATTCTATTGCAACAGAAGACTTGAATGAAGATGTCATCTGGCACGACACTGTGGAGTGTTTCTCGGTATGGGATGCGAAAGACAACGGGTTCATTGGGTATCTCTACTTCGACTTGTTGTGGAGGGAGAATAAGTATCGGGGTAACCAAAGCGTGAACATTCAATGTGTAATTCTTCAATGTCTCTCTCCCTCTCTTCGTTCGTGCTAACCACACCACAACAGGGATATCTGCGTCCGGATGGAACTAGACAATACCCCTCAACAATTCTGATGTGTTCATTCCCAACTGCAACACCAACAAGCTGCGCACTACTCAAACATCATCAGGTTGTCACACTCTTCCACGGTGAGTACCCACTCAAACGTTCTCGTCGTCATGCAATCACTCATAGACACATCAATAGAAATGGGCCATGGAATACACGATCTACTAGCTAGAACTAAATACACACACTTCCATGGCTACAGATTACCCCCTGACTTTGGTGAGATGCCAAGCATCATGCTGGAGAATTGGTGCTGGAGGGAAGATGTCCTGCAGGGTCTCAGCTGCCACTACACCGCATTGGATGAAAATTATCTAGCGGAATGGCAAAAGAAACACCCCGGCCAGCCAGATCCGCCGACTAAAATCCCAGTGGATCTACTGAAACCACTCATCAAGCATCGGTATTTTAGCAGGGGGCTCTACCACCAATACCAGTTGTAGGTGATAAATGACTCATATATGCCTTACCACTAAAATAGAAACTGATACCTGAGCTAGATCGACCTCGATCTTTGATGTGCAGATACACTCACTAAGTACGGAGGATGACATTGCTGATCTCAACATCCAGAAGATGTGGTATGACCTCCGCGAGGAGATCGAGGGAATGGATTTCTCAGAATGCAGAGATGGATATGCTTTTGGTACATTCACTCATCTCACAGCTGGTTATGATATGTGCTATTATTCTTACTTGTGGTAGGTAAGCTCCAGCAGTAGCAGGAAACAATACTGACAGAATCAGCTGCACGGCAATGGCCCAGGATGTGTTTCTATCTGTTTTTTCCGATGGCCCATTCAACACGGACGCCTGGGATAAGTATCGACGTGGAATTCTGGAGTGTGGGGGGAGTCCAAAGGATCTATTGCGGACACTGGAGGCCTTCCTAGGTCGTCCGCCAAATATGAATGCTCTGGTGGAAAGTTTGGCACGGGCGAGAGAAAAGAGGTCGTCATGAAGAGGGTTCCAAAGTCCCAAGGCTAGCAGGATTTTACGTGCGATGCTTTTCCGCTACGAGGCTACCCATTACCTAGGCTTGCATTAGTGGGTGCGTGGGTGAATCCATGCCCCGGCCGTGGCATGAACATCTCACGCGGGCTAAGGTCGGCGTTATTTGATACTATTTCCAGTAACTCAGACCCAAATGGAAAGTTACAACTAGTAATGTTTCTCGATATTAGAATCTAAACATATCTTTTACGAATGAGATCTTTAATTTAACAATAGATTAAGGTACGATCGTTGCTTATTCTGTCCTACCCTTTACTAGGCGAATTAGCCGCTACTCTACATGGAGGTCCCATGGTATTTAATGTAAGTCACCAAAATCGGTTCAGGATGCAAGATGATATGTTATGACTCAGAATGAGTTTAGACCTGGCAGTTCACTCCCAGGTGCCTTGGAAGGTGCCCGTTTCGGATAATAACCAGGGTTCCTGTAGGCAACTGCACCGCAATGTCCGAAAGAGTGAATGACAAATATTTCCAACCATGGTAGTATAGAAGGTATCATACGAATAGATACTACTTACTGGTGAATGGTGGAGATCTCGAATAAAATATAAACAGACACATCAGTATGTACCATGGTCATTTCATGAAGGCTACAGGGCTGTACGTGAATACCAAGGGTTACAGTGGCGCCTGGTATACGGGCCCCACCTCTCTGTGCCCGTGGCGCAGCTCCGATGGATCAGGGGGCCCCTGAATGGAGGTTTCGTACCGTAATCTGCAATAATCTGCAGTCTAGCGGCCCGCAGCTGGGCAAACCCCATTGTTTACCTGTCATCTGAATGGGTCAGGGGAACCATATCACCTGCAGCACTTGCCCTTCAAAAGCACCCTCCCCGCACTGTGCTTGACCCTTACTTTACTCTCATGCATATATCTCGATCTCTTCTATCTGAAGTATGGCCTTTGTGTTAATCTGACTGAAAAATGACTGCACCTCGTCCCGTTAAGCCGTTTGGCTTGTCGCAGGTGTATGTTCCTCCCCATGGCGACCCCACAGTGGATCTTGTCTTTGTTCATGGCCTCAACGGCCACCCCCATGACTCTTGGACCAGCAAGACGACCAAGTGCTTCTGGCCTGTCGATCTCTTGCCCGATGTCCTCGCATCTCAACGCCCACGCATCTTGACCTATGGCTACAACGCAGATGTCACGGCCTTTACTGACGGTGCCTCTCGCGACTCGATCGTCAGTCACGCAGAGACCTTAGCTTCAAATCTCGCGGCCAATCGCAATCTCCGTGACTGCTCCGACCGACCGATTATTTTCATCTGCCACTCGCTAGGTGGCCTTGTGGTCAAGCGTGCACTCATCTATTGCCGCAGCCTATCAAACGAGCGGACCGAACACCTGCGCTCAGTTTACGTGTCAACCTTTGGCATTCTCTTCTTGGGAACACCACATAACGGATCTGATATTGCAAAATGGGGTCTATTGTTGCACAACATCTGCGCTGCGGTTCTCCCCAAGAAATTCATGGAGTCATCCCCGCAGCTGGTCAAGGCGCTGCGCACGAATAATGAGACTCTGCAGCATATCAACAGTCTATTTGCCGACATACTCAGTCGCTTTCACATCTACTTCTTCCATGAGACTCGCTCAACCGACGTCCGAGGAACCAGAGAGATCATCGTTGACGAAGCCTCTGCAGCACCTTACATCGAGGGTGTGGAGCGTATGGGCATAGAGGCAGATCACAGTCATATGTGCAAGTTTGATGATGAAAACGCTGCAGGTTATGAAGTGGTTGCCGAAGCCATCTTACGATACTCACGTCAGGCACCCGCGTTGATCGGAGACCGCTGGGTGTCAGAGAGAACTACCCGCGCGATGGAGATGAAGGCCAAGGCCCGCGAAATTTATGACGGTAGGTCCGAAGCTAGGACGGAAGCTTCACCAGTTGCACTTGGTTTGCTGACCAGCTCAGTAAGACTAGATGGTGATCCCCTCACGCAAAGCACACCGAATTTGAATATTGGTAGGACACAACATCTTCTTCCTTCACCAACACATTTTCTTCCTTCACCGAGTGAACCAGTCACGCTGAGGGATTATGAGATCGAGGAGCCTCCTGTTTGATGAATTTCTTAACCCTCTTCTTTCGTGATGCCTTTTCTTTTCTTTTCTTTTCGATTTTCCGTTGATCTGTTGGATGTTTGGAAGGGGCTGAAATTCAGGCACCTGAAGTTTTGAAGGCTCAGGGTGTATTTACCCTGATGTCTGCCCTGACACCTGCCTGACACCTTCCCGTCCATCTCCTCACGAGTCTCTTGGTGCTTTTGTGGTTTTCTTGAATATATGTCTATGCGGTTCGTCATCACTGCGTTGCAGTTTATGTATCTTAGCTTGCTTGATTGCAGGGTGGCTCCCATCTCCCAGAAATTCACCTGATATCATTCCATATTTTTCTTGAACGGCAAGTCAGACAATCGGCTGACTGTCTTCTCTCATAGGTCACTCCGTACCAGAACTCCCATATGCCCCTCGGCCTGCGACTGAAGGTCGCAGTTCCCCTGTATCAGACATGGGTGATAGCGGCGTACTTTCATTTTCGCACTACTCTCATCGAGACCCACAGCTTTTTGTGGCACCTGCAGGTTTCCACCCCAATGCCACGTTCTTTGGCATGCAAAAAGAGCTAGAGGTACTACATAGCCGCTTGTTCAAGGCCAAGGCGCGTGCAGATCGAACCATGGCTGTTCTCATTTCTGGAGTGCCAGGATCAGGCAAAACTCATCTAGCGCGACAGTATGTCTTTGCGCAGCGCGAGTGCTACCCGGGAGGTGTATTCTGGATTGATGCCAAGTCTCGAGAGTCCTCGTACAAATGTTTCTGGGAGATCGCTCAAGCAGCCAGGCTGGTAGACCGACAAGACGCCGAAGACGCAGCGTATCTAGAGGCCCGTACATACGTGAATGCCGTTCGAAACTGGCTTCAGACACGCCATGAGTGGCTTTTGATTTTTGATGGCATCACATTTGATCATGACGTGGACATTAATGAGTTTCGATCGTTTCTCCCCTGGCAAAAGAGGTGTAGCATCATCTACACCTCGATTGACACCACCCTCCGGAAAAAACAACGGCTATTCGAGCCATACTGTCTGTCGATTCGTCCACTGAAGATTGAAGACGCCTGTAAACTCCTTTACAAAGACCTTGGCATCAAAAAGCCCACCCAGGAGCAGGCTATTCGGGCTGTGGAGATTGTGGAGCACTACGATTGCCTACCTTTAGCCATTCATGCTATAGGGCATCGGCTCAATGCAACCGGCAAACCCATTGAAAGATATCACGTTAAGCACCAGGTAACGGATAAAAAACTAGCCGAACCATTTCTCAGCATCATGAATGATCTCTACCGCTTGCAGCATAACCAGGCTTTGAACCTCATCAATCTCCTCTCTTTCCTGGGTCATCAAGTTCCAGTTGGTCTCCTCAATTTTGGAAAACATGCAATGTCTGTGGAGAATGCCGAGATATTGAGCAGTGCTCAGACCGGAGAGGATCCTGATCTTGATACCACGCTGGGAACTTTAATTCACTACGGCCTTATTGAGCGGATCTCGGATTCAGATCCATTCTTTGTGCAGAATAGCCCCGCACAGCAGTCTGGCGAGATGCCTACAGAGGTTAAGCCTGTCCCTGAACTCTCCGAGTCTCTAACAGAAAGCAGCCAGGAGGGCTTCTTTTCTATATACCCTGGAGTCTCAGCTATTGATGTCGTCAAGATCCATAGTGTGGTGCAGGGATTCTGCCGAGACGAGCTTCGAATCAAGGACGAGGAATACAAGGATGCTATGAGAAGAGATGACCTTGGGTTCTACGACTCGTGGCTAGTTGTCGCCACTCGCTTCCTATGCAAATCTTGGGAGGCAGCCAAAGAGAGAATGAGTCACTATCAAGATTGTGGACTGGTCCGTGATTACCGGGAATATGAGACTCATGCTTCGCGACTTGTAGAGCTATTTCCCAAAAGACAGGAGTATGGTGCGCACCCTGCGGTTCTTCGCGAAGCACGAGAAAGCTTGCGGCAACTAAGGAGGAGTCTCAGCAAGGAGATTGATCGAATGTCGCCCAGCTCATCCCAGGAATGCGGAGGCAACCAGAGGTCTGTTTTTGATCGCTCAAGCAGTTCATCATCGTCATTTCCCGAGTCATCCACGGATGAGGGCATTTCGCGCGAGTCGACGTGGGCTTTTACTGATTCAGGATCAGCTCGAACGGAATCTCCTGAAGCAGTCGTTGCTCCTCCACGATTCAAATTGGATTTATTCCCTCCCCACATATTTCGACAAGCTGGCCATGAGTCGGAAGAAGGGTACGAAACGGATGGAGAAGCAAAGGAAGCGCCTCGAATTTCTCCAGCGCTGTCACAGATAAGCCAAGCTACTGAAAAGCCAAAACACTCTCCTTCCCCTTTGTCTTCCAGTCCTCCAATACAACAAGACGAGAATAAAAATTGGCAGGTGGTTGATCGCCAATCAAAAGCACGTTCCACGAGGATGAAGCAGGCAAAAAGGCGTCCTCGAGGTCCTCGTCGACTTCGTAGTACTAAACCAGCTACTCCTTTGGTCACGATTTCAACCGTCCAGGGAAGAGGATCATCCAGTCGCAACTCTACGGATGAAGGTAGCTCTACAATCCTGGCATCGGCCGCTGAACGAGCACTTGCAGCGGTCCGTCGTTCCAGCAATGGCCAGGTAATGGGCGAAAATACAAAGCCCAAACCGAGTCCTCCACTGACAGAGAATGGAAATGGTGGGCCATCTTATTCGAATGTTGTTGCTCATCGTATGCTTGAGGCTGAGTCAAGGCGCCCAGCATCCATACCTTCGCGGCGTGGAGCAGACCCAACCGGACTGCAAATGAAGCCATCTGTCGAATCTCTAAATGGAATTCATATGTTTGCTTCACCACTCTCACATGAGCTGGTGCCCCAGGAGCTGCTTGCAGGGCCTTTAAATCGATCAACATACAGTGATCCCGGCCGAGACTATCTGAGCCAGCCACTGCGAGAGCTAGACTTACACACTGCACCTAATTCCCTGTTCAACTCTCGGCGCGCATCACTTGCAGCATTTGAGCCCATGCAGGACCTATCTGCCAGTACCCCTTCACTGACTTCATATGGTCCGCTTCTTCCATATGAAAATGACATTACCATTACAAGATCAAGCCACCCAAAGCAACAACAAAGACCACCTGTCCCAATTTACGTGCCCCAGGCTCAGTCTGCATCGGTTGTTCACCCATCTGCCGTAATGCCTGGCGCCTTTCCTCTCTCCTTGCCTTCCGATGCTCCTATGTCGCATTTCAACGAGCGCCCAGGATCCGACACACTCTCACGTGGATCTTCCGGATATTCAACACAGTCCTGGGCCACAGAACCAGTCCGCTACCCGCCACATTTCTCCCCCATGCCAAGCTACCAGGGCCAAATTGAGATCTCGCGGAGCGCAACACCCATGATCCACCCACAGCAACAAACACTCCGCGGACGATCAAGCTGGACTGGCGAAGTCGATAGTGCCATTCAATCCGATCTACTGTATCCCGCTCCAGCGGCCAACCACCGTCGAGTAGGCTCAGTGGACGAACGACTACAAGCGATGAAACCCGAATGGGATCCAGAGATGGAACCTGCACAAATCCTTCATCTTGGAGGACATCGCGTTGATGTGAGGGATGCACGCCAACGGCTATCGGAGTCTACTAGACTGCAGATCCCGCGCCATGTGCCGACGTACCAGCTTTATCATCCTAATATATCCGGTCCGTTAATTCAAGAAGGTGGACATGTCTTTGCGCCTGCTCCACAGCTTGAAGTATATGGAAGGCGTGCAAGGAGTGGGAGCTCACCTGCGCGTCCGGACTTTGTTGGTTTGGGTGTGCGATTTGCATGATATCCTTTTTTTTGTTTATATGTTCTTATACTATGCTTTTGCTGCTCTTGCCGCATATATAATCGTGTCGCTATGGTTTTATGTCTTTTTTCTCTTATCTTTTTGATACCTTGCTACTCTGTCACAATATTTCTTATTTCTTATTTCTTATTTCTTATTTCTTATTTCTTATTTCTTATTTCTTATTTCTTATTTCTTATTTCTTATTTCTTATTTCTTATTTCTTATTTCTTATTTCTTATTTCTTATTTCTTATTTCTTATTTCTTATTTCTTATTTCTTATTTCTTATTTCTTATTTCTTATTTCTTATTTCTTATTTCTTATTTCTTATTTCTTATTTCTTATTTTTTGTTTTGTTGCATACACTCTCATGTATTTGAGCAGTGGAGTTCTCTGATGCTTTGGGTTGCTATTAGCATAAAAGCCTTAAAGGATGTGAGTGTGCATATCTGGTAGATGGTGTTGCTCATAAAGCATTGCTGGTGCCTTGCGGGTTGTTTCTAAAATCATGCTTCCCGACTGAGGGATATTCAGAGTACAGACCAAATATTATTGCATTTGTCTTGACGACATTCAATCTTTCGAGTCAATTGATGCTAATTTTGGTACCTTGGAAGCACTATCCATGGATGTAACATCCATGCTTATTCACGTAGATTTCAGCTCCCGGCTCTATGCAGAAGTCATAGATGGTGACTCAAGTAACATTAGTGGAATAGTATATTTATACATTTGAAATTGACTGGAGCAAGCCTGACATAATCATCTTCTCGAGGTTGCATGAATCAGACCTCCTTTGAAGCAGCCGTAACCTGAGCTCCTTTTTCAGCTTCCACGCCTTCAATAACCAGGCTCTCTCCTCGCATTGGATCATCCTCCTCAAAATAATCCTTAGGCTCTTTCCATCCAGACTTCTCCATACCCTTAGGCGCCGATACTAAACAACTAAAATAGTACACACCAAAGGCAACCAATAGACCCGTCGGATAGGCAATGTAATAAAATCGCTGAATACCCAACGGTGCCTTGACACCCATCTGATTCAGAAATCCGTAGAAATTAGGCGCCACCGCAATGATATAGGCAATGAATGCCCGCGGATTAAATCCGTACAAATAGCGGTAAAGACTCTCCGGGCGTGCGGTGTACAGTGCAGGGATATTGAGATACCCACGACGAATGAGATAGTAATCGCAGATCAAGATACCTGTGATGGCGGACAGGAAGATCTGGTAGGATGAGAGGAAGGTGATGAAGATGGCGGCTGTGGAGAGGAGATACCATGGACAGATTGCGTATGAGAGGACTAAGACTGTTAGTTGTGATGATTGGAAAATATGAGTAGATGATTTTGCTCCTACCGGCGCAGATAAAGAATCCTCGTTTGATTGTGATGTATCGAGGCATCAATGCAGCGATGTCATTTCCGGCACTAGGATCGTCAGTCTTTAGTTCCTTTGTTGGAAGGAGATATGTTCATACGGAATCGAGTTCTCGAAGATTGCAGAGAAGACAGTGGAGTAAACAAAAGCCAGTGAGATAAAAGCGCAGGCTGCGCGGTTACCATGGGTGTAGCGCTCGCCATCCATCAACTTGTCCAAGAAGGTCAAGGGGCTCCAAATCAGCTACATGCGATATTAGCCTGGGTCAGTCAATGAGGAACTATGAATATATGGTACCTCTCCGAAGATGGACTTGCTCGCTGCAGCAATCAAGTTGCCCAAAATAGCCACAAGGAGATTTGACACTGGGAAGCTGATGATCTGGCCAATGAGCACATCATTAGGCTTTCTCGCATAACGCTGCATATCTGCCGCGTTGGAAATAAAGGTGCCACAGCTAGCCAGTCCCAAAAAGAAGAACTTGAAGATCAGGTAACTCTTTTCCGTGCCCTGCACTGTTGAAGGGGCATGGAGAGTAGCCACAAACTTCGATGATCCCCCCGACAAGGATACGGTCCATCCCACCATGGCTAAGGTGGCAGCGAAGTAGACAATGACCTTGGCATAGACAAGAGACTTCATTTTCGGGACAGGCACAAACAGAAATGCGCAGTTGACCAGCCTTGCTGAGCATTAGCAACTTGTCCGTGAGACAGAAGGGTTGACATACCAGTAGATAAAGAAGCACATCATCTGGGCCGAAGTCAAGGCCGATTTGGATCCCATCTTATCAGGAATATTTGCAATGGAAGGGAATATCGCATGAAGAAAGACACTACGCGATTGTCAATGGCAGTCTCGGCTTGATCAAAACACGAAGTCATACTATAAACACTGTGCTCCTTGAACAGAGTTGACACCATTCCACACAATCGACATGGCCGCACGATTAAATGTCGGCCACAAGGCACCCCATGATCCAAAGCTGGAGCGACAGAGGACCGGAAAAGGAATCCGATACATGGCACCTCCTCGTCCGTTGAGTGCCATCAAGCACCCAGCCAAGATCTGGCCCCCAAATGAACAGGCAATAGCTTCCCACATCGTCAGGCCCATGGCCATCCCGGTGGAAGCACTGTACAAGTTGCTCACATTGGCAGTGGCGGACCACCAGAAAACTATGTAGGTCAGTTGTGACCACGTTCGATCCTTGACTGGTACTGGGCGGATAGAGTCGTTATCGAGCATGTCAACGGGGCGCGGGACACCATCGTGGTCAACGCTCTTGACGAGCAACTGTTCATGAAGTCGCGTTAGTTTGGAGATCATTTTGCAAGCTTCCAATACGTGGATAGCGATTTTGGTCGACTCATTGAAGAAGGAAGAAGTCTGTGAAACATCGAGGAGACTGACATTCATAAATGCAACCCCATAGCTGAAGCCAAGATTCCAAGGGATTTAGGGCTACGCCACCCAAGTGACCCCGATAAGAGACTCCAGTCATCGCTCTTTGATACCTCCCAGTCAAATGATAAGAAGATACAGGATTGAAGATTTGTATGCGGTCGAGATATTCTTATCAGAGCCAAGAGTCACACTTGATACGCCTATCTGCCACGAGCGGGGGGACCTTAGCGTCTTGTATACCTGCATAAATCCGATACCCCTCACACCTGACCGTGCATCTAACCAATCTATTCATCTGCCATGGCGCAATACACTCAGGTAGAGCTTCTCACTCTCAACGGCTCGGAATTCCGTCGTGTTTCCACCGCGCCACCTCGGCCGCCTACTGAAGATGAGATCCCAGTAATTGACCTCGGCGCAATTGATGACGATCTGGAAGCTAGAGAGCGCATCGCATCGCAGGTAAAAGCCGCAGCCGAAAACACAGGGTTTTTTTATATCAAGAACCATGGCATCCCAGAAGAGCTCATCGAAAGAGCCCTAGCAAGTGCGAAAGCATTCTTCAGCCAGACAGACGACGAAAAAGACCGGGTCTCCCATAAGAGATTCCAACATTTCAATGGGTACCACGGTGTGGGAAGTACGCAGGTCAACAAAAGAGAAACAAAAGGTTCGCTCGCACCTTACTTGCCAATATATCACCAACTCACCATCCTTAGATCGCAAAGAAACCTTTTCCCTACGCTACAACCCTATCAACGACCCTACAATCGCCGACCCCACCCCCCTCCTCACGAACGCGAACTACGCATACAGCGACGACTCCTGCCTGTGGGAGGGAACGTCTCACATCGCAGACTTCAAAGAAACAACCATTCAATTCTGGCAAACACGCCTTACACTAGCCCGTAAGATGATCCGCATCTTCGCTCTAGCCCTAGGCATGCCAGAAAATTATTTCGACGAAGTAACCACAAACCCCGGCGCAGACGGTCTCTACGTTCACTACCCCGGCTCCGCAGAGCCTGTCCCCTCGGATGCAGAAACGGACGTCGGAATTGGCTCGCACACCGATATCCAATGCGTCACGCTTCTCTGGCAGGATATGTCGGGTGGTCTGCAGGTGCTATCTGCCAGCGATGAATGGCTCGATGCCAAGCCCATCCCCGGCACGCTAGTGGTTAATATTGGGGATTTTTTGCAAAGGCTTTCTAACAATCGGTTTAAGTCTACTGTGCATCGGGTTTATAATCGGCAGACCAAGTCGCGGTACTCGATGCCGTTTTTCTTGGGCTTTAATCCTGATTCGGTCTGTCGGGTCGTGCCTAGTTGTGTTGATGATCAACACCCGGCTTTGTATGAGCCTGTATCTTGTGGGAAGGTATGTAATGCCCTTATGGGATAATCTTGGACCTTATGCTTGGAAACTGACTTTGCTAGTGGCACCGAGATCGACTTGCACTTTCCCAGGGGAGGACAATAGCTGCGTGAGCTCAATTGGGATTTTGGATTATTTAAATGAGCTTTTCAATAGTCCATAAGATAATCAGCTATAGATGATGCGGGGATGTAGACAGTCTAGCGCAATTTCCCCTTCATAATTTGATTAAATCCGGGGAATCGGGGAATCAGCTTGAGGATCCACTCTTTTAAGCTGGACGGAGAGCCTCACCCATTCGAAACAAGAATCATGGAAGATGCCAGTGGCTTGCATGGGACCACTATTATCTAAACAAGAACTTGAAAACGAAATCCAAAACCGGGCGAAAGTAGGCGGTTCCGCCGGGAATGTGACCGACCATCGACGTAAGAAAGATGATGCCAATGACGTCGATGATACCAGGGATCGGCCAAACCATAACCAAGTATTTGACTATAAAAAGCAGCCGAGCGGCGACCAACAGGAGCTTTATTTTAATCACATTCAAGCTCTGAATAACTGCACCATTCAAATTCTCAATACCATATACCTATCCAATATCCTATCCTATCCTCTCCGCCCAACTACATTCACCATGTCCGCCCGCTTCATTACCCTCGCCAAGTCCCGTGTGGCAACCTCTGCCCCGAGCTCCATTGCCATTCGGTCGATCTCATCGACTGCTAGGCTGCAGAAGGGGCCTGTTGAAACGGCCAAGGATACACTCAAGAAGACCGATCGGATGGTGTCTGATGCCGCGGTTGGTGGTATCGACAAGGGCGGTATGTGATGTGTTCATGAATGAACATCAATATGCAAATGCTAATCAATCTCTTATAGAGGAAGTTGCTGGCAAGATGAAGGAGGCTGTCGGCGGCGCGAAGGAGGAGGCCAAGACCAAGGCCGGAGACGTCAAGGGCAATGCGTCCGAGTATGAGGGCAAGGTCAAGGGCACAGCCGAGGAGGTTGCGGGCAAGGCCAAGGGAAAGGCAAACGAGGCCGCTGGCAAGGCTAAGGAGCACCTCAGCTGAAGGTGTCCCGACGAATGAAGTTACGTGAATTTATTTTAAAATTGTACATCATGCAGGAACAATCAGCTTAATGAATAAGAAATTAAGGCTCAATAATCAACTCCAAATTTGCAAGTAAAACCAGAACCGGCCAGATAAATTTCATGACTCCATGCCGTCTATGCCTTCCATACCACCCAGATCTTCCCAGAAGCTACTAAAGTCCACGTTCTCTTCAGTGAACATCTGTTGTGCTTTTAGCATGGCCGATTTCTGCCTTTCCGGGGTGAAGCCGCCAGGCTGGGAGCTCTCCCACTGTACCACCTCGACCCAGCGGAAAAACAGGTCCTCCTTTCCCATCGCAGTGAGCTTCTCCTGGAAAGCCAAGATCTGATCTCGCTGCGCCGAGCGCTGCCGATTAGCATGGGTGTTTTCGTCGCCGACACGCCAAATCAACCACCCGTCAGCATCGGTATGCACGAGCACCGCAGTGCGGAACTCATCCAGCTGCACGCCATCGCCCTTACGGATACGATCGACCAAACCATGCGCGCGGACCATCGCGGAATAGTCAAGGTTCCAGTCATCATCGACAAGCAGAAACCCGGTTTTACCAATCCGCTCAGGCGTAACTGCAGCAACGATCTTGTCGCGCATGGCTTCATTGTCGCGGATCCACTTGTTCCGCTCGAGTTTCTTGCTCCAATTGCGGTGACTGCGGCGAACGATGATTTCCCGATCCTGGAAACCGACTGAACGACGCCAGAGTGCGGGACCGAAGATGAAGTTAATGGGCCAGCTTAGGAACTGCGTTAAGAGGAAGTAGTCGATGAAGAGGGTGCCTGTTCGGCGGAGGATGAGTTGTGCCATGTGCAGCCATGAGGTCGTGGACTCGTCAACGGTCAGAGAGCTTTGGAACCCGAAGAAGGTCTTTATGAGGGCTGGGTAGGTGCTGATTCCGAAGTACACCCGCACTGCGATCGCGGCAGTAACCACTATGTTCATTACCAAGGGCACAAGAAAAGTCTGCCATTTCAGGTCGGTCCCTGTTGTGTCGATATGGATCAGGTAGACCTCGTCAGAGGACAGCGGTTTCACGAACGGCTCGAGTATAGAGGGGACTTTGATGAAGGGAGGGATCGGGCCGGAGGATGCGGAGCTTGGAGTAGATGTGCCTGACGAGCCTGGAGTTGATGCGGGCGTCTTGCGGCGAGTGGATTTCTTCGCCATGATGAAGATCGGGGATCCTTGAGGCTCGAGTACTTCGAGGTCGTGGGTTGCTTAAAAGCTGAGATATTGCCGGAGCTCGCTCGACCGATCTTTTCTTATTGGAAACGCGTGTCTGCAGATGATCAAAGCAAGTGGGCGGGTCACATGTCAAGGCAAAGTCACCAAGCTTGTTCGCGTGATATTGAAAGCACGAGGAGAAGTGTGCGTAGGGTTCGTAGTCCGAGACAGAACGTACAAAGTCCAGAGTCTTGAGTTCCAGAGTGGATCATTGATGGAAATTGTTAAATGCCTATGAAGCTACTAACCCCATCGGGCAATGCGGGATCTCCAAGTTATTTACCTTAAGAAACCTGGGAACTTAATCTTTACGCAACATCCGATTGCGTATTAGACAGAATAATTCCCCTTCCTCTGCGCAAGGGAGGTGTTTTTTCTTCGCCATGTCAACTTCTCACGACCGAATTTCACTCGCGCGTCATAATTATCCTCAGTCACCCTTCAACCGCGCGCGCGAACCCAACTACGAATTCGATCTAGATACTTCCAACTTCCCCACCCCCTCGAAGCAAAATGGATCACGCCCTCGACAGAATTACCGAACAAGCACATTAGCCGGAGCATATCGAGCCGCGTCGGGTTCGTCGATGGAGGAAGGCGCGCTAGGCTCGTTCACGAGTCCTCGGCGGACGCGGCAACCAGTCGACGCGCTTTCACCCTATTCCGACAGATCGAATCCCCCGGAAGAGCTCGTGGATGCATACCGAAGAATTGAGGAAGATGGGTCGCTAGCAGAATATGTGGCCTCAGATGGATGGGAAGCACCGCTGACAAGTCGCTCCCCATCTCAAACAAGGGATCGTGACTACGGAGTCGCTCGTCATGGACTCGCAATTTCAGAGCCGAGTCTATTCAGCGATACTGGACGACCTTCTCCGCGCCGGAGGACTACCGATTACACCAAAGATGAGCAGCGCCTCAGACGCGTGACCGGCAAGGATTCTCCCGTGTTTAGCAAGGCCAAGGTTGGCGCACGACCGCAATTGACGGCGGATAATCTGCAACGGCGCGAGGAGGAAGAATACCAGAGCCAGATTTTATCGGAGGAAGAAGACAACGGGCACGGCCCTTCACTGAATCTACCAGCTGCCTGGGGAACTCGAGCCACACGTCGACCGGAGTGGCTTCGGAAAGTCAGCCAGCGGAGTGTTTCAGATCCAGAACTACCAGAAGAGAGGCCAGAAGAGAGGCCGGAGGAGAGGGTGGAAGAAGAAATTCCAAATAACCGAGTCATCGAATCGGTATCGAAGACCAGATCAGAGGACTACCCGGTCTCCAAACCTCGCCTCTCTGCCCGTTCGCTGGAGCGGAGCCGTAGCACGAGTCGAAATGCCCTGGAGGAGCGCACAACCAACCCGCATGTGCAAGACGTGCAGCAGTCTCACGAGAAGCCGAAAGAAAATACGTTTGACAAGGACCACGATGTGCCAGGTCAAGGCGATCCTATTCCGAACACACCTATCGTGGTTTACAAAAGCTCAACCTTTACAAAACCAAGTCCGACAAAGCGAGATTCCCAGGAATTGCTTCGTCGATTATCCAGAACCGAAAGCCCAAAACTGGATCAAATGCAGACCCCAGATCCACCAAAGCTTTTCCAGTCACGCATCTATGACAAAACGCCTCGAGTCACAGGTGCATGGATCGATACTCCTATGACGGAGAAAGTGGCCCCGATCCCGAGCGATCTGGTCAAGGATATCGTTCCTCCCGCGGCACCAAAGCAAACTGAACCCCCAGTTGAGAAAAGCAAACCTCCAGTGGTAGACTCAGCCCCAGCTCAACCAAAAAATGCAAAGAAGGAAACGAACATCACAAAGGAGTCTCCCAAGGAGGAACCAAACCCAATGAAAGAGTCGAAACCAACCAAACAGTTAAGACCTCAGGTCCTTCGCCCTAAGCTGCCAAAGAGTGGACTTGAGACAGTCATTGAGGATGTCAACTCTGGAAAGGAGACACTTGATCTAGGGGATGATACAATCGAGTCTCTTCAGGCGATTATGGAGGATCCAATGGAATTGAAAACGGAAGAAGAGGAAGAGGCAGCTTATGAGAAGGAAGTGCTTGAAAAACTAGCAATCGCTAGATCGAATGGACAAAACTCTGTCGATCTGGACCGGCTAAATGACAAATTGGCATCCCTCGCAAAAAACATCAACGAGGTAAAGAAAGGCCTCAACAACCTGGAAGAACACGTCAGTCGTGAGGGCACACGCGCGTCGCGACCAAGCACTCCCATCAAAGCCACCCAACCAACACCCAATACTCACGATAATGTCTCGGATTCTGACGGCCGTATTTATGCTGCAATCCCGCTTCCTCAGTTATGGGTACGAGACCCAGTTATCCGCCGCCGCCAGCTCACTAAACTTGGCTGGGTCACGCTGGTATCACTGTCATGGTATGTCATCGAGTGCATGATGGTTGAGCAGTACTCCCACCCGCTCATGGCCGACATTTGTGATGGTTATTGCCTCCAGCCCGATGCACCCGAATTCCCATGGGTGACTGTGACGATGATGTGGCGCTGGTCTCATCTGTCGACCATCCTCATGCCTATCTTCACCGTGGTGCTGGCCATGTTTCGTCTGGTAGCGCAGCTGCTCGGGCTGTGGGATGGCTATGTGGATGAGCCGGCACGTCTGGGCAATCTCATGGGTGAGATCCGTATCAATGGTACTCCAGTCTCATTCCCATGGTTGTCATCTCCCTCTGCGCAGGGCATCCCTGCTCCTCCGCCTCCGCCTCCGCCTCCGCAACAGCCCGTATGGACGCCGACCCCGCAATATGAGGCCCCTATCAAATGGGGGGACGATGATCAGCCCTCAATTGATGATGATGAATATCTTTAGCTGTTTTGCATGGTCTGGGTGACTTTTGGTCACATATAAGGGTTTCGGGAAAGGCGCAAGTTGCAGGGACAGGGCTGGAGTTAGCGTATAACAAATGACCAGCTCAATGATATATTAGACGCTAGACTTAGTCTATAATGAATCCTAATTTCTAGCTATTTGAAGTTCAAATTACCCACAATCATCTTTCATCAGCTACTCTACCATCCGAGGTATCGGTCTAGCCGTGAATATAAATAAAGAAATGAAATTTCATATTCATTCGTAATATCATGTACAAAGATCTCTACAACAATGAAACCTAAACCTCACAAACGAGCCCTCTCCTGCCACTCCTTCTGCAACACCTCCTCACTCTCAACCCTCCAATTCTTATTCGCACGCAACTTCTCCTCAACCTCCTCATCACTAACCTCACATGCTTTCTCCAAAGGAATCTCTCGTGTTTCCCTCAACTTGAACCCATGCCACGTCAAAACCCCAGTCGGTGTAACCACACCCTTGATAGCACCGGAGCAAAATCCAGCAAGACCCTCGAAGAACTTCTTCGCGGTCGGTGTCGAAAGCATAATATACCCATGACAATGCGGTTTACCCTCGAACATCTCCGCAACAACCGGCACACCAGCCTTATGCATTCTCCTGGCAAGAACCAAGCCCTCGTCTGTCAGACACTCCTCTCCAACAGTAATGAAGACCGGAGGCGCATCCCTCCACAATTCAGGGTCAGCCGCCATCGGCGAGACGAGCGGGTGTTGAGTGATCGATGCATTGCAGAAAGTATCAATACGCGGAGGCGAAGCAGGCCAGACATCATCGGCCGGAAACGCAAATGGCGTGTAGGGCTTAGTGTAGTCTGGTACGTCGACACCTCCGGGCCGGATATCCATGTAATCGAACTTACGGTTGCTCACTACCGAAGGCATGGAGAGTGTGACATCGCACCAGGGTGAGACACCTGCCACACCAGCCGGAAGTTCGATGTTCACTTCCTGTCCATGGAAAGTGATTGGCCGTGAGGCGCGGCGCAGGGTGAGGAGAGTTTGCAGTAAGGCTATAGTCAAGTTTCCGCCTGCAGAATCGCCGGCAATGACGATCTTGTTTGCTGGGACGGGCTCGTGGAGGGAGCCTTTGGGTGGGTGAATGAGCGATAGGTACGCTGTTAGTGCGTCAACAAGAGCGGCTGGGAATGGGTTCTGCGGTGCGAGTCGGTAGCGCACTGAGAGGGCCTGGGCGCCCGTTAGACGGGCTAGATTTGAGACGGGCAAGCGGTGGGTGCATGGGTCCATTAGGCTGTGACAGTAAGTAAATTGTTGACCAGTATGGATGACGGTGGTACTAACATGTATGCACCTCCGTGCAGATACAGGATCGTCATGTCGGATGTGATGTCCTTGCGCAAGGCGCGATATTTTTCTTCTTCGGAGATGTCGGGCTGCGGTTCTTTTTTACCGACTCCACGGCGATATCCAGTCCATTCTGCTTCGACGGCAGTAGTATCAGGGATATCGAATGTCTCCTGTCCAGTTCCAAGTATTTCAATCGCACGGACAACTGCATCGCGTACATCCAACTCGGGCTGGGGCAAAGTGACCTTGGAAACCCACATAGGGCCTTTGATGCCAGGGTCCCGCAGGCTATTCTTCTGCGTTTCGGTCATTGTTTTTCTCTCATCGCCTGCGACGAATGAGCGGATCACCACAGTGATAAGCTCAGTGCGGAGGTCTTGTTTCCCCGACACGGGGGACATGTGAATGCCATGCAAGATAAGCGTTCTCAGGATCAAGGGGATCCGAGTTAACAAAAGTTTGAGCTGCGTGATGGAATGCTTGATTCCACTCATCCTAGGCAACGAGCTTAACCTTGGCTCTTGGAGGTGGGAGAGGGTGAGAAGATATAGAATCTCCAAACCGGTTCCTGGCTATGCCGAGGCAAGAATTTAATGGGTTTAGCGTCGATCCGTACTGCAACAGGTATCCACTGCGACTTAAATCCGAGTTCTTCACCCTTGGAACACCCTTTAATCTTGGGAACTTGGAAACCAATTTACAAGAATTTCCTCAAATGTATCTCCTTTTATTTCATTTCGCCATGAATATATAAATATCATTTATGTACTTGAGATCCCAAAGTTAATATTGACCAAAACCTAGAACGCCACCCATGCAAGAGATCTTATTACTCGACCTCGTTCACCTCATGACCAGATCCAGTCTGCGACTCTACACCCTGACGCTCACTCAGCTTCTTCACACCCTGCTTAGGATGCAGCTCCCTCTGATAAACAGGATGTTCATCACCCTTAAGTCCTGACCCAGTCGGATCCCTCCGAATCAAGAAACTCTGCACACGAGCATCATTCGAAGGCATCTGATTAACAGCGCTCTGCCTCCGCCCACTTAAGAACCGCATGGAGTCCTCACTTACTTCACGAAGGCGCTCCTCGTACCCCGTATTCATCTGACCGATCCACGACGCTTGCACCGCACCACCAAACAACGTAAGTAGAATAATAAGCCGCGTGAATGTGCGATGGTCCACGATATGCTGCTGCTTCCCATTATGCCGGTTATTCCAGCGCTCCCAGTCTTCCCACGTTGCGTTTCCGTAGATATTGACGTCAGGACCGTCCGGACCGGTAGGGTCGGGCCGGGATGCGTGGTTCCATCCTGTACCAAACTTATCGTATGCTGCGCGTTTGACAGGGTCGGAGAGGATCTCGTGGGCTGCGACCACGATTTTGTAGCGCTGGAGTCGAACTTCGGGGGTGATGTCTGCACTGTGGCGGTCTGGGTGGTAGAGTTTTACGAGGTCGTAGTAGCGGGTTTTGGTGTATGTGCCATTCCGTGGAATATTTAAAATGTCATATGGGGTGAATGAGGGGCTCTTTGGCCAGGCATCCTGGTATCCCGAGGTGTCTGATGCGGTGGCATAGCTCCGGGCAGTGGAGGCGAGGTTGAGAATGGAAGATGAACCATTCCGTTGCGAATTTAGTAGCTGGACGCTACCCCAGAGAGTATTAGGCTTCTTGAGCATGGCGTCATTGTTGAGAGAGTATGGGTGACTCCCGATGCTCTCGTAGTTGTGGTGGAATGTGGAGGGGAGGTCTCGCCTTGTCGGATCAATTGGAGCCGGGGAATGATCAAACTAGCCAAACACTGGTCACGAGCCCACCGTTTGCTCGACATATCAGATGAACAGAAGTTGTGACGTCCCTTCAATTTATTGTTTTTCCCTCCCCCCCCCCCAGTTTCAAGGTTTTCTAGTTTAACCTCTGTTTATTTGCTGGTAGATAGCAGTGGCCAAGGCGATCCAGATCTAGGCACTACAGTATCGCGCTTTTGAGTCAACAATTCCAGGCTTTTCCCCGCGCCATCCATGCGGAATTACGGATTGGTTATACATCGGTTAGGCGACTATCTCCTGAGATACGATACAAAAACTCAGAGTTCACAATCCAAAGTGATTTGATTTGAGTGGGTGGGTATCTCGTCGAAGTAAAACCCTCTGAGGGCAAATGTAAAGATCTGTCACAAAACGTTCTTGTCTTTAAAGCAAAGGCACATATAAACCAATATAAACAAGAAGCATCAAAAGAGAAAATAACAGAACACCGTACTACTCCATAGATCAAGAAGAAATAACTCCTCTATTGCGGGCCGTCTTCACGACGGTATTCAAGTGACCACAACTTTTCCCACGGCCGACCTCTTCCTCCTTGTCGTCGGCCAGATGTAGATCTCGAGGGAGGTGACGCTGCCACCTCCCCATTACCACCAGGTATCTGCTGTGTCGAAGGTTGGCCATGATTCGTAGCCTGCTTATAAGGAAGGTTAGCGTATGAATCAATGCACAACCCGAGAAAAGATAGAAGCTGTCTTTTCCTACTTTTCACGGGCCGAAGAGTAGGTCACGGCGAACCTCTTCAAAGATTGGGGCAGATTCGCGCTGAGAGCCAGCAGCGGAAGGGTCGGCATCAGAATCAGGGCGAACAAGGTCGACAGTCGAGTCATTGGCTCTTTGAGAAGGCGTCGGGGTACCCCGTTTAGAATTAGAACTATTGCGACGGCTATCCAGACTTTTGGACAGAGTCTGCGCGACAGTGCTTTCTTCTGTTGGACGTTTGAGGCGAATACTGCCTTTAGCATCTATGGGCGTGGATGCAACAGTTGTCTTGGCGAGCCCTGGCGTAGCAGGTGCGCCGGGCTTCTCTTCTGCGGCATCGAGAAGATACCAACGGAGACCGTCAGATAGCTCAAAGGGATTCTCATCATCGATGGAGGCGGCTTCGCTGGCTCCTCCAAGCGAGTGCCGATCAGGCGCAACACCATTCAGTGACTTTGAAAGGTCTACAACGCGTTCCTCAATTTTGGAAATACGGGCAAGTAACCAGTCACGAGTGTTGAGCTTGTGGGAATCTTGCTCGCGCAGGAAGTAATGCGGCGCGCCCACATTAAAAGCGGCCCATGAACGAATGGCCTGGTTTCGAGTCGGAAGGAATAGGGCCAGGTCGCCTTCTTTGAAAGATCGGTAGGCGATCTTGTCATGAGCTTCACTTTGGATCCGATGATACTTCTCACGATAGCCACGGGCTTCCTTTTGCCACTTACGTGCGAGTAATTCAATGTCTTTCACACGCTTCACAACCACATCCCCAAAAGTGGAAACATCGAATCGAGTAAGGCTTTCCATGAAGGCCGAGAATTTCGCATCTTCTTCCTCTGGGGTTTCGGCTCGCATCCACTCGAGCAGTGCAGTGTCGGGCTTGGCAGAAACAATTCCAGACTGGGCGAGACTTTCGCCGAGTCCAGACGCCGATGCAGTAAGCTTCGATGCTCGCTGGACGATAAGACGTCCGTCCTGCTGGATGATTGCAAACCCTAACTGCTCAAGCATCCGCTCCAACTTATCGACCTGCGAGTAAAGTTGCCGGGACGTCTCGTAACACTTAGTGCCACGGCCTTCATAGCGGTGGAGAGCATATCGTTCTGCTTCTGAGGCAGCCTCGACCTTCTTTTGCCATTCAGATTTCTTGTCCTGCAAGTTCTGAGCCTTGGACTCTGCATCGACGAGCCTCTGTGACAGGTCTGCATGTTTCCGTTCCTCCTCCGCGATTCTCTCACGGAGCGCATCTGAGCCAATCTCTCCCGCCGATACCTGAGAATGCAAAGTACTCAACTTGTTGCGTTCCTGCTCTAGCTCCTGCTTCGTACTGTCCAATTGAGATCGCACTTGAGAAAGTTCTTCAGTCAATTTGGTCACTTCGGCATCACGACCATCAAAGACTTTAACTTGTTCATCCAATTGCGATTGAAGCGTTTGTGTTTTTTCTTCAAGCAACTTGATCTCAGCCATCGCCTTTGATGCATTGTCTTCCGCGGTCTTAGCGTGGATGGACAAACCCTCGGAAAGTACCTCAATGGCGTGAATGACTCCAGTGAGTTCAAGTGGCACGGAGCCTCCAGGAGCAAGGTTCATGAAAGCTGACTGTAGAGCATGGTAGTTGTCTTGGTCTTTCTGGCTCCATGCGTCATTATGGCGCAAAAGGTCGTTGACCTTATTTTGGAGCTCTTGCTCTTTCTCTTGTTGAAATCGGATGCGTTCCTCGAGATCCTTGACCCTTTGAATCTCCTTGGCCGAGCTCGCGTGGGCACTTTGCAAATCAGCCTCGAGCTGATGAATCCGCTCCTCAGCCTCTTGTCTCTCGTGGTCTCGGCTGTCCATAAGCTTATCTAGCTCCTCTTCCATTTCCTCATTGCGATGCCGACACTTCTTCACTTCCGCTTCAAGGTATCTTCGCTCATCCTCGAACTCGCGCTGCCGTGCCTCAAGATTACCAATGAGGTCTTTCTTGGTCGACTGGGCTTCTTGATACTTGTCGGAATTGGTCTGCCGCTCTGTATGAGCCTCTTTTTGAAGTCTCTGCACGGCTTCCCTTTCAGTCATTAGCTCGGCTTCCAGCGAGACTATGCGCTGCACAAGTGCTCTGTCCTCCGGGGACTGCGTCATGGAGACCCGCCTTGATGAAACAGAAGATCGCCTGGAGAGGGTGTCGAGATGCGGAGACGCGGGCGAACTTGGAAAATCTGGCCCAAAATTCCCACTGGACGGCCGACTGAGGTGGCTTTGGCGATGGAGGAGATCTTCTAGTTTACGAACCCGGCTGTCGGAGCCCTTGAGTCGCTCTTCCAATTTTGTCTTTTCATCCTGCAGGCTTCGAACCATATCATCCCCACGGAGCAATATAGAGCTTCGGCTCAAATCGAACACGCTGCCATTCTTGAATGCCTTAGCTCGCCGTCTTTGCTGGCGTGTGGGTGTATCCAGGTCTTTCAATTGCTGAGTTAAGTCATCTGCGATCTTTGGTAGGGCGTGCTTTGACCGTAAATCTTCTATGTAAGCCTCGATTTCTTTCCGAGCTACTTCGGGCCATTCTTCATCCTGCCCTTGGAGATTCACTTCAATCCCAAGTGTTGTAGAGTCCCCAAATGATATGTGATCGCCCATGCTTTTGACCCATTTCTTTCGGCGTCGTTGTTCTTCGTCTCTTAGAACAGCCATCTCTTCTGCCAGGTTCAAGGAATCCGCCTTGATTTTGCCGCTCCACTCGTGACGCCGCACAGACTCTATCAGAATCGAGCCATAGACCATCGGCATCTGAAAGACTGAGTTAATGACTTCAAAAGCATTGGTATTCACGTCAAGATTGATCAGTTGGGTGTGAGTTTCTGCCAGGCGGGACTGCAGGAATGAAATAGTCCGCATGTTTTGAAGAGCCTGTTTCTCTGCAGCGCCACGTCGCCGAATAGAATGCGCGAGAGCTTGCTGAAGATCTGAACCAGCCGCCAACAGAGATGGGAGCAGGTTTTGGGTATGGTTCAGTGCTAGCCTTGAGATATTTGCCAACATCTTCTGATTATTGGGAACCCCAAGGACATGCTCGTAATCCGAACCGATCTTCTTAACAATGGTTACCACCTCAGCGAGCAGGCCCTCGTCCTCTTCAGCGGGGGAAGAATGGGTGTCATCAACCAAGCGTTGGGTATCCGAGGCAATCTCACCGACAGTCTTCTCAATATCTTGCACATGTCCAGCGAAGCGCGGCGATGCAACAGCCGCATCAGCTCCAGCTTGTATAACCTCATTTTCATCAACAAAATCTTTCAGAGTCCCTGTCGGCCGACTGTTGTCTTTCCTGGGTGTGGATGGCCGTCCCAGAAGAGGAAAGTCCTTGCGGGCTGGGATATTCTCTAGCTGTGCCAAAGCATGTTGCCAGCCATCCAGAGCGTTCTGCTGCTCCTCTAGCAAATTAAAGGCCCAAGCATGAGCCTCTGAGAGCCTTTGTTCCAGATTGCCCACGTGAGACTTGAGGTTCTCGAGTGCGACACCCACGGCGCGGTTGATGACATCAGTTCGCTCGTTATGCTCTTGAATTATCTTGTCGATCGTCTCGCAACGACTGGAAAGACCCTGAGCCCATGTCTTCCTTGCCATAAAGAGATTCCGCCATGCCTGCAGGTCGTTCTGGTCGGTAAGGGACGCCGGGGGACTACCTGGCTGAAAGGGTTCGGGTGCAGGAAGCGTCGGGAGTTCGATTTCACCGGATTCGCTCACATATTGTCGGTCGTACACAAATATTTCAGTCTACTCCCACCGCCAACCGTTTATTAGCACGTTCGGTGAGATATGCGGAGATTCGAGGATTAGGTACCTCAGTGGCGAGAGTCTGCGTCTTCACATTCTTTCCTCGGGCAGTCATCAAGATCTGCCTAGGAGGAGGAATCGAAGTATGTCGTACGACCCAAGATTTCAGTGCATCAGGGCTGTAGATGGGGTGGAGTCAGTTTGCGGATGCATAAAGCTAGGGACATCGGAATGGGCATTTCCCCTCATCGAAAACCCGGGGAAGGACCAAAACATACGAAGCAAAGGCTACTGGATCAGCCAGTAGATGCTCACCGGAGTGAGCGATATAGATATGCAAAGACATTTCCCCCTCCTCACCACCGAGCGCGAAAGCTCTAAAATTCAGGGAAGAGGGGAGTGTATCTAGTTAAGTTTAGCAGCGGCTGAAGCTCTTACAGGTGCGTTTCTTCCCCACCGCCTCCAGTCCATATCACAAGATACCCTTTCTACGCACGCGATCTCGCCATGGCTCCAAAACATGGCCAGTGGCCACACCTTCGGCCAGGGGAACTGACCCTCCTTGATTATGCTGCAGATGACACCCGCGATGTGATGACGCTCTCGGACAAAGAAGCGCTCGTCCTGCAGCTCGCCGAACAGATCCAGGAACAACAACTAGAAAAAGCGTTACTAGAACAAGGTATGTACTCAAAGATCTTTTGCTATTCTTCAATTCTTTTTAAGTTCTATTTTCATGACTTTTTCTTAGAATCGGAGCCATTGTCCGGTGACAATGTGGAAGAGGAGCTCGCGACCGCGCAACGCGAGTTTTTAGAGGCGCGAGCTACCTACACCGTCAGAAGGAAAGCAGCGCGTACCATCCTCATGACTGACCCGATCTTGAAAGCGGTGCACCTGAAGGCGACCACCCCCCCTGAAAAGTATGTTGGAATCCCTTGTCTATATGCGCCGCGTCTCATGAAATCTTGCAGAGCGCTATTTCGCCTGGTCAACCGTCGCGACGAGCTAGCCCTCGCACATGAGAACCTAGCCTCCGTCCACAACGCAGTTCTGAAACAGCTCTCCAACTTGAAGGTCGAGAATTTACAGGTCAACCGGAAGAATCAAGAATTAGTGAGCCAACTATTACAGCTCACGAAACAGGATTCTTCCTGGCGTGAAAGGCTTCAAGATGCGAAGCTCGCGTCGCAGCTAGATGAGCTCGAAGCTGAACTCAAAACCAGCAAGGCGAAATGGGACACCATGAAGAACATCGCTAGCGCTATGGTAGTCGGCAGCGGGCTAAACTGGGCTGAGGACGATGATCTACAAGCTCTTGTTCTGGACGAGAGTGACGATTAATGTCTATTTTACGAACGCGTTCCGGTGTTTAGGGTCTGCGATTAATACTTAGAACTGGTTATACCCCGTGGTCCGATAAGGGAATTGGCGCATCACTATCTAATTAAGAAAACCCCCAGTGATTTGGATAGATTCTTTGGCTTTCTCCGAAATCAAAATTTCCACGAGATTATGGTCGACGCATAGGGATTGTGGCCGTGTAAGACCCACGTCTACATCACCGCACACCCACCATGACGGAGTGGATAGATAAGAGTCTTACGGGCGCGTTGTTGGGGGGACTCTAGGGCTTGCGCACGCACAGCAAAATCGACCCAGCAACGGAGGACTTTAAGCTCTATCGCAGTTGATAGATCTATTGGGTGACCGACTATAGATGAATTCAATACATTAGCGTTTAGTGCTAGTGTGCCCGGGAATCCAGTACGTATTACGCGAGAGCAACTCTATGACGCCTCCGGAAGAAGTGGAAGGGTAATATTACGAGTGGGGTGGTACTTGGTTACTGCGGGAATTTAACACGCAGAACCAAGTACCGTATCAGAAGCGAAATCAACCAGCCATTCTGTTCTTTGTACGGATATAATCTACCTACTGAGCTAGATACCTAAGCTAAGTAAAGGTATATGCTATTTTGGGTCCTTTACGAACCACAATCCATCTGGACTCCCAAGGCTCTTGACGAAGGTCTATAATATCCGACGGAACAAGACGCGTCTCGTAAGGGAACACACCTAATACCTGATTATTTCCGGCTTGTGATCATGGTGTGATCCGAACTCTGCAAGGAATGAAATCACCCATCGGCGCCCCGGTTTTTTACTCCCATCCATTTGACTTAGCAAATTCGAAGGCCGAATCCCGCAACGGGCACCCGTGGATGGAGTTCGGCAGCTCTGGCTACATTTGAAAACAACCAGGAAATTTGACGATAACGCCCAAGTTCTTTACGTATGGCTGTGTTTCCAATCGGTGATTACGCCCAAAGAACAGTATGATTGAGCAACGCTCCGACTTGCGATGATGGCCCTTGCCTCGCGCTAATTCGGTCATGGATATGGGCTGCGCGCCATTACACGGTGGCCGGTGCTTTTTGTTTGTTTTTTTTTTTTGTTTTTTGACTCTGTTATTACTGGATATATACTAGGTCTGACTTTCTTTCCGTGGCATAACCAGTACTTAATTTAGCTCAGTATACTGGGGTAGATTGCTTTGGCGAGGATGACTAGGGTACGGTACTCCATCCCCACGTATCCGCAGTATTGATCTCGGACTTATTGCCTGGATGGCCAAGGAGGGTTTTGTGCCAGTGCTATTTTGTCCGTGGGTGTTGCGCAACGCTTCTTATTACAAACGCTAATTGCATCAAAGAGGTCTTTAGGGAAATAGAATGGATGTGTATACCAAGTATCCCGGTCTTTGTTGCCTAACTGGAATTTCTCTCATCCGTTTGTTGTCGTAGTGATTCCACCTTGAAGAGACCCTTGAAATGATCCTTTGGTTCCATCTGGTTTGTTGGTTATTACCGGGCTATATGATACATAGGACGGCGTGGGAACTCTGGCACTCCAAAAAACCAGCTAAGCCGCGTTTTGGAGCGGTACTGGGTACTTGCGTGGAAAGTCACTTTATTATGGGTTACAGCGGTACTCGGTACGACCGCCTGCGCGGGTTTTGGGTGTTGCTCCACTGTGAGAGGGCTTGAGTATGTTACTGTCTGATACACTCTTTCTCCATCACAAGTAGAAAAATGCTGCAGTATACAAGCTAGGGAAATAGAAGCCTTTTTGGCGTTGAAAGCATAAAATAGAAATAAAAATGAATAAAAACAAATGAAAGTTAGAACACTCCATAGGTACAGCAAAGGCAGTCTGCAGTTAATTACAATTACCATACAGCCGCATTCTGCTGGGGTACACACTATAATAAAATACTGTGACGCAGGCCGTTACATTCCCGTGTGTAAGCAAGCAAGGGCTCCCCCCTCTCTTGGTGTTTCCCTACTACTGCTGCCTCCCCCCCTCTCTCTTTCCCTTCTTCCTACACTACCAACTCTCACCATACACTCTGACCATACAAACCCCAGGTACGCATATCCCCATCTATATATCAACACGCCCACCATCACCCAATTCTCTCCACCACAACCACTTCTCTTTTTTTTTCTGCATTCTTCTTGTCCTTCGCATCATTTGTCAAGCTCCATTTTCTTTTTTTTTCCTCATTGTCGCGGTCGCAATCACGGTCGCGCATTCTATTATTTTGCGCTTCCACCACTCTAACTTGCGCCTACTCTGATAACTCAAATTCAGGGTCGGAACTGTTTATCAAACTAAACGATTTACGTTTCGCGTGAGTTCCGTCCTGGATTTGACGCGTTATTTCGGCGCGATTGGGTGCAAGTCAGCGCATTTCGTCGCCCTAGAGTAGCGAAACGCGTCGGTGGTCTAGCAAGGCCACCCCAATCGCGAGTCTAGTCCTTTTATTCTGCACTTTTTTTTGTCTCTTCCTTTTTCAGTTTCAATAATTGTCTCTATCATCCTTGTCATCTGGACCATCCCAATTTCGTGTCCTTTCGTCCAATATTGATTGTCACTTTGCGTCACATGAACTAACGTTCCAAAGGTCACCAAAAACAAGATGCCTAAGGATAGAACTACCACCCGCAAGGCCAAGCCCGAGCGCGCCACTCGCCGCAAGAAGGGTAAGTCATCTTCGACATGATTGATATGATGAGGTTCTAATTTGCCCTTAGACCCCAACGCCCCCAAGCGTGGTCTCTCCGCATACATGTTCTTCGCTAACGACAACCGTGACTCTGTCCGTGAGGAAAACCCCGGCATCACATTCGGTAAGGCGCATCCTATCCATCATTTGGTCCTTTTTTTCCCTAACAACCCCCATAGGCCAGGTCGGCAAGATGCTCGGTGAGAAGTGGAAGGCTCTTTCCGACAGCGAGCGCAAGCCCTACGATGACAAGGCCTCTGCCGACAAGAAGCGTTACGAGGATGAGAAAGCCAAGTACCAGGCTGTAAGTTTATGCCATTCCTCAATAACAATGAGCCAACCTTCTAACTTGAAATAGGATCAGGCTGCTGGCGATGATGACGAGGAATCCTCTTAAACGTCTCTTCGCAACTTTCATCTGCGCAGATGCTGGCGTTCTCGTGCTCTCTTAGTGATTCTCCCCGGTTTCCTTTGTCCTTGTCGCTTTATCACTTACGGGCTTAACGGATGGGTTCCTCGGTGGTTTTTGCTTGCTTTATGATGGCCTGATTCGGCCCAACTAGTGTTTACTCGCGGGAAATGGTTTTCAACTTGACGTTCCATCTTCTTAGTAGTCTTGCTTTTTATTTTACTTTTCTTTTTTCCCCTTGCAAGGGCAATTAAAGAAAAGAAGTCAACTCTGGCTTGCCTGACTGATTTGAAGGGTGGCCAGGACGGTGCTTGCTGGATCTCTCGGCGCAAGCCTAGTCTGCTGTACACTAGTCTAATCAATCCTATTCTATTTCCCTAGTTTTTGTTCTGAATATGGTCTGACGTCCAATCGACTCGCGTGCCTCGAGTCTACATGGTCCGAGCTCCCCGAGCCATCTGAAAGTTAGTGCTAATCGAAACGCTTAACATAGTAAACATGGTGGGGTTTCGTCAGGACTAGCTGCAGGGATAATTAAGCTTGTTTCCATTGGACTCGAAATTTTCCACTGGCCCAAGGTCCCGGATATTCCCGACAAATGCTTCACGCCGGCAACCCGAGTTCACGCGTATCGTCTGAATGCCCTTATCAAAGTACGCCGTCTCCGGAGTAAATTTCTGTTGAAGTCACAGCCGTGTTCTTGTTGCCCTTTGTCAATCTCAGCGCTACCTCAGTCTGTCGAGGGATAGAGCGATGTATTGGACCTTGATTCCATGCATACCAGAGTGCCAGTGATCGCAGTCCTTGCATTTGCAGGATGACGGAAGACAAAGCTGTTTACTTCATGTCCTATCTTGCTTGGCTATCTCGGCTTCAGTGCCCTGCGAATACTCTGCCTTTCTTCGAGAAATCAGTACTTCTATCCTACGAAAAATTTAATCTGGTAACCGAGTTATGTGCTACAGTATAGACTTGGCTTTGCCCACTGCAGCTATACATACTGTACTGTATAAATGCGATGATCTACATATGCATACTTTCGGTCGCTCCGTCGACTAGATTACTTGCAAACTATGGTACCTTTCGTGTTGTTTATGTTTTTTCTATTCTTAGTCTATCTTCAAGCTGCTAGCCTGTCCACGTCTTGCGCCTGAGCCCTCTGGGCTTTTGCGTTCTATGTGCTGGTCTACATAGCCCAACTATGCATACATCTTGCAATCCGGACGGTTATGTGCGGTGGTCACACTCCGTCACCGCTACTTTTGTACTAGACGACAACCTTATAGGGCAGAAGTATATGTGGGTCGCATAAGATGCTTACCCAGCAGAGTGCTGGAATAAACTCGGGAACCATGGTAACTGCTCCATGATCCGTGGAATCAAATGAGGTTGGCTATATAGGTATATTGTAATTACTCTGCTCTTTAGGATATGAATTGTCCTGGTCATCAAAGGCCGGGATCTTAACGCGGATTCTCCTAGGTTCTTCCCCTCTCCTTCCCCTCCCCCCACTAAGCGCCCCGCCATTCCCGCGCGACCACGTCAGGAAGCAAGACGCAAGGGAAGAAAGAAAAAAGTAAGAGCCGCATGCCCACGTGAGATTGGGTTACTTTGGATTTCCCGCGCTCTCTGCTTTTCTCTCTCCAGAAAACCCGCATGGCCTGACCCGCCCCATGGCCCTGCGCACGTCTGCTGAAGACGCCGAAGATGCGGCAGCTGGCTTCACTACTTTCCGTGCCCCTCTTCCCGAACATGCGGCCGAGGTGACCGGCCTCATATCCGATCTATATGCGATCAGCTCTTCCTTGACCAGCCTGGACGCATTTTCGCAAAATGTCCAGTACCGTCGCAATTGGCCCCGCGTCCAATCCGATGTCGAATTGGTGCGGAGCAGCCTGAAATATACTTTTGAGGATATTCATGAATATATGCACCGCCTGGACAATGGCAGAAATACCCCGGAGAATTACAAGCGCGTTTGGGTGTCTATGAGTCGGTTTTTCTGGGATGAGTCGCAGTATGCGCTTTCAACTCGCCTGGCAAGATATAGGATTTTCCTCAGAGAGCTGGGTGAGATGGTGAAGAGGTATGTATAGCCCTAATGTGACAAAACGACACTAATAGCTAAACACCATATGATTAGTCGTAATTATGACTCGTCGCTCCTCGGAAGCACTCGCAACGGCCTGAGAGAGCTGCTTGTCTTGCAGGAACATCGATTGCTTCCTCAAGGTCTTGGATCATTAGAGCTTGGTCAGGACCCTCTTGGTCCTACTTCGATCCCTCGTCCCGCCTCTCGCCCCCCATCCAGAGGCAACGTGCGTCCCACCTCTCGCCCTCCATCCAGAGGCAACATACCTCGCCCTCCATCTAGAGGCAACATCGCCGAGCCTCTGAGCCCAATAAGCCCGGTCAGTGACCGTGATCACCGTCGACGCCGATCCTTTGAGCGAGTTCGACCTGCACATCTATCTCCTCAGTCACCCCTGTCACCTTCGTCTGGTACGGGCACATTTTCCGATAGTATTCCTCCTTCTGTCCCCGAGGCTCCTTACTCGCCATTGACTGGATCAGTGTCTGCCACTACAAATACCAGCCACTCCACCCAGAATGATGCCATACAGTATCATTGGATAAAAGAAATCTTTAGCAGTTATGATACAGAGACCGCGATTCCGAACGGACCAGAAAAGTAAGATCTCTCGACTCCGGGCAGAGATATCACTCTGACACTACTATAGGGCAGGATGTTTCGACGATTCCCACCCAGGAATCAAGCAGATTCTCAAAGAAAAAGGATTTGAGCGAATTCTTCAATTGTGGGTCCTTTAGAAAGGAGATTGAATTACCTCCTAATTGGTTATTTCCAGGGCCTTCAATGACGAATCGGAGATGACTATCTATTTCTATCTACGGGAGAGAGACCACCGCGCTCGAATAGTGTGTAAGGTACCTCACCGTACTCGATCCAGTGAATACTTCTGTCTACCTCTGAACATGCTGGAAATTGTCCGAGCAGGGTCCTGCCTTCAGTTGTGCCGGAGAAAAAACTCAGGCAAGGATTTGATCTTGTGGGCCCGTCTGAAGTTCACCACAATTGAAAGTGAGTATACCTAAACACATGCAAAGATAATTCGAGACAAGACCTGACAAAGAGTTAAGGTATGGTCGTGTTCTTCTGTGCGTTCTTGGCCCTTCGCTCTCAAGATGCCGGTCGACCGGTTGACGATATCCGGGACTACGAACTCGACGAGGAAGAGGAGCTTTTTGGCGGGTTGGTCAAACCTTGGCCCCGAATCAATTCACACAGCTAATTATGTCCAGCCAAATCGTCGATGACAACTATCCCCATGCTTTACGTGTGTATCAAGATAGTGTCTCAGGAGCTGTTCGACTGCAGGCATCTGTTCACAAAGGGATTATGGACCGGTAAGTTCAAGCCCAGGTTATATATTGACGGTTCTCACTCATTTTCATAGAACCCCTGTCTGGACTGCCTTCGTTACTCATCAGATCAAGCGACGGGGCTGGTTGAAGCCCTTGGATTCACGGACCGTGTTAGTGAGGGACCTGAAGCTTACCATCCTCATGTCGGCGGAGGACTATAATCCGCCTACCACGGCCCGTGGGGAGCATGTATTGAAATTTGCTAGTCGGAGTGGTGCGTATATCCATTTCATTTGATCACATCGTACTAATTAACGCCTTATCTAGATGCTGACGGCTTCTTGGACACGATGGAAGATATAGCGATGACCATTCGGTAGACAGCGCCATCCTTGTGCTATGGGCCTTGGTGTATTTACTATCTACATGCTCTGGACACTTACGACTGACGAGTTATGCTGGCATGATTGTCATGATCAAGATCAAAAGTTAGGGTCAATTGAAATGGCTATGAAGCTATTGAAGCCAAGTCATGCTTAATCGTCCTTTGATTCTGCCTTTTTAGCGTCTTTCTAACGATTGCTTGCGCTAGCTTCGTTGCATTCTGATTGATACAAGGTCATTTTGGAATTAGCGCCTGAGAATACATTGCCACTTTGTATCTGACATGAGAGAAGAAGTAATGGGTATCGTGAAAAGTACATAGTATGGAAGCCCTCATGTCTTCGGCTGCTTCACCAAGAGCCCGTCATTGGAAAGGCCCTTCAAAAGCCGCTCTGTCATCCTCTTTTCCCGCAATTCAGCAAGCTCCTTCCGCCGACGATTGGTCTTTTCTTCCCATTCCGCCCTCCTATCAATCCTAGCCTGTCGCTGCTGCTCAGTCTCCTGTCTTGCCATCAACAAATCCTCCATCTGCCTCTTCCGTTCCTCCTGATCCCCTGAGAATGAATAAAATCCAGTACCCCGATTCCGTACCTCCGCATCCGCATTGTAATGCACCTCTTCAGGCGGCGTAGCAGACCGATCCCTTCGCGCAGCAAGCTTAGCCATCTGTGCTGCAACATTCTCCTCGGGGTTGAACGCCTCCGCCTGAATCGTCTCGCCATAAATCAGATTATCCGGTCTGGCAGGCTGCCAGCGTTCCCGCGTCTCGCGGCCCTGATTCGCCTCCTCCTTCGCACGCGCCGCTGTGGCAGCTTCTTTTCTCGTACCACGGCGCGAACGCCCAAATTCATCTTCATATGATATCTGGGACGCGTTGTCATCGTCTTGATCACCGTCACTGGTATCCTCGGATCCATCGCGATTTCGTTCTTCGTCCATCCATTTGCGGTCGAAATCAACCAGTCCTTCTTTTTCTTTGCGCCGTAGTCGCTTATGGTAATCTTCGCCTCGGGTTTTTTTGTGACTGGGCTCTTCCTCGTCGCTGCTTTCGGCTGCTAGGTGTGATCCCTTCTTCAGGTCGTTGTATAGGCGCACTTTTGCATCCATTTTGCGCTTAGATCGGCTGAGTGTGGCGTCGTCGACTTTGCCGATATCCTTGCTGCTTTTGTGGACTTGAGTGTGGCCTTCATCTTTGAGATCGGAAGCTGCGCGCTTCTCGGCTCCTTTGTTAGATCTGGTAAAGAGGTCGGTTTTGGGGGTCTTGGATGGGCGGGCTCGGCCGCGGCCTGTGCTGCTGTCTTGGGCTATGAGGGAGGAGAGTTGGGAGGAAAACGCTAGGTTGGATGAGTTGGAGATGTCTGGGCCCTTGGTGGTTTTGGTACGGCGTTGTCCGTACAGAGAGGTTTGGTCGGAGCTCATGGTTGTGGTGTGTGGTTCGAGCAGTCTGTCAATAGTGAACTTGGAGTGATATGGAGGACGATAAGATAAGACATAGCGATCTAGCCTAATTCGGATAATTAAATGTCCCGAAATTGTCATGTACAATTGCTACGTCCAGTTCACTGGAATGAATTAATTCCTGGTAAAAGCTATGGTTGGCCTCTAGAATAATACAGAAGAGTCGGGGCAAGTCTGTACTCTAGTGATTCCACGTGTACATTGTCTTTCTCATCATTCTTATAGAGAATACTCCATTAGACTTACATAATATATCACGTCTACTAGAGGTCCCTAAGCTATTGACATAGATCAATTAACTCCCAGTATTAGTTGACAACTAAGCCAGTAGATACCCGACTGTACATGTGTAGAACTTCAAACTCATGCATTTGTAGAGAAACAAATCTAAACATGCCCCACTGCATCAGACTGGGATTACATAACTCCGGGCCGAGTCCGCAAGGTTAAAGTGAGTCAAGCAGATCATCTCGCAATCTACTCAATCCTCTCACTGTACTTGGAGTCAATTGATATTTCCCTTGTACATTCTGTCTCTTTGAGATAAACTCAATTTCAATTTAACACCAGGAATCAACCAATTGACTCATCATGTCCAGCCCTATCTACCTCGGTGTTGTTGGTATGAATACCCCTCCATCTTTTCGAGCTTCAAGCTTCACGCCTCAAGACCATAACCGCACCAAAATTAACACATCCAGGCGTCGGCGGCGTTGGTACCGCGTTCCTGTCCCAGCTTGCTCGTATCCCCAATGCCCCCCAGCTTGTTCTCCTCGCCCGCTCCTCGCAGACCCTCCTCGCTCCGACACCGGCGTACTCCCCCGCCATCCCCGCGGCCGACTGGGCAACTGCCTCCGCTGCGCCCTCGCTCGTCAAGACCGGCGCTCTGCCCGCCGAGGAGATCGCGACATACCTCGCCTCTGCCCCTGGTCGCGCCATTTTGGTTGACAACACCTCCGATATTAACCTTGCCCGCTCCTACCCCACATTCTTGAAGAAGGGCATCTCCGTCGTCACCCCGAACAAGAAGGGCTTCTCCGATGACCTCTCCCTGTGGAAGGACATCTTCGCCTCCGCCGCCGAGGGCAAGGCTCTCGTTTATCACGAGAGCACCGTCGGCGCCGGTCTCCCCGTCCTGTCCACTCTGAAGGATCTCGTCGCGACCGGTGACGAAGTCACCCGCATCGAGGGTGTCTTCTCCGGTACCCTTTCCTTCCTGTTCAACACTTTCGCCCCTGCCTCCGGCTCCTCGGATGCTCAGTGGAGCGCCGTCGTTGCCCAGGCTAAGGAGCTTGGCTACACCGAGCCCGATCCCCGTGATGACCTGAACGGTATGGATGTTGCTCGCAAGCTCACCATCCTTGCCCGTCTGGCTGGTCTAGAGGTGTCTCGTCCCGACTCGTTCCCCATTGAGTCGCTCATCCCTGCCGAGCTGGCCTCGCTGCCTTCCTCTTCTGATGGCATTACTCAGTTCATGACTCGCCTGCCCGAGTTTGATGCTCAGATGGCTGAGGTCAAGAACACCGCTGAGAAGCAGGGTAAGGTTGTGCGTTACGTTGGCAGCATTGACGTTGCCACCAAGACCGTCAAGGTTGGTCTCCAGTACTTTGACAAGGACAGCGCTATTGCTGGCCTTAAGGGCAGTGACAACATCATTAGCTTCTACACCAAGCGGTACGGCGCCAACCCTCTGATTGTGCAGGGTGCTGGCGCTGGTGGCGATGTCACTGCCATGGGTGTGTCTGCTGATCTGATCAAGGTCGTCCAGCGCCTGCAGTAAGTCAGGGTATAGTGAAATAATGATAAAAGGATATAGATAAGCAGATTCTTGCAGAGTCTGATGAATGAAAAGATAATCCTGGATGCGATACGCTATATGCTCATTCATATCTACCTGAATACTAGTAGGTAAAGTGGTGATTAGACGCACTTGAAATCTGATTTAATTGGTAGCAAATTAGCTCAAAATTATAGACACAATGATAAGAGATATTCACATAATGATATTTAAACGTTTGACCCAGATTGCATACAATGAATCCCATATAAAAGCCGATTAGGCAAACACCATAAGCGCCATAAACCCGTTATCAGAATAAAGATATGCGTACAGGAGCATTTAAGCTAAGCAATAGCGTAGGTCAATCAGGCTCGAGCAGCTCTATATTTGGCCTCTCCATCCGCATTGGAATGTGCCCTCGTAGCCGTGGTGGGTGCCTTATTCTCTTGGCCTGTATCTCTATTCGCCAACGCGTCATCCTCTCGATCTTGATCCCGATGAGCATCAGTCTCGACGCCACGCAATCCAAATGCCCGCCGTTGTCCGTCAGGGCGTTCGTTCAGACTTGGTGCTCGAGGTCGCTGTTGGCCGCGTGCCCGTCCGCCTACCCACGGTAGTTCCCACAAGAGCATTCGGTAAAGCCACAGGCCTGCATCGAAGAGAATGAGGGCGAGCCAGGGGAAGATCGTGATAATTCCGAGAAGGAACTGATAGAGTCAAATGTTAGTAGGAAACAAGTGAAGTGTGGGGAGGACATGGGCGCATACGAAGATCCGGACTGCCCAGCTCTCCACCTGAATGAGCTGTGGTGGGAGGATGGAATACCACGCCATAGCTTTTTTGGTCGGGTGTATCTCCGGAGCTTGGGCAGTTATCGCAAGCGGCTTGAAGATAGGTGCGATGAGCGGTCTCTTTTCCGGGTGTAGCCGCTTGATTGGCGGTCTCTCAGACTTTGTTCTTTGTAGGAGCTCTTACGTCGTGTGTGGTTATTGCTCGGTTCCTCTCATGTCCGGAGCCAGGGATGTTTGGGCGGTAGAGAGGTTTGGAGTGAATGCGACGCGCAAGGGTCTTGGTTGCGGAAGCGATGTATCAAGTCCGAGGGAGCTCCTCCCCGCACGGTCCTGACGGGGGAAAAGAAATGTAAGTTGGATTTGGAGAAAGATGCGTTTCCTGGTGAATTAATTTATTCCCACCGCTTTCAAATCCGGGGAATACAAATGGGAAAAAGCAAATGCAAGCTGCAGTTGAAGATGATCAGGAACGAGTGGAGTGCGCGGTAAAGCGGAGACCGAGGCCCGATCTGATCCCGATTAGGAAAGTTGTCATCACCTGAGCATGAACTTAAGTTGCTTCAACACAATCGCTTGGAACGTAGATGGGCGATACTTATCATGAAAGCCAGTGACATAGACCTAGGGACAGGTACCTAGGTCATGTATTTCCAAGGTTCCAAGGTTCCAAGGTGGTCGTGCCCCATAAGGTCTTAGAATATCATTTCAGCCTAATCATGAAACGTAAAGTAGCAAAGGATTGAAAATGTGCGATTCAGTATTGCCTAGTGAGATTTAAAACTTTGAGACATAATAGTCTGACTCGACAGGTTGAACGATGGTACCTTCGTGTTCATCCTTGGGATGGATGCAGACTCCAGACTCCAGAGTATGACGAGTGAGGTGGGCGGCCATAGCCGCATCTATTGCGCTATGTGGACTAGCGCGGGCCTTATCAACACGTGATACACCATGTATAAACCAAGCCGACGTGGTGTAGTGGTTAACATAGTCATTCCCAGCAACTGTCCCATGTTCGATACCTGGTCGGACCGAATGCTCATCCTTCGTCCTTAGGTATTCTTGTTCATCGTATTCGCAATGGGTCGGAAGTTGGGTCCTTGACTGACGAAGGCTCCGATCCTTCCGCCGACGGCAATTCTTTTCCGGTTGTTGTTGTTGTTGTTGTTGTTGTTGTTGTTGTTCTTTCTTTTCGCTCGTCTGCCCTTGTACCTCCTTTCATTTGAAGCGTACAGGTTCTTTTAGGGTACATGAACCATACAGGTGTATATATGTACCTCATCATATGCCGGATACACTGATCTGTACAGTCTGGTTTAGGTTTAAAGATCCTCAATCACAGAGAACGGTGGATACAGACATAGTTCTGTGGATGTGAATTCTCTCATGAAACAATTGAGTTGCCTGTGATTCAAAATAGACTCGGACATTCCATTCGCGCGTGTATTATTAGCCGAATCGGCCATTTCCAACCTGTATAGCGCCGATCTTCATACCAAGATGAGGCTAGAAAGCTTGGAATGAGCTTGATTATCAAAATAATCCACAATGATCGGAAACCAGACAAGAACATCCTCAGCTCGACGTATCAAATGCTCCCGTGGTGATCTCCTAGTTTTCCATAGTGGGACGTTCCCGAGAAACACGCAACATTCATCGTCACCCCTCAGATTCTCCCTGTGCCCCTGTTATATCTTTTTCCAGCGCCTAGTTAAAGCAGGTATCACACGCGTCCGACTGACGATGAAGTTGAATAGTTCGCCTTTATCCCGGGTACTACCCCATAATTCGTCAGCTATGCGCCAATGCAAGCGCCGCCTTCGTCATCGCGGTGGACCCGTTATCGGCACTGCACAACCGTTGGGATTATCCGAGAATTGACCGAACAATATCAGTCCAAATTTTGTTATCAAAAAGATGAGTATATAAAGGGTGACTGGGAGATGGTTTAAGACTGCATTCACGTTCATTCTTATATCGTTATTCGTCTGTGACGACATGAAGTTTCAACGGAGTGTTCTCGTTGGTGGCCTCGGGCTTGCAACGGTTCAGGCGGCGAGCTTGAAGGATGTATGCACTACCACATACGTTAAGAATGCCCTGCCTGCCTCGGACAAATTTCAAGGCCTGACTTTGCATCCTGCTTTCATTACTGCCAATACAGTCTACAATGCATCCACTACCGATGAGGACGACTGGCCCGATGTGTATGGGTATGACTATTGTAACGTCACAATAGCCTATTCCCACAACGGCATCAAGGATGATGAGGTATTGCTGGAGTTCTGGCTTCCAGCGCCTGAGAAGTTTCAGAACCGCTGGCTCTCTACTGGTGGTTTCGGTTATGCGATAAATGGCGACGGAGACGATCTCCCGGGTGGTGTCATCTACGGCGCTGTATCTGGCCAAACCGATGGAGGATATGGGGGCTTCAGCGTTGAGCTCGACGACGTCTTCTTGTTGGCCAATGGAACAATCAACCGTCAAGATCTCTCTACATGCAAGGCTACCAGGCTCATTACGAAATGAGCATGATCGGCAAAGCATTCAGCAAGAACTTCTATGACATGGGCTCAAAGAAGCTATACGCTTACTACCAGGGTTGCTCTGAGGGTGGTCGCGAAGGCTGGAGTCAGGTCCAGCGCTTTCCTGATGAGTGGGATGGAGCTGTTATCGGTGGTCCTGCTATTCGCATGGGTCAGCAACAGGTGAACCACCTTTACGGTAACCTGGTTGAGCACACAATGGGCTACTACCCTCCTCCCTGCGAATTGGAGATGATCAACAACCTCACAATCAAGGCTTGCGATGCTCTTGATGGCAAAGCGGACGGCGTTGTCGGCCGCACAGATCTTTGCAAGCTGCGTTTCAATATCAACTCCACTATCGGTCACCACTACCACTGCGCTGCCTCCTCTTCCACAACTGTCTTGAAGCGTGGCCTCAACAAGCGTACCTCGGAGACTAGCACCACTCCTGCCCAGAACGGAACAGTGACGGCCGCTGGTGTTGCTGTGGCTGCTAAGATCCTCGACGGTCTCCACACCCTGGATGGCAAGCGCGCCTACATCTGGTACCAACCGACCGCTACCTTCCACGATGCTGACACCGAGTACAACTCAGAGACCGGCAAGTGGGAGCTAGACATCACCTCACTGGGTGGTGAATGGGTCGCCCGGTTCCTCGAGCTCCGCGACGCAGACAACATTTATTCCATGGACAACGTCACCTACGATACCATGACCGAGTGGATGTTCGAGGGCTGGAAGCGCTACGAAGACGTCTTGCAGACGACCTGGCCCGATCTGACTCCGTTCCAGGAAGCGGGTGGAAAAATAATCCACTTCCACGGCGAGTCGAACCCTAGCATCCCGACCGGTTCCTCTGTGCACTACCACGAGATGGTGCGCAAAATCATGTACGGAGACCTCTCATTTGAGGAGGAAACCAAGGCCTTGAATGATTGGAATCGTTTGTACCTGGTTCCGGGTGCTGCTCACTGTGCTCCTAGTGATGACCAGCCCAACAGTCCTTTCCCTGGCACTACACTTGAGACTCTGATTGAGTGGGTTGAGAATGGCGACAAGCCGGATCGTTTGAATGCAACTATCATGTCGGGTGCTAATGAAGGCGAGCAGCAGGATCTGTGCGCTTGGCCTTTGCGTCCTCTTTGGAAGAACAACGGTACTACTTAGGACTGCGCATTTTCACCAGAAGTCTTATGATATTTGGACGTGTGACTTTGATGCCTACGATGTACCTCTGTACTAGGTATAGATGCGCGAAGCATAGGGCTAGTGACAAGCTTTTGTCCTTTTTTTTTTTATCCTATTCCTTATTCCTTCTCTTTCTTCCTGACATGACTACCATCAAATCAGACAAGTATTACTACTTCCTCATTTTATGTACATATTTAGCCAAAAAATCTATTGTCGGGTTTCACCTTTCTTCCATGTCCGCATATCCATCGCCGAAGCTGCCGTAACACTCGCAGACGAAACAGACAATGATCACTACTCCAACTATTGAGTAGCAATGCAATACGAAGTTGCGAGGTATGGAAACCAATAACAAGCATCCAAATAAGGTGCCCTGAATAATGCGACGTTAATTCGCTGCCAAAGCACATCGCGCAATCGGAGCTCGCTCCGCACTGCATGTACCTGAAGCAACTCAGAAAGCCTCACACCCAATCACGATGCAGATCAAAACCACGGGTGCTCGTTTCCTCAACGCGACCAAAGGCTTAATTAATTCAACGGGTTGAGTTAGTGTGACGGTTGGGCCCGCCAGTACCTTTCTTGGCAGTTTATGCAGTCGATCTATACACTAACTGCAGCCTACAGGTACAACCGATACACCCGATCAATTGGCAGGAAACTCAATTGCAATCTGATTATGCCCGTGGCCCCTCGAATTGATCTAATTGGCATGACATCTCGGTGCGAAGTGCGGTGGTCTGGACTTTCCCCTCATGCTTCGCTTACAGTACAATTTCATTCTATCCCCACGTGTACTACGATAATCAATGCAACCATGCAGTACATGGTATCTCGCAACTATAAAAAAGCAGTGCAGCCGCCGATCAAAGTGCGTCAGAGCATTCCAGATCAAGTAACTGTCAACCATGCATCCCAGCGCTCTAGTCGGCCTCTTGGCCTTCGCGGCTGCTACCGAAGCCATTCCCAGAAACCCCAAGCAGGCACACAGCGCCTCCTCGATCTCGAACTTGAAGTCTAAGATCAAGAATGTCGTCGTGCTTTGCATGGAGAACCGCTCCGTCGACAACTTGCTCGGTGGACAAACCCACAAGGGAATTGAGAACCCCATTAACAACGGCCCATACTGCAATCCATACAACGTGACTGATCCCTCCCAAGGCCACCACTGTACCGAGGCTCGGGACTATAACTCTGTCACTGATGATCCCAGCCACGCTGTGACCGGTAACACGATGGAGTTCTACAGCAACTGGGCGCCTGATAACTCTCTTATTGCCCAGGGCAAGTTGTTGCCTAACAACAATGGATTCATCCATGAACAGATCCATAACTATGGTGATGATGCGAACAAGACTGTGCTTGCGAAGCAGGTTATGAACTACTATACCGAGGCTGAGGTGCCAGTTCTCACTTCTCTGGTTGAGAACTTCGTTACTTTCAACCACTGGCATTCTGATGTTGCGGGTGTAAGTTTTCATTGCCGGCTTTTGGAGTGACTTTTGCTGATGCGTTGATGTAGCCGACGGACCCTAACCGTTTTGCCCTTGTTGCTGGTACCTCTGGTGGCCACGGTACCAACGACGATAGCTTCGGCACCTATGCTTTCACCCAGCGCTCTATCTTCCAGCAGCTGGGTGAGACCAACCACACCTGGTTGAACTACTGGGACACAGCCGGTGGCACAGGCCCCGAAGCACAGTGGTTCACATGGACAAAAGAAACCAGCAACCAGGACAAGGTCGTGCCCATGACGCAATTCTACACCGACGCAGAGAAGGGTGTGTTGCCCGAGTTCTCGTACTTGAATCCCTCGTGCTGCGGCGTCGGCACCACTTCCATGCACGACAGCGGTCTGATCTCGGACGGAGAGGCATTCATCAAGCGGGTTTATGACTCGCTGCGCAGCGGACCTCAGTGGAACGAGACTCTTTTCGTTTTGACCTTTGACGAGACGGGTGGATTCCACGATCATGTGCCTCCTCCATTGGCGCCGAGACCGGATAACCTTACGTATACTGAGACCGCGCCTAATGGGGAGAAGTATACCTATGAGTTTAACCGCCTTGGTGGACGTATTCCTACTTTCTTGATCTCGCCTTGGATCTCCAAGGGCTTTGTTGAGCAGAAGGGTACTAATAACCAGGGCAAGACGGTGTCATACTCTGCTTCGTCGGTTTTGAGGACATTGGGTTATCTTTGGGATTTCGCGCCTTTCAACCCGCGTGTTGATGGGGCTGCTTCCTTTGATCACTTGATTCAGAGCACCCCGCGCAAGGATGTGCCTACCGCCCTTCCTAGTGCTGTTCCGTTTTGACAGGCTGAAGATGCCGTGCAGAGTGGGAGAGGAAGAAAAGTAACGAGTGAGAGTGGATTGGTGATTCTGATGACCATTTTAATTGTTTACAACTTTTGATGAGGTTATGTACTTGTTTACGCATTAGATCAAATGAATTATGTTTTATACAGCTCAAGTATGTGAAGTTCGCTGGGTGTAAAATGTCCAAAAAGGATAATCGTGATCTCGTATGGATAGACTCGAAATCGCCGTCTAAAACCCGAATAATTGTTCGCCAAAATATACAAAAAGTGAAACAGATATATGCAGAATAGCCCTCGGATTCACTGAGAACAGGATCAACGCGGCGCCCGATACGCATCATACGAAGTGTACGTGTACGGGTTATACTCTTCCTCTGTTTGCTGCTCAACAGGACCATAGCCATGACCACCCGCACGCCAGCGATCCAGCGGGTTGGCATCAGTCTGCGCAGGTGTTTGCGCACTGCTGAGAAGTCTTGTCTCGCTCTCGTTGGACTGTTGATACAAGCCTCCGCCGACATCATTTCCACTGTCGCCCCGCGAAAGTGGAACCCGGAATGCAGGATGGATGAGACCTGTCCCATCAGTCGGCTCGTAGTTATCGTGGACCCTCAAGGCGGACATTGATGGCAGGGAAGGAGCAGGGGAGGAGGCACGCGAAGAGCTAGGAGACCACTCGCCACCTAATGTGCTGCGAGGGGTTTGGGACCGTTCTGTCATCAAGTCTTCCGGACGGCCATAGATGCCTCCACCGAATTCTTCGCGGAAGTCGGGACGGTCCTTGTAGTATGAGAAGTCTAGATGGTTTTCAGGGACAACCTCGAACGGCGCCGGATCGGCAGCCTTGCCGGGTTCAGACGAGAGCATTGGGTTCATGGCGATATCGGAGTACTCGCCCACCTGGTCACCGCCATCCAAGCGACCCTGGTAGATCTTCTTGAGTGTTTCTGCTGCGCGGGCATGGACCATGGGGGTCATGAGAGGCTTGTACAGAGCCGGATGACCGAATTTGGCGTTGAGACGGTCCGATGCCTTCTTGTCTATCTTGGTAGGACCGAGGGCCTCTGCATCGGTGAGGTTGGCACGGTTGTAGAACTCGCAGTCTGGGTCAAATGTCCGCGAGCAGTAAACCTTGAAACCGATCATCAAGAACAGGAGTGGGATGACGCAATACGCCATGGTCTGAGTGCCCTGTGACAGGGCGACCAGGGCGATGATAACGTTGGCAAGAATCGTTGCAAAGACCATGCGGTTGAAAACAACAAGCCAGAACGCGCCAGCGGACTCATTCTTCGTAACGAACACGTACATGAGCAGATACTTCTTCAACATGGCATCGATACCAAAGTACAATGCGGTCACCGGCAACACAATTGGCTGCAGAGTGGCGAAGCACATGGCAACGGTGGCATAGAAGAGGAAATAGTTGTAATAACTGGCATAGTCGAAGGGGGGAGGTGCAGTCCATTCAATTGCTTGACGTGGTGTCGGCGAAAGGAACGTCTTGGAGAACCACACCCAGAACAAGCTGATCATCTGAACGAGATCAATAGTCGCACCTAGGTTGCGCTGCAGGAGGTAGGTAATCCAGAAGGGAGACACATTGCACAAGGCGCTGACCAACTTCTCGTAGAGCTGACTGTCAACAATGGCCTGCCAAGGAGTTTCGTTTTTATTGGTATCCTCGATCACGGTAGACACGAATGTCCAGGCAGCAGAGAAGAGCGAGAACACAATCAAGTTGTTAAAGACGAAGAATGCATACAATTGGCCCATGACCTTTCTCTCGCGAGAAGTCTTGGTCTTGCTGCCACTCTGGATCGAAAGTCGTCGGAAGATAATGGGCAGTACCAGGTAAACGAGGGAGGTCACTGCAGGAGACAAAATACCTTGAACGGCAGCCCAAACATTGGGGTTGGCCTCCAACTGGGTCATGAAAGCGGGCCACACGAGGCCCAAATTCGACAAGTTGGACAAGAAAACAGCAATCAGACCGTTAGGTACGACCCACACAAGGGTCAATGCGGTAACCCAAATGAAGTTGGCGAACCGTTTCCACTTACGCGAGGCCTTGCTAAGCGGTAGATTCTCCCAGATCAAATCGCTGGGGCGAGGAGCAAGCCTAATGGTTGTGCCCTTGGGGTGCTTCTTACGGGCTGTCCAAGCAACCGCATGCGCATGCTCGATATTCGCCCAACTAGCAAATCCATACGGTTGTGCATCCCGGCGGTCGATAGAGGTCCGGCCATGCTTGATTTGTTCTTCTAGAACGCGGATACGCACAGTCAGGTAATCAATGGCATCCACTTTCCCATCGGGGTGCTTGTCGCGCTGGCTGCGGGGAGGGCGTATACGGGGGCGCTTTGCAGGCAAATTATCGGGCCGCTTGAGATATTTTGCAAGTACAGACTCTAGCTCTCGCACGGCTTCTTCGTGTTCCTTGATGATGCTCGGCAGGTCCCTCACATTGCGGCCAATAGCAGCGCGGGGCAAAGCGGCGGTGGGGTTGGTCTGGTCGGTGAGGCGCAGAATGCCTTCGTCGGAGCGGTCTGGGCCAGGGATATCGGTGACCATGAGAGTTCGCGCATGCAGACTCCGCTGGTAATCTGAGCTCTGGAAATACTGTCTCCGCAGGGCCCGTACAGCCCGGTAATTCCTCCAGAGAAAATAAACCACGATGATATCAAATGCCCAAGCGCATGCCACCTGACTCCAAATGGCCATGGGGTTCGTCACGTAGAGGGGAGTCATGAGATCGAACGTGGAGATCGAGGAGCTGTTGCTCTTGCTTTCGGCCAAGTTCACCGGAATCATGACCGCGCAACCGATGATGCTCATGAAGATGAAAATGTTGCGACACATCTTGCTGAAGCGCAAGAAGATTACCGCATCCAGTCCAATGGTGTCCACCAGCTGCGCCTCTCGGGTGTGTATTACGGGTTTGATCCAGGAGAAAAAGCCTTTACCCACCGGGGGCGGAGCGTGTTTTCGGTCGGCATGTTTGACCTTGGGGGCGTACACGAGCGAATGACGAGGTCGGAAGAGGGAGAAGAGGAGGGCGAGGAGCAGGGAGATCCCGACGGAGGTGCCGAGTGAAGCCCAGATAGAGCTGGTGGTGAACTGTCGGTTATTAGCGGGAGATCATGACGTATCGGCTCTTGGATACTGTATTTGCGACCTACCTTTGATTTGAAGGGATTCGCAATGAGTTCAAGGAATGCATCCGACGAGTCGGTCCGGACCTGTAACCTCTGACGCACATCCATCTCTTCCCCGAACCCAAGAAAAACGAAGGGAGTATCACAGAGATAACGAATGGAAATGACACATGAAGAGTAAGACCACGAACAGGTCAAGGGTCCATAAAGCGAGTGATCGGGAGAGCGAGTGACCAGGTAAGAAAAAAAAAAAAAGAACTCAAAAAGAAAGTCGCTCGACGTGAGACATGTACAAGAAAGAAAGAAAAGTGGGGATTGATAGGCCTGGATTCGCCCTATTATTAGAGAGACGATCAGCGGCGTTGCCGATCTCTAAGCGACCATCGCGAGTAATAGTGACAAGCCGTTGGTGACTGTGGATTCAAGTGCGTCAACATATTTCCCCAGTCGTCTGAGTACTGGTGTCCCTGGTGGCGTTCTCCGACACGTCTGACTTCTCCATCGTAGACCCATTGACCCGATTTTTCATTGGACAGACCAGGACTGCGCCTCGTGGTAAACCAATCATACCCTGCAGTGTGTAACAGTCTGGAACATTAGGCCATTCTCAGACCCAATGCAAACCAGGGTAACAGTGACACAGTTCAGTCAGTACCTGCTTTGGGTCCACTGAACATTCCAATGTTGTAGGTTTGCACGGAGTGGAAGTCGTCGCCGTTGACACCTTATTGACACCTTCTGGACTAGGTCGCAAGGCAGAAGATAAGGCACTCAGGCAATAACACATCTCACGTGCATCATGAGCGTTGCAGAGTAGCATCCGGCCTACCACGAGGTCTACACGATACCACATGATCCTACAGCTACTATGTACAAATACTCCTTGCGTCAAAAAGTAAGGTAAGCGGCCACGAGACAATATCTGATATCTTCATTACGTGTGATATTTCGCTACATACAGAGTACGCCAACATCCCCCGGCGCCCAAAATTTTTTGGCATCATCGCGTAAAATGGTTAATAGAAAATAAACTTGGGGAATCCCTTAAATAAATCACATCACGGCATAATTTTTTTTTACAGCTGGCCGGAAGTGTTGAAGTCCTCAAGAGCGACCTGGGTGCGCTTGGACATGGTCTTCTCACCCTCACGAACCCAGACACGGGGATCGAAGAACTTCTTGTTGGGCTTGTCAGCACCATCGGGGTTACCGACCATGGTCTGGAGGTAGTCCTTCTTGTTCTGGATGAAGTCCCGGACACCGGACAGGTAGGCGTACTGCATGTCAGTGTCGACGTTAACCTTGACGACACCGTAGCTAATAGCCTCCTTGTACTCCTCCTTGGAGGAGCCGGAGCCACCGTGGAAGACGAAGAAGACGGGCTTGTCCTTGGGGGAGCCGAGAGCCTTCTTAACGTAGGCCTGGTGCTTGGAGAGCAGCTCAGGGTGGAGACGGACGTTACCGGGCTTGTAGACACCGTGAACGTTACCGAAACCAGCGGCGATAGAGAAGTAGGGGCTGATGGGGGAAAGGGCGTTGTGGATAGCGAGGATATCCTCGGGCTGGGTGTAAAGGGAGTTGTTGTCAACGTCCTCGTTGTTGACACCGTCCTCCTCACCACCGGTGATACCGATCTCCTGTATGAGAATGTTAGATATATATGATGTGTTTTGAGGGGTTGGCGCTAAATCTTACCATCTCGAGCCACTGCTTCATGGGGGCAGCGCGCTTAAGGTAGGCGGCGGTGGTGTTAATGTTGTAATCGACCTCCTCCTCGGACAGATCGATCATGTGGGAAGAGAAGAGGGGCTCGCCGTGGAGCTTGAAGTAGGCCTCATCAGCATCCATGAGGCCATCGAGCCAAGGCAGGAGCTTCTTGGCGCAGTGGTCGGTGTGCAGAACGACGGGGATGCCGTAGGCGGGGGCAAGGCTGCGGATGAAGTGGGCAGCGGCGATACCACCAGCAATGGAGGCGGCCTGGCCCTCGTTGCTCACACCCTTACCGGCGAAGAAAGCGGCACCACCCTGAGAAAGCTGCAGGATGATGGGGGACTTGGCATCGCGGGCAGCCTCCAGGGAGGCAACAACGGTAGAGGAAGAAGTGACGTTCTAGTCCAGGTTAGTGACCATCCATGGGAGTTGGTATCGGAGTGAGGACGACATACAATGGCGGGAACGGCAAAGTTCTTCTCCTGAGCGTACTCGAAGAGAGCAAGGACATCGTCACCGACGATGACGCCGGCCTTGCGGGAAAGCTTCTCAAGGATACCCATTATGTATGAAATGTACAGAATTCGTTTTCGTTAAATTCGGAGACTGGAGAGGGAGAGAAAGAAGGGAGAGTTAGAAAAGGTTATAAGTGACAATGAGCTTTACCGAAGGACGAAAGCGGGCAGGTAAAATAGGTAAGGGAGGGGCAAAGTTGGAGGGGCAAGCATCGTCATCGACACCTTCTCACCGGTTAGGTGGAGCTTACCTTAGGTTGAAACCTAGTGGAACTGAGGTCACTGTGATTTAAGAAGATAATTGCAGTAATGTATGTGGGAACTACAGGATCAGTATATATAGTCTTGCAAGCACGAGAATCCCCAATGCCTCCGGGTCTCTCCGTGATCGGGCCAGTTACCGTTCGGCCTACATTTCTTGTATAACATCATAGCCGCGGGGTTCACGTTGCCGGGATCTTGTGGTCCGACTCAGTCAATTACAATAGAACCTTTAGAAAATAATCGAACTAGCTTAACTCTATCTTTCTCCTGAATAATACGGTAGGCCAATTCCACCCCGTGGACCTTGGTGCTACATGGATTCCTCGCTGCAAAGACTTGATTCCGTCACTCCGTAATTTGTTCGTCGGCGGGGAACCGAGGAATTCGAGACCATTCGCTGTCCTTCGATTAACCACGCGGGAAAAGTATATCGTCTCCCACGCCATAGCTACGAATTTAGTATCCTCAATCTACCAATAAAAAGAAACTAAATCAAACAAGATAGAAAACAGCGCATCCCCTAAATCCGGCTGCTCGCATTTGTCCCACTCATTTTCCGGTGTGCAATCCGGTTAAGAGGGGGAAACCCCTGTGGATCTGCAGTTCTCAGACCTCCCGTTCTAGTGACATCAGTGTAGTCTTTCATGTTATCGTCTTCCATTGCTGGAGAAACCGAGTACCGGTTTTATTTTCTATGCATATCGACATCCTCCACGTCATCCCATGTACATACCGCCTATATACGGAAGATGCTTCATCTACACCACGAAATAGAAGAAAAAAGAAAAGTAACCAAGCCGCATCCCCTTACAAACGCCCTTCGGCAGGGCTCGATTCGGGCCGCTCAATCTCGTAGAACAGCAGATATACCTCTTTCTGCATGCCCAGCACATCCGAAGTCTTGCATTCCTTGATCTTTTCGTCCGAGATGCGCCACCAGCGATCGTTCGGCTTGCGCTTTCGGCGAAGTCGTGATCCGATCCCCGTGGGGGTTTCCGCAGAGGAACGCGGGATGGTCCGAGAAGATCGTGGGGCTGACGAAACACTTGCCCGCGCCGGATCTAAAGTCGGACTGCTGTCTGAGCTAGTCTGTTGAGTGGAAGATCGGGAAAAGGTGCTCTGAAGCGAACGGCGAGAGCTGGAAGTAGTAGGGCGAGGTATTGAAGGGGAAAGTTGGGTGGCTGGAGTCCCCGACAGAGATGTGGCAGAGGCTGTAGGGGAAAGACTACTGCTACCGCTTATATCGTCCGCATTTACCGGCACCAGACGAGGACTCGGAGCTTCGGAAGGGTTCTCACTGGCGACACGGCTCTGCGCATACGAGCTGAATGCCTCGGGGGTGGAGAATGGGGCGTAGATGTGATTGCGACGGAAGGACTCGTAGTGACCACTGTGATGGCTGCCTTTGTGACAAACAATTGCCAGGAGCTTATACCATGTCTGGCTCAAGATGCCTCCTAGGGGTAATCGCTCGGGGAATGAGACCTTTGCAGCATTCTTGCTGGAACTACTGCGGTCGAAGATCGATCGTGACAAGTGAATGGCAATCACCTTGGGGAATGCTGTGATGCGCATATGTCGTGCAATCCGTCGCTTCGGTGCAATATCGGAAGGCGGAAGCTCAATACCCTCGAGTTCGCTTTCTGGATCCTTCTCCAATGCCTCTTGGATGCGGGCAATCTCTTGGTCCAGTCGCTCCTTGTCACCTTGAGAGTACGCCCGAGTCTTCTCCTGGGTCTTCATACCGATCGCATGTTGTAAACGGCAATAATCGCACCGGAAGTCTTCAATGTATTCGGTTTTCAAAAGTCCATCGAAGCACGCGTTGAGCGTGGTAGAGCTTTTCTGCGGTACCTGCAGTGTGAGGTTGACAAATGCCGTCTGGTTCGGTTTGTACTGGTAGTGGCAAAACTGGCATTCAATCTGCGACTCCAATTTGCCCTCAAATAGAAATCCCGGTTCATCATCGATCTCTTTGAGTTTCGTATCAATGATGGCTGGTAATCCATTGGGTGATCCATCATCAATCCGCACCTCCACCCCAAAAGGGCTATCGGATGCACTGGTTCCAGACTCTGGCGCTGACGCGCCCAGACCAGCCGGCGCGCCAATATGACTAAGAGCACCTTTCCTCGCGCGCACACCAGCATGATACTCATCACAGAGTCGCTCGAGGATAATCTGCAAAAATTCTTGCGCATCCTGCTGATTGCGGCTAATGCGCGTGCGAAACGCGAATTCCAGTGACTGGATGAACCCCCGTGCCGAAATGGTCTTCTTATAGATTGGTCGCTCATTCAACCGATCCAACATCTCCTTCAGTGCCTGTGTAATCAACCCCTGCTGTAATTCCCGCACCTTGTCTTGCTTCGCTCCGCGGGATAGCTCATCCTCAGTCGGTACCGCGTTGTAAATCTCCGGCCCGTCCAGCTCGCGCCGGTGCAACTCTCGGATCAAATATACTCGGAGATCGCCTAGACCGGCTAAAGCCTGGAGCACGGAGTTAATGAAGCAGTCATTGGCAAGATTGGACAGGCCCACAATGCTCTTTTTGCGGTTGCTATCATTGGACTCGTCACCGTCGATTGTGTAGTTGGGGCCGAAAACGTAGAACAAGGCAACGGCTGCGAGGGAGGCCCCGGCCGCGTAGGCGGCAACCGTGGTTGGCTTCTCTTGCATAAAGACTTTTGAGGTGTGGAGGGAGGGTGTTGCGGCGGTTTGTGGCGTAGGGGAGGAAGTGAGGCGAATCAGCTTGGTAATCCCATGTACCCCATCGTCAGCATCAACGGGTCAATGGCAAAAAGAGTGTGTCCCCACGGTTCGGGGGGACAGATGAGAGGGGATGAATGGAAGAAAAAGTGCTGTTATGGAGTAGCACTGGGCTTCGAGGTCTGGTGCATGAAGAACTGGGGAAACTGAGAAGAACTCTGCGGGCAGGGCCGGGGAAGAGGGGAGCGGGAGTGGACCGAATTGTTCATGCGGAGAAGACGGGGCTTCGATCTATAATAACAGGTTCCGGTTTCCCCCTGATCAAAACGGGGCAAGTCCGACCGGATAATAGATGAGAATTGCATCAAGGGTATTGGCTGCCCTCGACCTGCATTCTTCGACTGATCGAATCATTTCTTCGTACCCAATCGTGACCCCAGCCAAGGCCCATCACTGAGTCATCTCCCCGCGACGGATGCCTCGGATATCCGTCAGAAACTGGGACCCCCGCATTGATGAAGACCATTGCTTCCTGAAGGGATGGAATAGGATAGGCGCGTTGGTAGGGTATCGGTGGTTGCAGAGGTTCTATATATATGTCATCAGATGAGGCTCTTTCGAACCACTCGAAAGCACTTGTTGACCAGACTTCTTTAGTGCCCGACTAAAACAAGCATGCTTGGAAAGGTCGAAAGGATATCAAGTTTCAGGAGCTCGGATACGGGTGATGGGTTTCATATGTCTACATCTGAACCAGCATAACGTCGTACCTACCTGGTTTAAACCTCCAAGTCACTCACCAGTCGGCCCAGATTAGATCCACCAACCTAGATGTCTAGACAGGAACTCTTTCCAGGGTCACGAAGTCTACGTACGTTTGGATACGTCCAAATTTCTATGTGGAGGAAAATGTCTCATAATTTCATCTATGGACAATACAAAGGCTTTTATAGTATTCTCCGTGGCCCCAAATCCAAATTCTATCAATGTTCCATCTCGTCGTAAACCTTCATGCCTGATATAACTATTTACGAGCGGAAAGACGCGGGCAGAGTAGCAACCTTCTCCTGGAACAGCTCCTCAGCCTGCTTCCACACGCGAGAAGTGGTGCGGTCCTTCAGTTGCAGAAGGCTGGGCATGAGAGCCTCACTGAACTGCTCAGAGCTCTCACGGGGGAGAAGAGAGGGAAGGTGATCAATGCTGATGACGCTGAGGGCGGGCTCACTGCCAGCGGGCAGGACCACAGGGACAGTAGGCTTGTCGAATGTGGTGGTAACTGCAGTTCATATTAGTCTATGTTTTAAGGCAGAGAAGGAGCAAGTAACTCACTGGTGTAAACGGGCACCGGGTTGTAGGGGTTGGTGGTGTCGGCGCTAACGTCACAGATGACGGAGAGGGCACGCTTGGGAGTGGAAAGCGACTCAACATCCACGAAAGCTGCAAAAGCAAAATTAGCTTGGATTAAACAATAAATGCAGCTTCAAATAACTCACGAGGAATCTTAGCGCTAAGGTAAATGCAGTTGATGAAGATATCACTGGTGACGATCTCCTCGAAGGGACCGCCCTTCTTGGTCTCGGCCATATCCCACTGAATGATGTTGGATTCGGGAATACCGACATCCTTAGCCAACTGCACAGCACCCTTACCGCAACGACCAAGCTACATGCATATTAGCAGGAGCCCCATAGCTCAATCATACCAATGTTTACTTACAGCACCGATGACGAGGATGGTAGGGTATTTGCCAGCAATCTTCTTACCAGCCTCGACGCTCTCTTTCACGGACTCAATGAGGAGATCCTGGTTGGCGTAAGGGACCTCACCGGGAAGAGGAGCACCGTTGGGGTTAGCCAGCTGCCAGGCCCAGTTCTTCACAGCCAACGCAGAACCAGCATAACCAGCAGAGAAGCCAAAGGCAGCGACACGGCGGCCAACTTCATCGGTAAGGAACTCCAGGTCAAGGAGAAGACCATTGCCACGGTGCCAGCGGCTCAGGACGTTCTCCCAGCCACCCTGTTGCTTGTAGCAGTGGGCGAAAGTGACGTGGACGTGCTCCAGGGGGAAGTCTTCCTCGGGCAGCTCCTTGAGACCCAGGATAACAGCATCCTTGGGAGCATCCTTCACCCATGAGCCTTCCTCAACAAGGGGGGCACCGATCTATAGCCATTGACATTGTTAGGATATCTATACGATCGTATGACGGGGGTAATGGGCGAACCTTGGCGAATTCCTCGTCTGTTGAGATGGTGAGTCATTGTAGCTCAAAACTTGGATCTGGGGACGTACCATCAAAAATACGTTGAGTAGAGCGCTCGACAGTCACGTCGTATCCGGCATCCATCAATGCCTTGCAGGTAGTTGGGGTCACTACATGAAGCTGTTAGCAAACAATCATAATCGCCCCTCACCGATAACGACTGGAGTAAAGTGGGGGAGCTCACAAGCAGACCGAGCCTCAGCGGGCTTGGTCTCAGCACGCAGCCAGATCTTTTGAGACATAGTGAAAGTAGAAGAATTGGAAGAGAATATAGGGTATATGCGAGAGAATAGAACAAGGAAGTTCAATAAAATAGTATGCGATGACACACTGATAGCGGGGTGGGTTTCTCCGTCCCCCGGAGCTGTGAGTCAGCCCGATTTTCGGCGGCGCGTTTCCAATTCGGGTACTTAGGGCATCCAGAGAAACACGGGGAAGAGTCCTTTGGATCTCTGTTTAGAATTTTCAAGTTGAAATGTATAACGTTTGGATTGGTGTATTCTAATGCTGACAGGAAGGATTGGCTTACCTTCGCGGGGTTGCTCACACCGTAACTATGACCTCAATTGGGTTCTAACTTCTAACTCGGTAGGGAGTACACTAGCGATCAACGCGATCTAAACGGTGCAGATCCCACTAGCCGATCATCACTTTCAATCTAGTAGATGCGACTCACAAGACTACAGAGATACGAGGATCGAAATAAAGGAAACTTTTACATTTTCGCCCAAGAACAATGTACACCCCAAAGCATCCTGAACAGGATCAACAGTAGTAGGAAAGAGAAGTAATTAAGTAACAGGATATCAGGATATCGGGATATCGAGACAATGTAATCAGATAATGGATCAAGTGCTTCGACACGGGGAATAAAAACGAGGCTAAACCGAAAATAATGTAGCCGGGAGAGTGTGGATATAGGATCAAGATCAAGAGAGGGTGCGATCACAAAGGAGTGTCGAGGTTGCTGGTAGCGCTCAAGGAGTGAAGAACAATGGAGTCTATGACGGAAAGGAATGAAAAGGGCAAAGTTGGCCCAAGCAATAAAATGAGACCCGCAACCAATGAAATAAAAAAGCAACCGTGATCTTCGCCTGTCCTGCCCATTGCGCCTGAGAATTGCATGATCATCGTACAGAGATTTTTACACTTTCAAATATGAACCGCCTGCTGTCTGCCCACAGGGTCAGAAGGAATCAAAAACGAAGAGAATGGTGCTACCCATTCCTTAGAAGTTCGATGCAGCGTTGACGGGACCAGGGTTGTGATACTGGTCCAGTGTACTCTTGAAGGGGGTACCGCCCGACGGGCTGGAGGCCTTTTCACGGGGCCCAGAGCCAACGGCAGTGCCACCCATCAGATCAGTATCCTCATCGCCATATGCCTCATTGCGCTTCTTCTGGATGCGCCAGATGACAATACCCAGGACACCCAGCACGATGGCACCTCCGACACCCACGACGACACCAATGATGATCTTCTTATCAGACGAAGACAGGCCACTGCTGCTGCCAGAAGAGGATGAGCTATCTGCGTTCAGGCCGGCAGTGCCGGTGGCAGCAGCTGGGGTAGATGTGGTGGTCATCACATTGGCCACGGTGCTTCCGCTGACGGTCTCATATGAGGTGATCGTTTCCACGACAGGAGTTTGAGTGGTCGAGGTAGTCGAGGCCGAGGTTGTCTTCTTCTGGTCTTCAGAGCTCGAGGTGGAAGTAGTCTTGGTTTGCTCGTCGGAGGTGGTTTGGGAGGGCTCTGCAGCGGTGGTCTGGGCGGCTTCCGATGTGGTTGAGGTGGAGGAGGTGGTGGGCTCTTCACTGGTGGTGGAAGAGGTAGAGGTAGAAGATGAGGTGGTCGAGGTTTCTGACGTGGTTGGTGTGTCCGAAGTGGTGGTGGCTTCGGCAGAAGTGGTAGTAGCGGGAGCCTCGGAGGCAGTGGCAGAGTCGTTGTTCACGATGTCAGAGACCAGGTTGCTGGAGTCCCGCTTCTGGTTCTGAGCCGCAACAGCGGTCAGAAGCAGAGCGTGGAGAAGAAACGAGAGTTTGGCGAGACGCATGTTGTCCACCAGGATATCAAAACGAGAGTAAGTGAGTAAGCGAACGTGTGGGAGAGAGGAGAAGAAAAAGGGAAAGGGAGTCAGCGGGTGTGTACGAGACGGTTGGCGCTAACTCGATCGGGCCCACTAGTCCGGCCCTAGTTTCAAATCTTTGATGGATTTTAGGCCGCCAATGATCAGGTGTTACGATGGATGAGCAAAGCTGAGAAGCTGATGCCTTTAATACAGAGGGTCATTCACACGCATTTCCCATCTCATTTCTCCATCCCCCTTTTTCCAGCCCTCTAATGAGGGTAATTTGTGTGGAATATTTGCATTCGCGTCCTTCCCCAATCGGCGGATCATTAGCCCCACCCCTCGCGCGACCCATATTTAGTAACGTTCTGCATTGACACCCTGTACACATGTCACTGCATGAGATCCTTACTGTATGTATGGACTTGGTTCTTCGCAGATCATGGCGGTGCTGTCATCATGATGTGGATCTTAATATTTGGAACATAGACCGTCTGAAGTCCAAGGGGAGTGGAGAGTGTTGATTTGTTTTCCCTAAACACGGAGAAACAAAGCCGACTGAGCCGGTTACGCGGTAGTAATCAGTGTGGCGCTGGATAGCAAAAACGCCCAGGGGCCTGAACAGGGGACAACGGAGGCAATGCAGGCGACTACTCATCCCGTACTCCGGCAGTCTAGACTCCTAGGCGTTATGGGGCCGCTGTCGTACGAGGCTGGACTCGAGTCTTTAATTATGAGCCACGAATGAAGGCCCACGCATATGGTCCCTGAAATCCCCTGTTAGGGCATTGTTTATTATTAAGGGCTGGAAGAAAAGTTTGACCCATTCCGTATAGAGAGGGACCTAGTGACGGATTACGAGCTGGAAACGAGGCTTTAATCTGATTCGTCTAGCTTACGGGCCGTCAGCTGGGTCACTTGGCAATCTTAGATTTGCAATGGTAGATCTCAAAAGCTCAGTTTGTATTCTGCTTAGACACTGGAGATACATGAACATTTAGCCTCCTAGTTGAAGCTCTGAATGAATCAGGAACGGAGATCGCTCTGTGATGTACAAAGAGCCATAGGTCAGAGATAGGGAGATAAGAAAAAGTACGCATACAAATTCATGGGTATCGCCAGTTTAAAGTCAAAAAACGCCAGCAGACTATATTACAGCTTATTCGGAGGCTTTCCCTTTGCCTGATCCTGCAATTCCTCTTTGAAATACTTCAGGAATCGGTTCATTTGGTTTCCTAGCGCTTCCGCGTTAGCTATGTGCAAATCCACAGCCTCTATCCGATCCATACCGTCAGTGAGAGATGTGCGGCTCTCTTCCATTGGTACACCGTGACGATGATATTGAACGCGCTGGTATATCCGACCGACCATGGTGTGCCAGTGCTGACTCTGTAAGAGCTGGATGGGGTTAGAGAGATTCGGCCAGTCGGTCGGGGAAAACGGGTTACATACTCGGGTGACCAACGCGCGCTATCTTCGTTAGCTGGGGAAGACCTTGATGAAAGTAGAAGGACTCACCTCTAATTCTGCGAGCCAGAGCCCTTTCCAGACTATATTTGTAGCGATGGGCCAGAAGAAGGATGTGGAGGCGAAAACAACGACAATGAGGGGATCTGGAGAAATGTCCAGAACCTTAGGTAAGCCCCGCACCGAACTTCCGCCTTTTCCTTGAAACAGACCGTCGACCTCTCGATATTATTCTGGATCGCTCTACTGATGCTCTTTATTTGCGACTCGCAGACCACTGTTCGCCCGCGATAACCGAGTGGTCCCGCTGAACCGTCCGATCCCTTACCGCGATGTCGAGTGGTCAAGCACACCCGTGGCCAGCATCGTTCCATACCGATATCACGATCCAACCCCTCCGATCATGACCAAAGGTTGTTATACATGCCGTCGCCGTCGCATTATATGCGATAATGGCCAGCCTACCTGTCGGAAATGCCGAGACGCGGGGAAAGAATGTCTGGGTTACCAAAAGCCTTTGGTGTGGGTCAAGGGTGGTGTGGCTAGTCGGGGCAAAATGATGGGTCGGAGCTTTGAAGATGTGAAGACGCCAACAGGGGCTTCCAAAAGTCGGCATATACCAGTTGCAAATGAATTGAACGCCAACTTGGGATTATGTCCTACCGAACCATTCGATACAGAATCGTCACCAAGCTCGGCGGCCCAGGCCAGCCCTGAAACAGATTGGATTCAAGAGGTATTAGATGCAGGGAATTTCGATGCTATTTTTGGACTTCCTGAAGTGGGCTCCTTGGAGTTGAATCCGCCAGAAGAACCTGAATCTGCGGTGGTGCATGTTTCGCAGAACACATCTATCGAATATATCCCAGCACCATGGGGGATGGTTGATCCTTTATTAAAGGATTTCAACCCGACGTCAAGAATGTATCTTAAGCATTGTACGATTGCCCTTGAGACCTTTATGATCTTTACTAACCCTACTAGATTATGAATACATGACGAATGACTTTTTAGTCTATCCACAGCTTAAGAACCCCTGGCGGGATATGCTCGCATTAGTAGGACACTCGCCCCTTATGGCAAATGTCTTGTCTGCGATGGGAGCCCTACATTACTCGCTTGTTTCCAACTCAGACTCATCGATGATGCCTTGGTCATCTCAAAATCCCCTGGCCACCAACTCTCTCCTATCATCAGAAGATATCGAGAACATGATAATCCCAACAAGCTCTCGACAAACAACTTCAAAGGCATACCACCATTTCCTGGAATTTAAGCAACGCACGCTTAAACAGTTGACCAGAGACCTTTCGAATCCAGCCAGGCAAAATGCTGATATTACTCTAGCGGCTGTCGTCGTCCTTGCTCTTCTGGATCTATTCGAGTCTGGTAGCGGAGCATGGAGCTATCATATTGAAGGAGCAAAGAAAATCATGAGGAGCAGACCCGAGAGCCAGTTTGGTCAAGGCATTCTCCAAGGACTCGAAACAGTCGCCATAGATGGGTGCTTAATCATGGAGATAATGGGATCCACACTCGCAAGACCCGGCGCTCTTTCCAAACCGTTCTACTCTCAAACCATGGGCCCGGAAATGCTCAAGCGTCTTGAGGAAACATCCTGGGTGGGTTGCCCCGCCTACCTCCTCGAAGTAATCTTCTTCGTCCACACCCTCTGGTACCAAGATTCCGAGCTAGCACCCGCACCCCCTCAACCCTCCACCTTCGGAATTGGACTCTCCATGCAAGAAGGCCAGCCGCTCTCCCGTGAATCCTTCGCCCAGCTCCTCCAAGGCATCCGCACCTTCGACCCAGTCTCCTGGGCCCAAGAAATGCAAACCTACTTCTACCTCGACGACATCTCGCCCCGTATCGCCCTCGCAAGCGCCTACCAAGCCGCCGTCTACCTGTACACGAGCCGCGTCCTCTCAAAGACAAGAGAAGGCTACACAGCCCCCTGGCCCGAAACTAATCTCCCATCCGACCACTCCCAAATCGCACACGACCTCATCACCCGCATCTGCTCCGTCCCAACCTCTGATCCCCACTTCAAATGCCTCATCTGGCCTTCCTTCATCGCAGGCGCAGAATGCCGCCGATTGTCGCAGCGCTCGCTTGTGCTGGACAAACTTGGTGCTCTCTACCAGGCTGTTACGAGTGTTAATGTCCGTAATGCGGCTTGGGTGCTTAGGCTTATGTGGCAAAAACAGGATCTCAAGCGCCGGGAGCGGGAACATGTTCCTTTTGGTCTTGTTGATGGATTTTTGCCGAAGGACGCTTTCCAGGATAATGAAGATGAAACGTTTGACTCTTCGTTCGATTGGGTGGATGAGCTGGATGCATCTCGGCTTGACTGGTTGTTTATTTAGTTGTTGTTGGGTTCTACCATGTATAAAACGAAGACCCTAATTCCTCTTCTCTTAATGACGTACATAATGATTGCAAATACTACCTGTACATGAATCACTAGAATATCTACCGATCGTTTCCACTACTGGACTGTAGCACCGAACCGACTTTATTACCAAAAATTTGATTTGAAATACCCGATTCTAGGACCTAGTTATCATAAGGTTACCTCAGTCGACTAGAATTAGGAAATCAATGAAAAAGCCGGGTATATCAATTTTTGAATTGTGGCAAAATGAAATCGAAAGCCAGGTCTGCTGTGAGACCTATAGACCGAAGCCAATGAAAAAGGAAGTGTGGATAAGAAAGTCGAGAGAAAGAAAAGTCACAAGAAAGCGTCCAGCCAATGGACGGGTAGAGTAGAAGAATGTGGTATAATAGGATCCTCATGGAACGGGAGCTAGAGAGGAGAAAAGAGACAAAGCAAAGAAAATGAACGAGAGCTTAGCCCGATTCTTTTTGGAGAGAGCAAGTTTGACACGGCGGGTTGGAAGGATAGGGAAGAGCATGGTAGATCGCTTTCTTCACTGGGAGAGCTTAAATCAACATCTCGGAAAAGAAGCCTCGAATAACAAGTTGAATCGCCATAGGAAAGAAATGAACACAAGGCCATGATGGAGGTGTCGACGGTATGCATCAGATCGAATCAGGGATATATAACAGACACAAGAAAATGGGGGATCAGAAATGAATCCTCGACGCAATGTGAAAAATAAAAATAAAAAAGAATACGCATGCTCGTCTCCAGTTCTAAATGCAGAAACATGTCCCAACACGAACAAAACACGCTTGTCACTAATATGCATGAGAGGAGGGCAGCCAGTATTCAGGGAGAAATCAGTCTTCCGTATGAATATGGCAGGGATGGGAGCAGGGATGGGAGGTGGGAAAGCCCGGTCTGAGTGGTTCGGTATATCGGGGCAAGTGATAATTGGCTTCGGAGATGAGTCAACGGATCAACAGACCGCAAACCCTTAAACTGCCGTCCTAGGATTTATGATGCTGTACAGGTAGGAACCCGTAGTGCTCGCAAAGAGCGTAAGAGCGAAGCAAGAAGCTGTGATCTTGAGAGTGAAGCATAGCAACTTTAGAAAACAGCGGCAAGGCCATTCTTCGAATGACGTCGACTAAATCTCTTCTTCCCCTTGACCGACTCCGTATCGGCCTGTTGCTTCACCAACGTATTGCGCCCCGGAGGAGGCACATTATTCTCATTCTGAAGCTCAGTATTACGGTCCAGAGTGTTGGCGTGACTGGAGAATCCCGAAGACATGTTGCGAAATGCGTCTTCGGCGGAATAAGATCCAGAACTTTGTTGTGTCAAAGCCATCTCACGAGCCCGGTCCAGTGCGTCCAGCCACTCTTGTGCTGAGACCGCGGTGGATCCGATATTGCTTGATGACGGCTTAGGATCTTCAAAGACAAAGTGTTTCTCTCTCTGTCATTTGCGTTAGTAATGGCTAGGGAAGCTATGAGGTGCAACATACTGTATCCACAATCCAGGATGAGTGCCCTTTCGCGTCGGTCGTGCTTCTCCAGTGTGTTCCGGGGGCAAGGAGAGAAATTTCGAGCTTTGCCTTCTTTTCATCACCACCAGATGCAGCCAGAATGATCCGAGCTGATGAGGTGACCATGACCAGCCGTTGTCGTTTCTTAGTTGCTGTGCTTGAAAAGAAACGCGAGAACTTTTTGGGAGCCTCAACTTCGCTGCTACCGTTCTTGGAAGTTGGACTGTGGGATGCAGGAGAAGACAAGACGACCATGTTTCCTAGCTTCAGAATTCTCTCGTTATTTTTGCTCAACACCGGTGACCATTCGATGTCGAGTTGACTTGGCGGAGGCAGTTCGGTGACCACCCTTGGAAGAGCTCGGGAGCTGGCATTGGGTGCGTTAGATGGAGCCGTCGAGATCGCGGGAGGAAAGCTCTCGCTGCTGTCGCCATTAAGCTTGATAGGCTCACGAGGAGGTGGGACATAAGCCTTCAACCGGGGGGCTTTTTGTTTCCACAGATCAGTCCCCCAGGAGATACCATCAAAGAACTCGTGGTTCTTAATGTGCTCAATCTGCAATCGCTGAGCTGGGTCGAGCACAAGAAGACGCTCGACAAGATCGCGAGCAACGGCTGGGAATCCGATAGGGAATTCATAGTCCAGGGCGACAATCTTTTGGAAAGTTTGGTACTCATTGCCCGCCTTGAAAGGCGGACGCCCGGCCAACAATTGGTAAATGATGCAGCCAAACGCCCACAGATCACTTGCCTTGCAAGCATTCTTGTCCGTTAACAATTCGGGGCTAACGTATTCCGCGGTACCAACAAATGAACTCGCCCTCTCATCCTCTGGAATCTCTGTCGAGTCCATCTGTGGAATTGAGTTCACGCTATCGTTTGGTCGTTGTGAGGGTTTGAGGATCTTGGCTGTGCCGAAATCGGTAATCTTGATATGCATCTGGTGGTCGAGCAAGACGTTCTCCGGCTTCAAGTCTCGATGAATCACACCACACTTGTGCATATAATCTATCGCGTCCAGAATCTGCGCACCGTAAAACCTGGTGCACTCTTCGTCAAAGGTTGACATCCGCTTGAGAACACCCAGAAGCTCGCCTCCTTTGCAAAGGTCTAACACAAAATATAGTGAGCGTTCATCCTGGAAGGTGTAATAGAGTCGCACAACTCCCGGGTGGTCGGTCAAGCGATTCAAAGTGTCCTTCTCAATGTTGACATATTTCACTTTCTTCTCCTTGATGATGTGTCGCTTGTCTAGAATCTTGATTGCATAGTCCTTCAATGTTTGTCGATCCGTTGCAAATACAACTGTACTGTAGGATCCTTCTCCGAGGGTATTGCCGAACGAGAAATCACGAACACCCTTCTTGATATAACGGGAGACTGTCTTCCCATTGGCGTCCACTTCCTGTCTCACGGAGACAGCGGCCCCGCGATCCTGCCAGTCGTCGCTGCTGGGTGCTGGGCCGTTCTCCATGCCGTAAGGGGTCCTGGCCATTTGAGATTGTGTGCTTCCTCGGGCGTGTGCTCTGGATGGCTGACGCATTACCGCTCCATTGGCCGGGATGTGCCCTGTGCGGTAGGAGCGGTCGCTGTGAGAGTTGTCGCGGACTGGAACGCCTGCTTGCAAGGCTACGGCGGCGCCACGAGCGTCTTTTCGAGAATGGGACGTTGAGGTAGAGGATGCACCGGAATCCGTTCGCATGCGGTATGAATTATCCCGGGGAAGTACGGAGGAGGCCGAACCGTTGGCGTATAAAGAGGAAAGGGGTCGGGAAGGGTTTGGGGGATTAGCGTGGGGATGTGTCGAGTACGGCTGGTAAGGGCCGGAGGGCGGAGAATTATCAGGATATTGATAGGCGACAGGTGAACGATTGTCGACCGATGCTGGAGCCTCGTAGGGTGCAGGAGGAAATGCCGTGGGGGACTCATCGCTCGGTGCGGGATTCTGTGGATGTGTTGATACCGAACCGCCCGGTTGACCGGTTGGACTGGATCCCATCGAACCAGCGGTCGCGTCTTCTGATGGCAGGGGCGAATCATCTGGATTTGCTATCCGAAGCCCTCCCAGGGACTGGGATAGGCTTAAATCCCCATTCATGACGGGCGGCGACCGGAGGAGGTCGTGGAGGGAATGGTAGGTGGGGGGAAGACGAGAGGAGAGGAAGGGAAAGAATCCAGAGGCCAACGAATTATGGCGGCGAAGTCAACAGTGGAGGCATGGTCCGACCTAGGACGTTGAAGATGTCAAGAGGTGAGAGGGGGAGAAGGCAGAAAAGGATCAACAGGAGGCTCCGTAGTAGGAATCGGGTTTAGTGTGGGCTGAGCTCATACTATTAATATGATGGAAAATTGAAAGCAATCCCTTTATCCTAAGACATACCTCGGACTACGGATTATGTTTAATAAAAATATAATTAGAGGGAAGTTCGAATTAGAATGCGTCGTCATTGTACGGGGGTTGTACCTGAACAAGATCAGGGCAAGTGTAGGTCGTGACTTCCCCATGTCCTGATGCTATGTATACTGTCAATTGTAACTATCCTCCTTTCTCTGAATCACGTCAATGCTACCACTCATGATCAGACGACCACCTTCGATCATCGCGTTAGGAGACGAGGAGCTTCAGTATCATTTGCATCGCACCTATCTCCGTTCGCTATCCACCGATCTTGACCGCCTGCACCTGGATGATCCGGATCGAGACTACGACGGCGATGATCTGTTTGGCTTGAGCTCTGCAGATGACTCGGAAGAGGATGCGGATGTTAAACAAAACCGCAAAGTTCGCGGGTCGTGTGTTAGAGCGCGTTCCGTGCAAGGCGTCATCACAACAAGCCTGGAAGAATCTGCTTTGACAGAGTCGGCCCACCAAACAGTGGACACCATCAATGTCCCCGCTGCTCGGCTGGGATCCTCGCTGCTCTGGACTCGGCAGCTCAAAACTACCGAGACTGCATTACAAGATCAGGGACAAAGTACGATTCATCCATCTGGAAAGGAAGGTCTGTGCCATGGGTGATCGTCAGTTTAGTCTGATAATCGAACCATTGACCATATCTCGTAGAAAACTGCCGAAATCCTCTCCATGCATGGGCCGCTGGAAACGACGGGCATTCGCAGCTTCCCACGGTTCAGATTCCTTGCCAGTTGCCCGCTGCCATTCCGGAGATGGATCTCAACGCCGTTCCACTTCGGGGCCTAAGCCTAGCGTCTACACGGTCTGACGAGGCAGGCTTGGGCTCTACCGCCTCGACCGCCATTGCAGCGGATACCTAGTGCAAGCAAGACACTCACTTTGCGGCTGCCGAAGAACGCTGTGCAGATTGAGACTGCGTTTTTTTTAGTGGACAACTTGTTCACACGAATGATTGATACCTGTCGTGTATACCGGTACACCTATCTGGATGGCTTGCGGTGTGTTGTTTTTGACGTGTATACAGCAACGTCATTCTGCAGGGATAAAAATACCAGCTTATCATTTGACGCCAAAATCGAACTATGATTCTCCCGTATACTAACACTTTCCGTGCAACATCGAAAAACAGATCGGGCTGAAACAACAAAAGCCCAACCTTGGAAGCTATGTATAGGTATAGTTCGGATGTGCTGTGGAGAACCCCGATCCATTGTCCGGCTTCCTTGGGATGACCCAGCAACTGACGCGTCCCTCCACCCAATGCCCAGTTTATTGTTTTCTTAGTTTGACCTGGCAAATTAGCACATCGTCATTCAATTTTGACGAACAGTAATGGGACTTGCTCGTCCAGGCACTGCATCTTTGTGTTCTGTCTTCCCCGATCTTGTCCCATCCATCGGGCTCACGTGTCTTACCGGGCTTATCGATTGTCTCACCTTGGTTTTCTTAGCGCAACTTGAAGGCTCCAGCGAATACTCTTAAGTTCTGGACCGTTCTTTGCCGATAATAATAGAATCGAATTAACGTGGAACAAAACTAGAATACGGGAGATGTTCCAGTAGTCGCAATTGCCCCGCTCACTTCTTACTTCGCCCCGATAACCTTGGACTCGTTTGTTTAAGCATTGGAGAATTGTGTCGGGAACATGATAGGTATACGCCAATCAGTGGCACCTGAAGGTCTTTATCAGGTCCTATCAAAATATAGAAACATTCCATGCAGATGCAGATGCAATGCACATCACGAACCGGACTTGGTCAATTTTACAATTGTGCGCTTGAAGGGCTCCAGTGTTACGTGCGGCACCGAGGACCCGCGAGCTATCTATAGAAACGAGATCTGCGATGCCCTTGCAGCCAAGTGCTAAAGACCTAGATAGACTAGGTAAGACCTTGGAAGATGTTGAATTATTATGATGGTATGGAAGCATTCTTTTGTGCTTGAGAAGTAACATGCTTCCCATGTCCATCATCACCATGTGCATATCTCTAGATAAACATAGGTTCGTCGGGTATTTCCATGCGATAGATTATCGGCTGCCTACCTCATACGGTGCAAACCGATAGGTAGCAGACCTCATACCTAACTTACAGAAGCAACGTAGATGACACACGATCATCCAATGTCAGTCCCTGGGACCTCCCAACCCTTCCTGGGCAAATTGCCAAGCTCAATACTGATATGATCAACCATATATCTAGACGTATGTCTATCTAGTGTGGCACATATCCTTGTGAGATAGCTGGGTTTCGGTTTCAGTTTCAGGATTCGAAGGAGATGACTCTATGCTAATTAAAACTGTTAGAGCCCGTGGACTGCTGCGCCCCCAACAAGAACCTGCCTACCAAGGTAGCGCCCTGAGCAGAAAACATAATTGAAGCATAATTTAACCTATTCTGGCAACGCTAGACCACCCCCGCATCCGGGAAACAATGAGCTTCTGCTGAACAGGTAAAGCAATTGAAAACTACAGTGGACAGGAGATTTGATGACTTCGTCAGAAAGAGGATTTTCCCTCTATCAATTGTAGATACCCCAAACAAATGAGGTAAAATGCAATCTAGTCTAACTCTAAGATCTCTAATGAACATATAAACACCAAATGACCACCCATGAGCCGAGTCCAGCACCTGGCCGGATACAGTCTAGTTGAGTTTCTTTCCAGTCTCCTTGGCAAACTTCCAGTGCAACTCGCCCTTGGAATCGGGGTCGTACTTGGTCTTGCAAGTAGTAAAGGTGTTAACCAGATCCTTCAAGAACAGACCCTCTTCGAGACGGTACTGGTCTCCGAGGTAGGGAATGATGGCGTCGGTAGCCTCCTCAGCGTGGTAGAAAGGAATCTTAGGGAACAGGTGGTGAATGACGTGGTAGTCAATAATCTCGTGGAAGAAGTGACGTCCAATGAAGCCAAAACGGCGGTCGACTGTGCCCAGAGCGCCCTTGACGAAGGTCCAGGAGGCCTCGTCGTAGTGAGGCACGGTAGGGTGAGTGTGGTGCAGGTAAGTAATGGCAACTGTATATACCATTAGCGAATGCTCTGTTCTAAAGAGGGGGTTTTAAAAAGTTCTTACCGAGCCAGTGGTGAACCCAGAAGTAGGGCACAACGTAAAGCAGCGCAATCTTCCAGAAACCAATTTGAGTAGCGAGGTAGTAAAGGGTACCTCCAACGATGAGAAGACCGAGATCGGTAATGGCAATCAGAGGGGTTTGCGCCTTGGTGAACAGCGAGCCGGTGGGATCAAAGTGGCTGTTCCTGAACATCTTGGGGCCACCAGTTCCCTTCTCCGGAAGACTCTTGTTTCCAGCGCTGACATTGAAGAACATGTACAATTGCCATCCGAGAACCTGGTGACCGAGCAAAGTGACAGCATGGTAGAGTGGAGTCTCCTCGACCAGCTCAGTGAATTTGCTGAGCGTAGTGGGCTCCTGGTTCTTGACCTCGGTCTCGGTGGAAGGAACAAAGACGACATCCTTATCAATGTGACCGTGGTAACGGTGGTGTCTGGCGTGGGTGATCTTCCACGAGAAGAAGGGCACCATCAACAGAGAGTGCACGGCCCATCCAACAACGTTATTGAGCTTGGTGTACTCGGAGAATGAACCGTGACCACATTCGTGACCAATGATCCACATGCCGGTTCCCACACAGCCCTGGACAAAAGTATAGAGGACCCATGCGCAGGCGCGCATCAATGGCGTGGGCAGGAGATCGATCTTGAGGGCCAGCCATACAAGGACGGATGCATAGATGATATCGCGGACGAGGTAGGAGAATGATTTGATTGCCGAGCGCTCAAAGCAGTGAGCAGGCACCTTGTCTCTCAAGAATCCATAGGTAATTTCCTTGGGCTAGTTACTGTCAGCACTCGAGTCGCTTTCATATCCTCAATGAGCACGTACGTCGACCGCGCCCTTCAATTGAATCACGGGCTCTGCCGTCTGAATAGTAGAAGAAGCCATTGTCGATTCTTTCACACCAGCAAGGTCGAGTGTAGAGTCAAAGAACTCACCCCCTGTAGAATTTTTTTTATTTACATGAATAGCATGATGAATTGATTGGCTCCGGGATACTCTGGTAATGGAGCCCGGAGGTGGATCCTTTTGGAACCTTTCTAGGCCCCTTCTAGACGGTTTACGGCCCCCTTTCCATGGGTTCGAGCAGGACGGACCAATGTGATGGTTCAGATTTCCCCTCCTGAGTCCGTTCCTGTGGGATTCTGCCCAACAGAACCCGTTAAAAAGACGTTGATTTGCGCGGGATTCTCGTGGAGAAAATTTCTACTTTAGTGGCTAGCGTTTAATTTAATCCCCTTCGATTGGCTCCCATAGGCTCCGATAGCGGTACTAAGTTTGAGTCTAATCGCTAGTGTTTATAGAGCCCCTGATATTTTCTTTTTTTTTTTCTTTTCGTCTTTCCTCTTTGATCAGTCTCCTAATTTAGTAACGCCTGGATTGCCCCGGCCTTCTGGCGGAGTAGTGAGTTTCCTCCGTGAGACATTGAGTTTTAGGGCAACCACATTTGTTTGCGGTAGCGATTGGTGGATCTGACCAGGGGCAAATCCTCAGATCCGGAGCCGATTTTTTTAATTCCGTACACTAGGGGGAGAATACGAACTGGCACATGAAAAATTATCCCAAGTTGTTGAGTGACTCCGTTGGGAGGTCAATGCCAATATGGGGCTGCTAGCCGCAAGGAGCATTTTATGGAGCCAAGTGGGCCATATTTAGCCGCTCAACAAATAATGATGGCTAAAGATAAAAAGATCACATTCAAAGGAATCGTTAGCTCGGTTATAAAATATTTTGCTCCATTTTTTGTATCATTCAATGGAAATCATGCGGGCGAAACCGCTGGCTTCCCTCGGCCGAATTTATAGTATGACAAATCAATACATGTGATGGAATCGTATAGCCAAATATCGCATGGCATCCCCTTAAACCAAATATGAAGCATAGTAGCTGGTGCAAGCATCGTCAATGACACTGTCAGCTACTAAGGCAGAGACTTTCTGATTGGCAGTGTTGGCCAACAGCAAGACCTCTCCACTGGTCGACTTGGGCCAGCCTTGCTTTGACAGTCCGCTCGCGGGATTCTTCGCAAAGGCCAGCCACAAATCTTGCATCTTGGCACTGGAAACCTTCTCGAAGTGAGTGTCGGCGCCATAGATGCTGGAAGTGCCAAAAATGAGCGGCAACTCAGCTGTATGATAAGCACCTAGCCCGGATTCGGGCGAAATATTGGTGAAATTCCCGCGGTACTGGTAGCGGTAGGTAGTCAAACCGAGGGACTGTCGGAGGGCGGTCGAGTATGGAACAGGACATTCAAAGGTAGATAAGGTCATAGCCTTGGCTGCGGCACTGTCGGTGGCATCATACCACAGAGTGCCCTCGTCGAGGTTGGAACCGAAGATGGCAGGCTTGTTGGAGAGGTGCTTGCCCAGATAGCGCTCAGTATAGTTATTGAAGACGAGTCGGTCGTCGATGAAAGGAGCAAAAGTCAGGCTGTGACCATTTGAGGTACCAAGATAAGCGGTGATATTGGATGCGGGAACTTTGCGCAAGCAGTTCAGCTCGTGCTGAGCCGAACCTGAGCAGCCAAAGTGTGAAGCAACCGACGAGAAGTTCGTTCCCGCGGTGTCTGTCGAACGTGTTCCAAGCGTGAGGAAAACGGAGCCAGAGTTGGCGGCGAACCCTTGGACAATGGGGTCATCAGGATAAGCAAAGTTCTGAATGTCAACACTGCCTGCGCCTGCACTCTGGCCCCAGAGGATCATCTGCTCGGGATTACCTCCGAAATGAGCGATATTCTTGTGCACCCATTCAATGCCGGCACGCTGGTCCAAAATACCCAGGTTTTGCTCTTTAAGAGCCCTTGAAGCAGGGAAGCCGAACATATTCACACGATATTGCACAGCGACCAGAATGTGCTCTTGGGAGCGCTCTATCCAGGGAGCCGGATACCATGCAGGCACGTCTGTTCCTCCAGAGACCCATTCACCTCCGTAGAACCAGATGATAACGGGCAAGTCAGTCTTGCCATTGTTGGGAGCCCAGATACTCAAAGTCAAACAGTCCTCGCTCATACCACCAGCGATGATGATTTCCGGTTCATATTCCGCAAATACCGTACCGGTCGTAATTTGCGGACAGGCAGGAGGCATGGTGGTCGCATCGACATGTTTCGAAGTTGCACTTGCGGGGAGTGACTGGGGAGGAAGCCAGCGACGCTCTCCAACGGGAGGCTGGGCGAAAGGAATTCCCAGGAATTGACGGACATGGGGATATGTGCTGTTCACGCCTCCTTGGACTGTACCGCTAGAGGTTTTTATATGGAGATTGGCAGATGCAGCTGCAGCCGAAACTGCAAACCCTAACAAAGTTGGGAGTGTGATCTTCATGGTGTGCTCTCACACTTAGTCCGCAGGTTGGTTGAGAGAGAAGGGCTGATGGTCAGGAGTAAATTGCGAATGTTTTCGAGGAAAGTCGACGCATAATAACTAGTCCGTGTGGGTTAGATTGCAGATGGAACTTCCGAGGTCACACTGCCGATCACTCAGGAGCTGAAGATGTTTAAATAAGGTGTCGCGCAGCGGAGACTATATAGCCATGCCACTGTGGTTTACGGCGGGAGTCAGTTTTCAGTGCTAGATGGGAAGGTTTTGCTGAATTGTACTTCCAGGTTCTATTGTACCCGACCAATTTCCTCTGAGATTTTCAATTATGAAGCGCATCGTACAGTTGCCGGTCAATGTACCGATGCACTCTAATAAATCCCCGTTTCCCCACGGCGTGGGTCTTTTGGGGAAATGACGCATTTTGGGTCCGGATTTTCCGAGCGCCATCTGTAGACTGCATTATAGGGTAGCAAGGCAAGACCGAGTAACCGAGTCTCCTCCGGCAACTCGAAGGCAGTGCGACATGCCTGGCTGGTACATTTATTCATTCATAATAGCGAAGAGTTCATCTGCGATTGGGAGGAGACGTCTCGCAAGGAGTTACTGGGGAAGGCTTATCTGGCACGAGGCAACGATCAAAAAGGGAATAGCGCCGCCTGACAAGCCTGACAGCTGCCAGAAAGACCCCTAGGGCAAGATTGTTCCTATTGTGTCCTGGGATTTCGAGGTAGCATTCTGGCCTGCGATTTCATTGAATCTGAACTGGTAGATGGAAATCTAAGCTTGTTCCTGCATAGATTCGGAACCTGGAAAGCCAATCAACGCTTTCTACGATCTTCCCGAGCTTCCCGACGGCATTTCGGGAATAATGAATGCTAAATCCGATACACTAGTAAGACAGGCAAGAGGTTTCTCTCGTGTATAGTATTATGACAAGTGCAGTCATAAGATCTCAGGTGCTTGGCCTACCATAACTCACCTGAGCAAGCTAGCCATCAATGGACAATAATAAATCTTTCGCGAGCAGTGTATTTGCACCCCGTTCATTATAATGTGGCACCATGCTGAAGTCATGAGCCCGATGATCCCGAGGTCCATCCATAATTCTCCATCAAACCTGCACATATACCCGCTAGAAGTTCCCAAACTAATGCACCTCCTGGCATATTTGCCACCAGTGACTTCCGTCAGCTCATGTCAAGTTCCCGAGGTCTGTTGATTTATCATCCACTATACGACGGTTATATCCCACTAATAATAGATCCTATAGATCAAAGTAACCTTGGAAGCCAGGTTACATATCGTCAGCTTCCGCGAACCTAAATCATACACTGGGGAGGAAAAGCGGATATGAGAGGACCCTGATTTAGCCAAAAGGCGTCCCATGGCGGCCAAATCCGCGTCCCCAACCGCAAATGTCTCAGATGAAACTAAGCATTTATAAACCCGTTCCTTCGCTGAGCTCTTTTCATATCATAGTAATCATTAATCAAGTTTCCTTCGACTCAAATCCTACAGCGCAAATATGGCCCTTTCAGCGTGCAATGCCGTTGTTAACCCAGGCTTCGAGTCTGGTGTCCTATTCCCATGGCGCGCATCTGCCGTGGACGTTGCTCAGGTGAGCACCGGTACTGCCTACAGTGGCGACTACTACCTGTGAGTTTCATCAATTTATGGCAACCGGATATCGACTGACCAGACAGTAACCTGCGGACCGCCATCGATAACCAAGGCAACACCATATCGCAAACCCTGAGGAATCTCAAACCGGGAACAAACTATACGTTCAACGTCGAGGCCCAGGTTCCCTATCCCGCTATCTCAGAGTACTGCTTCGTGTATGCTTATGTGGGTTCCAACTCCACGATCGGCGAAATTGCTAGCGCGGGCTTGTTTGAGGAAAGCTTCGGGGAGTGGGTCTCCGTTTCTGGAAGCTACGTGCCAAAGCATTCCGTTGAAACTTTGCACATTATTGCTGCTTGTGATGAAGAGGATAACTCTGTTACCGGGGAGGTGTATCTCGATGCCATTAGCTTCGTGCCTCAGAGTGGCTGTGGGTCTGCGTAAAGGACCCCCGCAAGAACTCGGGTGAAGCAATTTTGTAAATAGACCGATTCTTACGTTAGCAAGGTCAATGGAACAAAGTGTCTATACGGTACCTATGTTCTAATTAGAGGTATACTCATGGTTTCAGACAGTAATTGATGTTCACGGGTGTTGTTTTAAGGTTGTTTTTTAATCTATATATTTTCTCTTCGCCACCCGTCTAGGCAGAAGAACTAGGCCCGAATCAGCGACTATATATTTCCAGGGTATAAATTAACATAGGTACATAATACTAATCTAGATATTCCGAATAACAACATTATCAAGGCATTAGAAGTTGAGTAAACCTTTGAGCAAATTGTCCTCTCACTTGCCGCTTCCTTACTTCCCCTTCTTTCCCATTGTTCTCTTCTGAGCACTTTCGCTTCTCAAAAACCTCGGTGCAATTTTATTTTTCTTTTACCCGATAGCCAGTATGACTATCATCTCATCTCTCAAACATTTTAAGGTCATTCAAGATCTAGAGACTGGAAGCTTTGAGGCTCAGGCTCCTACAATAGTCTCTAACGATGGGATGGTGTGTCGGTGTTGGTGCACCCGCGAGTTTATTTTCTGCCTTGTTGCTGTCTTGGCTGGTTATTATCGCGGTCGGGGCTGCTTTGGGTCAGTCACTTATGTCTATTGGATTCGTTCTAGGTTAATTAGTGTTTAAAATATTCCTTCAAAGCTTAACCTCCACTCGCTCATTACTCTATTTACTAAATCGGTTATTCTGGTAGTAACATAGGCAACTCGTAAACCATGTAAGTTGACCTTAAATGACTCCACTCGTGGTCTTCATTAGGATAGGCCTCAGAAGGCACTACTGTACAGTATATGTCCGGGGGATGGGGAAACCTAGAACAATCTACCTATTCCAACTGAACACGAGTATTCAGACCTCAACTTGTCCTTTATCTTCCAGATCAAATCACGTTATGCAAGCCTCGTAGCCCAGACATTCCAGGTAAAGCAGGCAACTAGATTTCCAATTGGTGTGATCTGCACACAATGGTTCCAACATTGGATCTTAGACCTTGCAGCATGTATTTGGCCTTAGGTACTAATCTTCTGAAAATACACGTTATCGATGTTAGTGTATAGCCACGTGCCCGCCTGGGTGGCGAGGCCATAACAAAAGCACACAAAATGCGTCGTTCGCACGGTTATCTATTGATGTCATCTGCTGATTAGGAATGAAGATCTCGATCCACCATGGCGATCTCGCAGACACCGAGAACCTGTCTGCGGAAACACATCCACCAACCACAGCCAGCCCCTGATTCCTCGGGTGGCGATTCAGCCAATCATGTTCTTTTTCGATATACGCTGCGTTCATTGATATTTGCAAGACAAAATGCTTTCACACAGATATTTACTAGTATCGCTACAGAATACAGTAGAGCAATGAGGCCGAGAAGCAATGGCTATGGTCCTACCTGAAAACAAGCTATACAGAAGAATTGATTTAGGCGGGCAGGGAGGAGTCATTGTCAAAGGCCTCGCGATCGAGTGCACATTGATAACAAAGGGAGCGCATCCACTAAGCCCTACTAGAGAATAATTTACATTCAAATAAACTCTTAGCGTCTCCAGTTATGACGCAAAGGCCCGGGTGTCAGGGCTTCCGATTGCTCACAGCGAGTTCCCCGAATCAAGGTATGGGTTTACGTCATCTCCCAACCGTACTTTTAACAGTCGCGAGTAACGTCCCTCGGCTGAACTTTTACATAGTTCTACACGGGCGCATTCCCATAATTTAACAATTATGTCTACCACTACAATATCCAAATCAGCTGAGACGATGTCATTCACGGGAAATCGAAGCGTGATGGAGCGCATCCGAGAGAGACGCAGAGCAGCCGAAGCTAAACAATCACGCCAGGTCGACACTTCAAATCTTTCTGTCGGGTTCATGTCCAAATCCCAACGTGCTTCAAATATGCCGAGTTATCCTGGTCTTGATCGTTGGCGATTGCTGGAAAAGATTGGAGATGGTGCTTTCAGCTGCGTTTATCGTGCAAGCGACACAAAATCCGAGTTCAGTGAAGTCGCGATTAAGGTCACGAAGAAATATGAAATGAAAGAGGAGCAGGTGAGTTATTGTCTAATATTGCCTTTCATGTGGAGACCCCAGGGAAAAGAATATTTTCTGACAATGTCGCAGAAACACAAATTACAGAAGGAAGTTGATATTACGCGGAAACTCGATCATGAAAATGTGGTTCGACTTATTGACTCTTTTGAATCGATTCAATATCATTATATGCTCTTGGAGCTGTGCCCCGGGGGCGAATTATACGATCAAATTGTCAAGTTTGCGTCCTTAAGTGAGCAAATGGCCCGACATGTTATAAGGCAAGTTGCAAATGCTGTGGCGTATCTTCATGATACTATGGGAGTTGTTCACAGGTGAGTTTCCAAATTTCCTAGTAGGGACTCCTCGATCATCATCTGACAGCATTTTCAGAGACATCAAACCGGAAAACGTTCTCTTTTATCCTAACTCCTCAACACCACGCGAAGAATCAAAAACCACTCGGCCAGGCGATGAAGAAGAAGCAGTTGCTATTGCTGAAGTTGGGTCTAGCGATATTGGCGTGGTCAAGCTCGCCGATTTCGGTCTATCCAAGGTGATATGCGACGTCCCGGCCGCGACACCCTGCGGGACCATGAGCTACGCTGCACCCGAGCTATTTAGGCAACACAAATATACAACCAGTGTCGATATGTGGGCTCTCGGTTGTCTCCTTTTCACCATGTTGGCTGGATTTCCTCCTTTCTACCACGAAGATCTTGACATCATGAGGCGCCAGATCATGCAAGGGGAGTATACATTTGCGTCACCAAAGTGGGACAGCATTTCGGACAGCGCAAAGGATCTTGTTTCTCGTCTTTTGACTATTAAACCAGAAGAGCGGTCAACTATCAAGGAGTGCCTTGAGCACCCTTGGATGCAGGAAGATTCTGAAGAAAGAACACCTACCCGTGACGTTTTCACGCCCAATACTGAACGCCTCCGTGCTTCCACAGGGAATACTCCGGTTCCCGAAAACTTCCAACCCATTGCAGATAATGAGACCGAGCACTCTGTTCCCGAGACCCCCAATATCCGGGATATCTTTAATGTTGCGCTGTCCGTGCACAAAGAACACCACCAATCGCAGCAACAACAAAAACCAAATGGCGGTGGAGATATCCGGAAAGCTGCAGATAAATTCAAGAAACCGAATTCTACACTTTCTAACCTTAGTATGAACAACAGCAAATTGCTTGAAAAGAGGAGAACACGAGCCTGTGATGGCCAGTCGATACCAAGCCGTTAAGATGGTTTGGGCAAATACAAACTCCACAAAAACCAATATTTAGGGTTCCAAATGTACATTAGATGACGATCTTAATGAATTCGCATGATTCAAGATTTTTTAGAACAAACCTGAGAGTTCTATAGCTGCGAGAGTGCTTCGAAGGTCTCTTCAATCGACAGATAGCCCCCGGCGCGAATGTGAAGAAAGCTTGGAATATTGTGACAGGTCTCCCCGCACGTAGTACAGCGCTAAGAATGACCATACAACAGATATATTTGGCAAGCAAGTTGGCAAGGCGTTTAGAGTGGCTATAATATACGTTCAATTACGCGTGATAGATTCAAACAGTCACTGAATATTGGAAGCTGGCAACCAGGAAATCATCAGAGTTCCAGGCGGCTTAAATGCGTCACTACAGAGCATACCTACTCAGTGACCCGAGACCCTCTGGATAGGAGTCTCTTGAGATATTTCCTTCTTTGATGGAATATCTGAGTCCCCTTGGGTTCATATTCTTCCATATCCATGGCTATCTCCCAGGAGCGCAGTGACTTCAAGGACAAGATATCTGAATGATAAGCTATAGGAATGATTACTGGCTAATGTCACGCACTAAATCACATGATAATATTAAAACCAATCTAGTTCTCGTGGCCTGGACGTTTGCTGATAAGCGGCTGTTTCTTCAAGTGGATTATTCCTCGCCCACCCGACTACTTTATGCACTGCACACGTGGTATATTACAATCAAGCAATTGGCGAAACATGCCACCTAATGCCGTGAACTCAACACCCATGGCTTCAAAAGACGTCGCTTTCTGTGATAGAAGATAGCCGATTCTTTTAAATGACATGAAGGGAGCAGTGGTTCATATTGGCGCAACGGAGGGAGGATATCGATCGACATGTCAGGGCACAGAGTCCAGAATCTATCAAGCCTCACAACCAGACCAATCCCTTGAATCAATCCACTCGCCATCATGGTAGACAATTCCATACCCCTACATCACCCGTACCTGCTGTTACATTAGATTCACACGTAATCCGTCATTTAAACAACCACAGCCAAAAAGCCCGCAGCCCACAATTCACCACCAATCAACACAAGCCCCAAGTTTTATTTTTGTATCACGATGCTTGGCTCAGGCGACTTGGGCCCACAATAACGCCACCTATGAGAATAGAGGTGGACGCGGTACCCAACCAGCGTTGAGGACCATTTCTGAGTGTTTGGGTCGACCGTTATTTGGTTCATTTCGAAGGAACCTTCGTCGGTTACTTAAATTGCACTGTCTTGGATGGCTACTGTTTCCTGGATTGTTTCCAGGGGTCCTCATTGGGGTTAATGAGGACAATAGTTGGGTGTACCGATGTTTGATGCCTTGTGGGACATGTTGGAGATTGGGGATATGCATGCGGAGATGTGCGGGTGGCGATGGATCCGAGAGTGGCAATTGGCGAGTCGGAATAATGGGGAATGGCTAGCACATGGTTGTGAAACGCGTAAGACGTCCGGCCCTATGGCAGTGCGGGTTTAACGTGTTACAAGTGTAAGGTGGAACAGAAGCATTCGTGAACAGTCAATTAGGGACAATAAGCTAGTTATCTCCACAAGTCTAAAAAATGTGTATCAAAATGAAAGGCCACAAGCAAATCCGACAGTCTTCTGAAGTAAAAAAGGTGAAGATGGGAAATAATTCACATGAAACGCCAACAAAGATCATCTCCCAGATGCCGCTTCAGATGCTCCCTTCGCGTGTATAGTTTTCGTGCAAGTAAGACCTCGTGGAAGCGTAAAGCCTCGGGTAAAAAAAAAAAAACATTGGAAATGTAAGGAAAAAATTATCTACTGCTTGTTCTTGGCGAAAATCTGGGCACCATCGACCAGACGGCGCTCGGTGTTCTGGCGACCGTTGACAAAGTCGGGGTAGTTGAGGGTCAGCTCAACAGCACCGTTGACAATGTTGTCCACAGCCTCGACACCCAGCATGAACGAGTGGTCCTGGTTGCCGACCTCGTAGCGCCAGCTACCGAAGCGACCACGGGACCAGATACCCTTCTCCTGCAGCTTGGGCAGGATCTGGGTAAGGGCACCCTCACGCTCCAGGCTGGGGGTGGGGTAACCGTGGTCGAAGCGGCGGTGGTAGGTGGAAACGATCTCGTCACCGGGAGCGAGCATCTCAGTGTTGATGAGACCCTGGATGGACTCGGCAAGGAGCTTCTCGTGGTTCACGGGCTTCATGGAAGACTCGGAAACCTCCAGCATGATGGACCAGTAAGGTCCCTCCTTGGCCTCGGTGCTCGAGGGCTTAGAGCCATCGGCGAGCTGGAGGGTGGGAAGCTTCTTGGAGGCCTCGGGCTGGTTGTGGGGGGAGTAGTTGGAGAAGATGGTGGCACGGTAGAACGGAGAGTCGTCCTCGGGGAAGTAGAGCCAGCACTTGTCACCGATACGCTCGGGGCGCTCGCCACGGATACCGACACCGATAACGTGGGTGGAGGAGTAGAAGAGCTGCTTGGTGAGGGGGATCAGCTCCTGGTCGCCCATGGCCTCGGCGAGGAAGTCGACAGCCATGGTGGAAACGAGCTTGGAGTAACCAATGGTGGTGCCATCGGCGAGGGTAACGGTCTTGTTGTTGGCGTTAACCTTGGTGACCTTGCCCTTCTCACCGAAGCGGGTGTTCTCCTTGGGGATGGTGTTGGCAACACCGATCCAGATACCACCGGTACCGTCGCGGGCGGGGAAACGGAAGGTAGCGTTGGGACCCCAGTTACCGGCGGTCTTGTTGAGGATGACGTTGGTGGTCACGGCCTTGAGGTTGGGGGCAGCGACACGCTCACCGAGCCAAGCGCATTGCATCTTGGTGGTGGGAACGGCCCAGACCTTGTAGTTGTAGGGACGCATGAAGAGGTCGGCAATACCAGTACCCATCATGCGAACAATCCACTCATCGAAGTTCTTGGGCTTGGTGTTGGCAACGCGGGCCTCCATGGCAGCATCGATCATACCATCAATGCACTTGACCTGCTCCTCCTTGGGCAACATGGAGATGTTGTTCTGGAAGGGGTAGGGGACCCATTCGTTCTTGCAGCGAACGTAGGAGATACGCTCGTGGGTGTACCAGTCCTCCTCGTTGGGGAGGGCCTCATCGATGCAGTCATCGAAGTACTTGTAGTGGGAGAAGATAACGTGGCCACCGACATCGTACAGCTGTTGATGAGGGTGTTAGCTTTTTGACCTTTTCCCCGCAACACTAACACAGGCGCAACTTACGAAGCCTTCAGGGGTCACATCAGTGGAAGCCAGACCACCGGGGACCTCGTTAGAGTCGATAATCAACCAAGAGGGGCCATTCTAGAAGCAATTGGGTTAGTTGTTGGTTCAAATTTAGTATTGCGTACCCCTCCATTTCCCCCCTATTTTTTTTCTGCCTGCCACCACCGAATCAATGCAAGAGGAGAGGTGAATCTTGAACTTACGATCTGGTTCAAACGTTTGGCCGCACCCAAACCAGTCGGGCCAGCACCAATGACGAGAACGTCAACAGAACTGGGATTGATGTTAGTCTGGAAATGACGGTGAGGGAGCGTAGTTCATACATGTCGGGGTGGGTCATCCTGCCTTGTAGGAGGTCCTGGAAGCTAGGCACGCGTTTGAAAGTCTTGCGAGCGATGTTCAGCATAGAAGAAGAACTGAGCAGCAGAAAGACTGCAGGTAGGTGACTGGGAGGAAGGGATAATAAAGGTGGGAAAGGGAAAGTGGGAGAGTCTCGAAACCGTGGGTAGGGGTAAACGGACCCGGCACTTTCGAGCGGTGTCGCAGAGTGGAGTTTGTTGTTCCTGTTTCAGGTTTACTCCCTCCACTGGGCCACGCTAATTTGCTTTTTTGATTACTTTCCCACAAGATCTAGGTCCAGCTTGGTCTATAGCCTATCGCAGCCTTTGCAGTTCAGGGGTGGCACTGATGCTGTCCCCAATTCCCCCCAACCGTGAACACGTATGCACGATCCTCGCCCCCCCTTTTAGAGTCTGGGTGCCTTATTTTTCATCTGATTTTTGTAATTATGGGAAGCCATGTTATTGATGCTAAACGCTCATTCGCTATCACCACGCCACTCACTGGACCCTGGCGTTTAAACTATCGAATCTATCACAATCCGCGAGCGGCCGTTATTGGTCTGGGGATGGTCTTATCGGACCATTTAATGCCCTTAAAGGGTTCTTGCGCTTGCATGCGGTCAAGATTCAGTCCTTGGCGTGGTTTCAAGGTCCCCAAGAACGAATCAAGAATGCTGTTATCTCTCGGGTTATTCTGATTCGTCTCTAAAGGAGACTTCACGGCTAATCTGATATAATTGTTTTGACAGGAAAAAAGAAAAATAAAAATAGAAAGGAACAAAGCAAAGACCCGAATCAGCGACAAGACTTGGCTTAAAAACGCCACCGATGTCGATTGGCACGTTGTGGTCAATGGTGGTGAGAATTTAAAATAATCTACGGTTAGAGTGTACGTCGTTGCTCCATAGCGGATACACGTCTGGTATAAAGTACTGTAAATGACTCGTCAAGGCACCAGGATTTCTCTGCAAAAGTCATACAGTAATAAAACAACCCTGAACCCTCCAGGGGCGGACATCCGCAGATGATCGGCTTTGTTGCTACTCGGTACATCTAGAGTTCAGGGTACAAGGCGAGCAGAGGCGAGGAGCGGATCCACTGATTGTCCCTCCCAAACAGGGAAAGACGAGGAGGATCAAGAAGATCCTTCGCGGTTGCTGAATCTCATTTGATCGCCAGCTCGGGCAAGAAGAAAACACTTCTGGAAGATTGGTTCCGAGAAGAGATCTCCAGTTCACCGCGAAACTGCTCGGGCGTGTAGAGACAGGACCAAACCAAATGCTAGTTTGATATCTCATCGCCCAAAAATTAGACCAAAAAAGCTTTGCTGCGGGAACTAACCGCCATCGGCTCCAATGTCTCTGGGGCTGCTTTTCTTTTTTTCTTTTTCTTTTTTCCCCCTG